CTTCTTAATGATGCACAATTGAACTATTCCACTACTGAGAAAGAACTACTTGCTGTGGTGTTTGCTTTTGATAAATTTCGATCTTATTTGATGGGATCGAAAACAGTTGTGTACACTGACCATGCAGCTATAAGGCACCTTCTTTCAAAGAAGGAGGCCAAGCCGAGATTGCTTCGTTGGGTTCTTCTTTTGCAGGAATTCGACGTTGAAATTCGGGACAAGAAAGGTTCGACTAATCTGGTCGCCGATCACCTTTCTAGACTTGAGCTTGCGGCCATTCCTAAGGACAAGGTTGAGATCAATGAGTCTTTTCCAGACGAGCAGCTTTACGCTCTCCTTGTCCAACAAGCTCCCTGGTATGCAGATCTTGCGAACTATCTCGCCACAGGTAAGCTCCCTGATTTGTCTTATCAACAGCGCAAGAAGTTGATTACTATTGCCAAGAATTATATATGGGAAGACCCCTTCCTGTATAAGCATTGTGCTGATACCATGGTAAGACGATGTGTTCCTGAATGTGAGGTAAAGTCAGTGCTAAATTTCTGTCATAGTATGGCCGCAGGAGGCCACTTTGGACCTCATAGGACAGCAGCAAAGGTCTTACAATCTGGATTTTATTGGCCTTCTCTATTTCGAGATGCCCGTGATTTTGTTGCTCAATGTGATAGGTGCCAAAGAACAGGGAACATATCTGCAAGGATGGAGATGCCGCAGACCTCGATTTTGGAGGTAGAGATGTTTGATGTATGGGGAGTGGATTTCATGGGGCCATTCCCACCGTCTTTCAACAACAAATATATCTTAGTCGCAGTCGACTATGTATCCAAGTGGGTGGAGGCAGTGGCGTTGCCCACCAATGACTCAAAGACGGTGGTGAATTTCTTGAGGAAGAACGTGTTCACCAGATTCGGAGTCCCTCGAGTTCTCATCAGTGACGAGGGCACACACTTCATGGGAAAGGAGTTGAACACGTTGCTGGCCAGATATGGGGTTAAGCATCGAGTTGCTACACCCTATCATCCACAAACCAGTGGGCAAGTGGAGGTTTCCAACAGAGAACTGAAACACATTCTGGAGACGACAGTGAATTCAACAAGGAAAGATTGGGCAAGGAAGTTAGATGATGCACTCTGGGCATACCGGACTGCTTTCAAGACTCCTTTAGGCATGTCTCCGTACAGATTGGTGTTTGGAAAAGCTTGCCACTTGCCCGTCGAGCTCGAGCATAAGGCGTATTGGGCTATCAAGAAGCTGAACTTTGATCTAAAAACTGCTGGAGAGAAGCGCCTGTTGCATCTGAATGAGCTCGATGAAATTAGGCTTAACGCCTATGAAAATGCCCGGATTTATAAGGAGAAAACCAAGAAGTGGCACGATCACCACATACTGAGAAGAGAGTTCAAGGTGGGAGAGAAAGTATTACTTTTCAATTCACGCCTTAAACTTTTCCCGGGAAAGTTGAAGTCAAGGTGGTCCGGACCATTCACGGTGACCAAAGTGTACCCACATGGTGCAATTGAGATTCTTGGTGATCAAGGGGCGTTTAAGGTGAATGGTCAGAGGCTCAAGCACTATATTGAAGGGGTTTCCGTCCTGGAAATCTCAACATATCATCTGGAATGAGCTATTTTACGTCAAGCTAGCGACGCAAAACAAGCGCTTCTTGGGAGGCAACCCAAGGTGAGTTTTTCTTTCAATTTTTTTTTCATTTTTTAGTTTTAGGGTGTGTCTAGAGGCTCTCCGCCGAAATTCAGCTCAAAAAGCCTTGAGGAAGGTATTATTTTGTGTTTTGTAGGTACACGGGCAGGCTGTTTTTTGCACAGGGAGGCCGCAAAATGAGCACAGGCAAACCGCAAATGTAGGGGGGAGGACTGATCTGACAATTTTGAGAAGGAAGGGGGGACTGAAAAGGAGAAATTCCGTGTCTCTTAAAAAAAAAAAAAAATTTAGCAGCAGCGCCGCGTTTCATTTTCAAAAAAAAAAAAAAAAAAACAGAAAAAAAGGGGGTCGGGCTGCTGCCCTTCCCCTCCCCCTTCCTTCCCCGACTCCCCTTCCTCCTTCCTTCTTCGCCGAGCGCCGTAGAGCCGCCCAGCCACCGCTGCGCCGGCGACCACTCTCCCCGCTGCCGAGCTCGATCTGCCGCACCATCAGTAGCCACTCCGACCACAGCTCCAGCTCCTACACCGACAGCAGCGGGGCACTCGAACTCGAGTGTCCGCCAGGGCCAGCAGTCCCATCCTACTCCAGTTCCGCATCCAGAAGATACCCCACCAGTCGTACCAGCTTCACCATCATCTACAGACGAGCTCAGAGCCAGAATAGCTCTCTTGGAAGCCAGAGACGCAGAGAAAGATAAGAAGATCCAGGAGCTAAACCGGCGTCTAGATGAGAAGCTCGGCACTCCTGCATCGACCCCTCCTCCATAGGAGCTTGTCCCGAGGTTCTTTTTCTTTTCTTTTCTTCTTTTCTTCTTTTCTTTGTGAATACTTCTGATGATGGTCTGTATAATGTTAGTTAGGTGAACCGATTGGTGTGTCGTGTGTAGTTGTAGACATTGTGGACAATGTCCATCCTGAGTGTGGGGTGGATGGTCTGTGTTCTTGTCGTGTTTTGTGTTTTATGTCGAGTCGCAGTTGTCCACAGTGTCTCGTTTTGTGTTTAAAAAAAAAAAAAAACTGCCATTAGGTTGAGCACAGGCAAGCTGCATGCAGTCTGCCTGTGTAAAAAGCAGTTTGCCTGTGTAAAAAGCAGTTTGCCTGTGTAAAAAGCAGTCTGCCTGTGTAAAAAGCAGTCTTCCTGTGCAAAGCTAATGGCTTAAAAACACCTAAAAATCAGAAAAAATAAAAACAAAACCTTGTACTCTTGTGGTAATATGATGTAAATTACTGTGATGCGTGTGAAATGAGTTTGTGCTTGAATGAAATCATCAAAATCACCCCACAGTGTTGAATTGCATGGTTCTTCACAATGAGCTTGAATGTTTTGACTGACTTGATATGCTTTGAATGAGCAAACTCTTTTAGCAACATTCTCTTTTGTGAGGATAGTGTAATGACTTTTGGTGAAGTAGTTAGGTGGAGAACATTGACCATTCGACATGTTTGGATACCGTGCTTACTTGCATCAATTGTGAGCTTTTGATTTTGCAATGAGTCTCTCTGTTTTGAATGTTTTATGATGGGGTGAACTGTATCTTCATAAAAGAAAACACTACCTGACAAGTAAAATATAAGAAAGTTGCCATAACAATTAAAGTGTGGGTAAAAATGCCAAAATCGTGTGAGGCAATCACTCATTGCACATGGGGATGAGGAAAGATTCAATTGAGAATCGGTTCGCGACCGTACGATGTTGCTTATCAAGTACGATCCCCAGTTGAGTGAAGTGCCATTTGAGGAGCAATGACCCTCCACACGGACCGAGGATAAGGAGTTAAAAGAAGCCCTTATGCGAGTGCTAAGAAGCAGAAATTGCTCTTGCTCGGTCACCGGTAGTAAGAAACAAATCCCACTTGTACTAAATACGACCTCTCGGCAAGCAAAAGCAGAAAGAGAGAAAGCCTCTCCTTGTCATAAAAGGTAGTGATGTGCTTAAAGTTATAATCATGTTTGCGAAAGGCTTCCCCCATTAGTTTTTGAGACTCATGCTTAATTAATTGTTTATGATTGATGTGAGTAAGCTCGATTGTCCTCACGAGATATGCACCTCACTGATGTGGTTAGAGTCTCCTAATAATTGATGCACCATAAGTTGTTAATCACCCACTATCGACGATCGGAATTGAGTGTTGCTAATTGAGTTTTTGATGAATTTGAGTCAGTCAATGGTTAAGAGTTGCAAAGACCTTGAGTGTGGGGTGAAAGGGTATGATCAATAAAGCACAGCTCATCCGTTGAGAAAGAAACTACTGATTACAACAAGAGTACAAGGAAATTTTGCTTTGTCTGATTAGTGAGTCTATGGTGTGTCATTGTTATGGTTGGTTATGTGTTTCTGTCTTTTGAGTCGTTGCTTAGGGACAAGCAACAATTGAGTGTGGGGTTGAAATGACACTCACCTCACAAACCAACAGTGATTAGGCGATGATCTTGATCAATGAGCACCATGTACCCTCTATGCTAACTCGTTCTTTATCATGCTTTTTGTTAGGGAAATCAGCTCTAAGATAGCGTGGTTTTCCACACCTGAAACATATAACAGTATAATTCTCTGTGTTTATGACATAACTCATAAGTCAACAGAAATATCTTATTTGGTCTAAACTTTTCAGGTATTTAACATCGTGACCAATCTTTTCGATCTATACCATTGTGACTTAAACTATTATTAAAAATTACTTAATTGGCCCAAACCTAGTGTTGACCAATATGTTTGACGGTCAAAGTCGTTGACTGGTCAACCTGCCATGTCACTGCTCATTCACCTAACATTGATGAAGTGGATGACACGTGGAATAATAATAATAATTTTTTGAAATAATTAAAAAAATTCCCACCATTTATTTTCACTAATTTCAAATTAATTTTTCACATAATAAATATTTTCAAAGTTTCAAAAATTAGAACAAATAAAATAAAATAAATTAATTAAATTAAATTAAATCAAAAATAACAATTTTCACAAGTTATTTTGACTAATTTTCAATTAATTTTCAGCATAATACCTATTTTCAAAATATCCAAAAATCCAAACAAAGAAATCAAGGAAATAAAATGAAAATATTTCAAAACTGAAACTGAAAATAAAAATAAAAATTTATAGAAAATGAAAATAAAAAAATTGTGTTCATTTATTTTCATTGTTTCCAAATTATTTTTCACATAATATCTATCTTCGAAATTTTTACAAATCAGAACAAAGATTAAAAAAATAAAAACAAATATTAATAAAAATGAAGATTTAAAATTTAATTAATAAATAAAATGCAATCAAGTTTCCACATAATACCCATTTGTTTTTAAAATTTTATATAGACTATTTAAGTTTTAAATAATATACCCATTTTTATATCACATGTCATCCACGTCATCAAAATTGGGTGACTGAGCAGTGACATGGCAGGTTGACTGTTAGTCAACGACTTTGACCATCAAACATAATGGTCAACACTAGCCTCACGCCAATTGATTAATTTTTAGTGATAGTTTAGGCCATAATATTATAGATAGGAATGATTGGTCAAAATGTTAAATATGTGAAAAATTCAGACTAGACAAATATATTAAAAAGAAAAAAAAGAATGAAACCCACATAATTCAAAGCAATAACTTGAAGATGAAGAACTCTAAGACATTAGTAGTGTTGTAAATGAGTCGAGTTGTTCACGAGAGGTTGGCATTCGGTTTGAAACTAGATTCTTCTACTGACGAAGCGAGGTTGAGCTAAGTATTGTTGAACTCGGGAGCGAGCTCGGCTCACTGATTTGTTGAACCTAACTCGTGAACTGGCTCGTTTAAAGCTCACAATATCTTCAATATTATGGCTAGTGAGCCGATTCGACTACCAACTTATGACAAAACAATCTATATCTAATGAATTGGGTTGTCAATAATTCAAAAGATTTGTTAATTTTTATATATCACCCTATAATAACGAGTCGTTGATGCCATATTGCACCACATTTCTCTAAGCTTTTACGGGGAAATGAAAATCTTGTTCATATGTTTTAAGTCGAGTGACCATTATACTACAAACTACATTCTTTAGTGACCATTTAGCAAATTAAGCCATTAGGGGGGAACCCAAACGATTGCACTATTTAAATCGGATCCCACATAATTTCCTCTTGAATCTCTGATTCATTTCACTTTCCTCCTATCCCGAACCTCGCCGGACAACCGACCGACCTCCAATTCCGATCGACATGAGAGACACGATGATCTACGTCTCCACCGCCAAGCTCGCGAAGCTCACCGTCATCGACGAGGCGGAAAAGCCTACCCTCTCGTCGATCCCTGCCGCCGCCGCTGCTGACACTTCTTTCTCCACTCCGGAGGCTAAGGAGCACCAGATCCCGAAGCCGATCACCTGTCCTCCAGCGCCGCTCAGACCTCCATCGAAGCGCAAGCTCTCCCGATCCGCAATTCTCAAGGCGACCAGAAAGTTCCGGGCGGCGAGAGAGTTCTTCCTTTCGCCGGAGATCGAAGCCGCGCTCGTTGACCACCTCTTCGCCGCTGAGACCGCCCGCCGCACTCCCAAGCGCGATCTCCGGACTCCGAAGTACTTCCGTTAGCGAGCGGCGCCGTGGGTTGTCCTGTAATTAGGGATTTCGCTTGTGAATTGTTTCGAATTAGGGATTTTCCGTTGCCAGCGTTTGTCTCGATTTGGGTAATTAGGGCTTTCGTTATCAACAAAGCATCGATTGTAATTTTTGGGAAGAAAAAATTTTTGGGAAGAAAAATGTAAAGGATGGCAGACTGACAATACGGCATCGTCTATAGACATTGGGCCAAAGCCCGTTTGTTAATAACAGAAAGTTAAAAGCCCATTTACCGGCCCCGGTTGAAGACGCAAGAATGGCGGCAATGGACTTCCCGCCATCAAAAGCCGGGAAACTCTGTCTCCCCATTTCGCCCTAAGTTTCTGCAAAGCTCTGTTTCTGTTTTCCCGTTTCATGAAAATGCTGATGAAGAGCGGCGGGAGCTTCGGCGGCTTACAGTTGCTGGCGGAGGCGGCGGTGGCCGTCAGCGTTTGCCAGGAACTCCACGGTGGCTGTTGCGGTCACTCCGATCCCGCTTCTTGTTTCTTCACCACCAAGAAACGTAAGCTCTCTTCTCCCCAGACCCACCATTCCCTTCTCGCTCAAACCCCTACAAACAAATCGCCGTCGATCAAGCTTGTCATCAAGCTCAAACAGCCCGCCGCCAAAGTCTCTGATTTTCCTACTGCGCTAGAGGTAGCCCCCATTTCGTTCGTACTCACACCGACGCCTCCACCTCCGGCACCCCCAATTCCTCCTCCTCACTCCTCCGTTTCCGCCAATTATCCTCATTCCAAAGTAAAGCTCGCTCCTTTGGTACCTAATTCACGGCGAGAGGAGTTCCCCTCGAGTTTTAGGGCTAGGGTTTCGTCGACATTTGGGAGAAAGTTCAGTTGCCTTGGGGAGCAAGTTTTCTCTGGTGATTCGGAAGACACTGACGGACACAGATCTATGCAAAGGGATGGTTGAGTATGAAAGTCCAATTAAGGGCAACAGCAGCAGTGATGGTAGTAGCAGTGCTGTGACGCATGAAGAAAACCACGGCATGGTTGTTTCACTTTGATCTTTGGTATGGCATGCCAACGAACAACATTTCATTAAAAAGAAAATGATTCCGTTAAGTTGAAGCTGAAAAATCATTTGTACATTTAAATAATATGCAGTTGGTACACAAAATCAATCTTTTTTTTTAAACATTGAGCAGCTAATCTTTATCCATGGCCGAATCTGAGCTCGAATCTTCATATTCGAACTGCGCATCGTCCTTCTCCTGATCCTCGCCGAACTCTGACTTCCCCATAGGAGGATGGTAGAAACTTTTTTTCCGTATATGGCTCGGACAGTACAGACAACCTCTGTTTATATCTGCATTCGATCACCCTCATTAACTATCTATCTATCTTTCTACAATCAAAGCTAAGTGTAATATGATGGATGATACATATCTGATGATTACTTACCACTGCTACGCTTATCCATGGCGAGACAGGTAAGAATCTTGGATGGCTGCCGGTAGAATCGGACCGTCTCAGAGAAGAAGAGCTCACTGGGAGGGTTGTTTTGGCCACTCGGGTCGACGATGTTCTTGGCTTTGAAGTTGGCGTGGATGAGAAGTTGGCCGGGAAATAGACTACACCAGCTGTGCAAGGGATTCCGGAGCACGTAGTTTGTACCCTAAGAACCAACCAAGCAAACAAAAAATTGGCATTAAACTAAACTAACCATTCAATTCAATGGCATACAAGTGGATCGCGACCAACCTCCTTCGAATTGTAGTATTCGAGAGCTTCGTTCGCAACAATGGCAGTATCCCATCTCATCCGCTCAAAAACTTCAGGGGGATCTTCTTTATCATCAAAACTGTACCCGTGAAATTCCCAACACCATAGTCAATGAAATCTCATCATTCAATAGAGCAGCAGCAGGTGAACCTAACTCTGAAATAATCAAGTCGAACACCAATACTAAAGGCAGAATTTCACGATCGGAAACTGGAACTCCATATATGAAAGAAAACCCTACTTAATTCAGATGCGATAGAGACAAGAGAAACAAAATTAGGGAAAAACTGATTAAAAACGCACTCGTCAATGTATCGTCCGACTTCTGGATACTTGTGTGGCGCTTTCAACACCGGACGACGACGAGACGGTGGCGGGGCCGGCGGATCTCCCGCACGCGCCTCCTCCTTTTCAGGTGGTTCCAGATCCGGTAGTTTCTCGTCGGCAGATACCAACGGCGCCGGATTAAACGACGATGATGATGATGGCGCCGGCTCTCCAGCGCCAACCTGATGAGGTCCTTCTCCCGTCTTCAGTCGTTTGGGTGAATCAGGTACGGCCATCTTTCTCCTCTCCATCTCCGATACCTTTCCGTCTCTTCTTCCCCTTCTATACATTCCCGCCTCTCCTCCGGGAATGGGAAATTGGCCAATTGGGGGTGGGCCTTTCCGTTAGGCAGGCCTTCTCCTTTCGGGGAAATGAATCAAATATCTTAACAAAGCCCACCCGTTAGCCCATGAACAGCCCACCTACCCAGCCCATACTTCTATTCTGACATATTTCAAAAAGAAATTGATAAATAAATTGCTAAAAAGCAAAAACCGGAAAGCAACCGGAAAGGAAAAGGTTTTGTTTCTCATTTCCTTTCGATTGCGATGGAAATTGATAAAACTTCAGCGGCGGAAAAATGAGCGGTTCGGAGATCGTCGACTCCGTCGAGGCTTTCCCCTTCGATTGCGAGGGTCTCTTTTTCTTATTCTCCCTCTCAATTTTCCCTGTCTTTCCTCCATTCTCTGGCCTCCTCTGCTCGTTCGTCCTTGGCTTCTCAGGCGTGATCTGAAAGGACGACAAGCTCATCGATGGCAATCCCGGAAACGCTCGAACTGATCCACTCCCAAAGGTCTCTGTATCTTTCTTTTCTCAATTCCGTTCGCTATTGATTTCACCGTTTTGGATTATTAGATGTGAAAAGGTTTAAAAAAAAATTAAAGACGGAATCGCAGGGGAAGGAGCTGGTATTCGTCAGTCGTCACCAATAATTCGTCTAATTCCAGACGTCAATACGCCGGCAAGTTTCATTCCCTCGGAATCTCAGTCAGCGAGGTGATGTTTTTTTTTTTGGTAAAGTTTGTATCTTTCTGTTTCTTCATCCTCTGTTGCCTCGTTTTCCTTCAACCCATGAGAGATTTTCTCGTCCTCTTTTGCCGCGGCCTTGTGCTTGAAGGTGAAGGGAACTGCAGCAAGCTGGTTTTACAGCCATTGGAGATTCCGTGATGCAAGCTTAGTCAATGTAAGAAGAGTGGGGAATTGGGAATTTAGTTTTCAGGGTTTAGACGAAAAGATTGTGAAATTTAGGATTTAATTGGACTTTGTTTTAGAGTATAATTATGTATATGTTTTAAAAATAATAACATTTAGTTCGTAGTATAATGAATAACATTTTATCCGATAATTATTGTGTTACTTTTTTTTGAATCACAACAAAAATTTCTTCCAAATTCAAATCACTATTAGTAGATCCACAAATTTCAAGGATATCCCAAGACTTCTCTAAAGGACATGGATTCATATCTATCCCAAACTCAAACTAGTATGGAGGAGGTCGTTTAATTCTTCCTCCAGAGATTAAGAGTGTCATACTAGCATGTAAGTCAAAGTGCATCGGCCGAATCTGAGCTCGAATCTTCGTATGGGAACTTGGCATCATCCTTCTCCTGATCCTCACCAAACTCTGAGTTTCCCATAGGAGGATGGTAGAAACTCTTCTTTCGTATATGGCTCGGACAGTAGAGACAACCTCTGTTTATATCTGCATTCAATCACCATCATTAACTATCTATCGATCTATCTATAAGCAATGGATGATACGTATCTGATGATTACTTACCGCTGCTACGCTTATCCATGGTGATACAGGTAAGAATCTTGGATGGCTGCCGGTAGAATCTGACAGTCTCAGAGAAGAAGAGCTCACTGGGAGGGTTGTTTTGCCCACTCAGGTCGACGATGTTCTTGGCTTTGAAGTTGGCGTGGATGAGAAGTTGGCCAGGAAAGAGAGTACACCAGCTGTGCAAGGGATTCCGGAGGACGTAGTTTGTACCCTAAGAACCAAGCAGACAAAAAATTGGCAATCAGCTAGCTATTCAACTCAATTGCATTAGAACTAGGGAACACTGCAAAACTGATTGACCAACCTCCTTCGAGTTGTAGTATACGAGAGCTTCGTTCGCAACAATGGCAGTATCCCATCTCATCTTTTCAAAAACTTCAGGAGGGTCTTCTTTAAAATCGAAACTGTACCCGTAAAATTCCCCAACCCAAATCAACGAGAACATTCATTCAATGAAGCAGGAGGTGATCAACCAAACCAAAGATCAAGCTGGGAAAACCTAAATCTGAATAATCCCAGTCCAACAACACCAAAACTAAAGCTAGAATTTCACGATCTGAAACATGAATTCCATATGAATGCATAGTGATTGATCATGAAAGAAAACCCTAGTTAGCAAGCTAAATTCAGATGCGATGGAGTCAGATTGAACAAAATTAGGGAAAATCGACAACACATAAATATCTGCAGCGAGGGATTTTCAAAAAAAACGCACTCATCAATGTATCCTCCAACTTCGGGATACTTGTAATTGGATTTCACCACCGGGCGACGACGAGACGATGACGGGGCGGGCGGATCACCCGCACCCGCCTCCTTTCCAGTTGCTTCCAGGCCCGGTAGGTTTTCGACGGCAGATACCAACTGCGCCAGATTATGCGACGACGACGATGGCGCCGGCTCTTCAGTCTTTTGTATTTCGGGTGAATCAGGTTCGGTCATCTTTTGCCTCTCCTTCTCCGGTAACTTTCCGCCGTTGTTTTCTGCGCAGCGTGAACGGCTGGCGTGCCACACTCCGCTCTCCCTCTCTCTATATACACACATATACCGCGAGCGGGCCTTTTCCTTTTTCTCATAGGTGGGCCTTTTCCTTTCGGGAAATATCTGAGCCAAGCCCACGCGCTAGCCCATTGACAGTCCACTCACTTAGCCCATACTTGTTTCTTTTCCTTCATCTTTCGTTCCTAAACTATTCAAATCAATGGCATACAAGTGAGGAGGAACAATACTGCAAACCGATCGCGACCAACCTCCTTGGGCCGGGCCTTTTCCTTTCCGGAAAACGAAAGGAATATCTGAACCAAGCCCACCCACTAGCCCATTGACAGCCCACCACCCACCCAGCCCATGAAGGAGGAAACGTGAAGGAAAAGCGACGGTGCTTCTTTGCTTTAACACGCTAACTTGGTTTGGATTTGAACAGAAACAGAGCCCGGAAAGCGATGGATCCGGTGGGGGGAAAAGTCCAAAAATTCTTTTCCGTCGTTCAACGCCGCTGTCTGCCGCCGAGTTCGTTCGTTCGTTCGTTCCTTGGTCCTCGTTTTTTTTAACTTTTCGTCGTTGTTTGGCAGCGGCCAGCTCAGCAGCCATAGGCACTTTGATTCGAGGACCAGCTTGCTGAGCTGTAAACAAGCTGTTGGGTTTTGCGACCAAAACCGAAACGCAAACGCCACCGCACTTGCCAGGCAAGCCTCTTCGTCTTCGGCCCATACTCGCCGCCGTCACCAACCAACCATCGCAATATCTAGCTGAAGCAATAGAATAATTAACTAACACCATCAAAGTATTATTCATTATTGATCTAGATTATTATTATTATTATTATTATTATTATGATTATGAACAAAACGCCTGTCTTTCTCTATCTCTACGCGGTGGTGGGTTGGGGTGACAGTGGGTTTCTGATGGAAAAACAGCTGAGCTTCAGACTGACACTCCTCCATGGCTGTCCCTAAGAACTTCCCTATGTAATGCAATAAATATAATATTAATAAATATATTTCGTTGGAGAAAAACCCAATCGATAAACACATGCATATGCAAAAATCCCACTTGTGTCAAGGAGACGTATGAGACCCACTTTGCCTAGTTATTTACATTACATCTAAGCATATGGGTTGACACTTGCGAAGTTGGTAATTGACTATTTCTTAAAGATGGGTATCGACTAACGGTGGGTCATATGATGAATATTCGATACTATAAGAAACATTTTTCATGTAAAAATAGGATGTGGGTCATATGGGTGACCCGCAATCCACTCACCATCCACCCCACATAAGTGCGGGTGAGAGATTTACCAATCAGCAACCCATCCATTTCGTGCGGGTCGGGTTATTTACGGGTGGATCGATATCAATCCGCGGATTAACCACACCATGTGCCCACCCTTAGTATCGACCATGCATTGATATCGATTGCCATACAGTCGTTGATTATGATTTTGTTTTGTTAACATAAAAGAAATCATTCATCAAAAATTAATCTTTGATCGTCATGATAGTAGACTCAATCACGATCGGGAGATGAATTTATACATATAGCCTCATTTTCAACTGACATTTTTTAACAAACAAGACGAATGAGATACGAATCTGAGAATCTCCCTATCCAAAGTACACATCTTTACCATTGAATGAGAGCTGAGAATAAAAAACCCAATTTAGCTATTTACCAATCCTTGATTTTCCAATAACAAAAGGTCCTTGTTATCTTCGATAGATTAGTGCAAGAAATTATTGTTTCATGTGGAATCTATCTACATTTCCAAACCTGAAATTATTATTTGACGAAAGAATATACCCACAAAGGATCGTTTCCAACAAGTACCATACCCACCAAAGGGACCTTTAAAAGGCTTTTCTCCCAAACACCAAAACCCATTTCTCTTCTCTTCCCCTGACTTTCCACACTCTCTCTCTCTCTCTCTCTCTCTCTCTCTCTCTTTCTCTAGCCGCGTCTCTGTTTCTGCACCTTTCGGTTTCAAGGAAAGAATCAATCAACAAAGCTGGCTGTGCAAAGCAAGAAACCCAAAACCCACTACTCCAAAGCAGCAGCCATGGGGTTGCAGCAACACCAGCACCATCGCTCCAAGAGCCAGCAGCTGCTGCTGGACGATGAAGAGATGGGTCTCGTTCTTCTAATCACAAACTCAAAGAAACCCTCAACAGCTCTAACATCAGCTCCGGCAGCTGCAACATCATCCGCTGCAAGGCGCAAGCTTCTCACTCTGCTCTTCCTTTGCCTCGTCTCTTTCTTCCTCATCCTCGCCCCGCACTTCTTCCCCGCCTTCTGTAAGCCCATGTTTCCTAATCCATCCCCTGTTTTATTTTCTCTCCCTTTCTTGATCTTTCTTATGGCTAATCATTCCTTTCTTTGTTGTTTCTTTACTGTAGATTCATTCGATTCCATGGCGGATATGCACTCAAATCTATCCCTTTGCTCTTCCGTGGCCAACGGTAATATTGTATATCCCCTGCCTTGCTCTGTTTTTCCCGCATGCTCTGTTTTCCCCTCCTCTGTAATTGACTGAAAGATTCCATCTTTCTTTTGGGTTTAATCAGGAACCATATGCTGCGACAGGAGCAGCATACGAACAGACGTCTGCTATATGAAAGGGGACATCAGAACTCAATCTTCCACTTCCTCAATCCGCCTCTACGCCGGCGAATATGTTGGCGAAGAAAAAATCAGACCCTACACTCGCAAATGGGAAACCACCACGATGAGCACAATCGACGAGCTCCACCTCATCTCCACCTCCGCCGAGCAACAGCAAAGCCACCACTGCGACGTTACCCATGACGTCCCCGCCGTGTTCTTCTCCACCGGAGGGTACACGGGCAACGTCTACCACGAGTTCAACGACGGCCTAATCCCGCTCTACATCACTTCTCACCAGTACAACAAAAAGGTCGTCTTCGTCATCCTCGAGTACCACGACTGGTGGATCTCCAAATACTCCGACATCCTCTCCCACCTCTCCGACTACCCCGCCGTCGACTACTCCGGCGACAAACGGACGCATTGCTTCCCGGAAGCCACCGTCGGGCTCCGAATCCACGACGAGCTCACAATCGACCCTGCCCTGATGCAGGGGAGCAACCGAACCATGGTCGATTTCCGCAACATCCTCGATCGTGCCTACCTGCCCCGAATCACCGGCCTGATCGAAGACGAACAGCGGGAATTCGAGTCGGAATCGAAACTGCCCGTAATCCCCCCCAATTCGCGCCGTCCCAAGCTAGTGATCGTGTCGCGAACTGGCTCTCGAGCAATCACCAACGAGGAAGCACTGGTGAAGATGGCGGAGCGAATTGGATTCCGTGTCGAAATACTGCGACCCGACCCGACGACGGAGCTGGCGAAGATATACAGGGCGATGAACTCGAGCGACGTCATGATCGGGGTCCACGGCGCGGCGATGACGCACTTCTTGTTCATGAGGCCCGGGTGCGTTTTCATCCAGGTGGTGCCGTTGGGGACGGATTGGGCGGCGGAGAGCTACTACGGCGGTCCGGCGAAGAGGATGGGGTTGAAGTACATCGGGTACAAGATTCTGCCCAAGGAGAGCTCTTTGTACGAGAAGTACGCGGTAGACGATCCTGTGCTTCGAGATCCGGAGAGCGTCAATCAGAGAGGGTGGGAGTACACCAAGTCGATCTATCTAGATGGTCAAAATGTGGTGTTGGATTTGAAGCGGTTTCAAAAGAGGTTGGTCCGAGCTTATGGTTCTGTTATGAGGAATCGAAACCAGCAACGGCGGCTTCAATCGTTGTAGTGCAGGAGAAAGGAATGAACTATTTGTTATTCTTTGGTGACTGATTGAAAAGGTTTGGTTTGTAAATGATGCGAGTTTAGGGGATATGGTGCTAGATGAAAGCAAAAGGATAATGTTGGGTGTATAGAAGATATGTTAGAAATAATAATGACTTAATTGTAAGTTTTCATTGATTTATATGATACAACGTGACGCTCTTTTGATTTGGTATGTGTTAGTTAAGTGCATTTTGTTAAGACAATGATGATGTTCATTAGATGTTTCATCTCTCTGAGTCAATGGTTTAAGGGATAACGTTGGGCTCGTGACGCTGACGTTCATGTTGATGATAACTTACTTTGTGATAAATCGTGCTCGGTGATTGTTGAGAAATAAATTAATAATCCGGATATGGTTGTTTTGTATATCCAACTATCTATGGCATTCAACTCGTACCCATTTGCATACTTAATTAAGTGAGGCGTGACTGCGTGAAATATTTTAATTTTAAACTCTTTTTCTTTCGTCCGTTCAATCAATCCATTCAAGTTTGACAGACACTCAATCTTATTTTGTGTTCAAACCTCATCAAACCCTCATTACACTATACATTATGTGGGGTTTGTTGTTCACTCGACCGCTACTTATTTTATGTGAAGTAGTTCAATGTGTCGTTATAGTTGGATTTACTATTTGACTTTTGTAATTTGATAAATTTTAGGTTTGTTGTTCACTCGATCGCTACTTATTTTATGCGAAGTAGTTGGATGTGTTTCTATAGCTGGATTTACTATTTGACTTTTGTAATTTGATCAATTTTAGTATTGTTTTAGCGTATGAGTTCCGATAAAAGATAAAGAATCATTTGTAGATATTCACAAAAACCAACAAATGCACAATGACGAACATTTCAGGATACGTACAACCAAATTCGCTCCAACGTTACCCATTCTTTATCCTCCCATCACTCCCTCCTATTGTATAATTAACTGATTTTCTCTTCCAAAACACGTTCGACGACCTATCATTCTTTTCTTTATCTTTCCATAAGTAAGATCGAAACACCATATCATTCGATTTATGGCGGGTTGCGTACTTTTAAAAGGGGGAAGAAGCTCTGTTTAGCACCAGCCAAATTGCTTAGCGCCAAGAAATAACATTTTGCTTGCCGCCAAGAAATGCTATCTGCTTGGAGTATTAATGGCGGAAATGTGGGCAGAGTATAGTTTCACAGACAATGCCGAACGGAAACAGGGGAAGGACACTAGGAAGGAAAATATGAACGTTGTGTGAGGCAGGAAGGACGTCGAAGGGAGATAGAGCAAAAGACAATGAACAATAATGACTGCTGAAAGAGTCAGTACGCCATTAGAGAGAGAGAGAGAGAGAGAGAGAGAGAGAGAGAGAGAGAGAGATGATGATGATGATGATGGATCAGGCAAAGCCATGGCAGGCCACCATGACTTTTTCCTCTGTTTTGAAGGGTCTAGGGTTTAGCAAAGCTTTTTACACGTTTTGGGTTTTTGGGATTTTTTGTGTGTCTTGTATGTAACAAAAATTTGAAGTTTACTTCTCTCTTTTTAATTTGGTTATTTGTTAAACTCTTGTGTTGGGAAGTGCTAATATAGCATCGAACGGGCTGTTTTTGGATAACGAGGCAGAATAAAGATTCGAATTGTGTTTCGTCGCACAAATTAGTTATCATAATCGTAGCATAAGAGGGTTTTCTGCATTGACATTCACTCGACTCGCTATGTTCAAAAGAAGAAGAAAAATGTCTACCGTAATCCTCCGGTCACAGTTCAGTCTGGTCAAGATACACCCTGTATCAAGTAAATGGATGCATCAAAAGACTATTTTGTGATGAAGATGTAAGCTTATCGTATGGAATGCAGAACCACCTAATTAAGTGAAAGACTTTATGGCACATAAACATAATTAGCACTAATTACTACATTCTCATTATCATGATCTTTGTATCCTTTGTCTGGTCCACTTTTCTTCTGATGGAGTGTCAGAGCTCCCATCCTTTGATCTATAGCTCTCTCTCAGTATGGGCATTCTGCAGAATTTCTGATGTCAAAGAAAAAAAGGTTGCTCCTTTTTCCTTATTAAGGGCAAATATTCTAAAGAAAGGAGCTTTGGGCTCATCACATGTTTGTAGATATCAGCCAATGAGAAAGGAGGAATAACAATTATAGAACCCACCATCCAATCAAATATCAAAGAAAGAAAAATTATTTGTTTATCCATTTCCCCACAAAAAAATTGACAGTCACATTCCCATGTGATTGGGCTTTGCTTTGCCTAATTCCCCTAATCCCCTTACTATGACAGGCTAGAATTCTCCACATGCCAACGGCTACTTTCTTCCTATCTTCTTTTCCCACCAAGAAAAATGATAGGGTTTACATTATTGGTTTGTATGATTGTACCTTATACACATTCAAGAAACCTAATGAGCAATGAGTAAACCTCTTTCTTATATATGAGTGAAGTACTTGTATGATATGTATCATCTTTCAATATTGATGTTAAAGTTGTGTGATTCGATGAAAGATCGCGCACAAGTTTAATTATATTGTAACGGGGTTTACATCGTATAAGATTATCTCATTGAACCGAAATAACTTTTAGCATTGTAATATTTAATGGAGACATTGAAATCTCTGGTTATTGAGTTAATTTTGTGTTTTCTCGTCCCCACCCCCCTTGTTTATGTAATTGTCGTCCATAAAGTAATTTGTTATTCAACTATTACAAAAAAAAAATCATTAGACAGTAAAAAATGCTCAATATGCAGGTCTAATACATAACAATAGACTATCACGAACTTCATTTATAACTCACTTATCATAAATTTTAGTTTACTATTGAACCCAGGAAAATAGTAATCTTCTCCCACCAAGAAAAATGACAGGGGTTACATTATTGGTTTGTCACATTGAACCTTGTACACATTCAAGAAACCTAATGAGTAAACCCCTTTGTTAGATTAACAAAGTACTTATATGATGATGAGTGACATGAGAGATGTTGGAAAATTCACAAGCATTTCCATGAATCTCAATCTACTAAAACCAATGAGTGAGATGCCAAACACAACATGGCATCATTTCTCAAGTCCCTAAAACACAAAACCCCAAAACCACATGAACTTGCCAACTTGATCCCATCCCCAACTTCTCTACCTCAATATTCAATTCTACATCTGGACTTGTTATCCAATACCCACTGACACAACCCAAGAAAACCCACTTGCCAATTCTGCAGAGAGCTATTTCAGAGAGAGACCTAGGATTCTCCCCCAAACATTGATTACTACAATGTGAGCAAAACAGAGGAGCTTATCATCCCTGAAAAAACACAGCCTGTTTGCTATATTATATACACACATGGGAATGGCAGGATGATGTCATTGCTAGTCACCTTCTCTGTATCTCAGCATGTGTTCATCTTCACAGTCGGGTCAATATCCATGAATTGGCTTCGAGTCAAAGCTCCAATGAAGTTAAAGAAATGTCATGCTTTCTTTTGTTAATGGTTGCTTCTAAACCCATCTTTTGTTATGCGCTGATCCGTAGCCTGGAGGTGGTGGTGTCCTTGCAATCCTCCTAGAGTCGTCTGAAACAGGCAAACAAAAGCAAATGCAAAAAGAAAGTCAGAGGCTTTTAACATGGGTTTTGGAAAGAGATTAGCTTGACCAAGTTAAAAAAGTAGTCTGCTTTGCATCACACTCACCCGAGTCAACTGATTTCCCTCCAAGTGATGTCCTGCGAGACGACTTGTGAACTCCAGTTAGTGATTGCCTCCTGGCAGTCCTTGAACTACTGCTAATTCCAATTGGTGACTTCATTTCTTCAGGGATTGGAGATGGTTCCTTTCGTTGATTCCTGTAATTTTTACAGCAGACATTGGTTTCTCCCATGATATGAAATGCACAGACCACAGATGAGAACACCATAAAGAATCTAGTTTTACCTCTTTTCTGATCCATTAATCAGCTTCCCAATGCTCCGAAGTGACTTCCTAATCTGGGATCCTTTCCCATTAGCACTACTGCCCGTAGTAGTAGTATTGGCAGAAATGGGAACTTCGCTTTGCATCACAATCTGGACCTCATTTCTAGCAAGCACTTGGTGTTCTGTTGTTGTCAATGGCAGCTGAAGATGTGGGACTTGTGTCCTACTATCAATCTTCACCGTCTGCCTTTGATACGAAGAGCTGGTAGGACTCCTACAAGGGTTGCGTTGCTGATAAATCTTCACTGTGGAACTGCTGGTAGTAGTTGTAGTAGTAGCAGAATATCCAAAAGGCTTTGACATCATAGCTTCCACATCCTGTCGCTGGTTGTTGTACTTCTGTGGTGTCATCATCGCTGGCTCAAACTTCAAAGGCTTCCTTATCGGTTCATCATTATCCCTTTTGTAATATGTTGGAGCTTCCAGGCTGAGTCTTCTTGAACGAGTAGGCAGTGCAGGCGTTTTCAAGACTTCATGTTTTGCAGTCTTCATCAGCTCCGTGTTGCTGCCATTCTCAATACTGAGTCGCCTTGTGCGTGGTGGTGTTCTATCAGGCAGTATAGGTGTTTTGGAGACATCATGTCTTGCAGCCTTCATCGGCTTCGTGCTGCTGCCGTTCTCAATACTGAGCCTCCTTGTGCGTGGTGGCGTTCTATCAGTCATTGGCATTGACTTCCCTAATGGAGATCTCGGGTCCTTCATCCTGCTCAACTCCTGATCTTGTGACTGTCTATTAGCCAGTGCCCTTTTAAGGTTCTCAACCTGTTCCTTGAGCTGCATAATCTCACTGCTCTCCTTGTTTGCCTTAGCAGCGCCAAGTTCGACCGTTGACACACGTTGAGCAAACTTCAAAGTGCTGACAGTCTCTAGCACAGAATCTTCTTCTGGGCTCACATGAGCGAACATCAGTGTTTTAGCATGCCCACCTAAAGAATCTTGCAGCAGAAGTGTAAGTTTGCTGTTTCGGTAAGGAATGTGAGTATTCTTCTGTGCCAGTGCTGTGACCACGTCTCCCAGGCATGAAAGCGACTTATTGATGTACTGTGCTTCCTTGAGCCTATCTCCAGTGACTTCAGATTTGTCCACTCTCTCACTTCCTGCCAAGTCCACCAAATGCAAGCATCCCCTCAGCTTGCCTCCAGACTCATCCTCGCCGTGAACATGAACTGTTAGCACACTGCAGATGCAAAGTAAAGACCAATTAACTTTCAGCCAAACTTCAAGTCCATATTTCATCAGGATTCCGAATTCGAACTAACCTGTGGGAACGACTGCTTCTGTTATTCATTGCAGTAGCACTGACAACACGATTCAATTCACCAAGTTTCATCAGCCTAAGAACATCAGAAGGGGATATCACAGGGAGCATTGTAGCATCTGGAAGAGTTAGACCATCACCCCCAGCGCAACTCCGAATTTCTAACGTGTGTTCGGTTAAGGAATACTAAACTAAAATAAAATAGAAACTCCATCATATTGCGATGCCTGCATTGCTGGCTGCGCATATCACTATTTTAAGCATGATTATCATCTACTTTGTAATGAAAGCTTAAAAAGGATATTTGGTGTTTGATGAATCTTCAGCAAGAAGGTCGCGTATTTGTTCGTTGTATATCTCAACCATCTGAACTCTTATAACATAATTTATGACGTCCTTCCTTCTATCAGACATCTGGAAAAGATCATTGAGGGCCAGGTAATTTATCCCAAGCTCCTTGGCTGAACCACCTGACGGACCACTCTATTCACCACACAGAAGAATATAATCAGTTGGCTCGGAATGGAGATTATTGGCAAGGAAAAGGAATCATGTAAAAGGATAAATGAGAAACATTTAATCTCACCATTGTGTAGGTTTTCCCAGAGCCAGTTTGGCCATAAGCGAAAATGCATACATTGTAGCCATCCATCACAGATCTGATTAGTGGTTGGACATGATCAAAGACATCTTCTGTAATGAAGAGTTCAGTTGCAGAAAAGCATTAGATTCCACTAGGCTTGGTCGGAGTTAAAAAAAGCGGCATATTTATCAGTAAGCATCACCTTGTGTGGCAGTTGGACCAAACACCTGGTTGAACTGAAAATGCCTCCTTCCATCTTTGGTGGGCTTTGATGGATCTACAATCACCAACGAACCATCCTCTCCAACAAATTCTACTGCATTGCTTGATCCAGAAGTAAACGAAGGCCTCACTCTACAATAAACTCGAATATTTCCTGAACAATAAAGAATAGGAAACAAGGTTAACGACAACCTCTTGAGCAAAGACTCAAGAAGATGACAAAGAAACCATTTTTATTTTCTGAACGCTAACCAACCTTTCAAATCCTGAACCATGTTGTATAATATCCTGTTTTCTTTCAACACTCTCTGATATCCCTGAGCTGCACTCGCCATCTCCTGAACCTGAAAGCCTGTAAAACGTACGAATCAACATACATGTCAGGAAGAAATAGAGATCTTTACATAATCAGAATACTAAGGCAGATGCGAGCTGGTTTCTTTATAGAGGAGTTTCATGCTATAAATAAAGTAGACAAGATTGGTTCTAAGTAGAAGTAACATCTATACCACATTGTGTGAGGTCACTCTGCAGCTGGGATTGCAAGCCTTCGAACTCCTTTCTTGTCGTTGCCCATAATGTCTTCAGTTCCTGTAGGGTAGACAAATTCTGAATTCAGGAACAGGCTAAAAAACCGAAGTTTACATTTCTGCCTTCTAATTCTCGTGAATTATATAATTGAGAGGGGCAGCTCATGATGATAATTGATAAAATTGGCAGCAGACGTATACTTATACAGGTATATTGAATTCTCTATGCAGGTATAAACTCGAAGACAGACAATTTAGAGACTGACCTGGAGTTCTCTTTCCTGGATGTGCAGTAAACGCCTGTGATTGCACTCTCCTTTACTTAGGCATGTTTGACAACACTGCAAAATATCACCTCTTAGATATGTGACTCCAGATTCAAATTGTTTAATCATCTACAGTGTCTTCAACTGAAGTTGACATATTTCACCATATCTACAATGATATTTACAGTTGATTGTACCTTACTATTTTTGTTTTCAGATATGTCCACCACGGGAGTTGCTTCCAAATGGACAGGTAAGTTACTACTGTCCTTCAAGCAGTCTCTGAGCACTGTTTGACCCTACTTGGACATATGTATTTACTAGCAGTCAGAACCAGTGATATTAAGTGGAGAACGATCCTTAAGTTGCTGACATACGGTTCAAATTACCTCGGGGAACTTTTTCAGTTCGTTTTCCTTCAAACAGCTTGCCACAATCCTACCGAATAACTTCATCGGATCCTATAGCACATGATTCATCAGCAATTACATAATGACCATCAATCAGTTGCATAGTTTCTAAATCAAGTTTACTTTCCCATTTTCTGGATTGATTAACCTTACCACATCACCAGCTTTAAAGGAGGCGAGAAAGTTTCCACCCATGTTTTCCTTTGTATCAGCCATATACTCCGCAAGTACCCTCACCAGTTCACCTATAAAAACGACACAGCAGCTACATCTTATAATTGAAAACAGTTGCAAGCAATTTTGGTAACTTACAAATCAAGCCTTCAACTCTCAGGGGGAAAAAACTAGCTTTAAGAGTACCTTCTAGTTTCTGAGCTTCAGCTTTCCCAGATAGATGCCCTTCGGCTGCTACATTCATCTCCAACCGCCGGCAAGAATCTGATGGGAGCCCATGCAGAGTGCTCCTGGTCACATTGTGACCCACCATAGGTGACCTAGATGGCTTGAAACTCCCATTCCCACCATTCATATTCTTGTGATCATGGTATGACTTAAGAGCCAAGACACAATCAACGACCTTAGCAACTGATCCTGCTTCCAGTGCATCCTTCAAAAACAAATTGAAAACCACAACAACTTTGCTTTAGCCATTTGCTTCATTCAACAATTGATCAATTCAGTTTATCTTAAAAGTAAGTGAAGGAAAAAGATGAAGGTTTATCTACCCTTTCTAGATCAGAAGCTTCAAAGGCTGGAAGTTTCAATTCTTCCATAGCTACCAGGAAGTTCCTTACGTTCTCAAAGTACTGATAAGCTGGCAATGGTTGGGGTTCTCGGGTGATAGATTGGACAGGTACATGATTCTCCACAACCTTATAACAATTCCAAAAAATTTAGCAGAGCTTAGCCAGTTCAGTATTCCCAAAGGACGTCTTATTCATTTAATTCAAAGGATAAACAAGAATGTAAGAAGATTTTCAGCATTGGACGAACCTTAGTTATGGCTCCTGGGTGAACTTTGTTTATGGCATTGCAAAGAATCAATCCATTTCTCAAGCGAGAAATGAATTCTTTCTCCGAGGGCTTGTTCGATATACCCAATGGACCCACGACGCTTTCCAGCCACTCAGTGGCCTGGTAACGCCTCCAAACTGGAAAAGGGGAAAAATAAGACAAGAAAATTGAATGCTTCAGAAAACCCTAAGAAACCAAAGCAGCCCAATCCCAGATTCTTTCTTCCTCTTCTTGTTTCCTCAGCAACAAAACAAAATGCCAAGTAGGCAAACAGAGAAGGTATACAAAAAGGCTTTACCAGCTTCCTCAGCTTTTCTTGAAGCCAAAACGTTGTAGAACCCAGTTGTGCAACGATCCTCCATTTCACCCAACATATCTTTGATCCCTTCAAGAAGATAAACCCAGAAACTGAAATCGTTTCTTTATCTCTGTCCTTCTTCGGAATGTCCCCAAGAAACTCCAAACCCAGTAAGAAATTCGCTGCTTGAACTCACAGACTAACCCAGTAAAGAGAGTAATCGATGTCTTCCTACCCAATCGTCTTCTTCGCGCGCCCTCTTCACACCTCCTTCCTTTCTTCAGCAGAAGAAAAAATGGCGGAAAAAATCGAACCCCAACCAAGAATGACAAAGCAGAAGATCCCGCAAACGAAGAGCAATTACTCTGTTTTGTGTGACTACTACAAACAAAATTAGGAAAGGCGGGCAGCAGAAGCTAAATACCAGGGTATAGATTTTTGGGCTTCCCTTTTTCTCCGGCTACAGTGTTAATGGCTTTGGAATCCTAACGTTAAACTTTTGGGGAAGGAGAAGAATGTTTTCGAATTCAAAAATCTTGCAATGGCGATATCCGCTGTTAAATCTGGCAGTGGCCCAATCCGATCCAACGGTTGACATAAGGTCAGATTCAAAGTCGAATGAGCCACGTAAGCTGCCGCGTGTTTTTTTCCCCCCTTTTTTCCCACCATGTTTTTTGGGCCTTCCTTTTGTGGGCTGCCAGGTGTGAGATCCAGTTACTAATGCAGAATATAATCATTGGATCATTTGCCTTAATTACTGGTAATTAGTCACTAATTAATTCTATTGATTTCAGATTTAGTGCTTTTGTCGGTTTTCAGAGAGAGGTTTGTCAGCCTTGGGAAATTCAAAATTACAGGCTTTTCTCTTGGCTGAACTGGACGGCCCATCGTAATCAATGTTCCCACATATTGGGCCTAGGTCTGGATTATCTAGACAGAAAACGTGGGTTAGAGCCCATATCATCGCTCAGAAACTTTCTGGGCTGTATGAAGGGATTAAGGAACTCTTTGGTCAATCATAAACGTAAGGTTAGGTATATATGTCCCTTGTTCTCTATGTATAAAACTTAAACCCCAAATGAGTAACATTTATGCTCAATATCATAAATAAAAATTCACTCGATTCCAATAAGTCCACTAACTTAAAGTATTTACATGGTTTTTAGGCCGTCTTTAATAAAATTTGCTTAATGGACAATCGAGAGTCTTCAGACCCTAATAAGTTGTAGAATACCTAATTTTGGGTTGACGGACCAAGAAAAGTTACCCACGATGATCAAAGGTGACTCTCTATCCTTTTAAATCATGCCCTAAATTGACCATCGAAAGCAACTTATCTAATTCCGAGTAATAAAGATTTATGATGGATTTGTCTCATATTTCCCCCTTCCATTATCAAATTCCAAATGAAATGTGGGATTTGCAAATCCGTGGGGTCCACGAATTTGGATCTAAAAAAGTGTTCAAATTCGTGCGGCCCACGGATTTGTGTCTTTTAGCAAACAATAAATTTATGTCAAGTTCTTGATACTTGGAATTTGGGTGCCAAATCCCGCAAACAAATGATACCTTAATTCATTGCGTTGACATATATACATGCATGGAAAAATAAAGAACACAAAACGTCGACGTCGAGTAGCTACCGCTGTCCCTCCACGTGGCTTCGTCTTCCTCCCCTCATCACTTCGTAACAACGAAATCCAACTTAATTAATAAGCTGCAGGGAGGGGGGACCAAAATCCCAGGTTTTGGAACCGACCATGATCGAAATTCATGGTTAGTATACAACGAAATGCATGGAATCGAACGATAGATCCATTAATTTTCATTATCCAATCCGATCACTTGTTTGATATACAAACAGAGCAGGTAATGTTTCGGGATCACGCTTATGCAAACATAATTAATATGTGGTTATGGAGTGTTAATTACGTTGAATGATTGTGATGCAGTAGCCCAAGAGGATGACATATTAGGGTTCCTACGTGTTTGGGTAAGGGAATTCTGCAATTTGATATTCAGACTCGTGGCATATCGTTGCACCGTGTGATTAAGAAAAGGTAATATAATTTGTTATTGATGATGATCAACTGATCACTTCGATATTTTAAGAGTTTTTGTATGATTTCGAGGGCCACTTATTAATCACATTATGGTAATTGGTAACAGTCAGGGGTACGTACGTGGTGGCCCCCAACCAACCATGAATAATCTTTGTAGTAGTGAATTGGTCTTCGAGATTATTCGTGTAAAATGGATTTGTTGTAAGGGTCTCGTGCTCGAATTGTGAAGGCGATACTGTTCGAGCATTTAGATGGTGATGTACGATTAAAAATGAGAGGTTAAAAGAATGTAAATATACATGGACCGCAAATGCAACGAGTGATGATGGGTGCACGGAGCTTCGAATGAAAGAATTTTGTACGTACTTTCGTCAATTTCTCGTTAGAATTCTAAAGATCATAAAGATACAATCGTTTCACGTGAAGAAAGCCAATCAATAATGAAAATCAAACCCTACCAACAGACCAAAATATTAAAGATATCGCCTTTTTAGCCATCAAACGGAGGATATCACCCTATTTGTCTACCCTACTACTAACAAAACGAAAATAAAAATTATCAGATGTGATCCAGCTCCATGTAAATAAAATCACACGAAGGGCATCCAAAAATACAAAAGAGGGATATAACTTAATTAAGATGATAAAAAAAGATTATTCTTTTAAAGATATAGAGGACGTTTGTATGAAAGTTTTTGACTTTGTAGTAACTTGGATAGGAACTAAATGTGTTTTTTTAATTGCGGTGAAAGGGTAGTAGTGTTCATCAAATTTGTGATTGTGAAAGGGCAAACTACAGAAAGACCTTCCAAGAGATCAATCATCATATAATTACAATTTTAAATGGTAGTTTAATTGTACCTAGCTAGCTATCATAATTGTCATTATCATCCAATGCATGATAATTGAGAGAAGCTTGCTTGCTAGCTAGCGGTAGATAGGTATAGTAAACTATATTATTAACGTAACCCATCACATCAAACCAATCGAAATCACTATGGGACAGGGCAGATTTGGTGGCTTTTGTATCCAACCCAACCGCCTCCAATTGCTTGGCATTACCCAAATAACCAGCCATGACTCAATTCGTTTAATATGTCAACCTACCTTTAATTTGCACACCTTTCATAAAAAAAAAGGGTTTTCATCAAATACAAATATACAATATGTCTAAGGGTGTGTTAGGAGATGAATGATACCATTGGTGTTAGATATTCGATAACTCCAATTATACTTTAAGGGCAGGTCTTAGTCTTTTGGTATGGAGATTTCTAGCACCATATGCTATTTGCGTCTATATCGTGTGTTTTTTTGCTCTTTATTAGAGTGAGTGTCGTGTCCTTTCCGCAGAGTTTCAACAGAGTAGCCCATGTCGGGGCAAAAGAAGGCTCTTTAATTCGTTGGTAGTTTGATTGCATACTACGTACTATCGTGTTTGGTTGTGGTTGCTCTTGTAATTGAGTTCATGCCCTACGCCCTCTGGGCTTGCCTTGGAAAACAATTCAATAGTTCTAATGGAAGGACATAACTACGACAAAAACAACGGATTCTTAGAATACTTGATATGTAGCTAGCAACTTGTTTCGGTTCATCATTTTATATTCAATAAGCCATATGAATTATGGACCAAATGTATCAAGCGGGGAACAATCGACTTAATCAAAACCGAGGATGAGAAAAAGATAAATTTTTTTTGCCCAAACCCCTATGACAGGATGGGAAAATGCATCAAGAAAATTCAAAAAGATCACGATTTCTGTTAAATACTCATATGACAAGAGGTAAGAAGCGAAAAATCTTTACGTAAAACTAGAACAACCCGGGGTTAAAAACACACGATGTAATAAAAACGAAAATTTATATGTGTTTTTGGCCCATCCCAATAATCAATGGAGGCAATTTCTAGGGAAGACATTACAAACTTGTTCTCTTAGTGTGTGTGAAATATATAATTAGAGGGGGATCAGACGATGACTTGTGCCTTTTCTATATTAATAATTAGTAATCATAAAAATAAGCTATCGTATGTGAAGGTACTCGTGGCTGTGGAACTCATCAGAACAGCAACTAGCAGCCATTTATTAGTCTACAGATAATCAGTGAATTAGAAAAAAGAGGAGAGGGTTGGCCTTATTAGATGCATATGCTAATTCTGGTCGTTTTGATTTGTCCTTGATGTCCAAAGATACCTTTGCTCCCTCCTTCTCAATAATAATGGAGGTTGATCAAAAAGATATTTTGAGATATTTCGAGATATTTGAGTTCACATTTGTTTATTGATGGATCAATAATGGTGTGAAAATAGATACTTTGAGCTAAAGGAGGGCTAATTAGGGGTGATATAAACAGATCCATCTTGGCCTTTTTTTTCTTCTATTCAAAATATCTTAGAAAATTATCCTAAGCTTATAATAGGTCTATCTAGTTGGCTCAACCAGCAATATCAAGTATAGAAATATCGTCACGAGTTTGTTGGACTTCTTTACGAAAAATCTCATTAATTGTATTATGTTAGAGATTTCGTAGTGATCAAGAAAATTGTTGTAAGATATATCGAATCAATGGACTTCAGAAGAGTGGGAGTGCCTCAAAAATACAACTACAAGGTTAATTATCATGATCTGAAGGAGGAAAATACATAAGTGGTTAATTGACTAGTTCTCACTTTTTTTTTTTTTACATCCGACATTATTTTGTAGATTCACGTCCAAAGAATACTTGCAAGCCACACTATTTGCTTCTAGAGTTAGTAAACTTCCCACTCTTCCAAGTGGATTAATGCTCGATGATAAAATAAGTGAACTCAAACTTTTCCAACAAAATATTACTTAATTTGGCTAATGGCTTTTATGATCATGTTATCTTTGTATAAAGAAACCCTATATTGTATATATACATCTTTTCGGCCGTCTAGCCAATGAGCAAGATGATTACGGTCAAAGCTCGAGGTGACAAGTCAAGATCTGACCAATGTAAAAAGCCAAACCGTCGACGTATTTACATATATATAGTTTATTCTAATTACTAATTAAATAGATAAGTATTACATGAGATACGTACAACACATTATTATATGCAATTATGCAACTATTCTCGGATCCGCGACGTTCAATAAACCATAAAAGGCACATATAGACTTATTATACAACGCGAAAAAAAAAAACAGAAAAATAAATTCAAACCCTCTAAATAGATAATAATAATAATAATAATAACAAAAACAACAACGCCACCTATATATATAACCAACATGGTTCTATATTGTTATTGCATTATTAATATATTTATTGTTGTCACGCCACTCCTCGAGCTAGTTCAGTTTGTATATATAAAGGCCTAAAAGTAGCGCCAACTCCATCCCATTAAACTATAACCATCACTCTCCAACCCACCACCATCATTCAATTTCTCCGCTTTCTCCCACCGCTTCTTCCATTACCATGGCGCCGGCACTGCTCGATAGAAACGGCAGCACCGGAAGATCCTTCTGCAGCAGCAGCAACAGAAGGATCACCCCGTCGACCTCGTCGATGTCTTCTTCACCACATTCGAACTACTACGCGATGACGATGATGACCAGGTCATCATCGTCGTCATCGCGTCCCCCTCCCATTCCGGAGCACTGCTCCGACCACGAATTCTACGTCATCAACACCCCGAGCCGGGCATCATACTCCTCCGACCAGCAGCTCCTCGTCGTACGAGGAGGAGCTGCTGCGAACAGACACGTGGAGGACAACAGCAGCCACCACTTCGGCGCCAACAAGTACCTCAGAGTCTCCTCATTCGTCAGGACGATCCTCAAGGTTTTGTCGTTTCCTTACACCCTCCTCTCCCCTCCAGCCTGTCACTGGCTGTCCTCCTCCGTCCTCGGGACCACCCGTACCGCCGCGGTGTCCCGAGGACGGCCACGTCGTCAGCAGCTCCTCCCCATTGGGTCCACTGTCGTCAAGACGACGGTGGGCCCACGTCTGGGGAGGAAGGTGACGGGGACGCTGTTCGGGTACCGGAGGGGACACGTCACGTTCGCGGTGCAGGACGGGCCGGGCTCCGACCCGGCCTTGCTCCTCGAGCTGGCCATGTCGACGGCGACGCTGGTCAAAGAAATGTCGTCGGGGCTGGTCCGGATCGCGCTGGAGTGCGACAAGTCGCGGTCGTCGGCGGCGGAGGCGGGAAAGCTGTTCGACGAGGCGGAGTGGAGCATGTACTGCAACGGGAGGAAGTGCGGGTACGCGGCGGCGCGTCGGTGCTGCAACGCGCTGGACGCGCGCGTGCTGAACACGGTCCGGACGGTTTCGGTCGGGGCCGGGGTGATTCCTGCCACGTGCGCGCTGGAGGACGGGAAGGGCGGTGGAGGGAAGGATAGAACGGCGGCGTCGTGCGGGGAAGGGGAGCTGCTGTACATGAGGGCGAGGTTCGAGCGAGTCGTGGGGAGCCGTGACTCGGAAGCTTTCTACATGATGAACCCGGACGGCAGCGGTGGGCCCGAGCTCAGTGTGTTTCTTCTCCGGCTGTGAGATTATTGGTCAAAACGATGACGTACGGGTTTGATTTTTTATGTAATTAATTAATTGGGAAGACTTTTTTTTTTGGTAAGATAATTGGGAAGACTTTAAATTAATTGCGTGTTTTTTTTCTTTTTTATAATTTGGAAAGCCGGGGGTTTGGATAGGTACGTGTAGCGTATGATGATTGATGATGGTGTTATATAAATGCGACTTTCGTTTTCTAGTATTATAATATTTTTCCTAATGAATTTCTTTCTTAGTCGAATCATTAATGAAAAAAATTAAGCTTAATCTTTTTTTCTTTTCTCTTTCCCCCGCGGTTGTATTGACTATTGAGGGATTTGTGTGGAGAGAGTGGAGTGATGATGATTCTTCATGAGTAATCAGGAGGATTGATTATTGGTAATTATTAGGCGATTAGGGAGGACCATGCGAATGGAAAAAATGTCATGCGTGTAGATGGTAATGAATGCACGCGGCTGCCGCAATCCAGATGACCGAAATCATTATTTGGCTCTGCCCGCACCTGCATGCTCATTGGATTGAATGTTTCCTCATCTTTGTGACTAGAAATTAGAAAAATCGTATTATGAGCGGTTCGGTGTTTTGACTCGAGAAAATTTCGTTTGAAACTTGGTTTGTTTACTAACGAGTCGAGATCGATCAAAGTACTCTTTTCCAGCATGAAACGATCGTGCGATGAGCTAACTATTGAGTCGATAGCTTGTTGATAAGCTCAACTCGTGAGCTAGCTAGTTAGCTCACCTCGTTCTGAGCTATGAGTTGGCCTAATAGTGTCGCTAGGTAGCTATATATCCACCTCGACTAGTGACTTATAAAGGAAATTATTTACAAATTATGAAGGTACTAATTATCACATATTACATAACATGATATGCGTAGTTAAAACTTATGCACTAAACGATATAACAAATGAACTCCAGGTGATCTCGCAGTTTGATTCTAAGTCGATTTCGAATAAAGCTCGTGAGATTATTAATAAGTTGGGTTGTAATCGAACTCGAGTGAAACTCAGTTATTACATTTTCTTTTCAAATGGTGTATTATATATATGTTGTCATATGTTTTATATCCTTTATTTGTTTATTGATTGGGTGGAGAATTGGTTTTCCAATAAACAAAAAGAACGATATGAAAGGTGGTGAGTGGTGGTGATGATTGAATTCATGCAACGTGTCGGACGATCCCAGAGCTTCAACCACATTACATATGCACTCTCCATTTTCTACATTCAATTAGTTAATTATTACGTAATTTGTTATAATTTACTAGCTCCCTCTGTCGTCGCTAATTGCATTCATTAATTGATAGCTAGTTGGAAAATTTTTGTTCGTTGTTAAATCATCAAAATCTCTACTTAATTAGTTGTAATTATTGACACGGTCCTTCTGGCTTCGTCACAGCCCGCCTGGCCTACAGTCAAGCTTCTTTTCCATGGGCGAGCGTGACTGGCTGCGTGAAAACCTCAGGAGCAGCGAGACTTTGGGCTCGGGTATGAGCTGGGCAGCCTGTTTCAGTGTTGCGTGTTGGCTCCTTTGGAAGAATCGGTGCACTTTCTGCTTCAGAGGCCCAGGTTCTGCTCTCTCTCCGTCTTCCCTTGAGTTCTCGATCATGGCTAAATGCAAGTTGTGGCATGAAGCGTGGCAAGCCCCCTCACCCCTCCCCTGTGGTAGAGGGCCGACGACTGCCCGTACTACGGTTATGGTTGGGTGGACTCCTCCGATGCATGGGTGGGTGACTCTTAATGTGGACGGGGCCTCTAATGGCAACCCCGGAGCTGCTGGAGCAGGAGGGGTGCTACGCGACTGGGCAGGCAACTGGATAGCTGGTTTCATTGCGAACTTTGGGACGGCCACGGCTATTTTGGCTGAGTTGTGGGCGGTGTTTCACGGCTTAGAGATGGCTTGGAAGAAAGGATACAGGGCGGTGCGCTTGGAGTCGGACTCCCAGCTTGCGGTTCAGCTCATCAACAACAGGAGTGATCCGGTTCATCCTCATGCTACTCTTCTCTCAGCCATCCGTAGGAAGATTGGTCAAGAGTGGTTGGTTAACATCTCTCATGTATACCGGGAAGGGAATAGAGTCGCGGACTGGCTCTCGAAGCACAGTCTCGTCTATCCCTACGGGGTGCATGAGGTTGCTAACCCGCCCTCGGAGTTAGTGTCTATTGTTAGAGAGGATGCTAGGGGTGTCTCTTTCGAGCGTCGGATTGTGACGCCGGTTTCTACTAGCTTGTAAGGACCCCGGGGTCTCCCCCTTTTTTGGCTGTTGCCTCCCTTTACGCAAAAAAAAAAAAAAAACTGGAAACAAACATCTCATGAGAGTTTGACTCGTGTCATAATTTCGCCTCTCGATCAAACAAGATAGAACCCAATATTTCTCTCTTTCTCGCTCGAAAAACAATCAGCCGAGTTAAGTGACAGACACGTTGTGATAAAATTTAATGAAGGGACTTTTTCGGAAGATTCAACCACTCTTGAATCACCCTCTACGAAAAAACTAGCCATTCTCCAACTCGCATAAACAAAGCAAACTAGAAATCCACAAATATAACATCACAAAACAAAACCAAATCAAACGCACAACTCAGTTACGAGAAGTAATCAATCCATACAAAGCCAATTAAGGTTAAAAAAGAGTATATATATAAGGTAAAAATAAAATATAGTAGAAGTAAAAAAAAACAAACCGACCGAGATCTTATTAGGGATCACAATTCACAACCCAACCAATGGTCATTGATTTGTTAATTAAAGCGTTATATAATTAAAAACCAAAGAAGATAATTAGGTGCCATCTAGCTACCGGCAGACAAATTCTCCGACCAACAGATTCGGTTTGTAGCTTTGTAGTCGTCGTAGGGTTTACGTGGCAGATAACTCGCCTTTGAAACTAACCAAAGCTGATAATTAATTATGTTGATGTGACTTGAATCAATGTTATTTGGGTTCGGGTTCTGGGCCTGGTCTGTAATTGTTTCCTTTGCCAGATTGGATTAGTTTAAACCCACATGGAGAAGTACTATAAATACTTCTCGTACTCCTCTGTAATCTGTAATCTCCTCGATATAGTGAAACTGACTCTCTCTCGCCCGTGGACGTAGCTAACACACATCGTGTTAGTGAACCACGTAAATCGTGTGTCGTGTTTTCGATTCTCGCTTTCGTATTCTTGCTTTGTCGATTCCTGCGATTTCCCGATCCGTAGCAGCGCGTTTATAACAAATTAAATGAGTAGAATTTGCATAATTAACATGCTATCAGGTAATTAATTCAATTTAATTACGATATAATTACTCCAGATCTGGTGGTTTATTGCTGTCTTTGCACATTTATATATATAAATATACTTTAATATGAACACACTGCTAGCTGACTAGCTTCCATGCAACTGCCGATCTGTTAGTTTGACTGTTATTGATGTACAGAAGAAGGATAACGATAAAACAGTGCCAACTGCACTACCGCTGCTGCATATGTATATATTAAGAAGAAAATTACCTGGAAAGATAGTTCTGCAGGTTCAGGGTTTAGGGTTGGCTGAATATCTCGAAGATATTTTCTTGCTTTGCTAGCTAGCTAATGATATCTGGAAGATATTTCAAATTGCTAGTATATTTTAGCTATATATCAACCGGGGATATATATATATATATATATAGGTGATCCATATAGATACTGATTGTTTATTTATATATAATGTATTATCAATCTCTCATCGTTTTAAACAATTCACGTTTCCTTAAATTAAAAAAAAAAAACATAGTTATATATCCGAGCTTGATAATATCCAAATACAGACGGAATGGTGCTAAACCGTCACAATACGAGATCCGACACAAGTTTTTTTTATTATTGTTCGACATATCTCTGGAGAGACTTCAATATTGTACAATGTTTAATGTGTGTTTCTTATTGATCAATCAACCACAAAATCCCCACATTGACCATAATTCACCATTAGAGGGAGACGCTAAGATGATCAATGACAAGATTAATCGGGGTTCTACTGCGGATAACCAGATGTGGCTATTCTTGTAGAAATTGTGCATCTTTTCTCCTCACATTCTGGGTTTTCTATTCGATTTGTAGGTAGGGTAACTCATTTGGTGGCTATAAAAGCCCTTTCATTGTACGAACTATATGAGTCATTTCTTTGATTATCAGGCCTAACTGAACTTCAAGATGTAAGATGTACCTACTTATATTTCAATCAATATATGATTATATTTTGTTTAAAAAAGATGAAGGGATAATCTACTCCATCACTTTTGGTTGTCGCTTTAATTAAGGTCAGGGAAAAGTTATTTACTTGATTAAGGGAAAAAGGTATGCTTAATTACTTTGCAATTTACATTTTTTTATTATTATCTATGTCTAGCCATTTCTTCTGTCGACTGATCGCTGTCAATTGAGATTCACGGACGGCATGCCTCTCCCCTTCCAGACTACAACTGGTTCTCTAATAAAATGTTCGTTTAGTGGTTTTGCCTTGATTTTTTTTTTTTTTGACAATATGGTTTTGCCTTGAAGAAGTGCGATCTCTCTGCTGTCTTTGGATATATATTTTTCGTCTTAAGTTATAAATAAAAGTGCCAAACACACCTCACCACTTTGAGATTTCATTTTATTTTAAAATTTCAAGTTTAGGGATTGAGGGTTAGAGTTTATTGTTTTAAATTTAGGATTTAGAATTTTGGCTTAGGAAAACGCATGGATTAGTTGCAATCCTATGTTTTATCATCGAAACAGACTAAATGCTACTAACTAATTAAAGCTCGATATTCAATATTTTAAAGACTTTGTTTTTTAGGATTGAATCTTTAGTATGCGCTACTTTTATAAGTGTGCCGTAAAATCGCGATATAACCTACCTATATATATTTGAAACAAAATGTTACGATTTTGTTGAATTGAACAATTATTTATTTGTAAGAGCAAGATACATGTGACGAGATTGAGATTGAGAGATAGTGGATACTCAACAACTACACAAATTAAAAGCATGCATTTTGGAAAGGCACCGATCAAATTGACTTGGCCATATTTATTGTGAAAGCATGCAAGCGGCAATACATTCCCCTTCTCGTGAGACGTACAATGAAGGAGGAATAAAACAGTGTCCACATCACATTCACATGTACTATATACTTCCTTAAAATCACTTTTATATACGAACTTAGTCGACAAATCATAATCTCTAGATTATCACGTTGTTACGCTATAATAATATATATACGTATATCTGATTTGATCGATAATCATAGTGATCGAATTTTACTTTAACTGTAATTAAGCGTTTTGAGAGCACAAAAAATTGACTTTCTTAATCTGCATAAAATCAAATTCCCGATCTTACGACCATTGACGAGAGGCGAACAACCAACACGCTACCTAGGTTAGGATTTTGTGGACTTTGTTTAGTGTGGTTGAAGGAAGAGGCAAATTATTGGGCTTTCATTTGAAAAAAGCCTTATTTAAGTATTGGGCTTATCCTGTGAGAATTTGTTTTGTTTCAGTACTTTCAAATTGGGCTTGGGTCCTATTTTTAGCCCAGCCGCTCGCTGGCATGCAAAACGAGCTGCCGTTTTCATCAGTATTAGCCGGCGGCGGCGCGCAGTTGAGAGTTCTAAAACCTCAGGGGCGAAACCACCGCCTCGGTCTTCATCCACAGAGGCAAATCAGTGAATCATTCACCTTTTTAAATGCGAAAACTCCGGCACCGGTAACTCCCGCGATCATAAACTTCTCTCCGTCTGGACTTGAGCTCTTCTGTTATAGGTCGCAGTGAAGTGAGACATCAGTTGCGTTCAATTGGCGAGCAAGCATGGGAAGAGGGTTGAAGGGACTGGTGAAGAAGGGATTGGGGGAGATGGGTTTCACCGCCGGCGGCGGGGTGATCAATTGGTTCCCGGGACACATGGCTGCGGCAACTCGCGCCATACGCCAGCGCCTCAAGGTTTCCGACCTCGTGATTGAAGTCCGCGACTCTCGTGTATGTATGTCTACTACTTCTTCTCCCTCCTCTCTGTCCATCTCTGGTGACGTTTCTTGTATGTACGAAGCTTTGAGTTGCTTCGTTATTCCAGTGGCTGATTCTAGTTTTCTTGCGCTGTGGGATGGAAAAATAGATACCGTTGTCGTCTGCAAATGCTGATTTGCAGCCTCAGCTGCTGTCCAAACGTCGCGTGATTGCTCTCAACAAGAAGGACTTGGCGAATCCTAATATAATGCATGTAATGTGTTTCTCTCTTTATATTGTTATTATGGGTAGCTTCGTTAATTTGTTTTTTCACAGAAAGGTTAAATCTTTGTTCTTTGTTTGGTAGAAATGGGTAAGTTATTTCGACTCCTGCAAGCAGGACTGCATACTTGTCAATTCGCATAGCAAGAGCTCTGTCCAGAAGGTGAGTACTATTATCAGTTATTGCTGAACTTTCGATTCTTCATATTGTAGTTGAGGTCTGAACTCTGTGATTGGTAGTTGAAATGGTAGAATAGATGATGTGATACAGGAATGTTCGAGGGGCTAGTTATCGTGTTAAGAATGAAGTCGTTAAATAATGTCCAAACAGTGGCCTTATTTGTTTGGTGTAGAACCGCTAATTGGTGGCCGAGGCAGATTCATTTTTGTAAGTGTGATGTCACTGTAGCGGTTTTGAACAGTGTCCCATTCTTGCAGTTATGAATAGCTGATATGCAGTCACTTACTTTAACTTAAGAGCAGTATAGGACCGTTTGCTCGATGGATATCATCGAAGGATTCTAATGCTTACATTTATACAAAATATAGAAGCAGTTGTTGCGCGTCTGTTGCATTAGTCAATGCCCCAGGCTATCATCTTGTATCCTCCAACAGTCTTACTTGGTTGTTCCTTCTATGAAACTTGAAAGCTTTTCTTTTTTGATTGTGTTACTGAAACCAGATGTTTGTGAATGTGATTTCATGTGCAACAGCTTCTTGAACTAGTGGAGTTGAAGCTGAAGGAGGTGATGTCAAGGGAGCCTACTCTCCTTGTTATGGTAGTTGGTGTCCCTAATGTCGGGAAATCTGCTCTCATCAATTCTATTCACCAAATCGCGTTGTCTCGCTATCCTGGTAAGTAATATGTGGTGGCAATTCTTACAATTGTGAAAGTTCTATGCGATGATGTGAAAGCTCCTTACCTACAAAGACCTTTTCTGAATGTAGCACCCGACAAGCTAAAGCGAGCTACAGTTGGTCCTCTGCCTGGAGTCACACAAGATATTGCCGGTTACAAGGTTAGTTGCTGTTTTCTCTATCATTAAACGACAATAGCTGAAGGTTTTTTGTGAATTTGGTATGTCCTTGAATAAGTATTTGTTTCCTCATGCGTTCTTCTGTTCTATTCCGATTGGCAGATTGCTCATCAGCCTAGCATATATGTTCTAGACACACCAGGCGTGCTGGTCCCTAGCATTCCCGATATAGAAACAGGGCTAAAGCTAGCCCTTGCAGGTCGGAATTTTCTGAATATTTCTCTGGTGTCCTCTATAAGTTCTATTGATGATATGGAGTTGAAAATATTAACATGCTACGAATTGTTGTTGCAGGATCAGTAAAAGACTCCGTCGTTGGTGAAGAGCGAATTGCTCAGTACTTGTTGGCAGTTCTAAACCTCCGCGGCACTCCCCTCTCCTGGAAGCACTGGAACAACAGGAAAATGGACGGGATCCGATACAAGCCCGAGGACAAACAAAGCTACAACCTTAAAGAGCTTCGACAAAAGAGAAGGAAGCAGCCCGACTTCTCCGATCTCATCTATGTCGAGGTAAACCAACATTCTTTCTTCCCACTCAAACAAATTCATAACTACTCGTCTATGCATCACTTTGTAACATCGGGATCGAACGTGTAAACTTAGGATATGGTGACCGAAGTCCAATGTGCTCTTTATCGAACTCTGACGGAATTCGATGGCAACGTGGAGGAAGAAAGCGACCTGGAGCATCTCATAGAAGAACAGTTTGGCGCGCTGCAGAAGGCCATGAAGATCCCTCACAAAGCAGGAGAAGCTCGGCTGATGGTGTCGAAGAAGCTCCTAACTCTGTTCAGAACGGGTAAATTAGGGCCTTTCATCCTCGACGATGTCCCTCAATAACTTAAACCAGTACTGAATCATGAACTCATAGCATGTGTTTGTAATCTGCATCCTTCTTCTTGATACCCATAATTGTAACTACTGCTATCCGAATGTGTTTCATGTGGCCTTTTTGCTTGCCTCTTGTTTTCCTAATCTTTTTTTAGCCTACGCTGTCTATTTTTAACCTTCCCTCAATCTCCATTAACGGATAACTATTTTTAGGCACATGATTTCCCTGTTTAGACCTATAAAATCCAAACCATCTTCATCCTAATGAGCAATTCGATTCAACTCAGATCAAGCAATTCAAGATATTAACATTTCCCCCACTGCCTTCTTCATCAACATCATCATTTAACCATGTCAGGGTACAATAAGAAGGCCGTGGCTGTCCTCTTCTGCATGGCATTGATACTCATGCAGACCAGCTTCGCCGTGGCCGACGACTCCGCCGCCAGCTCTGCTGCTGCTGCTCCGTCGCCCGACGAGGCGTCGGCGAAGAAAGCAGCCGATTCGGATAAATTCTCTTTCGATCGCACGTCCATGTGCTGCAACAAACTGATCACGCTCTGCTGCGACAAGACTGCCAACCAGATGACTGATAGCTCCGCTCCAGCTCCCTCCATTGTCTAGCGATCATCGTCGTCGCCGCCATCTGCATCGATGCATCGCCTATGTGCATTCATATGCATTCGATCATATACATAAATTTTTATGGATATGAATCCAAAGATTGTTGTGATTCCTTAACTTTGTAGTGTGTAGGCATACAAATTTATATATATGTATAGAGAGACAGAGAGATGAAATCCCTGTAGTTAAGTTCTGTTTTGTTCAACTTCTCAATATGATAACCTAATAAATAAAATTTAAAACTTTCTAAAATCTGACGTTTGTGAACTCTGTTGCTTCTATTTTTGTTATGAACAACTCTTTATGATTGAGAATTGAAATGGGCAATGAAGAAAATGATTGAAGTTCAAAAGTGGGTAATTAATAAAAAAAATTTATGTACTCACACGTGGATTTTCTTTTCCCGGGGAAAAAAAATATTTTCAGCGTACTATATGAAGAAAAGACGCAACATTTTTACTGAACTGCCAAAACGCAAGGAGAAAGACCGGAAGCAAGAGCTTCTGGGGAAAGAAGAGGAGACCGACGAACGATTGAGGACGGTTGTTCCGTCCGCCGGACGCCGGTCATAGCTTGCAAACCTCCGTTCGGTTCGTGGCCACCGCTTGTAATTTAGGGTACCCGCTTTTTCCCCACTTTTCAATTTCCACCTTCTGTGTTTGTTTGCGAAGTCTGCTTTCCCCCTAATTTAATTTAAGAAGTAATTCCTAACTTTCGCGTTGCTTTTTCTGCAGCTTCTTAACGTATCGTCATGTCTTGGTGCACCATTGAATCGGACCCCGGTACGCTATTCTCGGCTCCCCCGCTGTTTTCTTTTCGTCCAGTTTGCTTGTTTTTTCATTGGGTTTGTGTATATATTCTTTTGGGTTCAATTTATTTTCCCCTCCCCCTCAGAATCCCGTTTCCAGCTTCTGGGATTTGCGGAAATGTTGTTTCTGCCTATCAAAACTCCACATTGGAAACTGACCCATTCAACAGGGTGTGCTTAGTATGTTGAGTAGGCCGTTGTGAAGAACGATAGTGATATGGTAGCTCTTACTTTGGACTGGTGCAATCTCTTATCTGGTCTTTCATTGATTTCAGGTGTCTTCACGGAGCTCATACAACAAATGCAAGTGAAAGGAGTGCAGGTAACTATTGGGTAACTACCCGATATCGATTTCGGATTGCCTCCGTATGGATTGTGTTCTCCTACTGGTGATATGCTACCATACAGCTAATTACGTAATAGGCTGTGCAGCTTGGTTAGCCTTTGTCACGTGGGTTCAAGTGTTGAGTGTTTATGGTTACCATTGTGTTATAATTTATCCACATTATAAGCTCAAAGGGTTACCAGTCCTAGGGATAATGAACTTTATTGTCACTAAATCGGCCCATCTTTTGCTTTCACCAGTTTTATCTTAGGAATCTGAGGTTTATGCCGCCAATACCATTGTTCTGCATTTCAAATAATCATGTAGTGGATGAAGAGTTTAGGTACTCTTGTGCTGATAGTACTGCTGCTACTTCATGCATACTCTGGAGATCAATGCATATGGTAGTAGCGCTGTAGGAGAAATGCCAGTCTTTTGTGATGCCTACTAAAGATATAACGAGAAACAAGATAGTGGAATCGAGGTGGCAAGTTACAAACCTTCTTTAGAATGACTTGAGTTGATCTGTGTGAACCAAAAGATTCAAGCTTTTTTGTTCAATTGTATATAGCGCGGAAATCATTATGAAGTAGCAGTATTTGTGAAAAAAGCACATCATGCTAGGAAGTGATATCTGTTTATGGTCATACCACTTGGATTATTGAGCAACTTAGTAAGATGCTGAGAAGAATTGGATAGGCATGGCCATCATATGCATTTTGGTTGGGAGTTGTACAAGAGTATGTAATTCCAGGAATCATTGTCTGTATAAAAGTAGTGAAATGTGAATGCTAACTGAGTCGGGGGCGATTTACTTGTACTTGCTGGAAGTGAATGCCGACCACATCCCTTTACCAATCACTCCCTTAGTTACAGATCGTCTCAGTGTTTACACTACTGTAACTCAAATGTACTTTGCTCATTACTTGTATAGTTGATTGTATCTTCGGTTTTTAGTGGTTGTCTAGGGCTTCATAGTTGGTGGTTCCATTTAGAACCAAATTTGGAAATCATTCATTGATCTAGGGATCTTCGTACTCTAGAGTTCTTGGACCTTGGTACTATTGTATAATACTAAACCTGTATTTGCTTTTGTATCTGTATGTCAACATTATTATCTTTGTTTCATCAGGTTGAGGAGTTGTATTCATTGGACCTTGATTCTCTTGACAGTCTTAGGTTTGTTTTCTTTTTATTTATTTCAACTGTTTGGTATTCAATATAAGGAACTATTGGTTTATCCTTTAATCGTAAATGTGCGCTAGCTTGTGTTTCTCGTATTCATGATACTCCTTTATGTTTATCGTCTTCCATTCACAGACCAGTATATGGCTTGATTTTCCTCTTCAAGTGGCGCCCTGGAGAGAAAGATGATCGTCCTGTAATCAAGGATCCAAATCCTAACCTCTTTTTTGCAAGCCAGGTAAATTCCATAGAAATTCATCTTGATTATGGATTATCAATCATGTTCCATCTTTCAGTGACCTATTGTTTATCTCTTCGTCTTTTTTTCTTTTCGTTGTAGGTAATCAACAATGCTTGCGCAACCCAGGCAATCCTGTCCATCCTAATGAACTCTCCTAACATAGATATTGGTTCTGAATTATCAAAACTGAAAGAATTCACCAAGAACTTCCCACCAGAGCTCAAAGGCTTAGCCATCAACAACAGCGAAGCTATACGTGCTGCTCACAACAGTTTTGCAAGACCCGAGCCTTTCATCTCCGATGAACAGAAAGCTGCTGGAAAAGATGATGATGTATACCACTTCATAAGTTACTTACCCGTCGATGGTGTGCTTTACGAGCTTGATGGATTGAAAGGGGGCCCCATCAGTCTCGGCCAGTGCTCCAATGACCTTGATTGGCTCAAAATGGTTGGGCCGGTGATCCAGGAGCGCATCGAGAGGTATGCCTAAGGGTCACTATCTGATTTCATAGTCCTTAAACAAGTCTCAAGTTTATATGAGTTGTTTTTGGCTTTATTTAAACCATTAAGAACAGGAAGCAAACTTTCCGCATTTCTCACTTCTGACGAGATGAGTTGCCTACTATAGTATGTCTGTCTGTTTTAATTTTTATGGCTGGAATTGGACTGGCTATTTTTAACACTGAACTTATCAACGCCTTTAACAACCACCTAGGTATGCTAAAAGCGAGATAAGGTTCAACCTCCTGGCGGTGATCAAGAACAGGAAAGAGATGTACACTGCCGAGCTGAAGGAGCTCCAGAGGCAGCGGGAAAGGATCCTGGCAGCTTCTCAGGCCGAAGGTGGCGACTCTGGGAGCTACGAATCGATGACCAAGTCACTGTCCGAGGTGAACAGCGGGATCGAGACCACAACTGCAAAGATACTGATGGAGGAGGAGAAGTTCAAGAAGTGGAGAACGGAGAACGTGAGGAGGAAGCACAACTACATCCCGTTCTTGTTCAACTTCCTCAAGATCCTCGCCGAGAAGAAGCAGCTGAAGCCTCTCGTCGAGAAAGCGAAGCAGAAAGCTGGCAATGCCAAGTGAAAAAAACAAAGGCAGGCGAAGGCAAACTTCGTTCGATCGACTTAGAAGGTAGTAAAACTTTTCGAGCCTAGCCCTATGTAGTAGTTCCAATCTGTACCTTGTTTTTATGTCCTTTGGAAACTCCTTCTGTTTAAGGTTTCTATGCCTTTTTTGGATGCTCTAGAGTGCATAACTTAAGCCATACTTAGTGAGTTCAGATGAGGCAGTGGAGATATCGCTCCTGATCTTGTAACTGACTGGGATTGTTGATTTGTTGTAAGATTGTCACGGTACCCACTTATCATTTTGCGAAGGATCCTTCAATTTGTAACTGTTCTTATTGAAATACACCGTTTCAATCGCGACATTGTGTTTCGTACGAGCAAATATGTAAATGGGTAGGTGATACACACTCTGTATCATTCGAATATTTGGTCGAGAGCGAACATCATTAAACTAGTCGGAGTTGATTTTCCTATGAAAAAAAAAATCGTACATTTTCAGTAAACTCAAACTTCAATAAAAAAAACGAATTTACGAAATGGAAGCATCATCAAAAGTGTATGGACATCAAGACAGTTAGACAGTCACATCTATCAAAGTAGTAATGGGAGCTAACACCCATAACTTCCAGTGTCTGTAGGTATGTATTTACTATTTAGTTAGGTGTGTATAATTGTATGTTACACATTTTTTGGCCAGTAGTGTTACAGGAACACAAATGACTCTGTGGCCCTTGGGCAATAACAGTTCTACAAGCCCAAATTATATTGCACAACAACCATAATCAATGAGTTTGGGCCCAGATTTGGGAGCGGGTGCCATTTTGCTCAACTACGTGCATGTATATATACCGTATAAATTTTGTGTATGAGAAATGTGTATTATTTTTAGAGGTGTAGGGTTGGTTTGGAAGTTGCGATTGTTTTGTTGAGATTGTCATTATGCATTGTATTGTCTACAATGCATCGTTTTTTTTGTTTTTTTAGCAGAAACAATACATGGATTGTTTTTGTGATGTGACAGAAACTACCACTCATTTTGAGTGATTGTTATATCTCAACTTTTAGTTGTGATTGTTGAGATAGTTGAGTTGAGATTGTTTTGTCTCAGCTTTTAGCTGATGCGACATACACAATCACACATACCAAACGTTGTATTCTACAATGCATCAAATTCGACAATACATGTATAATATTATACATGCATTCTCAACAATACATCTATTTAACAATCGCAACTTCCAAACGACCCCTTAATTCTCGTAACTTAGTATGTAATCACCTACGATTTGGTGTTTATTCACGTAGTAATAATGATGATTATTCATGCAAATGGTAATGGTTATTCACACAATAAATAGTATTTATGCACAAAGTCGATTTTAAGATATATCAAAATGGCTGACATTGTGTAAGTTACGATCAATGGAAATTATGGTATATACAAATTATTAGGGGTTGAAAAAAGAGAACGATTGATTCTCTTTTCATCCGATATCATTGTCTCTAAAGCAAGAATTAACAAAAACATACATAAAAATTCGGTAATAAAATATTTTTAGTGATGAAATCGTTATTATTTATCCGTTAATATACCGCTTTGTAATGTTAAAACCGCACTATCAATTTAGACTCCAATCTGGACCATACCATTTTGCAATCATTGCAACTCTCATTTATATATATAACCCACATCATATATGGTTGGATCGATAGCTCTATCTATCTAGCTAGCTTTCCAGTATGGATTCGGAAACAGACAAAACAGTAGTAGAAGGAAGTTGCCTCATTTGGCAAGATCTGACGGTAACCCTCGCCAGCAATAACTTCGGCAGCCGTAGTAATGCCGGCTCGTCGCCGTCGACGAACAAGTGCTTGGTGAACGGTCTCACTGGTGTGGCTCAATCTCACCGGATTATGGCCGTCATGGGGCCTTCCGGCTCCGGCAAGTCCACCTTCCTCGACGCCTTGGCCGGTAAGTTACACAAACGTCATATCTGCACGAGTGAGAAGCTTATCCTGTTTAACACTTCTAGGTGTAAAATTGCGCTTTTGGGTAATAATACACTCAAAATCGCGTTTAAAATTCAAAAAAAGTTTATACTTTTACGTTTTAGATCACCAGAACGCTTCTCTTGACTGCATTGGTTAGTTATAGTGATGACCAATGTAGTCAAAATCGCGCTTTAAAACTCAAAAGTTTACATTTTTTCACTTCTAACTTCTAAGTCACCAAAACAATTCTACATAGAATCACGCTAATATACACTTTAAAGATTAGAAGCTCATATTTTTCGTTGCTAAATCACCAAAACGCTTTTACGTAATTGCAGGGAGACTGTCGACGAAAGTTGCCATGGCGGGGAAGGTCGAGCTGATTAGGAAGAACAAGAACAAGATCCGAAGCTCCCCAATCACACCCAGAGACGTGTCCTACGTAACCCAAGAAGACGTTTTCTTGGGAACCCTGACGGTGAAGGAAACGCTCTACTTCGGCGCTCGCCTGAGGCTGTCGGCGGAGCTGACGAAGGCCGAGCTCGACGACGTGGTGGAGGAGACGATGGACAAGATGGGTCTCGAGGAATGTGGGGACACCACGGTCGGGAACTGGCACCTGAGAGGGATAAGCGGCGGGGAGAGGCGGCGGCTGAGCATCGCCGTCGAGATACTTGCCCAGCCGGAGGTGCTCTGCTTGGACGAGGCAACGACGGGGCTGGACAGCACGGCGTCGTTTTTCGTGGTCCAGGCGCTGCGCAACGTTGCGAGGAGCGGCAAGATCGTTGTTTGTTCGATCCACCAGCCGACCAACGACGTTTTCCGGCTGTTTGATGATCTGCTGCTCATCTCTGCTGGGGAGGCTGTTTACTTTGGTGAATGCCAGGGTGCTGTCAAGGTAACATTTTTTGGCAAATCTTTTTCGAGATAATGGAGAAAATAGTAACTGATTGGATTTTCCATTAAATTCAGTTCTTTGCAGATTCTGGGTTCCCCTGCCCGACTAGAAGAAACCCGCCGGACCATTTCCTCCGGTGCATTACTCCGGAGTTCGATCAAGTCTTGGCAGCTCTGAAGCAGACGCAGCGAATTAACGATGCCGTGAGTTACAAGTCACATACTGTACTGGTTTCGCTTATGTCTTAACTCAGACCGTGGCAGCAGCAACTAACATGGTTGAAATGATGAAACAGGACCTCTCAGCAGCAGATGGCTTGCTGAACGGGACAACAGCAGAGACCAGAGCAACCCTAGTGAACAAGTATAAATCGTCCACTTTTGCAGACACTGCGACGAAAAGGATTCAAGAACTCGCATTACTACTCATCGCTGTATGCTTGCTCGATTTCGATCATAAAACCCTGTTAATTACCAGCTGCAAAAAACTTTTCAACTAGCTGACCACATTTCCTACTCAACACATCAGGAAACGCATTATAATGATGATGATGATAGCCAGAGTAGCAGTCAAGTTGTGCATGTAAAGAAGAGGAAGCAGCGCCATCAATGGTGGAGCCAATTCTGCACACTGACACACCGCTCCATCTTGCACATGTGCAGGGACCTCGGCTACTACTGGCTCCGGATCTTCTTCTACATCATGGTGGCCCTCAGCACGGGGACGTTGGAGTTCGACATTGGGACCTCCAGCGCTGCTGTCCTGGACCGGGGCAAGGTAGACGGGTTCCTCTACGGCCTCATGATTTGCTTGTCCATCGGTGGCTTGCCTTTCTTCTTGGATGAGATCAAGGTACAGGTTGCTCCATTTGACCATTTCAAGTCCAAAATGGTTCAAACTTCAAACTAAAACTCACTTGTTCTATCCAACTGTGCAGGCCTTCCGTGGGGAGAGGGAGGGAGGGTACTACGGGGAGGCTGTATATGTGCTGTCTAACTATCTCTCCTCATTACCTTTCACCATTTTCATATCGATCTCGTCCGGATCCATACTATACAGCATGGTGAAGTTCCACCCGGGCTTCTCCCACTTGCTCTACTTCTGCATCAACCTCTTCTTCTGCATCTCGGTTTCAGAAGCCTGCGTCTTTTTCACCGCTTCTCTCATATCCAATCCATTGCCAGCCATGGGTGCTGCAATTGGAGTCACCGTAAGCCACTGCACATCATGTCATCATCCATGTCATATATACTACTCGCCAATGTCTTCATATGTAACAGAACAAAGCAATTGGTAACAGAATGAAACCTCCGTTGTTACTCGCAGGTGCTCAATCTAATGCCATCAGTCGTCTTCCGGCCAATACCAGACCTTCCCAAGATCTTCTGGAGGTACCCTTTGTCCTACATCAGCTATGCTGCTTGGGGAACACAGGGCAATCTGAAGAACGACATGATGGGACTGGAATTCGATTCTGCAATACCTGGAAGGCCAAAGATAACTGGCGAATTCATTCTGGAGAACAATTATGGTGTGAACCTAGGATACTCCAAGTGGCGGGATGTTGCAGCTCTCTTCTGCTTGCTGCTAGCTTACAGGGTGCTCCTAGTCTTCACCCTTCACTACAAGCAGAGAATATCATCACCATTCCGCAGAGTGCAACCCAAGAGAGATCTCAAACCCACCACCATTCAGCAAGCTTAACTGAAGAATCAAACATTCGGACAGCAACCCTGAAAGTGGAACGGCGATATACAACTGCAGTCTGCACAGTATATGCTAATAAGTTGTTTCAAGTGAAATTCACTGATTCAATAGTTGCGATCTTTACCGTGTAATGAAAATCTTTATGAAGCTGTGAAATTAAATTCACTGATTCAATAGTTGAGATAATCTTGTAGCATTCCTCCGGCCCACAGATACGCACTAGACCTGGAGACTAGCGAAGTCAGCCGTGATGGCTAGTTATTTCAGGCCAGGCTGACGGCTGTTGGCTGTTTGTAATAGAAAGAAGACAAATATTTATGAGGGATGGCAGCAAGCGAGCTTGCTACCTAGCTAGCTGGGGATGTTTATCCGCAGAGCAACTTGCAAATGTTTGGAGGGCTGCATTCGTTTAATCTATTGTCGTGTTCATGTATTTTTGTTCTTAGTCGACGACGACTACTACTACTACGACTATGACTATTTGGTCTTTGACGCCTCACTATACGACATATGTGTGTATCAGTGTAGGCATCGATTGTAAATACGCTCCTCTCCCTGTCTCTGTGTCTATGTGGCTTTCAGGTCATCATATATAAGCATGCAGAGCGTTTACAGAGATCACGAAGACGAAATGTCAGAAAATATGGAGACAATTGGTAGCAGCAGCTACCTGGTTTGGGAGGATCTTACAGTAACCCTCACAACTGGCAGTAGCAATACAGGGAAGAAGAAGAAGTGGTTGGTGAATGGACTTTCTGGGTTTGCAGAGTCTGGTCGGATCATGGCGGTTATGGGCCCGTCTGGCTCTGGCAAATCCACCTTCCTCGATGCTTTAGCTGGTAGCTTTTGTTTTCTGTAACACGAATTTGTACATGTTAGTTGTCTAGCTTATGTGAGAAACAATAATGTCGTACCTCGTCATTTTCTGTGGTGAATCAGGAAGACTGTCACCTCAAGCTGCCATGGCGGGGAAGATCCTGCTGCTGAGGGGCAGTGAGCAGATGACCCGAAGCAGCTCCCTCATCAGCTGCCGAGATGTGGTATAACTATATAAGAGATGTATACATAAATAGTTGTTTCATTTCCGCTTGCAAGTTTTCTATATGAGGTGTTGTTTCATTCTGTTGTTCTGCAGTCTTGCGTGACGCAAGAAGACGTATTCTTGGGAACGCTGACGGTGAAGGAGACACTCTACTTCGGGGCTCGTCTTAGGCTGCCGGAACTCGCCAAGACGGAGCTCCACGAACTGGCCAACGAAACAATGGCGAAGATGGGGCTGGAAGAATGCGCAGACAGCACCATCGGGAACTGGCACCTGAGAGGGATAAGCAGCGGGGAGAGGCGGAGGCTGAGCATCGCCGTCGCGATATTGGCTCAGCCACAGGTGCTTTGCTTGGACGAGGCCACCACGGGACTAGACAGCGCTGCCTCTTCCTTCGTCGTCCAGGCGCTGCGCAATGTTGCTCGAGACGGCAAGATCGTGGTTTGCTCCGTCCACCAGCCCACCAACGACGTGTTTCGACTCTTTGACGATCTCCTGCTCATCTCTGCTGGGGAGGTGGTCTATTTTGGTGAATCCCATGGCGCTGTCAAGGTAACATGATCAGCACAATGTGTTTGTTTGTTTGTGACAATATATAAGGACTAACTAGTAAGTGACTGGGTTTTTCATGATATATCCAGTTCTTTGCTGATTCCGGGTTCCCCTGCCCGATTAGAAGAAACCCGCCTGACCATTTCCTTCGGTGCATTGCACCGGAGTTCGATCAAGTCTTAGCCGCTCTGAAGCAGACACAACGACTGAACTTTGCCGTGAGTTAGAAATAAATAAATAAATAAATAAAACAATGCACTTGTTGTTCATAGATCTATTAATGAAGGAAGGAATTGAAATGAAACAGGAGCACTCAGCAGCAGATTGCTTGCTGAACGGGACAACAGCAGAGACCAGAGCAACACTAGTGAACAAGTACAAATCGTCCATTTTCGCAGACACTGCAAGGAAAAGGATTCAAGAACTTGAATTACTACTGACTGTATGCTACTTGCGATAGTCCTGCCATCAGTATCATCATTTTTTTTCCAGCTTGCTGATTAGATTCCCCACATTTTCCTTCTTAACACATCAGGAGAAACATGATGATAACAGCAGCCAGAGTAGCAGTGAAGTTGTACCTGTAAAGAAGAGAGAGATTGGGAAGAAGCAGTGCCATCAATGGTGGAACCAATTCTGCACACTAACACACCGCTCCAGCTTGCACATGTGTAGAGACCTCGGCTACTACTGGCTCCGAATCGTCTTCTTCATCATGGTGGCACTCAGCACGGGAACCTTGGAGTTCGACATTGGGACTTCAAGCGCTGCAGTCATAGCCAGAAGCAAGGTAGACGGGTTCCTATATGGCATTATGATCAGCTTGTCCATCGGCGGCTTACCTTTCTTCCTCGATGAAATCAAGGTATAGAGACATGAGAGAAATAGAATAAGAAGAGACTTGGTCAAGTGCAAATGTTCAACCAAAACTCACTTTTCTCGGCTCGATTTTCCACTGTCAAAAACTCTGCAGGCCTTGCACGGAGAGAGGCATGGAGGGCACTATGGCGAGGCTGTATATGTGCTGTCCAACTTCCTCTCCTCGTTACCTTTCACCATATTCATATCCTTCTCATCAGGATCCATACTATACAGCATGGTGAAGTTCCATCCGGGTTTCTCGCACTTGCTCTACTTCTGCATCAACCTTTTCTTCAGCATCTCCGTCTCAGAAGCCTGTGTCTTTGTCACTGCGTCTCTCATATCCAATCCATTGCCCGCCATGGGTGCAGCTATTGGTGTCACCGTAAGCTTAACAAATCACACATATACTAGTCATCTGTATCATCCACGGAACCAGCCAAGCCATGGTAACAGACCAGAACTGCATTGTTTATTTGCAGGTGCTCAACCTAATGGCCTCTATGGTCATTCGACCACTACCCGACACTCCTAAGATCTTCTGGAGGTACCCTTTGTCCTACATCAGTTATGCAGCTTGGGGAACGCAGGGCAATCTGAAGAATGACATGATGCGACTAGAATTCGATTCTGAAATACCTGGACGGCCAAAGATAACGGGCGAATCCATTCTGAAGAACACTTATGGCATGAACCTAACATACTCCAAGTGGTTGGATGTATCAGCTCTCTTCTGCTTGCTACTAGCTTACAGGGTACTCCTAGTCTTTACCCTTCACTACAAGCAGAGAATATCGACTCCATTACAGAGAATTTACCCCAGGAGAGGTCTCAAACCCACCAAGATTCCGCAAGCTTAACTGAAGAATGAACATTGGAACCCTTGTGCTAAGTTGTATGAACTGAAATGACTGTCAAAATTATGAACTTTACTGTGTGATGCGAAACTTACATGCTGTGAAATGAAAAACCCGGAAGCGGGCCTCGTTTTTCTGTCGGCATTAGTACTTAGCAGTGAGATGAGAAGGCGAAATGAATTGCCGAGCTCGTAAACCGAAACTTGAAGCAATCCACATTGTTTCCACTTTCAATGAGCTTAACACCGTTGTCAGCTTTCGATTTCAAAGATCTAACGCTTGGTGGTTTATCAGCCATGAATGACGATTAAGCCTAATTCTGCAATTTGGCTTCCCGCGCGATAGTCGATACCGCTGATGGTGTCTTCATCTCCGATCACCGCAACGCTTCTTCGTTCGGCGCCATCGTGAAAACAGAGAAAGTAAGCACAAAGGAGAGGGCCTGGCCGGGCCCAATGCGCAAAACTTGAAAGGGCCGAAAGACTGGGCCGGGGTTCACTTTAAGTTCGTGGACCGAATGGACATGTCCTGGAGCGTTGCAAATATTACAGTTTCATACCTCTTTCAATCTTTTGTGTATAAACTTGCAATCGGATTCACAAAAACCATGGTCCATGAAACCGTACCGGGTATCGTACCGGAAAAGTCAACGGTATGATATTTTATGATAAAATCATGGTTTTACCGTAGTTGAACCGTTAGACCGTTAAATACCGCCTACCGATTTAGCCTCCGATACTGATATTTCGTGGTTGAACCGTCGGTACGGTACGGTTTCATGGACCATGCCAAAAACTCGGAGACGATGTTTGGTAGGAGTGCCGACTACCGACAAAACTTAAATGGTGAAAAATATTTCTAATTTTAAAACATCGTTAGAATCGTGCAAAATATACTTAATTTCCTCGATCGATACAATATGTAGATCACACATGATGTGTTATTCTCGGAGAGGTAGTCGAGATGGCAACGAGGATGAATGGCAAATGGTAAAGGACATAAAAGATTGAACAACAACAGATGATATGACACATAGTAGATGAATATGTCGATATGATCTGAATCGGATAGCTGACCAGAATTGAAAGTTATGTGGTTGATTTGTAACTCTATTGTTTTACGAGACAGGTTTAGGGTTAGACCACATGGAGAAAGTACTATACATACTCCCTACACTCTTCTGTAAGCTGTATCTCGTTGAAATATAATGAAATTGGTTCCCTCATGCCCGTGAACTAGTTAATTAACAGACATTGTGTTATTGAACCACGTAAATCAGCGTGTCTTGTTTGTTTGTTTGTTGCTTTCGTTATTAAAATGGGCATCGGACGGATCTTATTTACCGAACCCACCCAAATCCACTCAACAAACTCCAACCCACCGTAACGTGTGGGTTAGTGTAGTGGGTACGGTGCGTGGCATGTTTCCGTACCAACCCACCAAAATACACGGGTGGGTGATCTAGTATGGGGATAATATTGTTGTAACATATTCATATAACCTAACCTCAAGTCATACTAGTACTATTCAGAAACCAAAGGTATCGATTCATCGAAATTATCAGCTGACAGCAAACCGTTTTAGTTGGAACGTCATAATAATTAACAGAAGATATTGAAAATCGTCGTCGAGATTCTAAGCAACCAGGAGTTGGGGCCGGCAGGCAATGAAGCTGAGGGGCTTCGGTTATTATTATTTTGGTCCCCATAGTCATGAATATTCAACTAACTGGCTATAGTTCCACTACAATAACGGTGCCTGATTAGTGACAATGCATTAAGCTTGTCAACTCGCGGGTCGACCTAGTTTGATCCTGACCCGGTGAGGCCGCATGTATCCGTCGGGTCGACCGCTATAAGGTATCGAGTTGGAGGTCAAATTGTGTCATTCTTCATTTTAGTTAGGGGTGGGCACGTGGGTGCTTAATCCGCAGATTGATATTGATCCACCCGCAAGTAACCCGACCCGCATGCAATGGGTGATTGATGTGGGTGGATTGCGGATTGTTAAATCTCCCACCCGCACTTATGTGGGTGGGTGGTGGGTGGATTGCGGGTCACCCGTATGACTCGCATCCTATTTTTACATGGAAAAATGTTATTTCTTATAGTATCGAATATTCATCATATTTTTGAATTGCACTATAGTCTGACCATATACTGCAAAAGGTGAAGAATAAAGAATAGTTTTGACTACTATTATTAGTTATTGTGTTGTGCAATATCCATTGGAAGTAGATATTGGTATGCAAATTATTGTTAATATCCATTAAATATTGGGATACAAACTATAAATTATTAATTGTATCAAAATCACAAATTATTGATACAATCTTGCTAATTTGCTATGAACTTATTATAAATGTTAGTCAATTTTTTTTTAATGGCTAGTTGGAGAATTGTTTTTGCGGGTTAACCCGCGACCCAACCGCATCCATCCGCCACCCACCCAACCCAACCCGCATAAGTATGTGGGTGGATTGTGGGTCACATATATTCCAACCCGCTAGTAAGCGGTTGGGTCAATTTTAGACCAAAATCCACCCAACCCGCCCATTGCCCACCCCTAATTTTGGTTATTGAAATGCGCCCATTTTTCCTGTTTTTTTCTTTTCGCCTAACTCAAACTTTGGAATCCTTAGTTGAACATTTGAATATTGAGGTTATATAAGTGTGTGTGAACTTTCACACGATATGTTGGATCTACATACGACATGTTACTTTGGTGTAATGTTATATGTTATTACTTATAATGTTAAATAAGATTTTATATAATTTATCAGGATAGGTACAATATAACGAATCTTTCCATATTTTAAGGCTAAAACGGGTGACCCCATTAACTCTTGACCCACTAGCTCAATCGGGCCCGGTTCAACCCGCGGGTTGATAACCTTGCTATGCATTGATTACAATACAGTACTGGCATCTCTGTCTCTCTCTTTCTCTGTGGCTTTTCATTTGATGATATTTATATAGCTGGAGATCGATCCTCACGAAGACAGAAGTAATTGAAGTGGGAATTAATGGAGATGGAGGGAAGTAGCAGGCGCAGTAGCTACCTTGTTTGGGAGGATGTTACAGTTACAGTCACCAATGGCGCCGAAACAGGGAAGAAGCAGAAGCAGAAGCAGAAGAAGTGGTTGGTGAATGGGCTTAGTGGGTTTGCAGAGTCTGGGCGGATCATGGCCGTTATGGGCCCGTCTGGCTCTGGCAAATCCACCTTCCTCGACGCTTTGGCTGGTACGTACGTAGCCCACTTTCTGTTTTTTTTTTTTTTTCATGCTAGAATTTTTACGTTTTTCTGTGGGGGGTGAACAGGAAGACTGTCACCGGAAGCTTCCATGGCGGGGAAGATCCTTCTCAGGGACGGCGACAAGATGACCGGAAGATCAAGCTCCCTCGTCACCTGCCGAGATGTGGTATATAATACATAGTAACTGCTTTATACAATATATGTGTTTTACGAGGAGTGGATCAGGTGAGTAAACTTACGGTGAGTAATCTTGACTAACCCGTCCACGTTAACATGACATCAACCCCCTCTCTCATGGAAAGTATTTTATCTTTTCCCTTTTGATTTTTAACGGACGATTCATAATCTAAATTTTGTACAGATAAATCAGAGTAATTGTGCTCTTTAAAATGATATCCCTTTTGATATATTTTTAGAACAAAAAAAATTGAGTCATTTTTTTACCAGTCAATACTATATGATATGCTCCTATTTAATACCATATGGTAAGACAGCATACCATGATGGTATGAACATACCAAGACTGTAAAAAAGTTGAATACATGATGGTAGGAATATACTAACTATCATTTACGACCTTCGTCATTGTTTACCACAAGTTACCACCCACGTACCAGAGTGGTAAAGATCATGAATTTATGCATTGTTGAATATAATGAGAGGAATTAAGACCGAAGATTTACATGACAGAATATATACATGCATATATGTAATTCATCGAGTTCGAATTTCGTAAAATATACCACGCCTTTTACTAAGTAAAATACATTTTCAAATACTAAAAGAGTAATTGTGTTTATTTTGCATGATAGAATCTCGAAATTTATTCAGGTATGATTTCAAAAAGCTAACAAAAAGAGTAATACATAAAGGAGTTATTATTGATGCAAATTATGATAGAACGGACAGGTTATAGGACGGAAGCAATACACATGCCTGTCTCGCGTCACGCTGATGCGGGTTAGGTGATATCTACCCAAAACAAATCGAGGCAGGTCCAGTGGCGGATTTAGGAGGGCCGCCCCCTGGCCACGGCCCAGCCCTTCCCGAATTCAAAACTCGTATAGTACTTGTAAATTTTCGATTTTGGGTATATATTTCAGTATTTATTGGGTTGCAACTCATTCCTCTTTATCGTTTTTTAAATGCGGCCCAATCCTCTAATCCGCCGCTGGGTAGTTCGAATCATATACACAGGTTATGTCCGAAATTGCCAATCACCAGTTTCGCGGTTTCCTTTTTGCAGTCTTACGTTACACAAGATGACGCTTTCCTGGGGACCCTGACGGTGAAGGAAACGCTCCGCTTCGGCGCTCGCCTGAGGCTGCCGGAACTCACCAACGCCGAGCTCGACGCGGTGGTCGAGGACACGGCGGCGAAGATGGGCCTCGAGGAGTGCGCCGACACGAAGATCGGGAACTGGCACCTGAGAGGGATAAGCGACGGGGAGAGGCGGCGGCTGAGCATCGCCGTCGAGCTGCTGGCCCAGCCGCGGGTGCTCTGCCTGGACGAGGCCACGACGGGGCTGGACAGCGCCGCCGCGTTCTTCGTCGTGGAATCCCTCCGCAACGTCGCCCGCGATGGCGGCGATGGGAGGATCGTGGTCTGCTCCGTCCACCAGCCCGCCGACGACGTGTTCAGGCTGTTTGATGATCTGCTGCTCATTTCTTCAGGGGAAGCTGTTTACTTTGGTGAATGCCAGGGCGCTGTCAAGGTAAAACAGTAGTGTTATTAATTTTTTTTTTTTGGTATCAGCCGTAGCCACCCGCGGGTTGACCCGGACCCACTAAAACTAGTGGGTAAAGGGTTAATGGGTCACCTGATTTAGCCTGGAAATATGGAAATAGTCATTATATTATAATTATCCTAATAAATTATATCAAATTCTATCTAACATATGAGTTATAACATATAATATTACACTAAAATAATATGTCATACTTAGATGCAACATATAGTGAAAATTCACATACAATTATATAACAACAATATTTAAATGTTCAACTTAGTATTTCAAAGATTGAATTAGACGTAAAGAAAATCTATTATAATAGGCGCATTTCGCAAACAAACAAACAAAAAAATGACACAATTTGACCTCTAACCAGGTACCTTATAGCGATCGACCCGGCGTGCGTGCAACCCGTTTTTCTCACCGGATCAGGGTCAAAGTGGGTCGATTGGGGGTCAACTCGCGAGTTGACAACCTTGACCATTAGTGATTGTGTTATTAGTTATTAATGTTTGGCTAGATTTAGGCCCAGATGAGTGGATCTTTCATTGGAGGACCTCGAGAAAAAAAAACCAATTTAGGGCATAGAAAATGAAGTGTAGGTGTGGATTGGATTGGATGGTGACATCTCGAAAAGTCGTTTATCTATTTCAATGGATATCGCAATACAAAAATGTCACGTGCTTTTGTCAAAGGAAATGAATTATTCGGGTTAGAGTAATTCTATGGGAATCTTGCATTCAAATTATATCTTTTTTTTGTTTTTTTTTTTTGTTGGATTGAGATTTTGTTAGGTTGGGCATGTGAGTGGTTGAATCGTGCTTTCATGATAATCTACTCTCAAATAATTAGAAATGATGAGGGTATTTGATTGTTGTAGCCTGTAGGTGGGGTTTTGGTCGCTAAATTTACCCCCACACTTATTTGAGTGGATGGTGGTTGGGTTGTTGGTTCCCTAAATGATTTGCACTCCCATTTTTTTTCAAAGACAATAAATAATAATTCATGAAAATACGACATTCGAATCGTATATACTATGCATTTGGAAATCACTTAAAATGAGAGATTGGGAATCAAAATGTCTCATTTTCTCCCATTTATTAATGGGTTTTTTATGGGCTTCAGTTTGGAGAACTTTAATGGAGTTTCATATGATTTTTAGACATTCTCATTTACTGAATTGTGGACGATACTTTTTATAATTGTTGTTCTTGTTATTTGATGTTCGTCAGAAATTTTCATGTTGAATGGTTGTGGCGCTAGAGATTTCATTACGTTTATTACGGACATGGTGTACCATCATTATAACCTTTTTCAGTTTCCAGTTCTTTGCAGATTCCGGGTTCCCATGCCCGATTAGAAGAAACCCGCCGGACCATTTCCTCCGGTGCATTACCCCGGAGTTCGATCAAGTCTTAGCCGCTCTGAAGCAGACACAGCGAATGAACGATGCCGTGAGTTACAAGTCACATACTATACTTATTTCCCTTATATCCTAACTCAGACCGTGGCTGCAACATGGTTGAAATGATGAAACAGGAGCTCTCAGCAGCAGAGGGCTTGCTGAACGGGACAACAGCAGAGACCAGGGAAACCCTAGTGAACAAGTACAGATCGTCCACTTTCGCAGACACTGCGACGAAAAAGATTCAAGAACTCGCATCACCACTCACTGTATGCTGCTAGAGGCAATCCTGCCATCAATTTGCATCCTTTATTTTCAGCTAGCTGATCACATTTCCCACATTAATTTCCCTTCTTAACACATCAGGAAAAACATGGTGATGGCGACAGCCAGAGTATCGGTGAAGTTGTTGTACCCGTAAAGAAGCAGCAGCGCCATCAATGGTGGAGGCAGTTCTGCACACTAACACACCGCTCCAGTTTGCACATGTGCAGAGACCTCGGCTACTACTGGCTTCGAATGTTCTTCTACATCATGGTGGCACTCAGCACTGGAACCTTGGAGTTCGACATTGGGACCTCCAGCGCTGCTGTCCTGGACCGGGGCAAGGTAGACGGGTTCCTCTATGGCCTCATGATCTGCTTGTCCGTAGGTGGCTTACCTTTCTTCCTCGACGAGATCAAGGTACAGATCACATGACGAGAGGAGTGGAATCGAGACTTTCTCTCAAGTACTTCAAATGTTCAACCAAAACTCACTTTCCTCCGCTTGATTCCTCCGCTGTCGAAATCTCTGCAGGCCTTCCGTGGAGAGAGGCAGGGAGGGTACTACAGCGAGGCAGCTTATGTGCTGTCCAACTTCCTCTCCTCATTACCTTTCACCATATTCATCTCCTTCTCATCAGGATCCATACTGTACAGCATGGTGAAGTTCCACCCGGGTTTCTCGCACTTGCTCTACTTCTGCATCAACCTCTTCTTCAGCATCTCCGTCTCAGAAGCCTGTGTCTTTGTCACTGCTTCTCTAGCATCCAATCCATTGCCCGCCATGGGTGCTTCCATTGGTGTCACCGTAAGCTCTTATACAACCATCTATACTAGTCAGCAACATCATCCACAGAACCAGCCAAAGCCATTTGTAACAGACCAGAAAACTGCATTGTTTATTTTGCAGGTGCTCAATCTAATGCCATCTATCGTCGTTCGACCACTACCCGACCTTCCTAAGATCATCTGGAGGTACCCTTTGTCCTACATCAGTTATGCTGCCTGGGGAACACAGGGTAATCTGAAGAATGATATGATTGGACTAGAATTCGATTCTGCAATACCTGGAAGGCCAAAGATAACTGGCGAATTCATCCTGGAGAACACTTACGGCGTGAACCTAGGATACTCCAAGTGGCTCGATGTAGCAGCTCTCTTCTGCTTGCTGCTAGGTTACAGGGTACTCCTAGTCTTTACCCTTCGCTACAAGCAGAGAATATCGAGGTCCATTCCGCAGAACTTACGCAAAGATAGGTCACAAACCCACCAAGATTCAGCAAGATTAACCGAAGACTCAACATCCGAACAGAACCCCCAAAAGTGACACTGTGATGTAGGGCATAATATGCTAAGTTTTTTGAACTGAAATTACTGCCAAATTTGTGAACTTTACTGTGTGATGCAATACTTGCAAGCTCTGAAATGAAATCCCGAAAGCGCTCCTCTTTTTTATTGTCGAGATTGGCTCATAGAGCAGTGACATGATGTCACTACTTACAAAAGTGACCCTGTGATGTCATTACTTACAAAGCAATGGGGAACACAGGGGAACCTGAAGAACGACATGATGGTACTAGAGGTTGATGCTGTGGTACCTGGACAAGCAAAGATAAAAGGTGAAGTTATTCTGCAGGATAATTACGACCTGCAGTACTCGAAATGGTGAGATGTAATAGCTCTCTTCTGCTTGCTGCTATGTTACAGGCTATTCCTAGTCATTACACTTCGCTGCAAGCAGAAAATATCATCACCATTCCGCAGAATTTACCCGAAGGGAGGTCTCAACTGATAATCAAGTTACCTAGTAGCAGAGACACCAACCAGTTTTTACCCCAAGGGCAAAATATGGTCATTATCATATTGTAACAGAAGGGGAAACAGAAGTAACAACTACATTCAGTTCTTGAATGATACAAGCTGCAACAAGCTTTGAAACCCAAAACACACGCTTTCATATCCTTCTGTATTAGAGAAGACACCCTTCCCATGGAAGTATTGCCAAACATCTTGCATAGATATAAGAAATTTGCACAATGGCATCCTAAAAATTGCATTGGATCTCATCATGTATATTAATGGCACAATGTGAGGGGCTGATGTAAAAGATCACAGCATGAAGAGTATGGGGGCAATATTCAACTAAACTATCACATTTCACAAAATGGGGCCCTGCTGAAAAAGGTTTCTAAGGGATCTTATTTATTTGCTTCAATGAATTCTCTATACTCTTTCTTCATCTTCACCCCGGGCACCTTCCTGCGTGCAGATAAAAGAAAATGTTATAGTTTGTACCTAATCCAGTCATAGATATCTATGTTTCCTAGCCACCATTGATTAAGGAAAATAGTAGTCAAACCACTAGACAGAGAAATGAAAGAAGCACGAATTAACTCACCTGAGTAACTCTTTATTCTTAAAGAACTGAACACATGGTGTCCCCATAATGTCAGCAGCTTCAGCTATTTCTGGATCCTCCTCGATGTCAATTTCAACAAAATGTACATTTTGATCATATTCATCAATCACCTGCAATCAGCCAATCATGTATGACGTACTACAAATGGAGGCAACATGGAGCTAAAATAACAAAATGAAAGCCTGCCATTAGAACCTCTGTGGTTACTAACACCTAATCAACATAATCAGTTATATTTGACAATATATTGAGGAGACTATGTTTGATGAAAAGTTTGCTTTCCTTGCTTGTCATGAAGGAGGATCTACGCTCGACCAAAACAAACACTGAAGGTTCTAATTCTCGTGATAATCCAATAAATGAACATTTAACAGCTTCGTATCTATGCAGGATATAGATCAGACAACTTGACAATATCCACTATAGGTCTGAACACGAGGTATAAATAATGCATAAAATAGAAAACAACATACCTTGCTTAGAATTGGCTTTAAAGTTCTGCATGGACCACAAGTTGGTGATGTGTACAACACACATACAAGCCTTGGACTTTCGTGATATAACTTCCTTAGAGCATACTAAGAAGAAAAGCAAAGAAGAGTGTGAGCTATAAGATAGATCAATATATCAAGTGTGTGTGTCTGTGCATAACAACGTAACCGATTAACTAGAACATCAAGATACCCTACTCATGCATCTTCCTCCGGATTAAGTTCCCACTTTGAACAATTACCTGATTTCTTTTGACAGATGGAAATTACTAGTACATTTATCGACTATGCTAAGCCATATTACTATCCACTATGAGATGAGATGAGATTATTTGTTGGAGATCAAAACTCATTTAACACCTGAACTAGCAAGAGCTAACTAATTTAATAGTATCAGACAGCTAATCTAATTATCTAGCGATACAGACATAACTCATAATAGCAACAATAGTAACTACTGCAGGCTAAAACAAGCACCTGGCCCTTATGCTTTGTGCGGGTAATGTCAAAGCCCTCCTGAACATCTTTGTCAGTCAGTTCCTTCTTAACCTCTTCGGTTGCAGGCTGTCAAATGCAGAAACATGGAGAGAATATTAATAGTGTATGATTTGATACAAGATCAATCGTGAATGTGGAACAATCGAATCGAGAACAAGAAAATTGTCGAGACTTCAAAATTTGACAGGGGTTTGGAAATTTTATCTTCAACTTAGCTTGTTAATGGATAAATTCACCCCAATAGAACTTTTACCAATCCAGGGCCACGAAACTATCCAGTCTATTAGAGTAAAATAGACCAAGCTGAATTAAGACTTGAGCAACTCCAGTTAACATCTAAAGCTAGAGCAAGAGCCTGGTTTCTTCCTTGGCAAATTTTATTTGTTACTGGAGTACAAATTCTTAATCTATGTGTTCTCAACAACTCATTGAGAAAGTTGGCTCGACTATCAATCGCAGCACAAACTGGGAAGAAATACCTCACGAAAATCAAAACACAAGGTTTATCACAAACCTATAAGCAATATAAAGGCATGGATGCTAACCTGATGGAACTCTATAAGCAGATCATTGCTCACAAGATATCTTTCTGCTGATAAAGCTGCAATGCATCCTGATCCAGCAGCAGTGACAGCTTGCCTCCATTCATGGTCCTATATTAATACACAACACAGTTTTATTACAGCAGCTAAATGCCGCACATCTAAAGCACCTTATCAGCTATCACATGACCAACAAATGAACGCAGCACAGTAAATTGGATGTGTCACAAGATTTACCTGTACATCTCCAGCCGCAAATACACCTTCCACAGAAGTTGTTGCACAACCGTCCCGAACTAACACATATCCTGTGTGATCAAGTTCAACTTGGCCTTCTAACAGTTGGCTATTTGGTGAGTGCCCAATACCATAGAATAAGCCTTTTGCCTCAATAACCACTTCCTCGCCAGTATCAACTCTTCTAGTCAATACACCAGACATCTGGCCCTTCGTATTGCTTACCACATCCACCGTCTCTGTACTGAAGTGGACAGTGATATTTGGATTGTTGAACACTCTGAAACATTCGTGATAATCAACCTGTTAAACAAACATTCAGGAAGTTGAAAAACTCAACGTACAAGTTTACAAGTATAACTTCTGACATCAAACAACCATTGACAAATAGAAACAGAAAACGGATGCAGGAAAACTCTTAAGCAACAGTTGGTTCACAGATATACACGCCAAAGATTTCAGGGAAGGCAATTCAGGGAACAGTCCACCAAAAGCTCACCTATCTTGCATTGCTTTAGATGCCCTGAGTTGCTCCCTACGTACAAGTAGATGAACATGGCGGGCATATTTGGTTAAGTATATTGCTTCCTCTGTTGCTGTATCACCACCTCCAACAACAGCTAGAACCTGGCCCTTAAATAATGGAGATGCTCCGTCGCAAATTGCACAAGCACTAATTCCTCTACTCCAAAACTCTTCCTCGCGAGGCAAGCTGAGCCTTTTTGCAGTAGCTCCAGTGGCATAAATGAGACTATGGCATATAATCTGAGACATTATTATATTAGACAGATTGGTGGCAAAGACTAGTTCAATGCAGCAATGCAATAAACAGGCATTGAACCATATTGCACTTAGCCTGGAAATGGTATGGAAGCTCTTGCCGACCTCATGCTCATTGATATCATTTTTTCGTTTCTTTCTTTATGTTTTAAATATAATTCCAATGCCATTTTAACTAAAAATAAAGTATGGACGAATTAATGCAAGTTTTATGATTCATACTTATTTGTCTCATGGGCAAAGCAACATTCCCGAGGTACAGTGTCGCCATTTTCTACTATTCACAAATTCTCACACAAATTCAAAGCTAAATGCAGTTCAGCTTCAAGAAGCAGATTAACGGTTTTGAGTAGACAACGGCGAAATCGATCAAGTTCTATACTTTAACAATTACAGAGTGATGCTATCTGCCAAGAACATGCCATTAAGCCCACATCACCTAACAATTATCCAATAAAGAAAAATCGGGAGATCACATCACCTTACGTTCACTACTTTCCACAACAAACGGATGGGTTGTAACGTTGAGAGATTCAACATCTTCCTGGTACAGTTCTGCTCCCCAACGCTCAGCTTGCCGCCGCATCCTAAAATATGAACATGATGGTGAACAACAATACCAAACCAAGCCAAGCAAGCTCTTCTATGTATCATAAGATCACAAATTCAAGACAGTTAGTTAGTCCATTCTTCATTTCCTACCTATCCATCAAATCAGGACCAGTGATTCCATCTGGAAAACCAGGAAAGTTCTCCACTTCAGTGGTAGTCATCAACTGCCCACCAGGCACACCACCAACCTGAAATCCCTCGAAAACCACCGGCTTCAAATTCGCTCGAGCTGCATAAATTGCTGCAGTGTATCCAGCAGGACCTGAACCTATGATTACCAAATTCTCAACCCCGCCTTTGGCTGCAGGAACAAATCACCACAATACTTCAGCAATGGAGCAGAGAAATAACAGGGGAGAAGAACAAACCCTGTAAAAAACCTTCACTTTCAACGCTATCAAAACGATCGTGCGAGCAATCTTCAACGTGGGCAAGTTTAGAATCACAGAATTCATCAAAACCCCACAATCGGCAACTATGAATTGACGCCGAGGCATGGAAATTTCGACAATTCCGCCATTACTATCTAGTTCAAACAACCCATCAAATGCAAGAGAGGAAGAGACCTGGGGAAGGTGAGGAAGGGTCGGAGGAAGAAGCTTTGACTCGGAGAGTGGCGGCAGGTGAGAAGGAGCTGGTGAATGGGGAAGAGCGTTGGTAAGTCCGGAAAGAGAGATGGGTTTTGCGGGAGAGGAGGGAATGAGGTGGGAAAGAGAGCGCGGCGGCGGATGATGTGGTTGCCGTTGAGGACATGGCGGCGGCGGCGGAGGAGGATGGAGTGAGTCCAACAGCTGGGAATGGCGTCCTCCTCCGGTTCCGATGTTTTTTATTATCCTGAGAGGAGAAGCCATATCCACCATTTCAATACCCAATACGTACACTCGACTTGAGATGATGAATTGATGATGTGGAATTTCCAGTCGTTTCTCCCTCTCTTGCGGTCTTTGATTGTTCGTTTTTTTTTCCCCTTGTCTTTTTTGCTTAATTCCGTTTCATCGTTTTGCACTTTTGCTCCATGGAACTAAAAATATACAACAAAAGAAAGAGAGGAAAAATTGAAACTTGTTGGCGACATTGGGGTATCTAACAAGACAAATGTTGTTTAGAACTCATATTAGTTTTAACGATGAATTCAATTACATATTTATATCTTAAACGAATTTAAATAAAAATGGTATTTTTCGCTTTTATTATGCGAAATTTATTTGACAGCGAATTCGCTTTCTTATCAAATGATCATTTTTTACTTACTAAATATTACTCTGATTCATTAACTATCCACCAACTCATCGCATGTTGTTTGTCACATATGAAATACAATAAATCTCACTTAAGTAATGACATCCCAAGCAGTCATCTTAGCCAAAATGTCATGGGAAGGAATCACAACCTAATTCATCGCTTTATATTTGTTAACATAAATTTGGTATTGGTTGCTCTCTAGTACCACAATCACAACCTAGTCCAACGTTCTATGAACAAATGTTCGACTACATAAAGCGTTGTAAGATAAGTAAATACTACCTTATTGATGTGCTAAAGTATTATATTTACTCCGATTACAACTCGACTACAAATGCGAATTTTTATTATATATTTCTCATTTATTAGAGAAAAAATAAAATAAAAATAAAATTGCTGGCTCAAAACGACAAGTTTGGTGCTCATGCAAAACTGGCTTTTGACACAAGTAGGGTCCCCACTTCGGATAGTTGAGAAACAAAACCCTAACCTGCATCGCAAACATCAAAACAGCATTTCCCCCTCGTCGTCTCTGCGAACCCTAATCCCCCCAGCTCCTCTGATCAAAGCTAGAAGAAAATCAATGAGAATTTGATTCCCGAAACGCGGGAGAACTCCAGTGCTTACTATCAGAACCCACACACACTCGCAGTCTACCCATGGCTCTGCCCACCGGAAACGGGAACGGCGTCCTGTTTCCCGCGATGTTGCAGGTCACTAGCAGCAGGCTGAGGCTGAGCCCTAACTCGGAGCACAAGCCGGAGGCCTACGACGACCTGCAATTGGAGTTCAGCCCTCTCCTCTTCAGCTCACTGGAGCGTTACTTGCCTCCGGCGATGCTCAATTTGTCCCGTGATGCGAAAATCCAGTTCATGAGAGACATCCTCGTTCGTTACTTCCCTGAGGCCGAGCGAACTCGCGTGAGTTGGTTTGCTTCTTTCGCTGTGTTTCGCGTCTCTGTTTGGGCGGAGTAAAATTCCTGAAAGAAAGCTGATTCGGTGTTGTTTGGTTTTGAGTGTGATCCTTCATTTATTGTCGTTGCCAGTCGGTTGCATGAATTCGACCTAGTTGATCGGGTTAAAATTTCGTTGCGTTCTATGGAGGAGGTATAGCTCTATCTGTAGTTACCCATTGCCAATGGGACCGAAAAAGGCTTCTTCTTTCTAACATCTTGGCAATTACGATTGTTTGACTTGGCTTCCTCCTTACTAAAAGGAGAAAATGAGAGCTACTTGTTTTCGCATACCATCTGTGGAATATTGTTTAGGACAGCATGCAACTGATAGCTTTCATGCAGCTTGACTGTTGCCCATGACTCTCTTAGTAATTGATGTTTTTGGATTTTGGTACATGGGCTGGATTTTTCTAGGGTGGTAGCTATCAATCAAAAAGGAAAGCTTTGTTGTTTAGGTTGTGGTATTGTTGTATCTCATGTTGTTGCATTATTATAAACGCTAGGTCCAAAAGCAAAGGGAATACAGGGAGAGGATTATGTCTAACTATCAGGTACAGTTTCATTTGTATCTTGAATTGCATGGGATTCTGCTGAGGTTCTTCTATTGCCAGCATTCTTTATTCATGACCAATTATGTTTGTTGGCTATTTTCGTATGAATTTGATTCATTGCATATTTCTCCTTAGATGCTTAGAGTCCTAAGTTTTGAAGTTAGTAGTTAGATTCTTTTTTCATTCCAGCCACTTCCCTTTCTTCATTTGTCATCTAGAAACTGCAACTAGCGGAAGGTTTGATGTGTTTCCTTTCTTCATTTTTCTGATCTTAAAATAAGTGGTCTCCATGTGCATTATAAATTTATTATAGAGCCCCAAGTGGGATTTGATTCAGAAATGAGGTTCACTAGCTTCTTGCGTGCTGCAACTTCTTAGTCCAGTCATTTAGGTGCTGAGATTATTTTGAGACAGCCAACCAGTTTGCTCCTTTATCCCCAAAATCAGTGTTTGAAGATTCTTCCTTCTTCCGCTACATTGTTTTAGATGATCTTATAGGCCTTTGGATGATGGAACTTGCTAGATAAACCAGCACATACGTTTTATCTACCGATCTTCCAATCACAATTATCTACTGCATACGAAGAAGCTGTGGAATCCTCTTTTATTTCCATACTATCGAAGGGAGAAGGCATTGTTTAGTTTCTGAAATTATGGTGCCAATGCAGTGTGCTTTTCAAATTGAGGCGTTGTTGTCAAGGACTGGTTTTGTGAAGTACTATTATCAAAGTAATGAAGTACCAATTTATTGGTGTGTTTTTCAAATTGTCATTCAATTGTGGAAACTTAGCTGCTTATGCTGCTTTGGTTTGTCACATTACTCTCTCCCTTCATTTTGTTTATTCCTTTTGTTTACATTTCACACTTACATTTTCCATTTGTTATTCTTGGCTTCTTATGCTGTTTTCCCCCGCTTCTAATCTCATCCGTGTAAGTTATATTTCTCTTTCCAGCTCTCACCCTCTTGTGCAATTACATGCTGCAGCCTCTTTACAAGGAGCTTCAAACCCTTGATGAGACGAAATTTTTTGTCCCATCATTTCTCCAAGCAGTCAATGCAGGCACAGAGGAGAGTTTCAGAAAAATCATAATAGAACCCACACCTGGAGTCTACTCATTTGAAATGCTTCAGCCAAATTTCTGCGAAATGTTGATTTCTGAGGTTGTTTATTGTTCGTCTCTGATTTCTGCATGTTAGTTGTGTAGTTGCCAGTATTACTTGAGGATGTGTTACTTTTTTCTTACGAGGTTCCTGTTGTTAGGTGGAAAACATTGAGAGGTGGGTGCATGATACAAAATTCAAAATCATGCGGCCAAACACAATGAACAAATATGGTGCTGTGCTTGACGACTTTGGCCTGGAACCAATGCTTAATAAGCTGATGGATGTTTATCTACGTCCAATGGCAAAAGGTTACACATTTATCTATTGGTACTTTATTTAAAAAGCTAAGTTAGATCTGCAGTATTCTCCAACTCACAAATTATTGTTTACTGTTGTGTAGTTTTCTTCCCCGAGATTAGCAGATTAGCGCTGGATTCTCACCATGGTTTCATTGTCGAGTATGGAGCTGATAAAGATGTTGAGCTCGGTACATGCTTATTCAATCTGTTAGAAACTGCCATGGCTGTGCTTGATGCTTTCCATTTTGTTCATGTTTGGTTGTGTTCTGTCCTATTTTTAGCGGATGTAATGTTCCCCTTTTCTTGGCAGGTTTCCATGTCGATGATTCAGAAGTCACCTTGAATGTTTGCTTAGGTAAGGACTTCTTTGGCGGAGAATTGTACTTCCGTGGTGTTCGGTGCGATAAACATGTGAACACAGTACCCCACCCAGAGGTAATTAATTCCAAAGTTTAATGGTCTTTTCTCCCATTCCACACCATCCTTTTTATTCTCTTTTCTTGCCCTTATTCTGAGCGTTGATTTGTTTTGCTATTTTATTTTCTTTTAAACTTTCTCCTTCAGTACAAGCCTACACTCTTTGGAAGCTATAGTTGGTGAATAATAGGTTTAGTGTTTAGTTATTGTATTTTGCTTTGTCATGATGCCTTTTGTTTTGTAGGACTAGAGCTATGATTCATTCCATGATTAAACACCTTTGCCCCCCAAGCATTAGATATGGAGAACACGACCAAATGAAGGCTTTATAATCTCACTTTCTGCAACAGGAAATAGGGGATTATTCCCATATTCCAGGACGTGCAGTTCTTCATCGAGGTCGCCATAGGCATGGTGCCAGAGCCACAACTTCTGGGCAACGGTTAAACCTGATTTTGTGGTGCAGAAGGTAAAACATTTATAACTTCTAGCTAGCTTCCTCTTTCCCCTCCCAAGAGAGAGGATAATGGAATACAAATGTTGGTAAGTTCATTTCCCTATGTCTTCCAGTTCGGCATATCGAGAGCTGAAGAGATATCAGACCGAATTCTCTAGTTGGTGTGGGGAGTGTCTTCGTCGGAAAAAAGAAAGGCAGCACAGGGCAGTTGCAGCAACCAAAATGGTATCTATAATATATTCTCCTGGGTATACATGCATACATTCGGAAATAGTTAATTGTCTAGATTTGTTTTGTATGAACATTGAGTAACTCTTTGTTCATGCAATCATCGCAGGAACTGCTGAAGCGGGATGGTATATCTACATCGTGAACTTTCGAACTTTGCAAGCTCATGTTTCTTTTAGGCCTTTGAAGTTCTAAAGATGGTATGGCAACCTGTCGAGACCCCGTTCCAGTTACAGCGTTTTCTGGAGTGTAGCATTGAACCATCCTGGTGCACTCGTAAGGCATTTCGAATCGGAGGGTGCTGAAAAGAGAGACACATTTTGGATCATGCTAGACATCAACCCTTCCACCTTCCCCAGAAAAGGGAAAGAGGTGGAAAGAAATGTCACTGAACAGCTTTTACATACTGCTACCCCTTTTCTAGTGCGCTGAACATGGTAGTTGCTGAACAACTTCTGCATCTGTATTCTGTGCAGTTTGTTTTGTTTCAAAACTTGGTGGAATGTTGTGTTGTTTCAGCCTGAAAATATACGCAATCCGATTCTCAATGTACTTGCAAGAGACGATGCTAAGTGGAAAATAAGTGGTGAAAGGACATCGCCTTGGTATCAATGGCGACAGTGTCATCAGCTCAAGCTACTCATACCTGGTGTAAGATGAGAAAACAGAAGCACATACTGCTATTCATTTCATTTCGATTACAACACTTATAGTAGAATCCATGGAGAAACAGTAAAATAAGCCCTGTAACAAAGTTGCTTATAACTAACTAGCTCTAGTTAACAGCATCTGTACAGCATCTTATTCCTCCTCATTAGGTTTCCTTTCGTACATACGATCTTCGATCTTTCATCGAACCAAGCGCAGTCCATTCGAGCTGTCCCCTACTCGTCCCGACTTGCCACCTCCAGTCCATTGCCTGAACAATGAAACAATTTCAAACCTTGTTACTCTTCCAATTCCAATCTTCAACAAACGCCATTGTTATAGCTACAGCCTTACAGATAGATGTGCTTACCGTCTGGATCAAAGAAGAAGACTTGCCTAATTGACCGCCCTGGAACCGCCGTCTGAAAAGTTTCGATCCCTTTCTCCTGAGCAAACAATCAACAGCACTCAATTCCAGGATTCTCTTCCAGAGAAAACATACTGATACAACCAAAATGATGAGTCGTAAAAAGACCAGAAAAAGACAGACAGACCTTGAGGGAACCAACGAAAGCGTCGAAATTGGCGACGGAGATGCAGATATGGTGGCCTTTGGAGATATGGGAAACTTCTCGAATCGGTTCCACGGCGCTGTAAGGACCCTCCGGGAGCTTCGTCTCGGGGCTCCGCTCGATGAGGTGGAGCGAGAAAGCGTTGGCCAGATTCAGCCATATGACGTTGAATCCGAAATCGGGCGTCTCTATCTCCTCGAACCCAAATATCTGCAGCACGAAATATCCAAGCACTGGAAATCATCGAACGAAAAGAAACTGAGCTTGACTGAAATTCATCGTCGCGTAGAACTGACCTCCTTGTAGAAATTGGCGAGGCGTCTTATGTCCGATGACTCCCTGGCGATGTGGCTCAGAATAGGCGCCGCCGCCGCCGCCGCTGCCGCCATTGTTGTCTTCTTCTCTGTAAACTCTGTCTTCGGGTTGGCAATAGAAAAGTCGAAATGGAATCAATCAGAACACTGAAGTGATAAACTCAAGTGGATGACGGGCTTGATCCCCAAAGCCCACTCGCTGTTTCAATTTAGTTGGAGGATAATTGGGCCTGAGGCACAAATTCGGCCCACCCCGAATTCTGTAACAAGGAAAAAGAAGGCCCAATTAACCAACCGACTGATTAGACTTTTTTTTTTTTTTTTTCATAGAAACCCTTCCGGATTAACTAGGTAAGCACGAGAGAGCCACAATACAACGGCTTCTTCGTGAAATGATAGTCAAAGTAAATAAGAACAATTAAAACGAACACTACAAGAGCCATGTTGTGGCACGTAACCGACTGATTAGACTTCTTCAACTGATAAGAGTGATTACTTCTCCCAAGAGCTGACTGAATATAACTAGACGAACTGTTACAAAATTGTTTTATCTACAATTTATTTTTTTACATATATACATAATACAGCAAATAAATTCTCTGCAAAATGCAACTGAGAGCTCTTAAGGAAATGAAGCACCATTCCATCCTCTTTAACAGCTTCTCTCAAGTCTTAACTATCTACTCAGCATTACAAGTTGCTTTCGACCGGCTGCCTTCTCAGTGATTCTGTCGTTGAAACAAAAAACAGAAGAGGCTTGTTAATAACTCTACCTGCACTATCTGGTTAGTTACCAGGCGAACTATCAGTTCGTGTTCGAATGAACCATTGCCGGTTCTGATGGCTACGGTTAAAGTTGAGGACAAGGGGGTGTGGATTGAAGTGTCCTTAATGCTGATATATTCCTAAACCCAGAATCGCTATTACTACGAGCACTGTGATTACATTATCATACATATGCGTGATAAAGTTGATAGTGTGATTTTCCAGCAGGAGAGGTAAGAAACAGGAGGAGCGTACCAACTCTTGCTTTTATGGTAGCAGCAAATTCTCCACCATGCTTTTGAGCAAAGTTGAGTATGTCTTCGTACATTCCATTAGAAGGCTCGACTTTTGCATTCTCCATCCACTCCAATACCTGCATTACAAATATAATGCATCCATAATTGCCTGTTACAATGGGGTGGATGAGATAGTAGGCTATCTGAAGAACTTATCATCTTTGTTTCTTTTTCTTCCCAAGACGAATATAGGTAGGAAAATATTATCTTAAGGTTACCTCGATGTATTTTCTCCAATTCCCAACGGCCAGGAGATTCTTCAACAGTATGGAGTAACTGTTGAAATTTATTTCAGCACCAGAAGCTATAATCTTGTAAAATAACTGCATTCAAACACAACAACAGAACCAGAAATTATAGGAGAAGTCAAGAAAAGAAGAAGCATATTAGCTTAGTTCACTTTCATTTACATGCCAATGTTGGAATTTATATTACTTATCATTTCAGCCAACCTTCGTATGGAAATGGCTTGAAAGTATGAGTACCTTGATCATAGAATCTGTTTTTCCACTTTTTCCCAGAAGATGAAGAAGTTGATTTAGTAGTCCAACAGAAATCACAGGGAAAGAAGGCTCCATCAGCTGTACCAACTCAAGTGCTTTCTTCCAATCTCTCAACCTACAACCAGAGTGAGAAAGATGAGGGACCAAACTCCAGAAGATGACAACAAAATTTGCGTCTTAAGAAACTCAGTTTTTAGCATAACTAGGTGGATTTACTTACAGGCTACATGCAGAAACCATTTCGAAGAAAATGGCATCACTGAACGGGATTCCTTTATCTCTCATAATCTGTGCCAAGACAAGGACCTGGCCTTGGTCACCTCCCTTATTGAAAGCTCTCATTAAAGCAGACAATGCAATAGTATCTGGTTGTATGCTATAGGCGTCCATTTCTTGAAGTAAAGCACAAGCTTTTTCCCAGCATTCTAACATTAAACAAAGATCAAGGTGAGATTTCAGTTGATTTTTGTTAACCGTTCCTTTCTTCCTCTACTTATAGATCAGTTGCTCAGTAGCTCACCCCTTCAATATGCATAACTCACCTGCAGCATTGTATGTGTGTAGCATCGCAGTGTAGGTGATAACATCAGGACAGCAGCCAGACGTCTTCATCATGTTGAACACGGATTCTGCCTCTGCAACTAGGCCCTGATTGTCATACATTAATTGATAAGCTTAAATCGATAAATAAGCAGAACTGGATTTGTTTACCATATATAAAGACGAGGAATATCATATTCAACGACTTACCTGCTTGCTGTAGGCAGAAATCACAGATGAGTAAGCCTCCTTAGTCAATCGCAATTTCGAATCCATCATCTTGCCAAAAAAGTCTATAGCTTCGCTGTATTTTGACATCTTGCAACACCCACTTATCAAGACATTGTAAGTAACAGAATCAGGCAGTACTTTTCTTTTCCCCATGGATCGAAACAATGCAACTGCCTTATCATATTCCCCAACGTTCATATAGGCACCAATAGCTGAATTGTAAGCAACAGTGTTTAATCTGATATCCCGCATTTCAGCAGCTGAAATCACTGCATCGATATTAACCTTTCGGCCACATCGGGCACATGAAGCTAGAAGAGTGCTTATAGACACAACATCTGGCTTAATACTAGCAAGCTCCATTTCACGTAAGATGCCCACTGCTTCTGCCAAGTACCCATTAGATCCATAGGCATCAATCAATGCATTATAGGTGACAATATTCGGTTTCAGTTTTTCTCTCTTCATCATCTCAAAAACTTCTCTTGCTTTCACAGGCTGCTGAGATCTCCCATATGAATTCAGCAAGGAAGTGTATGACACAACATCAGGACAAAACCCATTCTTCCTCATTTCATCAAAAACTGAAAGTGCCTCTTTACCCATGCCACGAGAAGCATATGCCCCAATCAATGCATTGTATGAAACAATATTAGGCCTCAGTCCCTCACCGAGCATGGTATTGAACACAGCAGAACAATTCTCAATCTTCCCCATGGAAGAATACAAATGGATCATTGTTGTAAAGGTGACAACATCGGGATGGCAATCTGCTCTCTTATCCCTCATGGAATTGAAAATATCGAGGGCCTTCTCATACTGGCCACGCTTAACTAAGCAATGAATCACAATGTTGAATGTTGTTGTATCTGGTCTAATGCTTGTTCCTTTCATCAGCTCAAAGTAAGACAAGGCTTTTGCATACTGAGCTCCAGTCTTGTAAGCAGATAAAACAATGTTGTGGGTCACTAAATCAGGCCCAACGCCATTTTCAGTCATTTTCTTGCAAAGCTTCAGTGCCTCTCTCCAATTACCACTGGATCCACAAGAATTAATCAAATTATTATACGTGGACCGACTAGGTGTTATCTGCAAACAGCGGACAAAGATTACAAGACAATCTTGCACATTTTGTTTCACATGTCTATAAACCTCTGGGTAGTACTTAATAAAGCCATGTGTGTGCTTACTGGATGCGCATGCTACTATTCATGGGAGAGGGATCAAAGCTGATAAACGCTACATTGCAATCTAACTAAGATGTAGGAAGTTATCCATATCATCAAACTACTAGCTATCTGAACCCTGTTCTAGCATTGGCTTGAGCAATCAAACAGCTCGAGAATTGCCAGCAAATTACCAAAAGCTACTAAATCAGAAGGCCAACCCAGAACTAGAGTAGGCCAAAAGAGACAATCTGTAAGAACTAGGTGAGACTACCATATATGACAACCAATGTAGCATAGAAGTAACATAAACAAATAAAGAACCTCACATCAAATCAGACCCACAAAGATTGATTTGGGAAAAGGAAAGCAAATACACACAGCTTCTCGCAGCATCTCGTCCATTATATTCAATCCCCACCGCCATTGACCAGCTCTACCGTGGGCGTTGATAAGTGCATTGTAAGTCTCAACATCCGGTTTGCACCTGAAATATTAATGAGAGAAACTATGAGTCCTTTCAACAAGAAATCTGAAATGTCAAGCTCTCGCAAATGAAGCACTGCTACTAGCAGAGAAACCCAATAAAACCACACCTCCATTTCTGCATTTCGAAGAACAACCCACGAGCCTGATCAATCCGGCCATGGCGAGCAAGCAACATGATCATCCTGTTATAGATTTCAGTACAAGCACGATAAATCTGTTGATTCTTCATCCAGCTGAAAACCAACAGACTGTGGTCCAACGATCCCTTCCGCGTTATCTCCTAATGAAATAACCACACAAAAAACAGGAAAAGACGGGAAAATTATAAATTATCTCCACCGGCTATGTCTGGAATTCGATTAGCTACAAACGCAGACCAAAATTCATACTACCTTGATGAGATAAGGGAAATTCTTGCGAGCGAAGCGGCCAGCCCAGTGGTTCAAAACGGCCTCCACGTCGTCCCCGCGAGGATCGAGCGCGAGAACCTTCTGGACCACCTGGGAGAGGGACCAGTCCTTCTGGAACCTATCTCGTTCGACCCTGAGCCGGTAGCGTCTAGGAATGTTGGCTTGCCTGACTCCGCTGAGCTCAGTGGAAACAAGGTGCTCGCCTTTGTCGTAGTCGACGGAGCCGGTCTTCTTCTCCACGAAGACCGTCGGGTTGGTCTTGGACATCTTGCAGACGAAGCTGCTGCCGCCGGAGGCGGTGAAGAGATGATGGTTTAGCATGACCGCCATTGTTTGCCCGGCGGGAGAGAAGCGATACCACAGAGTGGAAGAGGGAGATGAAGCTATTTTCCGTCCTTCATTCGAGTGGATACTGGATAAAGCAGCGGAGAGAGGAGAAAAATTGGAAAAGTATACTTTTCCCTCATATTTCTTCGCGGGTTAATTACGGTCACTTAATTTTTGTTACACTAGCATATTGGTCACCAAACTTTCTATTTGTATTTGTGAAGGCAGATCAGGAGGGAGGAAGTATTTTAAAAATTGTGAGCTCAATGTACAAGAATAAATATGATTGCTCTCTTCCAAAATTACAAACAATATCAAATTTTGGTACAAGTCAAGAACTTAGAGGTCCTTACTAAGCAATGGACTAGCAATCAAAATTGAGAAGCTCTATGTAGCTTCCCTAACTTCACTCTTTGCATCTTCAACTGCACAGTGGCTGCTGGAGGACAGATCTCATTCTAACCTCAACTCTAAAACACACCTATCTCTTCTCAATCCAAAATTCTTTCCTGGTGTAGAGGGAAGGTATGAAGGCTTTTTCTTCTTTGTCTCATCCGCGGCAGAACTTTATCGAGTCGCAGAATCACAAGTTAGTTCGCTTTTCGCTTAAAACCTCTCTTCCCCATCACACCACCAACACTGCTATTTCTTCCCGTACGTTGTTGTTGTCGAGGCCCCGGACCTCCTCTCTTGCCTCCACCAAAGGCATGTTTCGGCTGCTGCCTCTGCCTCTTATCTCTGTTGCTTCCACCACCATCCCCGGCCCTCTGGTTTTCGTTCTTATTTTCCCACTTCCTCTTTCTGTCCTTGTGCGCCGATGAACCCTGTCTCGGTCCTTTGTCATGTAATCCCGCCTCGTTCTCAGACCTGAAGGGTTCCAGGGGAAAAGGAAAGATTAAGAAAAGGAAAGAAAGATTGCTCTCGCATGAATGATGGAGGGATGAAGAACAAGAAAAGATCCGCTCACCTCTTGGAAGACGAGCCTTCGATCCTAGTATCGTCATCCTTCACCCCGGAACCCTGGGAATCAGACTTCTGATGCCGACTCTGCAAAGCCAACCATGGAAACCCAAGCAGAGCAGATTAGCATATCAACCCACTAACCACCCAAAGAAGGTAATTTTAGTTCAAGTAATCCCAAAAAGAGAATTATATGAATCCATCAAAGAATGTAGCAATGAGGGCACGAGAAACACCTGCAAAACAGTCTTCACGAAACTCTTATATTTATCTGGCGTAACTGACTGAACAACACCAGAACTACACTTCCGCAACAATATCTCCAGAATGATTGTCACCTATAGCACAAGATGATTCAAAGCAGAAGAACAATGAGGGAATGAATGAAGCATTTAAGATGTATATAGCTACGATACAAACCTTTGATCTCAAATGATTTCTTGAAACAGATGACCAAGGAAGAACTTCATTCAGAATGTCAGATACAAGGCCCTGCAGATCCTTGGCCTCCAAGCAAGACACCACTACTTTCATAAACCCTAAGGCAGCCTGTTTAAATAGGTATACAGCAATCAATTCGTCTTGGGCTTATTGTGCAAGGAGCAACAAACTCAACAAGTTGACCGAGCAAAACTTACTTTTGCCACTTCAAGATCTTTATTTTGCAGCAAAGACAATACGGAAGGCACAAGATCAGTCATGTTTAAACAAATATCTGCATCGTTGTACACTAGAACTGACAATGCAGAGACAGCTCCACTCTTTATGTGAGCAGATGAGCCAGACAGGTAACCAAGTATCTGAAAGAGGTGATGCGCTTATTATTAGAAAAAACACTGAATGACAATTCAGGAATAACAACAATTCCAACTACTATAACATTTCCCATAGCTAAATAGTCAATTTGGAGGATGCATCAAACAAAACTACAGATAAAGCTAGGTTATGATTGATCTCAAAAGCTGGAGCCAGATTTTGCATGACACTTCATGCCACTATGTTCTCAAATCTTACAACAGGAATATAGCTCTTCTAAACATAATAATCGAGCACTCGGTGAGTCTCATGGCAATAAACAATAAAGGTGGCAGTTCTCTATTTCGCCAAAAGATATAAACAAACCAGCTAAACATAGTCGCAAACTGACAATGTTAGATCCCTGATACAAACACAAGCAGTGAAAAGCCAGTAAAGTGGTTGGAGACACTAACCATGCTGATCAGTTTGTGGTACAGTTCATCAGAAATGACTTGAGATGACTTCCTCAACCGAGAACTTATTGCAATGAGTGCATCCGAAGCAACTTTCCTTGCTTCATCTTTCCCCTGATTAATAAGTTGTAGATGCGCGTCATCGACCAGCATAGAAATGAAAAAATGGACATCTAAGACACAGCAGCAGCAATGACAAACAGAATGTATACAAAGCATTTCGAAGCAACAGGAGAATCATTTGTGTTTTCTGGGAAGATTCACCAAATCCAGAGTAGGAAAGAACAACTTCAAAATACTAGTAAAATACTAAAATGGAAAAGAAAAAAAACAATTCTTAGTTATTCAAAAGAATTCCTACAGTTGAAATAAAGAAGTAAATAGTCCGCAAACAATAATCAGTGATAGCGTGGCAGTATTTGATCCCATAAGAGAAAGATGGTGCAAGTATGATCATTAGTGACAAGGGAAGGGCCCCCAATTTATCTTTCAATACTATGAAGCGGATAGCTTTTTGCAAAAAATGAAGCCCTGCCACAAGTATTGAAAACGATGCACCTCACATGAAGCCCAATGAGACTCGAGAAACTTCAAGAGCCTACTCAAAAGAAGAATATGAAGTATTTCAAAGAACTTACATCCTTCAAAGTCAGAATGATTTCATTTAGAATAAGAAATGTCCTCGGATTATCCTCCTCTTGTTCCAGTTTCTGAAAGCACACAACAGAATATTAGCAGTGAATTCAACAAAATTCATCATGGAACCCATAGCTTATATATGTTTGAAACTTGCCGGATCGAATAAGCTTAACAAAGCTCCCATATGATTAGAATTTAGAAGACATCTCCCGTTTTGCAATAGGACATATTTACATTCAAATATAAGGTTAAAAACTCAAAAAGCACTCTGTACAAGGTCTTAGGTTGCATGTATTTTCTGATCTTTGCTTCTTTACAAAGAATGCTTAAAAGATAAAATTCATCATGGTTGTTGCCATGAGGGAGGTAAAGGCGGAATAAGCAATAATGACCTCTAAAGTGTGAACCACGAGGATGTGAAAGCAATTAAATCGATACTTGAGTGATTTAATATCCACAGGTGGCTTCAAATTAACCAATAAGTCAATCAGCTCCACAGATTGTGAAGAACAAAACCATCCGTGATGCTGCACCAAAAAAGAAAAGAAAAGGTTGGTGTCCCACTAAAACAATGTGATTGCAGGCAATCTATGAAAGCAAATTTATGCCAATAACGAACCTCTAAGATTTTACTCAAGGTGCAATAGGCTTCACAGTGACCAGACATGTTGGTTTCCTTCAGAAAGGAGAAGGAAAAGGTCCAATTTGATGTTAGTAATATATAAGCTCATAGAGGACATGTACAAGCTTGATTCAAAGTTCTACCTGCAATAAGTAAGTGATGAACTTATAAGTCAACTGTATAAGCTCCTCGCTGGCTCCCTCAACAAAGCAAGATGCAAGGTCCATTATTACGCTCCTGCAGATTCCCAAAACTTGTCAGCATATTTTCTTTTTCGGGGTAGGACAACTCCCGACAAAGCTTATGCAATTTTCACCTTTCTGTCTTCTCTGTGTCAGTTTGGGTGTTTTCCTCTTCATTGACCAATTCATCAGTATCACTTGCAGGCTCCTCAAACTCACCAGCAGTATTGACAAGCTTAAGCTTCTTAAGCAGCAACAAAAATATCTTTTTGGTAACGGATGATTTGGCAATAGAAGCTAAGCATCCGATGGCCTCCTAAGAAAATTAGACAACAACATTACTTCTCTTGCAATGCAGACTAATACCATGCCAGATCACCAAAAGAAGAAGAGTAAGGATGTAATCAGCAATTTGTCACTTTCCTATTCTGTAATATAAAACTACAACCAGGACAATTGTACTACTTCTTAAGCGCTATCACTTGAACTTGCATTAAGGACCAATTTCAAAAGTCAAATAGATAATCTCCTCCGCATGAAGGATCAAGAACTGCTTATAAGGCAAAAGGACTCTGCATTTTAGAAGACCATAACGAGAAAGGAAACATAGCATATTTAGCGGACAAATAGCTATTTCCATGTTATAATAGTCAGCATTTTCCTGGGACAAATAGTAATTACTAATACGCTTTGCAATGTGATGGAAACAAAATAGTCAGAGTGACATGAGGCAGACACCTTTAAATGCAGTCGCTTCTGTGGAGGTGAATCAATGTACACATCAATAAGAGTCTGAAGCAGATCACGGGAATGTGATGCCAACGCCTTGATATTTCTGTTTGCCACCTTAATTGAGTAAGAGGCCATATTTCTGGAATCTGAAACCAAATCTTTATTCCCATTGCTAGTCATTTCCGCCACATTGCATCCTGAGCCGAGTGCGCTTCTATTTTGACTCACAAGAGCCTAACAGACCAATTAAGCAATGAATATATGAGAACAATATTATTATACATGATCAAGCAATATCAATCACAAAGACATACAAAATCCATATGGTAAATATCACAGTATATAGGAGGAATGAACGCTCACTTTCAAGGCAACAGCTATACTTTTGTGCATGGATGGGTCCTTTTGGAGGAAAACAATTAAAATTGATGTCAAAGATTCAAACTTCTTATGAGTGTCAACAGGATAGCGACAGAAGGCAGAAACTAGTGCCAAGAGTCTCTGTGAAAGAGCTTGTAGTTCTTCACGGAGTACTGATTTTTTCACTGTAATAAAAAAGAAAAGGACCAAGCTTAGATGAAAAGAAACCCAACAGTTCGAAGACCTCAGATACTCTAAAGCATTGACCAACAGGGAATATAAAAGACCAAAAACCTGCAAGCTCAAGTTATCCCACCTATCAGCAAAAAGGAAACTTGAGATATTAAATAGCCATGCAAAGGTGCCCTAGCAGTTCTCTCTACAGAAATTTTTAATACTTGCAAAGAGAAGGGTATTAGCAGCAGAACTTTGCTATGGCCAATATTCAAAAGCAATGTTCATCTCTACAGGAAGCAAGTATTTCCATAATATACCTTTACGACTGGCTCGCTGTAGCGTCTTTGCAAGAGGCACTATATGCTCCACATAAAATTCTAGTGATGCACCAACAACATGATCTTTTAGAATGGGTACCAACCAGGTGTTTGAACAGGTTAAACTGTTAGCATCGAAGCAGATAGGTATAAGTCCAAGTATCTTCTCCGGACCCAGGGCAACAACAGCAGAACCAATACAACTCTGCAGCTGCAATAAGATAAATATTTTAGAACACAAAACGAATATGACCAGAGTCGAGTCTATATGGGCTGAAAATCATGCAAATTCATATTATGGCCGTGGACTAAAATCTTTGAAATGGAAATTAGTAAGTAGACAATCAGAAAGGTCATATAGCATACAATTCTGAGGAAATTCTCCAAGAGAAAGTTTGCTTACAGCCAGCTGTCCAATTTATCAGAATATCAGATAAGATAATTGGCATGTATCATATCACCATAAATACTGTAAAAGACTCTAAGATGCTAATTACTCAGAATATACAAGCGACCTTCCTCAGCCATATTCAGCAGAAATTCAATAGGAAAGTTGCAGAACATATTACAAAAAGATGCTAAGCTTCTGATAGAGCATTAAATGAAGCTTGTCATAGAAGATTACAAGACATCACCTCTTACAGTACGAAACCACTAGCATTTGGCTTCAAGAGTTAAAAGGAAAGTCGAAGGAAGTCGCAGTATTTGTTTTCCAGCATAAAAGTAGCAAGCAGCATTGGAGTCTTACATAAGTTGTCTCTGGAGAATCTGGATTAGCATGGTTCATAAAGTAGGCAAGTTTAACCACAAAGCCCTCCATGAAGATAACAGAGAACTCCCCTACAACCAAAAACGAAATTCAGTTCAAGGTAGCAGCAGCGAAAACAATTTGCAGCTGCTAGAAACTCAGGAATTCAGGAGCCTCATAAACTATACAACAAGCACACAATCATTAACTCCAATTTCAGTGTGCACTATATGTAATGACCATGAGACATTGCACTTATCATGAATAATTTTGAACGAAACACCATCAATTTATATTCCCTATATTTTCTTATCCCAATGGGAAAACCTCTAACATGAGTTGCAGTATAATAACATCTCAGCCAACAATTCAGTTGCAGGTTTCATAACAGCATGACTACAGAAATTCTAACTTCAGCAAAATGCATCATGAAGTGCACATAATTGATTAAATGACTTTAAAACATCCTAATAATTATAAGATAACGGCTGGACTTTGAGAGGTTCAAATAATGACCTACCGAGCCTTTGGAACAAAACTGATATTACTGACAAAATCTGCTCATTTGGCACCCCTGTACATGAACTTAGGGCCAATTCAAAGACATGACATGTTGCTTTTATCATGTCAACCTCCTGGCTCCCTTCCCTTACTTCATCAAATGATTTTCCCTTGTTGGCCAGGAGAACTTTAACATCGATACACTCATTTATCAACTCCTTTATGATATCAGTAGCTTGTGATGCTATGTCACCCTCCAAAGATAGAAGACCTGTTTCATAAGAATCAGACTGTAACATATGCAAACAAGTCATGCAAGCACTAAAATAACAAATGATAACAAAAAAGTAGACAGAAGCATGAAAATAGTACATTTAGAATTGGAAAGACAAAGTGGAAAATCAAATACAGGTCATGAGAACTATAATCACAATCCTTATCTACAGGGGGGCAAACCAATAAGCTCAAACCTTCAACTAAGCTAAATAGTTTATCAGATCCAGGTAGCCATAAACATCTTGTGGTTGGACTATCCAACCACTAACATCTATATTTATTGAAAAATGTTTTTCTACTCCCGAAACAGAAGTCTTGCCACACACCTGAGCTTCAGGGGAAATCTATTCACAATAATAAAACTTTATCCTTGTAACTACCTTTCCTCAGTTAAAATTATCCAACCAAGAAGCATACCTGTCAAGCGACCCAAAATTGTAGGAAAGGTTTTCATCCACGAGCACGATCCTCTGGCCTGAAGCTTATCCAAAACAACTTTCAACAACCTAGCGGCAGAAAATACTGTGTCCACAGGATTCTTCTCCTCCGACAATACATAAGAAGCAAGAGAGTTTGCAATGTCTTCAACATGGGGACCAATAACTTCATTCGTTGATGTTGTGAGAAATACTTCAGCAATTTGGAAAACATTTCTTGTATGCGGCAAAAAACGGGATGCCATAAGTTTGACCAGTTCTGCCAAAATTTTACAACCGATCTTGTCGGAGAGATGTGGAATAGTAGCCTTCAGCAGATTTAGCACATGAAGAAGCTCCAGATGTTTAGAATTCAAAGAAGCTTCAGCATTAGACGCATCCACAGTTTCCGACTCATTTAAGGAAACTGCCAGGGGAGTGTAACTTTTGAGCAAAGAAAGCACCAACTTGCTTGCCTCCTTGATAGTATCAGAAGAACTGAACGATTTCAGAACCTCAACGAGACAGTCTTGAGCTGCCCGTCGCAACTGAAACAAGGCGATTGACATATTAAACTCATACTCTTCATACTTACTCATTCCTAAATGCAGTTGAACCAAATGGTAACATTCCATTTTCATTCAAAAGCAAGAACCTGCAGCAGCAAAAACATACCGCAAACAGAACTACATTGAACAAATTTACAGAAGTTCCAAACAGAAAATGTACCTTAGGACGCTTATCAACTGATAACTTTAGCAAAGTCTCAACCCCTTGCTTGACCGAGTTCCAATCTTCCAAATCGCAAAACTTGGCAGTCAGAACACCCAAACACTTCACCACACCACTCAAAGTCGACACGCCCAATGCCTCCTCCCTCCCCAAAACTGCTCCCACCAGCACTGCAACAGACTCCGTCGCCCTGTCATTCGCCATCCCTTTCTCCGGAATCAAAGGCGTCGCTATCGAAACCAAGGTCGAGAGCGCGGCAACGGCAGTGGAATCGAGAGCCTCGGAATCCGACAGATTCTCCATTCCCGCCAGAAAGTAAGCCGTGGGAGTGAGGGCCCGGGACTCCGCGGAAAGGATGGACCGAAACGCGGCAGCTGTAGCTAGTAAGTGCCGGTGGTGTGGAGCCGTGGAGGTCGAGTAGCGGGACATGAGCTGGTCGCAAAGATCAGTGTCGTCTTTGAATGCGTTCTCAACTTCGGTTTCAGCTGCCGGCTCCGTGTTTCCTTCCGCCCGCTGGCGCTTAGCTTTAGGTCTCATGGCGCTGCTCCTGCGCTTATGCCTGGTTGGCTTCTCTGAGGCTGGCGTCGCCATGGATTTACGGGAGGGAATTAGGGTTTTAGGAAGGGGTTTTCCGAGGGAGAAGACGAGCCAAGTAGAGTGAATTACCAAAAAGGTAGTAATTCAGTAATTTGTGAACTGCCAAACTATTCCCGCCCGGGGTATATTTACTAGTTGACCCCATATTTTGTAACAGATTCGTACATCAATCCCCCATACTTATAATTTTCTTTCAATACTGGAATTATCCATTGGGTAGTGATGTATAGTACTATAAATCTATCTCTGTTGTATGGTTGCTATCTTCATTGTACTTTTGTAATGTGAAACTCGAAGTATCATTCATACATTTAAAAAAAAAATCTAGATTTTATGATGTTGATATATATGCTTGGAAATTTGGACATAGCTTAATGAGTTGTAAGATCATTATTGGCATTTTACACCATATATAGGGATGGCAATGGGTCGGGTCGGGGACGGATAGTGCATATCCGTTACCCTACCCAAAATAGTTCGGGTTTTACCCATACCCATACCCACATATGAAACGGGTAGAAATTAAAACCATGCCCATACCCGTTCGGGTTTCGGGTATCCACGGTTATCCATGGGTAATGATTTATCGTCATAACTCCAACTAATATGTTAACATTCACACGTATTCTCACATTACGCAAGAGGAAAAGTATGAAAATAATTCACTAGAACGAAGAAAATTAGTTAAAACAACACAATTTCATGAAAATATTATATTTATATGCTAAATATAAAATATGTTAGAGAAAAATAATGACTATTTCTATACAAAATACATATGTATGTGTATAATCGGGCGGGTTCGGGTTGGATACTGAGAAACCCATGCCCACCCATTACCCGCAATATTCGGGTTCGGGTTTTACCAGTACCCACTAAATGTCCTTCGGGTTCGGGTTTTACCCTACCCGATTAGGCCGGATTCGGACGAATATCCACGGTTACGGATATTTTTGCCATTTATGGTTTGTATTCCTGGAGGATTTTAATAGACACCAAGAGAGGGATGAAATTGAACAGATAAATGGGGTCCGGAAGAAATGGCAGAAGTCGGCCGAGGGGTTTGTGTCGATCACGACTGATGCAGCAATTTTAGAAGGAGGGGGAGCTGGTTTGGGTGTGGTGGCTCGAGATAGCAAGGGCGACTTCATCTTGGCGGCGGTTAAGCGGGTTCGAGGTATATGGGAAGCTGAACAGGTTGAGGCTCTCGCGATGGAACTAGGAATACAAACGGCGACATTGATCCAGGCTCCTCGTTTGGTACTGGAAAGTGACTGCCAAACTCTGGTGCTAAGACTGCAGAACTCGATGGAGGATGTTACAGACATGGGAATCATCTGCGGCAGCATCCAACGAGGGATCAGAAATATGGGAGAAGTTCGTGTGACCCACATTGGTAGAGAAGCGAATGTTGCAGCACATCTTATGGCCCAAGTGAATGCTAGGTGGGATGAAAGGCAGGTGTGGTTCGACACACCACCATTGATGTTATTGAATCAATTACTGTTAGACAATGTAATCGATTCGCTTAATTAATAAAAGCTCACAGGTTCCCGTAAAAAAAACACCATATATAGGTTTGTATCATATTTAGATTTGAATTAGGTTTTGATTGCTTCGCGCTAATTTGTTAAGCTTTAAACAAAAACGACTTTTGTTGGGCCATGAACTGTAACTTGAACACTCAGTTGGGCCACTCTCCAAGTTCCTCCTCTTTGGGCCAAGCATTACTGCATTAGCAAAGGTCATATATTATTTTGCTAGATTAATCATTTGGTTTTTTACATAATATCGAAATAGTGTCTGCAGGGAATGTGATATTGAATGTTACACAAAAAACCAGAACATGCAACTAATTCCAGAAATCCTAGGGGAATTGTTGGGTTATAGCGCTAATTGGCGAATAGAAATCGATATCCTCCATTATAAACAATAGATATGACATCATATGGCTATACAAGTTTCGATTGTTCATGATAGGTTGTTAAAAGAGTATGAACAATGGATTACGGACAAAGATAGATCGACTTTATGCGAACCTAAGTGCAATTTGCTATAGACAGAGGTTGATTCGAAGGGGGGGAAACTCGTTGATTAAGTGTAACATATATCTTGCCATTTTACCGTACCAAGGCGGGCTACAACACATCATTAATACATGTTTCCCTCGAAAAATACTCAGTAAAGTTGAAATCATTAATAAGATATTGTCTAAAGACTCACAAGTGATTACCTATTCGAGGATAATGAAGGGGTATTTTTTTTATAGCGCACAAAAATATATCTATGTGAAAACTCAAAATACGAGGACGATAGTACATTTGTTTGTGACGTCAACCAAATACACCATTCAAACAAAACTAAAAATTTATATTATAATTCGTGTCCATCATCACTTGTATTTCCAAAACTCTTTCCCTTGTCATCATGTACCGTTGCACACCCTCATTCCATAATAATGAGAGAAAAAAAAATCAAAGATTGGAATCTTCTTCTTCCCTGTTCATTCCAACTAATCAAACAAATTAACCGGCAATCATCCCCAATTAATTAACCCAAATATCCTCTCCAAGACCTAAAAACCAAGTTAATTCGTAAAATCAATTATATGGCCAACACCCTAAAAAAATAAAAATAAAAAATTCAGAAAAAGGAAATATAAGATTAGCATTTAGCAACACACACGGGAAAGATAGTGGGAAAAGAAAGCACAGTGACAGAGAGCGAGCGAGCGCGTGCACTTAATAAGTTCCTTAGTGGTGTTTGGCTCGCGCTTTTTTTGTTTATTAGGGTTCACGCTTTTTTAGCTTTTCCCCCAATTTACAATTTTTTCCCTCTTTTCTCCCCAACAAAGCCAAACAGAGCGTTATGGGCATCACAGCAAAATCCAGCCGGGCCAAGACCACCACCACCACCGCCACTTCTTCCTCTTCCGCCACCGACAATAACAGCAACCGTGGCATGGGCTTCCTCTTGGTCTTCTTCTCCGACGACAAGAACTCCTCCCCCGGCGTTGCCGACGCCAAGCAGATTGCTCACCGGTATGATAATTACAGCCTGCAGCAGTCCTCCGCCGATTCTCCGGGGAATGCAAAACCGGCCATGAAACGGACCAATTCCAGCAACCCAATCCTTACCAAAACTCAATCCACCATCTCCGTCTGCGCCTTCTTGGTCCTCTTCTCCTTCCTCCTCTTCGCCCTCTCCACTTTTGAACCCCCCATCCCTCCCCACCCCGTCGCCGCCGTGTCCGTCCACCGCCGGTTTCTCTCCGAGAGGCCGATTATCCACCACCGCGGGGTCGCCGGGGGAGGGGGATTCTACTACTGGCTCGACGCCGCCGCCGGCGGGATTGTCGGGAGGAGGAGGACGAAAGAAGCAGGGGACGAGTATTCCTCTGCTTCTCCCCCACACTCTTTTGCTCTCCAAGGGATGGGCAGGCTTTACCGGCGGGGCACCAGATCCATGGCCGACCTCCTCGTCGGCCACGTGGCAGAGGACACCACCGAGGCCGAATTCCGCCTCTTCCTCCGGCTGTTCCACCGCTCCGGCCTCGCATCCAGGGCCGACGCCGTCTTCCTCTTCCCTTCCTCCTCCGCCTCCAGATCCGGTTTCGAGGCGGTGATTCGCGAGGAGAACGACTCGTTCTCCGCGCTCCTCCTCCGCCAGCATTGCGCCAAGAATCACTCCGAATCGAAGAACAACGCCGCTTCCATGGAGGTGGAGAAGGAGAAATGGTCCTGGTCCAGATTCGACGCGGGGCGGTTCGTGAAAAGGGCGAATCACAGCAAGGGAATGGCGGCCGCGGCTGCGGGGCCGATGGAGACGACTCTTCTGTGGGGTAAGAAAATTCGACTCAATGCTACTATTAATGGCAGTTCTAGTCCAACCACTACTTCTTCTTCCCCCACGGCGAGTCGCGATGGCGACTCGCCGCCGCCGACGACTCGGGTGAGTTACGGGTCGGTGGTCGGGTTCGAGGCGAGCGAGCTCGACCCGGAAAACTCGCTATCCGGTTTCCTCCCCAACCCGCAAATGTCCCTCCGTCGGTGGGCGTGCTACCCGATGCTCCTCGGGCGGGTCAAGCGGAACTTCAAGCACATAATGCTGGCCGACGTAAAGTCCACGCTGATCCTCGGACCCGACCCGCTCGCCCGGGTCCGGAACCGGGCGCCCGAGTCCCTCATCTACTTCTCCACCAGTAAGGAAACCGGAAAGCGCGGCGGAGGGAAAAAGAGCGCCCGGTCCGGACAGGCGGCGAACCCGGCGGTTCTGATGGGCGGAGGGAGAGGGATCCGGCGATTCTCGGCGGCGATGCTGACGGAGATAGTCCGCGCCGCCATGCAACACAACGGCAAGAGGAAAACCGGAGTGACGGAGTCCGGGATCCTGACCCACCTGCTGATGGGGAGCAGCGGCGAGCATATTTTGAAGAACATCAAGCTTATGCCGTCGCCGGACTCCATCCCCGGCGCCGGCGAGTCCGAGGAAGAGTGGGGCCGGCGTTACCCAGTAATCCAACGCGGCGGTAATTACTACAGCGGGGGAATTAGCAGCAATAATAATAATAATAATAATGATCATGATGATGATCTAAATTCCGTAATCATGAAGAGAATCTGCTCATGTGACGACCAGGATCTTCTCTCTCCGCCTGTGTATAAGGATTGCATTAGCAGTAGTAGAGAATTATTACGAAGTGGGGAAATTTGATTATTATTAGTTGATTAATTAAGCCAGAGATTAATGTATAATCAAAATTGAAAAAAAAAAAAGAAGAATTTTGTTATTTTGTTACTTACCAGTTACCACCATAGTTTTGGCTTTCCATCTTGCAGTGTACATTTTTTTGCTTTTGTTTCTTTCTTTCTACATGTGATGTGAAGAATATATGGAGAGAAAAAAAAAGGATAGATATATGAATTCAACAAGTTCTCCCTTCTTGGTGTCTCTTCTTTCGTGATGGCAACTCCGACGAATACGTCTGAAACTCTGCTTCGAACTCTGTTTGTGACAATCAGAGAGGATCTTCTCTCGTCATGATAGGTTGCAGGGCTTCGAATTCGCTACTAATCATGTCGATTTCCATGAGTAACTTGTACCAAATTTACAACGATTGGTGTTTTGATCGAGCATGTAGCGTCTAATGACGATCAACGAAACTTCAAACGGGTAGTTGGTTATGAAAATTGAACTCGAGAGCATACCGTGTTTTGTTACTTGGAGCATGGCCCTAGTAGTAGTATTTGGTGTTGTTTAAATACGAGAGAGGGACATTGTGGGGGCGAATATGTGGACAGGGGGATTAGGCCATATTTGTCTACGTGTGGGGGTTAGATAAGTAGCCAAAAACAGTGACAGCAATAAAAGATATGGGGATTCTCTGTAATTATTATTATTAAGTATATAAATATAGATGCTAGTATGATTCCTTTTCTATTATAAGATTGCAAATACCATAGACAATAGCTAGGGAGAGATATTTTATTCGTTTGATTATTTATTTCTCATGCATGGTTAATTCAATCCCGTGAACACATTAAGAAATGATTTGTTCTTTTTGTTTTGTACTCCCACCTCAAATTACAAGTTATTACAAAATACACCACTGTTTATTTTCATTTTCTGAAAAAATTGTAAAACACACTCGTATCTCGGTGATCAACCATCGAGAGAAAAAAAAATTGAGAATTTTGAGTATATTTGGATGTAAAGGTTAAAGTATAAATGTAGTTAGGTTTGAATTCTTACAATAAAAAATGTATTTGTAGCCTAATGGTAAACATATTCAATAATAGCAACCGTGTCACTGGTTCGACACCGAACAATGATACGTTCAAGTTCAACAAGAGTTATCACGACAATACTTTTTATGTTGACATAGTTCAATTCAAATCAATATAGACTTAATTTATAATCACCAACAATTAAATAATCTTATTATCCACCAATTTTTTTATGCACCATTGATCTAGTTTAAACTTCTAGACCACACATATAACCACCAAGAGCGGTCAAGAGATTTGGGGATTTGTGGTGGTGTGCCGTCTCAGCTCAAACTCAATTGAATCTTTGAAAACTAAACCCCTCTTTATTCCTTAATTAATAGTTTGTAGTCAACTTATTATATTCTCATCTCCCTCCTGTTCTTGGATTAGTTTAAACATTACTATACTATTAGATCGTAGTAAGCAAAGTTTCTTTACAGTTGTTATTGTTCACCTTTTTGTATATACACATCCAGTTTTCTTCATCCTCACATTTTGCTTTGACACCTTTTTGGGCTCTTCTTTTCTCATTTGCTTCGTATTGCTCAATTTTGCTCGCACAAACGATACAATATGCCTTCCTTCTTCTACACCCCAACACAGGATTGACCAAAAATCACAATACCGGGTTTTTATCACAAGAGAGAAGCTCCGGATAGAACTCGAGCGGCATTAATCCGATATAAGGGTGGTTGACAACTGATTTATCGTTACTCAACATGTCGAATGGTACTGGGCGAGTAACAGAGAACATATAAGTAATCATTATCGATACTAAGAATCGGTATTAAAAAGCACAATCATCTATTTTGGCATAGAAGGAAACACATACTAATGTAAGTTTGGTACCGCAGTTATATCCTAATTATAATAAGAGATTACGATTGAACTCATATCTCGGTGTACCCAATCACCCCGACTCGCTAAACCCGACTAAAACATGGCATTGGTGATTTTTGGGTCAGTTTCCGCTTTTCAAATTGGCATTGCGTCCGGTGCATTTGTGGTAATAATTTTTGGCAATTTTTTTATCAAACTCGTCCGTGAAAAAGCAAAATAACGTTGTTTTGCATATAATCCCAATACGAATAGTTTATGAATATTGTTGGTTTTATCACAACATTGTCATGATAATATGGAGTGTATGGATGTTATAAGCCTCTATATATGATATATAGTTGTTTGGTAAATTTTCCATAGTATAAGGATGTGTCGCAATTATCTTCGTGAACCCATGAATACCCGTACAATCACGAACACCCGTCATTCGTCAATTGATATGTTTTTTTTTTCTCTTTCAAACCTTAGTAAGTATTTACCAAAAACATTTAACGAGAATGTATGTACTCAATTAGGTTTGGTTATGGAGAACTTCTCCAAATCCAAACCAATTCCCATATAATTTTTTTTTTATAATTACCATACTAGTCATAACTACAACTTCCTCTCCACCTACCATGTAAAAGATCTAGTTTTTATGATGAAAAGGTGAGAAGGAGGTTGGTGAAATCATGGGATTGGGTCGTAATCCGAAAATCTTCAAGTGCTGGTTGGGGAGTTGGGGATTGCACTGCATGAAAAAGCATTAAAACCCCCAACTACACATTATTTTAACTAGGGTGTCCATTCGGGTTCGGTTTTCCGGGTTTACCAGAAACCGACCCGATTATATACATTTTTGGTTTTTCGGGTTCGGGTTCGTTTCGAGTTTCGGGTTTTTCGGTTTCAGTTTCGGTTTTGCTTATCGGTTTTTCGGGTTTCGGCTAAAAACCTCCAATGAATAGAACTCAGCCCGTATTTTTAGGCGTTCGGGTTTTTGGGTTTCGGTTTTGCTTTAACTGAACCCAAACCCGATAAGGAATTTTCGGGTTTCGGGTAACCGGAACCCGCAAGTCCTCATCGGGTTCGGGTTCGGTTTTAGTGATTTTCGGTTTCGGGTTTTCGATTTTTTTTTTAGTTTCGGTTTGGATAACCGAACCCGACCCGAACTGACACCCCCTAATTTTAACCGCCGTTTGCTTTCCCTTTTCCCGCCACGGGATGAAATTGATTATTTGTTACATTTTTATAGTAATAAGAATGAAATTTTATTAATAATATTATAAATAGTTTGCCAGCAAAGGGCTGGGCCAAACTAAAAGCCCTGCTGGTTTACATTAAACAACCATAGAGGCCATAGTAAATGAATTCACATGGGACACCAAATACTATTATTAGGCCCGTAAAAGGAGAATTTTTTTTTTATATATTAATAATAATAATAAAAAAAAGGGAACAAGAACATGCCGGGAGAGTAATAAAGCAGCGGCAGCCAATTAAACACAGCCAGCTACACAATGCCCTGGATTTTCATTGGCCAAGAGTTGTTTTTTTTCTTTTTATTATTTCATCAAGTTATAATTGGAAGTAATAAGTCGCCGCACCGATTTTGCTAAAATGCTCACAAACTCTACCCGTGAAAACTTGCTTACAGGGGGATATATATCCGTCGAATATTGCATCGTCGGATGGATGCAACGACAATTTGTAATTAATCTATCATTAACGTTCATCCAACGCGAGGGCGAGACATCCAGGCTCCAGTGCCCTATTCGACGATTATGCAATATCGCGTCGTATCTGATCAGAATAAGAACAATTCAAATTGAATTTGATCTACTGCAATATAATTCGATTCTGTAAATTTTTTTTTGGATCAAATCGAACCGCGGACCGGACCGAATCAGAGCACATGCACGTTTCGATCAAATCATCGGTTTTGACAGTAGATACGTACGCATCCCGCGATTAAAATCGCAAACTATGCACGACTCGACGAGTTCAGCTCGTGCGCCGACACCTACCCTATGGAGGTGGGTGTGTGTAGCAGCACTACAGTGTGCATGATTTGTTTATGATTTTCCCCCATTGTCACTCCCAAGGCTGATCCCTTAATTCATAGCTGATTAGAATTCAAACAGTCACACCCATCCCTCTTCCATAATAAACTGATCATCGAATCGATCGTTCTTTTTATTTTTAGTTTGTGGGTTTTTCCAATTCGAGGGCCATACACTTGTTGACGACTCCCTGGACACTGTTTTGATTGCAGGCATTATTGTCTGTTTTTTCTATTGTTCATGTAGACCATATTGCACTGGTATTCAGCCAGCTCTCTGTTGTTGTGGCAGAAAAAAAGCAGAGGATGCCCAAGAAACCTGAATTCTTGCTACTGGCTGGCTACCTGGTGCGTGTACTTAATTAGTCGAGACGTGGAATTGTCTGTTTGTTTTTTGTAAAGATAATGTGGGTAGGGTTGATATATACTACATAGATAATCATCAAATATTGGGAAGGTTTAATGATGATTATGACTTTAATTAGGGATAAGTTTTTTCCTCCAAATGGGTCAAATCAGCTGAAATCAGCATGTGATTTTGGTTAATTAATCCCCCCACCCCACCCCAACCTAATTATGAGATTAGATTGTGTTTGATCATAGCTGGGCTACTTGGTGTAATCTTTTCCGAGTCTTTGATTTACATTTTTACTTCATGGTTTCGGTAAAACCCGCTGGATGAACATTTTTTATTTTCCGGGCGAAATTAATATCTCGAGAGAGAGGAAACTCTTATGACCGATCCGCTGAAACGGGACATCAACAAGGACCTGCAGACACTATTCTACGGAGAATTCATTGTTTTTTGTACGTAGTTGTCTCTCTTTTTATCAATCGCGTGACATCTTCGAGATCTCTCACGCGCTGCAAATGTTGAACGACCAAATCGAGACTAAGAGAAGAACTGGTGATCATGTTCGACGTTAATCCAAGATTGTTGGCGAGTGGATGGACCGATTTTGCCACGATGGACCAATAAATCAACCCTTTTTTTACACCCAAACTTAGGCATGAAGGAAGTATCAAAGATAGAGATGTGGGGATGTGCATCTACACAGGAAGTGGAGAGAAGTCAAACTTTTGACTGTGTGGGAAGCAAAATTTAAGGTGGGCTTTGGATGCTCCCATTTGGGGCATGATGATGATTGCCCTAAAGTTTTCACCGGGTTGGGAAAAGATGGATGATGATGAAGAAGAAGATGGAATGCTATAAGCCAAACCACCGACAATCATAATGTGCCACGTGTCCCCATTATTTTCTCATGTGAGACAATTTTGCTTCACCTCACCAATTAATCACCACCTTTTCTTTCTCCCTTTGACTCACTAGCCTGTTCCCAGCTGGGCCCACTTAACCTCCACCAAAAAGCCCAAAACCCACCCCACTAATTACCTTCCAGCGTGTCACTATTAGCTGAAAAGGACTCGTATACACGCAATAGAATTTACCAATCTTGTAATTACAGACAATGCATCCATTTCACTTAGGAGACGCTAATTAGCCTTTTAAGTCGCGTATAGTCGTAGACGAAGAATATAAATAATAGTTTAAGGTACTTAAAAAGTTGGTTAGGAGGTAATGGTGTAGTGTAGTCGAGGCGTCTTTAGCTAGCTAGCAAGCGGGAATTGCTGCAACACGCACGTGGCGTGATTATAAGTTAATTAATCTTCCCTTCTTAATTCAATATCATTTAGTATATTGTCCAAATTGGTGGGGATGGGATTAGGTGCTAACCCTTATAGGGGTTAGTATCGTGATAACTAGCAAAAATCACTACGGATTATTATAAAAACAATACAACATCTAAGCTAAATCACTACTAATTCAAACTAGTAGTAGTTTTTCCCTTGATTAGGACGGTGCTAACTATTGTACAATTAACACCGTAACCCCTCCCCAATCAGTGGTGTACTTTAATGGGCAATTAATTAAGTTATAACATGAGAAAGAGCAACACGTACGATTAACAACTTGGGGCGGGGGGAAAAATATCCCTAATCTCATTTGTTTAATTATTTCAGGTGGGGTGATTTACACGCAAAATTTCAACATATTTTGCCTGGCATAGACTAGCCCTAGGAGTTGTTGTTAGAGCATAACGAGAAATCGACGATGCAAGTAAGTAAAAGAATCACACGAATAAGATGTTTGGTCTAGTGTGGTAATATAACCAGGTTTAAACCTGGAAGTATCAGGTTTGAATCCTTTAAGCAGTATCTATCTAACCATAAAAAAAACAAACATGTACGGATAACCCTTATCGAAAAAGGAAAAAAAAAGTAAACAAGTGCATGGTTCACTAATACGATATATATGTTAACTACGTCCAACACAAACAGAAAATTCGAACTCATAGCAACAGTAGTTGCATGTATTACAACCAAATCTGCCATGCCAGCTTGTTGGACTTTTCTTATATATATAATCACGAGCTTGGTTGAATTTCCCCTTCATTTTCCCCAATTGTTGCCGCAGCTCATTTCGTCACCATGCATGTGCCCTAATTTCGTTGCCAACCACTATGCCTAAATTCCTTCCTTACCGCTGGTCCCGGCCGGAGCAGCCACGTGCTTGCCGGCCGGCCGTATTTTTCTCCGCCTGCACTGCATGTAAAATCCGTAACGCACAAATCAACAAGCTCATATCTATCTGGCTATATGGAGTAATGACCAATACCTTAATAACTGATTGAGACATACGTGCTATTTTTTTTTATTATTACTGACTACGTGCGATTATGTTCAATTAATGAACAGAAAAAATATATTTCAAGGGAGGAGATCGAGCTTCCAAATCGAGTTTGTGGGTGCATGTTTTAACAGAGTGGGCCAGCTGAGAGAGAAGATGAGAATTGGCTGGAATTAGAGGTGGCAATTGGATCGGATTCGTGAATTGGATTGGTAGATTCATGGATCAAATGGATTGGTGGATTGATCCATGAATCCAAATGACATCCAAGACTTGGACCAAAATGTAAATTTTGAAAAGTTTAGGTACTAAAATGTCATAACGAAAATTTTTAGGTACCAAAATGTAATTTTCTAATGATTTCTTCGTATAAAAATATAAATTTTAGGTACCAAAATGTAAAATATAAAAATTATAGGTACCAAATCGTAATTTGCCATTTGGATCCAATCTATGAATCCACCAATGGATCAAATGGATTGGATTAAGTGGATAATTTGGTGGATGGATTGGATTGGATTCATGGATTTGGATCCTAATTGCCACCTCTAGCCGGAATGCATGTTATTAGTACGTAATTAACAGCGGTTTGAAATCAAGAATGTATCCCATTAACGTTTCATCCTAAATGTATGCCATTCATTAGTTGGTTATATAACTATATATGCGATAAGCTTTGATGAGTTGGTTAGAATGTTTCATTGCTATCAGAAGTAACATGCATGCTTGTAAATACGACATCATATAGTGACGAAAAACGAACAATCGAGACGGCGTGCTAAAGAACAAACTAAAGAAAAAGCTAGAGAACAAAAAGCAGAAACGAAGCATCTAATTCCTGTTCGTACGTGCTTCTATTTCTCTCTCTCTCTATATATATATGGCTCTTCCACAAATCAACCAAGCTCTAGCTTCGTCCTCATAAGGAGCGGGGGGAGAGAGAGAGAGAGTGGAAACGAAGAATAATATCAAACATGTGATAGAGACAAGTCATCCTCCAAAGATAGGTATTCGGATTATGGTGATTTCGTATCGATAGTTATTGTAAGAGACTATGTAAAGTTCAGATTCATATGGATGGATTGTTGGTTTGAAAAGGGTGTAAAAAAATAATATAAAAGTCGTAAACTTATCTAAACATTCAAATTATTGCGATCTGATCTCGGCTGGATGCTCTGGAATATTTGATTATCTTCCTTTTTCCTTTTTGTTGTATTCTAGTACATGTACACCTTTATATTCCCGTTTGATGAAGGAATGAGAGACTATGCAAATACTAGAAGACACAAGTACATTTATTAAAAACATAGAAAACAATGACCTAAACAAAAGCCATTGATTAATTGAACCCATGTAAAAGAAATAATCATCAACCTACTTTAATTTTTAGAAGGGGAAAATTTAATTATTATGTATATGAAAGTGATAGGGATGGAAAAGGTAATGGAATATATATATCTATTAAAAACAATATGAAAGAAAAAAAATGGAAATTTTTTATGCCACAAGAAAGGTTCCTCCATGCTCATCTTATCAAATAGGGACCAATTTTTTTTTTTTTTTTTTTGGGTTGGGGACAAAGATTATAGGGGAAGAAAGAATAAGAGAATCAATGGTAGGTTTAGGGATTTTTTGAGGGGGACCCTAAAAACCAACATGTAACTATCATCATATTGTTTGTACTTGATTGATTAATTAATTAGTAGGGCCACAATTCCATAACCAAAAAAACAAACCCTACACTCCCTAATAATGCTAACTAAAAGGACCCTTAGCATGAATTATTGTTATTAGTATGTGACATATACCCTTATCTCTTTCTCCATGGTATTATCTACTAACTTGTTAGAAGATTGATGCATAATCAACATCAACCAATTAGGATTAGAGTATATTTTTCCCAATAGATCACACTAGTCCAAAAATCCAGGTGTTTCATCCTTGCATACGAGATATATTAATTTCTATATATCTTGACATTTTGAGGTATCGAATCATACCAATTATCTAATTAAGTTACCATATAGTAAATTTGTAAATATATTTCATCATTCAGATAGATTCATTTGAACCGACCAAATCAACAACACACCTCTTTACATTCCCTTATCATTGATGTGTCAAGTCACATGGCTCACAATCATGTTGGTTCTTGGGCTGGCCATGCTCCTACAAAATGCCCTTTTATCATTTATCAACTCACATGGCTAACAATCATGTTAGTCCTTGGGGTGGTCATACTCCTACAAAACGTTAATCTACGAGTTTGAAGTCTGCACAATTATTATTTCACATCCTTACATCGAATGTTAATATCGAAGACGATTAAGCATAACATTCAAAACACCATATATAACCTTCATTACTGAGTATAAGTATTTATATAGAGTACAATAACACACATCAATCAATGCATATACATAGTCCTCCCAAGAAATGGAAAGGTAAAATAGAATAATCACAAATCAGATACACAAATGAACCCAAATGAAAGAATTTTGACCTTCCAACCTTCCTCAGTGGAACACTACAACCTGACATTCTTACAATTCAGGGAAAGTTTCAAAAGAAACAAAGAATCTCCTTTTCTTTTTCAAAAGGCCAAACCAAAAGCTCACTCTTCAGCCCACAACACAAAAATTTGCATACTAACCCACATCTAGAGGCAAAATAATAAAATGCCATATCGAAGCAAGCCAGAAAACTTGGAACTGAACCAAAAAAAATCAACCACCAGAAAGCCAGCAGCAGGCAACAGAAGGGTAACTTGGCTGCTTAAAATAAATCAACTTTCTTCTTCTGCATGTCCTGCTTCCACTTGGGCTGTTTGTAGAAAGCTTCTTTGTCCATCCCGAATATGGACTCGAATTCCTCAGGTGATAGATATGCCTGCAGAATTTGGTGCGCAAACTCAGAAACCCATTATCTAAATATACTGAAAAGGAACGAAAGATCAAACACCGGACCAACCTCTCTCCTTTTGAAATCGATACCAGTCACGGGGTTTTCTGAACGAGCCTTCAGCTGATCGTAACTGAACACAACCTGACCAATGTCGGCATAGTCCTGTTCAGACTCGGTTTTAGGTTCAGAATCACCTCCTGCATTGCTTCCAGATGCAGATCCGGTGTCATCGATTTCCTTCCCTTCTGCAGCGGCTTCTTCAGACCCTTGATCTACTTCAAATGCTGCATTTTCACTCTTTCCTTCACCTGGAATAAACATAAGCTTGTAAATATTGCAGGCAAGATAGCATAATAGTCTCCTAATAAAATCTTGAACGGACAAACAAAATAGTAGTTGATGAGACTTGTTCCTCACCAGCAGGAGTTTTGGTTTCGGCACTAGGGCTCTGAGTAGGGGTACCGTTGGGTCCCTTCTTTTCAGCAGTAAGAACTTGTGAAAGTGCAGCAACAGCAGCAGCCCTTTGGCCTTGTCCAGATCCTGAAGATCCCCTCGAGGGGCTTTTGGTAGGGGAAGAACTGAAAGCAGAGTTCAGAGCAGCTAAAGCTGATGCTCTCTGAGTCGGTCCTTGATTTGAACCATTTGTCCTGTCCTGGCTCTGCATTACAACAATAAAAATACATTAGTTTAGAAGCTGAAGTAACCCTAGTTTGTGAGTGATGGTGTACCGATATCTCAAGGGGGAAATTTTAGATAATTTCTAGTGAAAAACATGGAAGAAGTAAGCCCACAAAGGGCGAACTTTTGGCCGTAAACAAGCATTCTTTGTGTGTCTGCAAGTGTAATGCATGACACAATGAAAAGAAGAGTATTAATTGAAGTCGGGGTCGAGTATGTTCTTACTCTAGGGGATGACTTCCCAGAGGAAGAATTAAATGCAGAAGACAAGGCAGCCAAAGCTGAAGCCCTTTGTGTTGCTCCTCCTCCTTGATTCCCATTTGATTTATCCTGTTACAGGAAAGTGTATATAGTATTAATTTCCAGCAATTATGTATGAAAAGAAAACTTAGCCCATTCTTTCAGTATGATGAGTTATAGTGTGCATCATAAAAAGGATGACTATAGAAAAGGCGTTTCTATAGCATATTAGCATTAGTTAGTGTTTTAATTAACAGAATGTAAGCATTAAAAAGAGGAAAACATGGAACTGAAGAGGTAAACTGTAAGAAGCAATTAAATGTAGTAATGTGGTATCTAGGATTCAGGCTGAAAACAACTCTTCTAACTGAACCAGAAATAACCAGATCATGTTTTCTGGTGTTGTTTTAGTCGGAAAATATATCATCCTTCTCTACCAGGAAACTGAAAACTACAAACAAACTTGACCTCTAACCTGGGTTTCTGGTTGCAGGAATAAACAGGGTTCACATAGAAGTGAGATAAAATGGCACCCAAAAACAGGGTTCGCCCGCAGTGATTTCAGCGTTGTTTTAGTATCCAGAGATCCAATTCTATGAGAAGCAACATGTCTAAAATCATGGCCTTACGCTCTTACCTCATGTTTAATTCCAAAGAGCAACGCCATCTTCTTCTGGAATGAGTTTCCAAGAGCCTGCAAACCCATGAAATTCATACCAAATAAGAACAGAACTAGTAAAGCTAGCAAGTATGTCCCTTTACAAGCCAACAGTTACTAGCTCTAGGATTCTGCACTCCGATCCACTATAAAAAATACTGATTGTTCAGGTGCTATGATTCTAGCTATAAGTGTCTCCCTTTTTAACATTTACTTCCCATTGCATATGTCTTCTTCAGGTCCAAAAAGTAAAGTTAAATGATACATCTTAAGCCTTCTGAAGTAACATCAAGCACTCATGGGACTGAACCTAATGGAATTTAGAAGAGAGGCCTGAAGCTGAAGTGGAACATACAGTGGCTTTTGTGGAATCCCATGAAAAGTATGTTGTAAAGAATGATGGCTCATTTCCTTCAGTAACTCTATACATCGGCACATTGAGTGACAAACCTTCAAGAGCTGCAGCCATCTCTAAGTATTGCTGCAAATAATACAGTACAGTAATTCACTTGGACATCTACAGAGGAAATGCAAAAAAATTAAGATTGCTCAACAAAAACCTGGCCAATATCAAAAGCACTTTGCTTTTCTTTGGGGTCTACAGATTGGCCGACCCAAACAAAAACTTCAGCTCGCGTATCAAGCACTAATACATCCTCCGTCAACAGGTCATCTTGAGAAAAGTTAAACACTTCCTCAACCTGCTCAAGGAATGCAAAAATCTTGTTAAGTACCTGAATACGTAAACTATCCACAGCACTCAGGCTCAAGCACTCACCTGCAATTTTCCTGCGGGATCCAATAGCAGCAAATTGACCATAAGAAAGAAAGTCAGAATCTTATTCAATGCACTCGTAGGTCTCAACTGTAAGATCCCTCAAAGTCATTGTATGAAGAAAAAAAGAATGTAAGCAGATGTACTGCAAACTAAAAATGCAGATAATATCACCTTTATTGAGCGACACTGTGAACAGGTGAGGTTCTCTGACATTTTCTGGGGACACCTTTTTGCTAGTGTAATTTTGTTTTCCTCCAAGAGCAGACCAGAAAATCGAGTTTTCAGTCCCTTCTTTAGCATGTTTCAATGTAGCTCCAGGCTGAACAGTGGTACAAATAACAGTCAGAAAAATGGATCTGCAGGGTATCCTCCCAAGTGCATACAAAGTTTAGTTGAATTTATGCAATAGCATAACTGCTACTAAGTTCAAATTAAAGTCACTATTGAAAATTGAAATTACAACTCACTTTCACAAATTCAGCGACTTTTGCTGCCAACTGCTGTTGCTCAAAAGCACTCTGATTCCCATGCCAAGTGAAAAGTGACGAGCCGGATTGCAAGAGGAAACACTCTGTGGAATTCAAGGAGGTCGCCACCTGAAGAAAAAAGAAGAAAAAAAAAAAATACATCGCATGCTTAAAACTCAATTATTAATAAACATTTATTACCAAATTCACAAAGGATGTAACCAGGTTATAGCATGGCTCTATATGAGAAATATGTTTGAACAATAAAGGGAATTATGTACAGCATGTCTTCTTGGAATAGATATGCAAGCTAAGGCCCAAGAATGAAATATCAGAGAAACCTTTCCTCCTGGCATAAAGACTCCTTACTAGTTCGTAAGGGTAAGACCAATCTCATAAACAGCAAATAGTTTTATAAGCTCAAATAGTAATCTAGTAGAAACAGACACCTTACTAGTTCATAAGAGTAATACAATCTCATAACCAGCTAATAGTTTTATAAGCTCAAGTAATAGAAACATACCGCATCTACTTGCTCTGTCTTGCTGTTATGAGCAGACGTTCCAGAGACTCGGAAGAGGGCAACAGAATCAGAAGTGTATGTGTCGTCAGTCACTTCTTTTTCTTCTATGTATTTCTTGTAGCCTGAGCTCAAACCACCCTAGAAAAATAATAATAACAAAACGAAATGAACAAGGGAAAAGCCCCATAAGTGAATAGAAAAATCCTTGAGGATCAACGAAAAGACCACTTGATTTATAGTACCTTGAGGACCACCATAGGCTGAAAAATGGCAATGAACTGTGGTGGCTCTTTGCCTTGAAATATGCGACCCTGAAAGATTAATCTATTAAATTCTACCCACAAAGTGGCGCGACACAAATTTTAATCCACACACAATCTCATTTACCAGAACAGGTCTTCCTTTCAGAGAGTTTGACATTGTATTAGCCAAACGAGTAGCCATCTGCTGATCTGCCTGAATTAAGTTACGATTGATGAAAAACAAAAACAAACGGATCAGTCAAACCACACCATCAACAGCGTCTAATTAAGGACATGATCTAGCACTTCAACATCGCAAAAAAGCATTGTAAATGATACCTACAAAAGTATAGAGATAGAAAAGGAATACTCCTTCAGGATTAAATTGCAAATATGCAAACTTACCTCAATGCTATTCTTCCCAAACCAACAGCAAAGATAATAGTCTTCTTTTCTTTCACCAGAGTGATAAGTGTAAAGGACAATGTAGCAATCTCCACCATAAAATTTACCAATATCCTCCTTAGGCACAGGAGTCTTGGCACTGCCATTGATACACCATACCTGCACAAACCAACCAATACATGAATAAGCTTTAGTCTGGAAGATCTCTGATGCGCAAATTAACTTCTATAAGAGCACCAATGAGAGTAAGATATAAACTAGACCTCCAATTTTCCACCCCCCTCAAGCAGAGGAGGAACTTCCTCATTCACAGGAGCACTTTTTCCCAAACCTTTGAGACCGACACCTTGTTGCTTCAACAAAGCTGACAGTATGTACAGTACAAACTAAGCATTAAAGGCATTGATTAATGGAAACTTAACGCAGTTTTGAAGAATATATAATTACCTGCTACTTTTCCCCTTCCCTCCTCAGCTCCTGGAGCTACAGACCCAGCAGGCCATGAACCAAAGTTTGACTTGAATGCATGTGTTTCATAACCTTGAATAACCCGGGTTATACGAGTGGATCTTGGCCTGTTTTCATTGGCAATAAAATCCTGCAAAATTCTTTCTGATATGAGACTGTGCACATTTATTTACTGCCAAAAAGAAGAGACAGACACCATTTACATTACCTCTGCCACCTTGCCCACTGTTTTTCTCTCCTCCACTTGTGTTGAACGGCCAACCCATATAAACACCTCAGCTCCGCAATCCAAGAGATAGCATTTGTTATTTTCCAACATGCCTTTGGATAGTTCCCCTTCAACAGCAGTCACACCGCCTTCATGAATGCTAAAACAGTAAGTGATAAAAGTCAGCAACTTATGTCGACTTCCAAACATACTAGCATCAAGAATATATCAAAGAGCCTAGTAAAATAGGAGTGTGCTCCTTTGAAGAGAAGGGGGGAAAAGGAAACAGATAGGAGTTCATAGTTTAAACTGGCAGACCAAGATTATCATGCATATGGGATCGGTAGGAACCAATGGATTCACTGAAGTAGGAGAACTAGTGGAAGCTAACAAAAGCAGCTACTAAATGATGGGGAGAAGTTATAATACGTGTAAAACTAAGCACTGTGTCTACATGAACATTCTTTAACTATTAACATATGCACATTTACTTCCCACAATTGTATAGGAAGTCCTTGCTTTTATCCATAAAAACAAGCATTGCTCAGTTACATACATTTCTTCCTTGTTCAAAACTAACTCATTAGAACTAAAAATGAGTACCTATATAATTTAGCAGGAGTCCTCTCTGCAACGATGTCATCATCAGTGATAACTTTCTTCCCAATTGGAGCAAAACCACCAAAGAGGACCCAGAATTCACCCGAATCTGATTCAGTATCCAGTTTACCATCATCTGCAGAGTGACGACCAACACACAGAAGTGAGCAATCCCTAGTATTATAGACATGAAAGGGAAAACTTTAAGATTTGCATATGTGGGAAAGTAATCAACTAGAAAGAACAAATTTTTTTGGGACATTGGTTCACACAGCTGCTGCACTCACCAACTATTGCAACATCACATGTTCCTTCATGATACTTATCTTTCAGAAACTGCACAACTTCTAGAGCCTTGGCCCTTTCTTGGATACTGGAATTTGCCCCGTTGAACTGAAAGATCTTCTTCTCAGAGTCTAGAATGAACACATCATCATGATTGAGAGATGCCCTTGCAAATGGAACCTATAAAACATAGAAGCAAAGTTAGGCTTCCATGATCCACACATTCAATCAATATAACTCTCTATAGTTAATTCAAAAATTTGACACAAGTAAATAATACCTGCTTCATTCTGACAACCCGTTTTCCTTTACAAACATACAAACGGGTCTCAAACTCTTCTACCTCAGGAGTCTTAAAGCCAGATGCAACACCCCCTTCTAACGGTATAATACATGGTTTAAAGTAAGACAAAAATTTGTCAGATTCGTGTCCTTGAAGTTCTCTGTGCTGCACGGCACGCCCTCCTAGAGCTGCATCAAGTTCAACAGTTTTTATCGCTGCAGTTCCTGCTTCATCCTGCAATGAGTAGTTATGCAGTGAGAAAACAATACTAAACATTACAGGTCCATGATGTAAAGATCCTATGACAAGAGAATAAGAGAAAAGCATCTGAGGGCACCTGACTTGTGTCCTTTCCAATCCAGAAGTGAATGTCATACAAATAAGATCCTCCCTTGCTTTGTGTTGTCTACGATAAGAACACAAGAAGGTGAGACAAAAAGCCATTAATGTCAACATTTGCTCAACATAGCAACAGTAAGGTGGTTTTACTGAAAATCCAATGGCACAGATATACTGAAATTCCAGTTTATCGTTATGGGTATAATGCAAATCCAATTCACAGATTACTTAAAGAGTATCATTCTATCAAGAATTTACCATTATAGTTACCATTGAACTTTCTTATCGACCAAAAAATAAACAGAGAAATGACAAGGAACACTAAGTTTTAATGTACTAATTAGGGAAACTAAACCCAAATAAGACTGCATGTCATACCATTCACCAATAAGCTAGAGAGAGATTAAAAAAAAAAGGCCAGTACCTGAAGGACGATGTAGCAATCCCCCATGTAGAATTTTCCATGATCCGACTTTGGCACTGCAACTGGTTGAAAATTCTCAATCCGCCATATCTCGATCCCACTAAGACAAGGTTAAGTATCACAGAGTTGCATAGAAAGGAGTTCATACATTCACATAATCTATAATCGTGAAAAAAACAAACTAAGTTTGAACATCAAATAGTCCTTAAATTTGTCTCGTCGTGGCGGATACGGTTTCTGGCCCACTCCCTGGAATGCAGGGTCCACAACTTTTGCAGCGCTAGACATTGCCTCGATCCTCTTTGTAAATACTGCTCAAGTGATTCACAGCCTGCAGCAAGAGTGAATAATTTTAGGTTAATTACACACTGCAATAGTCCAATAATTAGTAGTGCAGATTCAAGTCCATTGTTGTCTTTAAGTTAAAACAATTCTTCAGCTTCAACGTTTGGTGCATCCTCCTTGTCACTCTAATTAGACAGACCTTCCAGGAACTGCATGCTTTCCACGAAGCTAGAAGCTTGTCCTGTACTCCTGTTCCTCTCATACTCTAACGATCCATTAAATGGTTATGCAGCTTTCATTCATTTCCTCAGCTCTCCAAACTTACATTGTCGAACGCTCATCCGATAATATTAACCAAGTCCACTTGTCAGCAAGGAATCACTAGTCTATCTATCTTATCGTGAGGTACTACTGTTCGTGCATTGGAATGTTCCAAGCTGCAATGCCAGTTGCAGTTGTGGATGCGTAATCACTACACTTTTTTACCCCCAACTGTCCCAATGTCATTAACACGACTCCATGCAATTTTAACTTCATGAATGTATCAGTATGCATTGGTTCTTCAGAATAATCAAGAACCAGAATACTGAAATTATGAGAACCAGAAACTACCATATAACATCACCTAATGCTACCTATTAAGGTCATGATGTTCTCAGCTTCTTCTACCAATAAATACCCTCATTCGTTGGCTATTGGCTATGGTAATTGCAATCAATTACAAAAATTGAACCCAAAGACGAGCAGGAAATCAACACGTCAAGGAACCAAACAATCTGGAGCTGCTAAATCAAACAAAACCCCAGGAGAAAATATGACATTTTTTAACTACCAAGCAGCAAAACGACAAAAAGAAACGAACTTTTTCATCAGATCAAGGCACCGAACACCCAATGAGCAATGTCATGAGGTAATCTCGAATACCCAGATCATGAAACAGCAAGCAAAAGGAGAAAGATCTGGCATTAATTACAAATCCACACAGCTTGAAAACCTTGGGCGATCACAGAAAGAAGGAGAAACCAAACGTACCCAGCAACAACGAATTGATGATGAACACGATGATGAGGCGCAGTTCGGGAGAGAGCTGAGAAAGGGGAGAACAAAAGAGGCCCGAGGAGGAAATACTCGGGGAAAAGGGGATATGCGGAGTGCGTATGTGTATGGGAATTGGGAAAGAGAGGACGGAGTGGCAGAGCTGGCAATAAAGGAGAAAAGGGGGAGATGATGTACTGTGAAAGACGGGAGAGGAGGAGGAGGAGAAAAGAAAAGAAAAACTAAGGAAAAAGAAAGGAAAAGGGGGATGGATGAATTATTGCTTTCTGGGATGGGAACAGAGTTTTCTAATCTCTCTCTCGAACTTTTTCGGAGGTGGAAGGAAAGAAAAGTATTGACTGGATTGGAAGCAGGAAGAAGGTGATTTCCAATTTTACAAAGTGGAAGAAAAGAGGGGCAAATGGAGGAGTGTGAGAGAGAAGAAGAAAAGTGGTGGAAAATGAAGGCGATGAGCTATTTAAGGCTTACTGAAGATCCGGTGACGATGCCCCACCGGCCATGTTTTGCCATTCTCATTCATTGCTCTCTCTTGCCTTACCTTCCATGGCTTCCAAGTTCCAAACTTTCATGGTCTTGGGTTAATTACATTTGCTCTTGGTTGCCACCAAATTTTGAACCGATCTAACTTTATACAAGCAACTAAACCACCCAAGTTTTAGAATTTAATTCTTGGTACCAAATTAGTCAATTGGGTTAGCGAGCCTTTTACCATTAGTCTGATTCTACCTAAATGCAGGAGAACTCGACTCGTAAATTGGTAAAACATAACAAATTGTGTAGGCGTGATATCTAAGTCACTCTTCTAATTTATATCTACTCGTTATAAATGATATTTTTTATAATTGATTATATTCCTTTTGCTCTATCATACCCAAGCTCTTCTCCTAGTAGCTACCAGTGAGCGAGATCTCCGCCTCTTGACGAATTTGATACCATTAGTCGTATTATTCTTGTCCTTTTTTTATTCTTCTATCTTTATTTTTCGTGTGAGAATTGAATTGCTTCATGTTCTCCCTTCCGTTCACATAATAACGATTTATCAGGTATGATCAACAACTCGCAAAAATAAGAAGGTAGATATTAGTGATACATGGCATGACTTACCATATTATCATTCCTAATTTTCGCATAATACTTATTAGTACAATAACAAAAAACATATTTATTCTACCGATTGGAGAACCGGAAGTCAAACAAAATGATTCGCATTGCACAAACTATTTCATGTTGTACATTATACCTCACAAATTCATTTTTACATAAAATAAGTAAAAATACCCTACAAGCATTTTTTTTGTTGTTGTAAATTAATAGTTGACAAACAAAGACGCAATCTTGTGCCATATAAAATTGTAATTAACCAATCCAGAAGTGCCTTCTTCAACAACCATGAAACGTCACAACTCCATCTCAACAAATATATTATGTGCCGTCATGTCGTTTCATTCATTGATGCCACACCACCAATTCCACTGACGGCGGCGCCACCATGTCAAAGAAAGTGGATGGACGGCGATGGTCGGCTTGTCGACCTTCCTGCAATCCAGTAGTTTAGTCGTCAAGAAAACCAAATCCAACCACTGATTTGGTCCAACTTCCCAACAATTCAAACGGCAGAGATTATTACACATTACCCTTCTCTTTGTGGTTGTTAATAAATGGTACATTATCTATAATTCAGCAATCTCCCAATAACTCGAGTTATTATACGAGTTATTGTAATCAATTAGTTCTTGACATGATATCGGAGCCTTCTATACCCGATGAGTCTTCTGTACGAATCCCGATGACCCCGTATGTTCTGCTAAGTATATGGTATTCGGATCTTTACAAACTTCAATCTCATATGAGTCGGTTTTTCGTTTGAATGAATGTGTTAAGAAATGGTATATGATTTCATAATAGAACATCTCCCAATAATTCGAGTTATTGAGATCAACTGGTTTTTGAAACTCAACCCCCCCCCCCCCCCGGTGTCTCTTGTTTTAGTCTGTAAACGACGATAGAGAGAGCCAGAAAGGGACTCGAAAAAATCAAATTTCCGATTCGGGATGCGGTGGCTAATGTCAACATTAGGAAGTTTAGAGAGCTTTTCTGGAAGAGTAATTTATATTTAGTTTGACGAGTCTGCCTCTCCTGAAAATCGAAAAAATGTTACAAATTCATTGGAATGATGATCATGTCGAGAAGTAGTAATTTTAAGTGAGAAGGAAAGTAGAGATCACCCACCAAAGGGCCAAATGTGAGTTGGACTCACCAATAAAAGAATGAAAGGACTTGGCGTGAGGGATATGTATATACATGAGACATTGTTGACTGAATAGGGCTTGTCATGTGCGTTGTCTTTGATTGAAGCCTAACGTTTACAACTTGGAGGTTTGCACACATATCCCAATCCCATGGTGGTAGGGTTCCATGTTTAGTGCTATGATCCAAAAGAGGGTTTGAAGTTTGAACATAGATATGGGAGATGGGATGGTTTATACCATTAATGACAAAAAGAATGGTTTAGTTTAACTCGATGTAAAAGCAGTTTTCTTCTTCTTCTATCGCTTGTCTTACTCTTACATATGCATCCTCTTATTTTTTTTCGAACGATTTATCTGATTTGTCTATCACCTTCAAATTGTAGTCGAGTCAAAACCAGTGTGATAATTAAAGGAGATAATATGAGTCGAAAGATTTTATAAAGAAGGTTTAATAAAAATTCATTACATTCAAACCTGAAATCTTATACGAACAGGTAACGTATCTATCACATAATGACAACCATATATTTTGTAAGAAATTAAGTATCTTGTAAGGAACCAAACTGCATGTTAATCAACCAAGACGAATCAAACAAGCAATTCATCCACTTAAACACTCAAATTAGCATATGTCATTGTTCCAAACCCGAACACATATAATGTATACCCGATCATGTTACCAAATCAACATAACGAGTTAAATATCTTCATCATCGTATCACTAGACCAACTTCTTGTAGCTCCGAACACCGACCACTCTCACATCATCGAGAACCGGGCCACAGAGGTGCCCGAAGTCACGCAACTTGGTATGATAAAAATTACTAAAGAACGTGATCCTCGTCCGGTTGGAAACCGCCGGAAACACGAGGCTGGCCCTTTTCACGGCGCCTTTTCCGACCGACGCAAACGGAACCTGGAGGGTCTTGTTGGAGGCGAAGGCCTGGACCATCATGGAGCCGTGGCAGCCGTTCTTGGCGTCACCGACGGCGAAGGACAGGTTGTAGGATTTCCCGGCGACGGTTCTGATGATCTGGGCGATGGCGCTTTCCCTGCCGGCGACGAGCTCCACGGCGGCGAGGCCCGACGGGACGTTGAAGTGGCGAGAGTCGATGTATTTGATGGGTTTCAGGGATTCGACGATCCAGCCGGGGAGTGGGGAGGTTTTGTCCATGGATTTCGGCGGGATGAGGACGCCGGTGGAGAAGTTGTTGAACACGTGGGGGCCGATTTCGAATCCGCCGTTCTTCACCAGGTTGCCTATAAATGAAACGTTTAAGGTAAATGTTCATATAGTAACAAAATGGTTACAAACGCTTAAAATATAACAAAAATTATGATAGGTTTGAATGTCACAACGTATTACAATCACATTTTTCTTTTAGATCACATATACGCAGTTATTGTTAGGGATTGCAATGGCGCTTGGATCGGGTTGCATTTCTCGAAACCCAAACACAGTTAAAAGGGTGAACTCACTAAAAAGTAAAAATCACCAAACGCAACGTGTACTCAAGGATGCATGGGTATCCATGGGTTCACAAACATAACCGTATATTTTTTGAACACACACGTCGTCAAGCTATCGAAACCTTCCTTACAAACATATCTTCGTACCAATCATACCAACTGTAAAACATCGATAAATTATCTATACTATTAGGTTTATATTATCATAAAAAAGACTAATAACATTCACAAGTTATTTACATTGTTAATGGCGTCATCTTGCTTTATATGTGTGTGGGTCGGATAGAAGCAAGTTGAGTTTTGACCACACCCAAATTCGATCCAACTCGCCAATTTCTAAAGCGGGGTAGAACCCACATCTGACCAGAAACTCGTTAACAATGAAATTTTTACCCACTTGGATTAAATTAGGTGCTCATAAATTGGATTCAATTACCACCCCTAAATTCGTCATAACCATCTAATTTTCAAATAAACGAGGCTCCAAATGAATTAAGCACTACATTTACTTCCACCCCTATTGGGAAGTTTAGCCAAATTCGTGTAACAAAAGAATTGTTTACCTTTGGTGTACGTAAGAGGCGGAATCTGCTTGATGGCAACGGCGTCGAGCAACGGCCCACAGGCAGCATCCTCCTGAACGCCCGGATTGTGAAAACTAATCCTCACGACCTCGCCGCCCTTGTAAGGAACGGTGAAAGCCAGAGCATACGTGTCGCCGCCGTCGGTGCTGTACAGCGTCTGGAGCGGCTGATCCGCCGCCACGTAGGCAGCGGCAGCAGCTCTGCCCTTCCCGGCGGCGGGAGCCACCGTGACGCGGAGCACCTCGTCCTGCGCGCACGACTTGGTGGACCCGAACGTCAGGCTGTAGGCCCCTGGGCCCGCGGGGAGCTTAATGGGCTGCGAGACGGTGGCCCGGTTCCCGAGCCTGACAGCGTGGGCCCCTCTCGGGATGGCGAAGTAGAACCCGCCGGGCTGAGGCCCGCCCGAGACGTACTGGACCAGGCCCGTGATTTCCCACTTGGGCAGCGAGAGCCTGCCTATGATGGCCCGCTTGACGAGTTTTGACGCCGGCGGGGATTGCTCGAAGTTGCCATTCGGGAGCAGCGCTGGCATTTGTAGAGAAACGGGTTAGTGCTATCTGCTAATCGTTCGACAATGCAGAGAAAGTAAAAGGCATTAATGTGGTTCACTAATACGATGAGTGTTAGCTGCGGATAATGGATCAAAGTGCTTACCGTCGATTAGGGGAGGAGGAGGAGAAGCGGCTGTAGATATGGAGACGAGGAGTAGTGAGATGAAGCAGAGGGAAGGGAACCAGAGGGCCATTTTTTAAGATTGTTTTTTTTTTTGTTCTGAAGGTGAAGGCAGAGATGGTTTCTTGGCAAGAACAAGAATGGTGTTATTTATATGTGAAGGAAGAAGAAGAAGAGTGGTGGTGGCTGTCTCGTTTCAGCCAATGCATGTTCGAGGGATAGCACTAATTAGCAACCCATCAAATTAGGCGCCGAGTACGGATTCTCATGCTGGTGAACCAAGTCTGTCAGTCAGTCAGAGAGAGCTGCTCCTTTTTTCCCCCATTGTGGCATTAGTTTAAGTGCAAATTGTTAGGCATTTTGATCAAAGTTCAAACCTGGTTTCCATGGGACTAGTCTCCTCCAGAGGCTCCGCTTTCCCATGCTTAATTTGCTCTTGCTCCCATGCCTACTTTTCTTTATTTCGTCACTGTTTTTATTGCTCTGAAATTAGATTTTGTAGAACAACAAACAGAAAAACGTATGCATCCGTATGAAAATCATTTACGATGTGCTTGCGTTTATGTATTTCTACTACAGTCACAGTGACATATATGTACGAAGCAAGTCTATACAAATGTGTACTTGACATATATGATATATCAACGGTTAAAAAGTTAACCTAAGGATTGGCCTAGTGGTAATGTGGAGATGAGAACATCCACCACATATTGGTTCGAATCTTGAGACCCAACAACCAAAGAATATAAAAAAAAAACAATAAGAAAATTTGTTTTCAATGATCAAAGCTAATTTCAAAACTAATGTGCACCATTTTCATTATTATTATGGTCAAATTAGAGAAATATCATCGATTCCATCTATGAGCTATTAATGCTGTGTATCTATTATCTAATAAGATAAGCGAGTTCCGTTATTGAGAGTCAACTCTCCATCTCCTCTTCCCCGTACTTATCAATTTATTCCAGTACAGAAATTGCTCCCCAAATGGATAACATTCACATGGTATCATTAATATATAATATATATATGCTAAAACACTAGACTATGAAATATAGTAAGTCAATACTTCGGCAATTAATTTAGTATGCAACCTTGTGGAATCTATGGGCAATTCAGTTAATTGCTCACAGGGAACATGTTACTACTGTTATTTTCTCCGGAAGCAAGGAACCATCCCAAGAAAGCACAATGCAGCTATGCAAAATACCAAATAGCTAATAAGCAATACTACTGCTACTAAATACTAATACTACGACTACGAGGTTTCCGCCGAAGAAGGGAACCGGTTTAACCATGTCGTTCGGAGTAAGACGGGGTAGACCGTTGGAACAAGAAAGGGCAAGGTAAATGGGGGATTGGAGCTCCCACAACAGTTCCGAAACGGACTGCTAAACTAGCGTTCCTAGTGATTACGAACTCGCAGAGTCGTGTTCGGAGTCTATGTCCATCGGCTGTGGGTTTTTGTAACCACTCAATGCGTCTTTGTAACGTATCTTGTCCGCTCGAGCCATCTCTTCGTATGGCTCTTTTTCCTCGGCTGCACGATGGTGACATACAAGGATGTTAACAGAAACAGAATTGAGCAACAATTATATTCCAACCCGACAAACCAATCTAGTAACACGGAGAAAGAGGAAAGTCGGAACATGAAACACAAACCTGACATCGCCCTCCACCTATCTCCGAGCACTTTGCCAACTTCCCCGAATGCAATCCCAGGGTTACTTTTCTTTACACTCTGTTTTAGCCGATTATCAATTTAGCAGAATTAAGGATATAGCAGCATTAACAAAGACGATGATAGCAGCTTGTAAACGCCGTTGATGAAACTTACCTCTCTTTCGGTTTGGGAGAAGAACATGTAACCAGACAGAGCCTTCTTCGGTGCATTGGGATCCTTCTTCTTCTTCGGTTTCTTCTTCTTCGAGCCGTCTTCCTCCCCTTCTCTGACTTTCTTTCCCTTGGACATGGGCTTGGAAGATGAAGCTTCCTTTGCAGAATCCTTTTTAATAGGCTTCTGCATTTGAGCACCCTATTTCACAAATGTCAGCTCCAACCATACACTACCATTGAGAATCAGTACTGCAGTGATAAGAACTTAAGAAGGCTTCACCTCTTTCTCATTTCCGCTGTTGCTGCCATCTGAATCATCTCCAGAATCATCTGTAGGTGAGCCTCCGTCATCTTTATCAGCAACGAAGTCGGAATCCTGGGAGTTCATCATCAGACATACATAAGCATTCACAAACATAAATAAGATCTTCGACTTTATAGTTGAATGTTCAATCAAGTATCTAACTTCAGTTTATGTGCAGTGCATGCTTCAATACTCTGGATACTGATATCAATCCCTAATTTTGTCAGTACAACTGGACACTCAATCCCACAGAGATTGCACATTGCCTTTTAAGTACTTAGATTTAACTAAGGAGAGATGTAAAACACCTCAAAATTTGCTTCCAGATGTCATGTATAAGGGAATGGGGACTTACTGAAATTCCAACTAGTGCCAAATCTTATAATGAGACATTTCAATCATTTTAATGGATTAGGGAGAAATGAAAAACATGTGAAGGAATTAGAAAGTTCTGAAATATCAACTAATGCAAAATCTTATCATGTGTACTATTTTCAATAAGTTTAAACTTTAAAGGATTAGGACAAAATGCACGCATAAAGATGCACCATTCATATAATTCCATGGGAGCGCAAATGATGAAGTAGGATTCCCAATCATTCGCAACTCTTATCAATAAGCATATGGCAGATTCGTGCACAGATCAATGTAATTGAGGTCTTGGAAAAATAGTATACCTCCTCATCACTATCTTCCCCACCAGCTTCATTTTTAATGCGCTCGAGATGAGGATCAACCGCGTCATCATCATCATCATTCTGTAGAACAGCTGCCACCCCATTTGCAGCTTTCATATCTCCAAAGTTCATTATCTTCAAACCCTTCCCACTAAGAACAAAGTAAAGCCAAAAAATTGATATACAGAAACCAGAATATTTCTATAAATGAAACACACCAGTCCACTAACCTGATGAAGCTATACAGATTATGGTACTCATTCCGCTGGATGTTCCGGAACAGATGTTCTTGCTCAGTCTTTAGTCTAATTAGGAGATCAAAGTAGTGCATATTTGAGCCCCCAGCAGCATGCCTCTCAAATTCCACATAGTCAATCTTATACAGAGGAATGGAAAAAGGCATGTCAGATAGAGCACAAATATGAATCCATTACAGGCGCTAGATAACACAAAATCAGAAACTAATTTATTATGATACAATGTTGCGGTTGATTCTATTTAAGACACCCATACATGTGACAGACGAATAAAACGTAATAGTATAAACGTAATAAATAGTCACCTCCTCATGAAGAATCAGGGTTGGAGGCCTAGGTAGGAAGAAGAAGCTCTTTTCAAGAGGATAAAGGAGCCCATCTTCAGCCTTCAAGGATGACTTCACAGCATACCCATCTTGACAGCTCCGGAATTTCCCTGGTTTCGTTACTTTGGCACCAGATAAACCTCGTAGTATTGCAGTGAACACTTCATGTATAAGTCCCTGTTGCCAAAAGAAATCCATCATATGGATGTATGGTTGGACCGAAGATTAGGGAACAGGGTGACAACCCAAGGTCAAGAACCAGGGGTGAAGTATATGATAAGTTTCACAGATCCTTGCAGTAAATCCAATAAACAAAACATCAAGGTTGTACCTTATAAGATGCCTCCACTTTGCCCTTGTACTTTCCATTCAAAAGCTCATCGCTAATTGATAATGTTTGTTGAACAACTAGTTCTGTATCGTACTATGAAACAAAAATAGCAAGTTGGAAGATGAAAACATAACTATTAATATTAATATCACAAAAAGGAGACAAGAGGAACTGATCTGAAACTTTCAACAATATGAAAAGGGCCAAAAAAAGAAGGAAATACTATCAACTGAAAGATTCAGTGCATCATACCTGAAAGACAATATGTGGATATAGAGTTTGTCCTTTTCGGATGGGTGGATCAAGAGTAACTATAACAAAAGTATGTGGCTGGTGAGACTGCAAAAAAAGACAAAACAATAACATTCAAGGCAGGTTGCTTAGGAACTGGTCCAAATTATTCAGCACCAATTAGCAAATCAATACAACGTATACAGAGCAAGCAACTGAAATGTATTACCTTCGGAAGTAAAAAAAGACGAACTACGCTGCTGTATTGAATTTTGAAATCGTTGGCCTGCCCTTGGAGACGCAAGAATGATAGGTGAAGTTCCACATTGTACCGACCCCTACAAAAAAGACAATTCAGGATCAACTTTTGTTTATGAGGGTGATAATAATATATATTAACACTAACAGAACCACAAATAGCCTTATATGGAAACATAGGAGGAGAAATGGGGAGATTTACTAGCAGTGAATTCCAAGAAGCAAGGCCACGGAAAGAAAACAAGCAACAAAGAAGAAAGCGAAATATAGATTGTTTGTGAGTGTGTGTGTGTTTGGGGGGGTGGGGGTGGGGGTGGGGGGGGGGGGGGGGTTCAGGACAACTTAAGCCAGCAAAATCTACATAGTTCAGATATTTGCAAGAATCAAGCTTTGGATAAAACAGAACTAGTTAAACCATGGAAGCTGATTTCAGAAGAAAAAAACTATACCTTGGCGTCAGAACAGTAATATTCTCAAACAGGGAGACAGCCTCTTCAGCCCCAGCACCAACATCCGCCATCGACATAATCTTTTCACGGAAGACCTGACAATATAACGGATATGTAATGAATATAAGGCTTCATGAATACATTAAAAGAACCGAGTAGGAGACATCTTGCAGAGGTTTAGTTGTAAATGCAAATTTAACGAGTAGGTAAGGGATTATATTCTTCGAAAAAAATAAAGTATAGAACTTGAAAGTCGAGTACAAAAAAACTTTGACACAACACAAAGGGCCTCTAAAGAAATACTGATGTAAAGAAAGAAATAAGAGAAGGAAATTCTGTCCCATGTCCTAGTTCTCAATCAAGAACCAAACTGATAACAAGCTCACCTGAGCAGCAGGACGGTTCTCATCACCAACAAATTGAGTGTTATTAGTGGGAATGTGAAAACTCAATTCCATCAGTGAGTCTTTCTGCAACCATAATGCAAATTGCATACAAATAAGCAAATCAACATATAGGACAATAGCATTAACCAACTTAGACAACGATGAAAAACAAAGAAGTGTCAAATGGAATAATTTTGGGCAAACTTAGATGTCCATTTGATGCCATCCGTTCAGCTTCGATAATCAATAAACTGCAAACACATGCATACTATAGTATAATTGAAGGTCAGGCGCTTGATAGCAAAGATTATAGTTATTCAAATAGAATAGTATATACACCAAATAATCATACTGCCATTGCCATTGTTCCATAGATAATATATCCGCATGGAATATCTCCCAATCCTAAACTAATCCAAAAAGACTTTTGAGAAGAACCATTAGCTCAAACATACGTAGGTGGCTACGATTGCAAATGCACAGAAGTTGTAAGTTGTAAAAGACACAAGAGGTTATATAACTCAAACATACCTCATTAGCTCCTGTTGTGTCATCCACATGGAACTCCAAGATGACATCGTTTTTGCCTTGCATCTGAGTTTGTGAAACATCTGCCAAGGATACCTCAAATGCTTGCTTTGAGCCAACCATAAAAGTGAGCATATTGCCTACAAAAACACATTCCACACAAAGGATTCACAATCAGCACGAAAAATTATCCACAGAATTAAACAATTATATTACATCTTATTATGAGGGAAAGAAAGACAACACCAGAACAAACAAGTAAAGAAATGACAAAGAGAGATAGTATACCACTTAAGTCAACCTCCCCCCAGTTGCGTCCACTGACTGAAAGTTGCCTCTCTTCTGGAGTTTTTCCAAAATTGCTTTGGAAAAAATTGGTCAAGCTACTAACATCCTGAGAGAACAACAAGTCTATTAAAAATTAAGGACTGATAGGATATACTATAGACACCTATCCAAAACTAACAGAATCCAAAAGCTTGACTAAAATGATGATTTAAAATTGATAAAAGTAACAACAACACAATACTCAGGACTATCAATATGATGTCCATAAAGTTCAATTACATTCACTAAGCATATCCTACATTATCTATGTTTATTCTTACGAATAGGCATGTCTTAAATTATTACAAAAACAGCAACTATCGTCAAATAGAGAGAAACAAGACCTGGTCACGGAAGCCAGTAAACTTGTAGTACAATCCATCCTTGATACGGACACCAAGTTGATTGCTTCTTGGTACCTTTGTCCAGGACAATCTAGAAACATCAGATTTATCAACTTCCACAACTTTACCACCTCCCTGTTTCTTCCACTGTATACCAGCCGAGGTAATCTTGATCTGGCCAGGATTCTGGATTTCATGGGACAAGTGAAAAATTTGATTCATAAGACTACAAGTCACTTATTTGTTTCCTCCGCTCAGTATTGTTCCTACTAAGACACGTTCACAAAAACTGAAGAATAGAAAAGAAGTTCTCATCATAATGGTTTGATATTCTGAAGCTAAGAACGTTTGCGATATTAAGATCGAGGTTTCCATGGTAGTGACAGGCCTGGCAGGCGGCAGCAACACAAAAACTCATATGTGAAAACACGAGATCATGAATCAGAGAAAGCCCATGTCCAAGACAAAAAAGTGAAAAGTAGGATTCAAGAAATTCATTCCAAACACAGTAACACAACAAATTCCGACCTCTCATTTAATCAACCTAAATCCATCAAACCACTGACAAGCAAAATCCAGAAACTAGGTTTCGAAATCCAAATTGATGGTTCCAGAAAGCAATAAGGCACGATATATGGCAATCGCTCCCTCCATTTCCAATCCAAGCGCAGCGGTATGCAGGCTATACAGATACCAGTTAGGGTTTCCATGCTATTAGGGTTTCAAACCACGCATCAAAGCCATGCCCGAGGCATACCAGGAAAAAACTACAAGAAATGGTTCACTTCAACTACTCAGAGTTTTCTATCGATCGACCAAGAAAGAGAGAGATCTTACGGTGCCACCGCGGCCGCCAAGGGAGATGTTGTTGAAGAAGTGACCGTCCGACATTTTCAGCGGCCGATGAAGTGGGAAGCGATACGAAGAAGTCTAATGGGAGCCGAGGCTTTGTTGTATATATAGGCAGCAGAAGGGACCCGAGAGAAGAGTAATTACGGCCTAATAATGATCCAAACATTTTCTCAACCAATTTTCTCCATTGCTACGATAACCCGCCTCGACGGAGCTCGTCGTCGTCGTCGTCGTCGTCTCTCTCTAGGGTTTTCTTTCTTTCACCTGCTCCAGTTTTCGGTGTTTTCCCGCCGATGGACGCTCCTGGCTTGCCTACTTGGCGCCTCGGCAGCCGACCCATGCTGATGTGCCACTCTGTCAACCAGTTTAACTCTTACTGGGCTCATTTTCGGCCCAGAACTAGGACTTCCGGAATAATAACCATTGGGCCCACGACAAATACCAGCTCTCCAAGCCCAATCGCCTACCACAGCCCAAGTCATAAATTATGAAGCAAAAATAACGAAATAAATAGGTTCATTTTTTAAATGATCATTAAAATAAAACTTCCTGAACTATCAATGTTTTTGGAACCAAAAGAATAAATAAGAATGCATTTAATTTGAAAATTAATTACTGAATAATTTGATTTCAAATGATTTCCAATGTCTTTTTTTTTTTTGCATTACAGGAGGCGAAACTCGCCAAAGAAAAATGATTTCCAATGTCTTAGGATGTTATATTAGAACTTCTAAAAATTAATTAGATTAAATTCTCAAATCAATTGAATTAAATCAAAACATTCCAAGGAGAAACAACATTTTCGTCTTGTTGAATAGTTGAGCTTATTGAATTAGCAACGCTCATAACTTAACCAAATTATTAATTATAATGATAACTTATTCATTATAACGATAACTAACAAATGCAAGTGTCGGAATCATCATCCAACCTAAAAACTTAAGAAATCCTAAAATTAAATAGATATGCAATGTTGGTTAAAACTAATGACGAACTTGAAAATACATATTACATAGATCTAAACGGTAACCCAGATAATTTGTATGATGTCATATGCAAAATCAACCGAACATATAATGGAGTTTTAAGGATCTACATTTCACCATTTTGAATTTTCAGTAATAATAAATTCGACCTTTTCAATTAAACATGAAACTAAAAACACAAATCAATATTCGCCCAATTAGAGTGCCCCATCACTCTCTCTCTCCTCATTTTCATTTTTCACATATCAATTTTAGAATGCTCGTATTTTCTTCGTTTAACTCGTATTCTTGTTTTTCCTTCACATTAAAGGTTTTATTCATCGAGTTATATAAAACGACACGCGTTTGTATAGTGGCATTACCACTAGTTTTGAGTTTAGAATTCTCAGGTTTGAATATCTCGAGTAACACTTAACAATAAAAATCAATCTATACCACCATAATCCTAAAAATATTTGTGATATTTTTTTTTATCACCAAGGTGACTATCGTTCATGAAAATTGTTTAACCTATCAACATAAGTGGTCACTTGAAGCATAAATTATCGAGTTTTCACTTATTAAATTTAATTATTCCAACCAAACAGTCGAACCTTAATCTAGTATACTTGTATATTGGTTTAAGCCTACATGAAGATAAGGCAAAAAAAAAAAAAAAACTACAAGTTTTGGCCCAAAATATGATATATGGTTCGCATGGTATTAGTATATGCTAATCTTATCTCATGTCTTTTTTGTTATTATGTTGTTTAGATCATAAATTAATCAAATTTTGGTGTATAATATCATATTCTAAGTGAACTCCAAACCATAAATTTATACTATAAACTATAAGATTGACTTAATTTAAAAATAATAATTGATGTTTATTTTATATATTTTGTCAAAATATATATCGAAGTGTAACACATGTGACTTGTGAATGCGTCGTAACTTCGAGCGAAATTCATTGCTAGTAAGTCGTAACGCTACTAGCCGGGTTTACTACCATAGACGTTGCGAGTTGCGACTTGCGAGGTGCGACATAGGTCTTCGCCATAATTGACTGTTACAAATTTATCGTGTCCCTCTCCAGAAACGAAGAGCAGACACACCAGAGACCAGGCCAAAGCCATCGCTACGAATCCATTCCACCATCCGAGAGAGGGCGGCGGACTTCAGGAAGAAGAAGGAAAAAAATGGCGGTCGGCGGAGACGAGATCGTGAAGCCTCGAACGGACAAGAGGGAGTACAGAAGGATCGTCCTCAGCAATTCCCTCCAAGTTCTTCTCATAAGCGACCCCGAAACCGATAAGGCAAAAGCGTTTTCCCCTCCTCCATTCCATCCCAATTATCGCTTTTCATCGGCTTCTGCATGCGTTCGATTTCGTTCCAGACTTCAATCGGCTCCATACTCAATTACGATGTTTGAATTTGTTTCAGTCTTCTGCTTCCATGAGCGTCGGCGTTGGTGCTTTCAGCGACCCCGTTGGACTCGAAGGCCTCGCTCATTTCCTCGGTGCTCTCTCGTTTCCCTATGATTTAATTTCTGTATCATAACTCCTGATTATGCAATGATGAATTCGTCTTCCTCCGTGCCAGATTAACCGTTTGGTTCACTATGTAATGTGATTGATCTTGGATGTCTTTTGAATCCACTTCTCTTGCTTTTATTGCAGAGCACATGCTGTTTTATGCTAGTGAGAAGTACCCGGAGGAGGATAGCTACTCCAAGTACATCAGTGAGGTACGGAACGAATCATTTCTGGTCAAGTGTGAATTGGGCTCCACTTCTCTGATACTCTTGAGAGCTATGAACCAGTATGTTGCTGTCGATGAGTCATTAGCTACTGCACTTGTACTTCAGTTTTAGTCTTACTCGAAATAAGTCCAGCACATTCTTTTGCTTAGATGGATGGGCCTATCCAGATATCAGATTTCCCATTTTCCACCACTTCAATGCTATATATGCTACCTCAGATTTCAGTTGAAATCATTATCTGTGGAGAACACTGTTTGTCCTGAATACATTTTCCCAACGTATGTCATTATCAGTTTGGCGTTTTTCTGTGTGTGTGTGATAAGTTTGTGAGTCGTGTTTATTACTTCTCCAGAGCTAGCTTGTTTCTCCAGTCTCTTGTGTGGAGTCCCAGTTGTTTGCTACTGAATCTATTTATTGACCTTCGTGACTTATTGTTATTGAAATGATGGATCATATCCCTGCTGGGAGATGGCTCAGCATGCCACTGACACTGTTGTTCTGCTGGTTATTTTGATTCTTAGCATGGAGGGAAAACCAACGCTTTCACTGCTTCTGAGAAAACCAACTACTATTTCGATGTCAACAACGACTGTTTTGAAGATGCTCTGGACAGGTAATGCATGCAGTTCATTAGGTGTTTTCTTGTTATGAGCGTTAAATACTTCCATATTTATTTTGTCTGGTTGTTTGGATGTGATTGCTTTCAGATTTGCGCAGTTCTTTATTAAACCACTCATGTCAGCTGATGCAACAACGAGGGAGATAAAAGCAGTTGATTCTGGTAGCTATTACTTACTTAATGAGCCCTTGTTTTGTCCGCCTCCATTTACACCCAAGATTTAAGTTGGTTTATCTCTTTGCGATCTTTGTTTTCGAACTTGGTTTGATAACTACTCATTCCTGTTGTTCCTTCCTCTCCTGTGTGCAGAGAATCAAAAGAATTTGCTGTCTGATATTTGGAGAATGAATCAGGTAAGTATTGGTGTTTTCATTTCTCCATTAGGCATGTTCATTAGAGCTGTTGCTGAGCTAAATAAGGATCAATGTTTAAGCTGCGTGAGATGTTTCATTCTCCAGTAGGCACTTCAACCAAACGGTCTCCCACATTTAAAATGCAAACTGGTCTGCTTTTCCCTAAGCATTTTGTAAAACTGGATCTTTCTGGTATGAAATATTTATGGTCCAATAGCCACGTTACCACTGCCTAGATTGTCTTCAGAGGAGGGTCTAGTTTATGTGTGTGTAACTTCTTGAACCCTGTTTGCTTTTTTTCCATTTGCAAGCTGGCCATTAAGTCGGGTGATGCCTTCTCAATCACAAAGCTTCTTTATAATTTTTTTTCTTCTTGCAGCTTCAGAAGCATGTAAGCAGCGAAGGCCATCCATATCACAAGTTCAGTACAGGTCAGATATTTATCTTTCTATATACTAAGCTCAGATATGAAGCTGATATGCAGTTGTTTGAGAAAACTTATATCTACTATACCACAGAGTATGGCCCTTGGGTGACTAATGATTCATAAGATTGTAGCCATTATCTTGTATATGTCAAGGAAATGATCCAAATTGTTTCTTTTTGTTTCGAAGTTTTCTTATTTAGATGTCTGATAGGCTGGAATCTTGTGGCATGTAACTTGACTTAGTCATTGGTTGCTGGCGGCATCTTCAACCTTTGGAATGATCACCTGCTGTCTGCTAGCTTTAAGTGCCTTATTCTTCTTATGATGATTGGTGAAGCTGAACCTGCATTGTTCCTTTACACTGCAGAGTTGCAGTTATTTCTCTTTCATTTGAAAATTGTAATCTTATATTGTTTTCTAATACACTTTAAGCACATGTGAACTTATAGGTAATTGGGACACTTTGGAGGTTAGGCCAAAAGCGAAGGGCTTGGATACAAGACAAGAGCTGATAAAATTTTACGAGGAACATTATTCAGCCAATCTCATGCATCTTGTCATATATGCAAAAGGTTAGTAAATTTGTGATTTTGCCATCATAAGTTGGTGATCAGTCTGTTATTTATTTTCCTTCTCATGGATTGTGCAGAAAACCTTAATCAGCTCCAAGGCATCATTGAGGAGAAGTTCCAGGCAATTCAAAACCATGAGAAAAGCTGTTTCTCTTTCCCTGGTCAACCTTGCTCGTCTGAGCATTTACAGGTTTGTATAGAGCTGGTGTGGCTTTCTTCATATATTGTGTCGAAATCATGACATAATATATGCATTAAATTTATTTTTATTTTAATGTTCGATAGAGATTGAAATATTTGGTTTATATGACAGATACTAGTCAGAGCTGTCCCTATACAACAAGGTCACAAATTAAGTATGGTATGGCCAATAGCACCGGGTATTCTTCACTACAAGGAAGGGCCAGCGAGGTATCTTGGCCATCTTATTGGTCATGAAGCAGAAGGATCTGTGTTTTATGTATTGAAAACCTTGGGTGCGTATATTATCTTAGCATCTTGAATTTGAATTATGATGTTAACTTGTAGCAATATTGTGGGAATCTTCCATTATTTGGCAGTCTACCTGTGATTCTTTAGTCCTTTACTTCTCTCCATTGTTAGTGGAAAGTGGTCTCAACGTGCTATGCTGCTATCTATAAAAACAGGATGGGCCACGAGTTTATCTGCTGGCGAAGGAGATGGGACAAAAGAGTTTTCTTTCTTTAATGTGTCAATCGACCTCACCGATGCTGGTCATGGTTAGTATTGTCACTCTTCTTAAGCTTCTGCCGTGGCTCTTCTCTTCAGAAGCCATGTAATTGCAAGCTATTTTTATTTGAGATATTGTTATTCTTCTGGATACTTATCAGAAATGTAATTGGAATTAATGTAAATTCTTGTACTTTCACCATTCAATTGCAGAGCACATGCAAGATGTTGTAGGGCTGCTATTCAAATACATTCTGCTCTTGCAGCAGTCTGGCGTATGTAAATGGATATTTGATGAGGTTCGTGCCTTCTAGGATATAAAATCTGTCATACTTGTCAAATCTTGGATGAATTTTTCTTTTCCAATGAAAAAGGTGCAATAAGCATGTGTGTATTGTTGTATGGTATTTTAGTGGCAACATTATCTTGTCTTCTCACTTCAGTTTTCTGGATTGAGCTCCAGTGTGTCTTGTCATAGTTCTAAGTCACGATTGCTTACGTATGTTTTCGACATTTCTTAAATCCTGGTGTCATGGTGATGCAGCTTGCAGCAGTTTGTCAGACAGAATTCCATTATCAGGACAAAATTCCTCCTATCGATTATGTAGTGAGGATTTCTTCTCATATGCAAGTAAGTATCTAGACTTTCACTTGAGTGCTAATGTCGGTACGTGTTTTCTTCATTTCTTATGCTTGAGACACGAAATATATGGTTGTGTACAATTGAGTAACTGTCAAGTAAACGCAGCTAATATTTTTGGTGAAAGTAGTTAAAATTTTTGGCTGAGGAAGAACAATGTGCATTTGTGGTTGAGTTTTTTCTGTCTTCAAGTTGAAGCTGGAGCTTAGAGCTCTGTTAGATGCTTGTTAAGCTAACCTTTCCAATATTAAGTCTTGGGAGAAATTTTGTATTGTCTGGAATGGCAAGTATAGCTGCTTCTTCCATGACCAACGCCTCATATTTGGTTCATTAAGAAAGTAAATTATAAGTGTATTATGAGTTAGGATATAATCAGTTTAAGTGTATACAGTGAAAATACCAATTCACTTTCCTTTTACTGGCTCTGAAAATTAATTGATTGACGAGTCTTATGTTTAGTGGTGGCTGGACTTTGCTTTTTGATTTATTCTGTTTTGGTTCTGTTACATCTGAAGCTATGACTTATTTATTGTAATCATCTGCACGTATGTGTATTTTTTTATTGCTATCAAAGCTATTGTTCGGTTCTGCAGATTATATGTATCATCTCAGTATTTTTGATCCTACTCCTATTTCTTCATCCTTAATTGTTATTATCAGATCATCTGTTATTATGTAACATATTTGGGTTGATTAATGAACTTTCTGTGTGCCCCTGAGGTACCAGAAGAATGTACTCATTGAATCTTAAATGACTGGAGGATTATTTTTCTTCTAATTCAGAAATATCCGCCGGAAGATTGGCTAGTGGGGTCATCTTTGCCTTCTAATTTCAATCCAAGCACAATCCAAATGTTTCTGGACCAGCTCTCTCAAGAAAGCGTCCGGTGAGCTTTTACAGCAGAATCTTGTGGTATTGGATTAAGAATCATTAGCCTATCTGTTGTGTTCATCAAAAAACTTTCTAATTTTTCTGACTTTGTATATGTACTTGATACTAGTAATCTTCCGTTATGTCATATTTTTAGAACCAGGCAGTAACTCACTTTCTATCTCTGTCTATTTACAGAGCCAGATGAATGATTTACATGTTATTTAGAACATTTCGAAGCAACCTTAGTTGGACAAGCAAATAAGTTGATCATAATTAACCTAGTTTACACAGAGACATACTTTAATGATGACATTGTGATCATGTACAGCTAAAGTATCACCAACTCATGAAGGAGTATAATCACCCTTTTTTCTCTGTTAGCCTTGGAAGGTAAGGGAGAGGAACGAATATACTCGACTGACCAGGAGAGGTTTTTCATACTTACTTATTTATTTACAACATTAATTCAGAAGAGAGGTTTAGTGTTCAGTTCAGTGCATAACACTAATTCATCCTAAGGGTTTAGGTCAGGCTTTGTTTTGAGAGAAGGAAGCTGTCTTAATGCCCTTATGGTTGAATGAAGTGGGTGCTTTTTTTTTATAACAGAGTTTGGAAATTGTTGCTTTTCTTTCACGGTTTCTTTTAGTTGTTGGGTGCTGGAGTTGGACCCTATTTAATCTCTGGGACATATTCAACTATTAAATCTACCAAATAACAGCACATGTATGTTTGATAGATCTAGCAAATGTGTAAACAGTAAACTGTTATGTAGGTTTAGTGCCATTCTAACAAAGTTTATTCTGCAGTATCTTTTGGATCTCAAAGAACTTTGAAGGAGAAGCTGATATGGTGGAGCCATGGTATGGGACTGCATACAGTATCGAGAAAGTTCCTACCTCCATGATTCAGGTGGGCTTCTGATATTGTTAATGTCCTTTACTGATTACTAGTACTAGTTATCTATATGAACATTGTGATTATGTTAGTGTTTGTCTCATTGCAGAATTGGGTGCAATCAGCTCCTGACAAGAATCTGCATCTTCCATTACCTAATGTGTTTGTCCCTACTGACTTGTCAGTCAAGGACACAAAAGAGAAGGTTTGGATCAATATGCGGTAATTGCTTTTTGGCTGGGTTAATATCATTATGGGTCTATATTTGTAACAGTAAGCTTTTGAGGCAGGTTGTATTACCCACTTTATTGAGGAAGTCATCCTGCTTGTCATTGTGGTACAAGCCTGATACAATGTTCTTCACGCCAAAGGCATATATAAAGATTGATTTCAGTTGCCCTCTTGCTAGTGCTTCCCCTGAGGCTTCAGTACTTAAAGATATATTTGCACGCTTGTTGATGGATTACTTGAATGAATATGGTAATCTTTGATGATCTTTGTGCAATTAAAGTGCGACATGATAATTGATGCCAATATTTTGGGTTGTGGTTACTGTTTTGATTAATTTAATAAATACACACTAGAAGGTTCGCTTGATTTTCCTGTTTGTTTATTTTTGTTTCTAACATAAATGTTGTTTGCTCATTTTTCAGCCTATTATGCGCAAGTTGCTGGTTTGTACTATGGAATAGGCAAGACAAACAGTGGGTTTCAGGTTTGTCTTAACCTGACAATTGTAGTGTTTATACCCTAGAAGAAACACTTAAATTTAGATGCTCTTAATCCTTCCATAAATAGTGACATATGGTGACTTATGTATTGATTATATTAAGTAAGATCTAAAAGCTCATGTATTAATATCTAAAATACAGATAATGATGCTAATAGAAGTCTTGAATATTCCCTTCCCAGTCTTCTGTTTTGGGGCCAGTGGTTAAGTTGACATAGATATAGGAACTCACTTTGGTTTTCCTGTGAGATTGAATGTCAATACTCAACAGTCATGGGTTTATGTTGATAAATTAATTTTCTCCTGAAGTTTGATATTCTTCAGTTTGTAAACACAGTATACCTACCCGAATGAGATACACACTGAAGTATTTTGTAATTTATACATTTATGTGAGCCAATGTGCTATCTAACGAATGGCTGAGTTTCTTTTTGTTTGTTTTTATGATTGTAGTGGTTACATTATGTTCTGAACATGTGCAATATTAATGTCTGCATGCGTATATGCAGAACTTTTCTTTTCCTTTGTTATTGTTTTGGATGTCTCTTATGTATGTTTTCCTGCCTTTGACATTAGGTGACTGTGCTTGGTTATAATCACAAATTGAGGATCTTGTTAGAAACTGTTATAGAGAAAATAGCTACATTCAAAGTCGATCCTGACAGGTTTGCTGTGATCAAGGTAATAATTTGCTTGTTCATGTTTTCTTACAACCTATTTTCTAATGAGAGGATTCAAAGCATCGTTCTGATTCAGTCAGGTCGTTTTGCTTGTGAAATTGTTTAAACGTGGATGGTTCCAGCTGACCATAAAAGTTACACAGTGGTCTATGTAATACTCAGAACATATCCTAATGCTGTACATATTATGGTCAACTGCGGCTTCTTTTGAATTTATGTTTTCCTGTTTCTTTGTCAGACTACTACTTAAATACTAGTTGAATTTCCCCCTGTTTTGTCTGCTAAATTACCAGAGTCCTATTCTTGCAGAAAGCTGCTGTCTCTTTTCCTTTCCGTCCTGTCATCCTTGCGCCTCATTTTGCTTGTCTTTGGACGTCTCCTGATCGAGCCCTTGAGGGAAATGAGTGGATTTTGAGATAAGCTAGATTTATATCATTACATTCCCTGGTATTTTACAGGAAACAGTGATGAAGGAATATGAAAATTACAAGTTTCAGCAACCTTATCAGCAGGCTATGTACTATTGCTCTTTAATACTACAAGATCAAACTTGGCCTTGGATGGAAGAACTTGAAGTCCTTTCTCAACTTCAGGCTGATGATCTAGCTAGGTTCACACCAATGATGATGTCAAGAGCCTTCTTGGAGTGCTACATAGCAGGTCTTAAATCTCATCTTCTTTCCCAGTAAACAACGTTAGGCAGGATTAACCTTGAACTGCCAGACTTTGTGTCCTGGGGCAGGGCGAACTGACTAAACCAAACTGCCTTTCTATTCCGATCTCCCTTTTGTAAAGTATTCTCAATCATTGTATGTTCAAAGGTTTAGATCTTACTAGGAAGATGAGGCATTTTAGTCATAGCAGAGCAGGCAGCAGTCAGTTTTGTAACCCTTTGTTTGTTTAAGAACTCGTTTTTTTGTGGTTTATTCCAGGGAACATTGAACGTGATGAAGCAGAATCAATAAGCACTCAAATTGAAGATGCCTTTTTCAAGGGTCCAAAACCGATATCCCAACCCTTATTCTCCTCTCAACATCTGACTAATAGAGTTGTCAAACTGGACCGGGGCATGGATTACATCTATCCTGTTGAGGGCTTAAACACAAAAGATGAGAATTCTGCTTTGGTGCATTATATCCAGGTAGCTATAATTTTATTCAGTTTGCTGTTAACTTCCCCTATGCGATCTTTACGTTGCCGGCTTTTTGACCCGTGTGAGAATCGATTGTTTCCAGAGTTTTTTTTTCTGAGCGCGGATGTGAACAAAGTCCTTACTCGATACCGTATACTAATTTTTTGCAATATCAGAATCACTTTCAGAAGTTTAAATATTCAATGAGTACTCTTGTGAAGATTGCTTAGGAGTTTGATGAGTTTTGTGTTTTATGTAATAGGTTCATCGAGATGATTTTAAGCTGAACGTTAAGCTTCAGCTTTTCGGTTTACTTGCAAAGCAAGCAGCGTTCCATCAGCTTAGATCAGTGGAGCAACTTGGCTACATCACGGTCCTCATGCAGAGGTAATGTGCTTATTATCTCCAGATTGTGCATTGTATCCAGACTCACCTTTTGCATTCTCAAGGGTTGGCTGTTTTTCCAATCATAAAAAGGTGGACTGTGTTTCTTAATTCTTTTGCACAGGAATGATTCTGGCATCCGTGGACTGCAGTTTATCATCCAGTCAACAGTTAAAGTGTGTAGAACTTCCTTTCCCAATTCTCTTCACCTTGTTCTCGCCGCAGAATTTTTTCTAATTTTGGCCATTCTACAGGGCCCCGGCCAGATTGATCTCAGAGTCGAGAATTTTCTCAGTTTGTATGAAAGTAAACTACGAGAGATGTCCAATGACGAATTCAAGGTGAAGTAGCTATGCCCGCTAGTTTTCATATCTTAAGGCTTAGTCATGCTATGATACAGCAAATTCTGATTTGGGCTTGGTGCAGAGTAATGTGAATGCATTGATCGACATGAAACTCGAGAAGCTGAAGAATTTAAGGGAAGAGTCTTCCTTATACTGGCGTGAGATTTCTGACGGGACACTCAAGTTTGACAGGAAGGAATGCGAGGTAATTGAGAAATTGATGCTATGTTGTCAAAGTAACCAAATAACTCAGAATTGATAATAGGTTCTTGAAGTTTTGCAAACAGGATATAAATGCATGGCTCTTCTAAATTGTCTCTAAATTGAAACAGGTGGCAGCCCTGCGACAGCTAACTCAGGACGAGCTGCTAGAGTTTTTCAACGACTACATAAAGGTCGATGCGCCTCAGAAGAGGACACTCAGCATTCGAGTATACGGCAGCCCACATTCATCGGAGTTGGCAGCAGATAGAAGCGAACAACTCCCTCCAAACTGCGTCGAGATTGGTGACATCTTTACGTTCAGACGATCACAACCTCTTTATGGTTCATTCCGAGGAGGCGTCGGCCACATGAAGCTGTAGTGGATGATCCAAGCTAGCAGTTTTTCTTTTACTCAGTGCTCTTAACTCAACTTGAAAAGTACTGATTTGGGACATGACTAGATTTACTGGCTCTCTAGAGTTTTACTTCTTGCTCGATTTGGTGTATACCAAAGATGCCTCACCAATGTATGGAAGTTTTGAACTTTGCCTAAAACTTGGGAGTTGGATTTTGATTACCATTGCCGGAAAGATGAAATGGGGCAGTGACCCTTTTCCTTTTCCTCTTAGGGAATCATGGAAAACGATAAAAAGACAAGTCGTTGAACAGAATCTCCGGCTAATTTATACAGAAAAGGCCATACAACATTGACTAGGACTGGACTGACTCACTACCGACGGGCCCCGGAACTGCCGGCCTGTTTACTGCCGGCTACTTTTCCGGTCAAAAACAAAAGAGGAAAGCAAAAGGGGAAAAAGCCAGTCGTCTCCCGGATTGGAAATTATTCACCAATCAATGGCAATTGTGAACAGATGGGGGGAGTATCAATCCAACCAGAGAATCATCCCCTCGCCGCCAGATCATCTCCCGGATTCGAAGCACCCGACCCGCGAAGCGACCCGACGCGGGTCCGGTTCCGGATCCGCTTCAGCTCCTCCACCACCTCCTTGGCGTGCGGCCGGTCGTCTTTATCCGCCGCCACGCACTGGAACGCCAGCTCCGCCACCGCGTCCACGCCTTCCATGGCCCCGTCTTCCTGCTTCAGAATCGGGTCGATCACCTGGTGGAGCAGCCCCATTTGGATCCTCGACACCGCCAAATCGGCCAGCGCCATCTCCCGCTTCTCCCGTCTCTGGTCCACCGCTCTCATCCCGGAAATCAGCTCCAGCAGCACCACCCCGAAGCTGTACACATCGCTCTTCTCCGTCAGCCGGAACGACTTGTGGTAATCCGGGTCCAAATACCCGGGCGTCCCCTGCGGCCCGGTCCAGACAAACCCGGCAGACGAAGAAGTAGACGACGAATTCGTCGTCTCGGGGAAGACCAGCAACCTCGACAGCCCAAAATCCCCGACTTTGATCCTCATATCCCTCTCCACGAATATGTTGTTCGACGTAATGTCCCTGTGAACAATCGCCGGCTTGACGGAGAAATGCAAGTACTCCAAAGCCAACGCCATCTGCAGAGCGATGTCCAGCCTCACCGGCCAATTCAGCGCCGATTTCCGGTTGTGGCCATGGAGGTGGTCTGCCAGTGTTCCGTTGGGGACGTAATCATACACCAACAGCAAACCCCTCGGATCGCTGCAATACCCGTGGAGCCTGACGAGATTCGGGTGATTTATCGAAGACAGAATCAAGATTTCGTTACAAAACGACTTGGCGGAGAAGGCGGCGGCGTGGTGGTGCTGCTTATGGAGATACTTCACAGCAACAATCCTCCCGTCGAACAGCTGCCCCAAGTAAACCGACCCGAACCCGCCGTCCCCAATCTTCCTCTTCGGGTCGAACCGGTTCGTCGACGCTTCCAGCTCCTCGTAGGTGAACACCGGAGGGAGCAAGCTGGCCGAGCGGTGACGGTGGAGGAACGTCGTCGTCGGATCCTCCTCCGCAACAAGCGCCTTCAAGTGCCTGGACCTGAAAACCGCCGCCACAATCAAAACCACGAGAAGCAAACACATCACCGTGAAAATCGAGCAGAGGATCGCAATTCGATTCGTATCCTCGTCGCGAATCCATGGCGAAATCCGGGCGGCGGAGCGGAAGCAAACAAACTTCTTCTCCGGATCGGAGGAGTTAAACCCACAAACCCCATTCCCAGATCGACAGATTTTGCAGCTGGAGAAATACTCGTCGTCCTCATCGTACTCGACCTCGAACCCAATCTGGAGGAAGTGAAGGAGATAGTCGAGGACGTCGGACTGGCAGCCCTGCTGCGATGGGTGGCGGAGAGGGGCGGAGGAGCAGGAGGGGAGGAGGCGGAGAGGGGTTTTGACGAGGGAGCAGTCTGAAGGGCAGAGAGAGCAATTGGGGAGGCTGGGTGGGGAGCAAGAGCGGAGGGCGGAGAGGCGGGAGCAGGAGGAGTCGGCGAGGCGGAAAGGGGAGCCGGAGAAGTGGAGGGAGGGAGGAAGGGCGGAGCAGTTATGGCGGGGGAGGAGGAGACGAGGGGAGAGGGATAGGGAAGAGGAGTTAGGGCGGAAGGCTAGGACGGAGAAGGAGGAGTTTGGAAGGGAGAGGATGGAGTGAGGGGAAGCGCATTTGAGAGTGAAGGCAGGGTGGCCGCAGCCAGGGGAGGAGGAGAATGGGTACGGCGGCGGCGACGGGAATGGCGGGCAGGGAGTGGAATGTTGGGAGTTGCAGGAGTGAGATGCTGCTGCCGCAGCGGCGGCGGTGGAGAGAATGAGAAGGAGGAGGAGTTGGAATGGAGGAGGTGGGCGAGGCATCAATGGAGATTCTTTTTTGGAGAATGGATGGATCTGGAGAAGAGATTTTACAGAGTTACAGGAGGAGAGATTTGGAGCTGAGGGTGGACTCTTTGTGTTGTAGTGGGACTCGAGGACGACTGTGGGGAAAATAAAAGAAAAGAAGGAAGAAGGGCAGGGGTCACGTGTAGAAGGACTAGGTCACGTGCATGTGGAGAAGTGTGATTATTGTTGGCATTAATTTCCTTTTTCCTGCCATATTTTTTTGAATTTCCCACGGCCAGAGATAAAGAAAGAACGAACAAAGGTTCTGCTTTGACTCCGGGTCGCTGCGAACTGGGAGCGGGTCTCCCCTCCTCCATTTCTGTCTGCTACGACGAATCACGATTCTTCTTCCAAGTGCCAAGCTAGACCTAGAAGTCTCCCCCCCCAGTTCAGTTTCCGAATTTCGAAGAAGAGGAACAGCAACAACAATGGCGCTGAGCAGAGACGAGATCGTGAAGCCGCGAACGGACAAGAGGGAGTACAGAAGGATCGTTCTCAGTAATTCGCTCCAAGTTCTTCTCATAAGCGATCCAGAAACCGATAAGGCAAGCGTTTTCCTTCCTTCCTTCTATCCTTCGTTTCGTTCCGGACTGCGGTCGGCTCCACCTTCAGTTAACGAAGTTTGAACTTGTTTCAGTCTGCTGCTTCCATGGACGTCGGCGTTGGTTCTTTCAGCGACCCCGTTGGACTCGAAGGCCTTGCTCATTTCCTCGGTGCTGTTTCTTTCTTACGTGATTTCAATTATTCGATTGGAGTTCGTTCAAGTGAAGTCTTAATTATGCGACGCTGAAGTTCTTCTTCCATCAGTTCTAAGATAGTGAATGTGATTTGGAGGGTTCTACATATGATGTGCGTGATTTTGACTCTTCTTTACCCCTTCCGTCTCCATTTTTGCAGAGCACATGCTGTTTTATGCTAGTGAGAAGTATCCGTTGGAGGATAGTTATTCCAAGTACATCAGTGAGGTATGTACCCAATCTATTTATGGAGATTAAATCTTGACTTCATTCGCTTTCTATAAGGTGTTATGTAGAGTCATTAGCCACCGTACTCCTTTAACAGTGTATTAAGCAAGTCCAATGTTTCCACTCTTGTTTGACAAAGATGATGTGTTCCATTTCCCATACTTGGGCTTGATGTTAGGAGAAAATGATTTGCTGAATGAGAAAGTTGTATTTTAGTACTTGTTACTCGACATAAGTCCTCCATATGCTTTTGCTTAGAATCACTAGCATATCCAGAATCCAGATATCGTATTCTCACTGCAATGGTATATAAAGCTCATATAACCGTTTGCTCCATTGTTTATTGAGGATCTCCTCTTCATCTTGAACAAATTCTCTCGACTTGTTTCATATCTGTTCACTGCATGTTTTGTATGTTTTTGCTAGGCCATACTTTTCTAGAGCTTGACTGTTGTGTGATGTTTTCTGTGAATTGGTTTTGAAACTTGATCAATTATAGCATTGAATTGATGAAACATTTCTCTGTTGGGAGGTTTCTCAGCATGCCACATAAACTGCTGATTGACCGGTTATTTGTGATTCTTAGCATGGCGGGCATACCAATGCGTTTACTTATTCTGAGCAAACCAACTACCATTTTGATGTCAACAACGATTGTTTTGAAGAGGCTTTGGACAGGTAACACGTGCAAATTTTAAGCCCTTTCTCTTGTTATTAACATTGATATACTACTAAAATTTATGATCTGTTGGTGGCATGTGATTGAATTTCAGATTTGCTCAGTTCTTTATTAAACCACTCATGTCAGCTGAAGCAACAATGAGGGAAATTAAAGCTGTTGATTCTGGTAGCTATTACTTACTATAAGCTCTTGCCCCTCACTCATACCCAGGATTAAGGCTGGTTTAATTCCTTTCTTTATCTGGCTTTTTTTGTGCATTTGGTTTAGCAGCTACTAATTCCTGTTGTTTTTTTCTCTGATATGCCCAGAGTGTCAAATGAATTTGTTGTCTGATGCTTGGAGAATGAGTCAGGTGAAATTTGGTGTCTCATTTCTACATTAGGCATGTTCATAAACCTTGTTGTCGCGGAGATTCTTCCATAGGTGCTATATTTAAGGATCAATTTAGGGTCAGTGTTGCATCTATAAAAATATTAATAGGGTTTCAGATTTAGGGTCAGTTTGCATTCTCTAGTAGTCACCTTTATCAAAATTATGTTCCACTCGAGAAATGAAACCACGCCCTGCTTTGTAGAATAGGGCCTTTTATGGAATATTTATTACTCAGTAGCCTGTTTCCAACTGCCTATATTGTCTTCCAAAGAAAAATTAATTCATCTGTGCGTGAAAACGTTTTGAACCCAGTCCTTGTGTTTCAATTTGTTTATCATTAATTTCAGTGATTAAATTTTTTCAAGTTTCAATTACAACTCTCCTAATGTTTCAAATCCTTTGGTCCCTCTGCGGCATTTTTGGCCTCCCTTTCATAAAGTTCCTTCATGGAATCTTTTCTTCTTGCAGCTTCAGAAGCATTTAAGTAATGAAGGACTCCCATATCACAAATTCAATATAGGTGAGATATGTATCTTATATACAGTTGTGAATGGAAAGATGTATATACTGTAGCACACACTGTATTGACTTGCGATAAATGAAGTCTTTATTCCTAAACCGCAGCCATTATGTAATGTGTTCCAAGTAAAATCTCCTGCATCGACTTTTTTCGGTTTCAAATTATCTACAGCCTGACATGGTTAGCCCCATTTAGATGTCAGATAGGGTGGGAGCCTTGTGGCATGCAACTTGACTTTTTCATTGGTTGCTGGTCAGCAAGTTCAACATTTTACACATTTGAACAATCCACGATGATGAAATATCTTTGAGTGCTTTATTCTTCGATAATGATTGTGCTGCTTTATACTGCATGGTTCATTTAACAATTGTACTTACATCTTGTAGAGTTGCAGTTATCCTCTATTGCACTTGTGGATAGTAATGCTAATATTATTTCCTAAAACAGTTTTAGCATATGTGAATTATAGGTAATTGGGAGACTTTGGAGGTTAGACCAAAAGCGAAGGGGCTGGATACAAGAGAAGAGCTGATAAAATTCTATAAAGAACATTATTCAGCCAATCTCATGCATCTCGTCATATATGCAAAAGGTTAGCAGATGTACGATTTTGCCATCATAGGTTGGTTATCTACTGTTATTTAGTTCGCTTTTCATGGAATGCTCAGAAAGCCTTGATGAGCTCCAAGGGGTCGTTGAGGAGAAGTTCCAAGCAATTCCAAACCATGAGAGGAGCTGCTTCTCCTTTCCAGGTCAACCCTTCTTGTCAGAGCATTTACAGGTGTGTATGGAGCTTGTGTGACTTTCTTCACATATAATGTGATATTTTGCTGCCAAGTTATTTATTTTCTTATGAAATATTTTGGTTAATTGCAGATACTAGCCAGAGCTGTCCCTATACAAGAAGGACACGAGCTAAGAATTTCATGGCCAATAACACCATGGATTCTTCACTACAAGGAAGGCCCAATGCATTATCTTAGCCATCTTATTGGTCATGAAGCAGAAGGATCTGTATTCTATGCATTGAAAACCTTGGGTGCGTATATCTGATATGTTATTTGTGCATCTTGAAAGCTTGATATCATATTTCTTTTTTTTCCCTCCCCCTTCTTGCTCTGTTGGCTCTTCAATCGGTTCATGCATGTCACTTATTTTCCTCCCACGGTAGCGGTTTGGAAGCCAATCAGATTAGAGTGTGGTTTAGAAAGATTAAGTTTTTTATATGGAACTCTGATGCCCAATATGTTGTTGGCAATATTTCTCACTTTGTGATTCAGTCTCAAATCAATTCAGCTCTACACCCATTTCTTCTTTAAATGTATAGCTTTTAATGACTTCCATATTTTGAGTTAAGGAAATTTGCGGTCCATAATTTGGGCCATTCTGCATCATTTTGTGTGCCCTTTGTTCTAGCTGTTAATGTTCTCCCATGTCTCTTGTGGAAAGTTGACTCAAACATTATGTGGCTAACTGCAAAACCAGGATGGGCCACAAGTTTATACGCTAGTGAAGGCGATTGTACAAGTGACTTTTCTGTCTTTGAAGTTGCAATTGACCTCACTGATGCTGGTCATGGTTAGTTTTATCATTCCCTTTTTCCGTTTTTATGGTGTTTCTAGCTGTTCTGAACTCTTGTAATAATAGGCTAATAACTATATAATGTTTGTTCTCTGTTCTTTAATGTGAATTCTTCAAAATGTTGCTCCATTCAACTGCAGAGCACATGCAGGATGTTGTTGGGTTGCTATTCAAGTACATCATGCTCTTGCAGCGGTCTGGTGTATGCAAATGGATATTCGATGAGGTTTGTGATTTGCAGTATTGAAAGCTGTCCGTAGTTGCCTAAATACGGGGTGTTTTTCCCTTTTCGCGTGAGAATGGCTATGTTTATTCATGAAACTAGAAACCCAGCCTTGACACATTAAATAGTCTTTGATGGCGCAAGGTAGAGGCAATAATTATTTCTGGGAGACAATTACAATATCCTTCCTCTACTAATCTCCGAAAGGATACGTGGTATAGTTAGAGTGGCCAGATACTTCTTTAATAGTAATTGGCTTAGAGGCCAGGAACTAGTTGCAAACTTGCAATATATATGGAGCGTTGAATTATTTTCATAGCTAAGCAGTTGTCTCGGTGGATTATATTAATTATCATTTGGCTTTTCACCTAGGTTAGAATAGGACGTAAATGGATGATCTTCCTCATTGTTGAGTGGGTGATTGTGCTGGCTGACGGGCTTCCAGTTAACTTAGTTGCTTTCATAGTCAGTTTGTTGATGCGAATGAAGCTCGGGGTGCACTCTTCCTTCTGTGAGGCTGCTGCTTTCTTAATTGATTTATATAAGCTTAATCGGGGGTTTATGGTGATCATTGGGGATGATGTGGCAGTATTGCGCAGGTATAAGTATGGTAAGGATACAAAAATCTGTGAAAAGCTGGCACACATATTTGCAATCGCAGTTATGGGTAGGGATGACTGATGAGTGGTAGCAGGGACAAGCTATAGTTCCTGTGTTGCAGTTTTGCTTGAATTATGGAAGTAACCGATAGTCTACAGGGAATGGAAAAAGTTCATATGAATATGAGCTTCTGTGCTTTGGGTTTTTGCCCCATGGAATTTTCTTGCTATCCTTCATAAATATCTAACCTAATATAAATAAAAAAACTAACCTTAAGAATTATTTGTATGATAATAATTTGAGCTCTACTCAATGGCACACTTGTACTTATCCTTGGTCCCTTACTGTGCTATTTTACTCGTATTATTATGTTTTGTAGAGAGACAGGTGTTGTGGATTTCATGATGCAGCAAGAATCTGAGATGTTCTGGACTGGAAATTGTGTGCTGTAGACTATAGTTAGCATAACCGAAGTTTGCTATGTGTGTGACAATATTATCAGGGTTCTAAATTGATTTCAATGGAGGGAGATCTGATGCCTATTTCTGTATTTCAAAGTTGCGATTGTTTTTATGTATTCTAATTTTTTTAAATCCTGGTCTTGCAGCTTGCCGCAGTTTCTCAGACAGAATTCAATTATCGAGACAAAAATGATCCTATTAATTACATCGTGGGGATTTCTTATTATATGCATGTAAGTTAAACCGACAATTAGAATGTGTCTTGACTGCTAATTTGGTACGTCCATTTATTTTCTTTCCTTTTCATGGGCTCTTGAAAAGAACATATTTTGTTGTGTTTAATTGATCTGTAGCTTAAAGTAGAAGAGCTGACTACTTATCTTCTTGTTTTCCTTTCTCAGGGATGGGCATTGTGTTCCCTTCCCTTCCTAAGGCTCATGTAAAATTTGTTTCTTTTTTGGTCGACTAAAAATCTCACTCAATAACTCGTTCATAAATAAAAAGAAATAGCTGCCTGTTTTCTTGAAAGGAGGAGCTGAATGTGAAGAGGTGGAGTAACGATGTAAAATTACTTTTAGTTTTAGCAGAAACGATGGAATATTTTATGTTTGGTGGTTGCTGGATGTTGAAATGATATTTTGTATTGGTTCCTTCAAAATGTCAGCTATGGCTTATTTATTGTACTTAAATGGGAAATAATCTCTGGTTTGTTAATTGCAACTGAATGTATCATTCAGTTCGGCTTATTATTTTTATTATTTTAGTGCCTTGGTCCAAAACTCATTTGCTCATTTTTAACTGTTATTCGCAGATCATCTATTTTTGTGTCCTATACTAGTATGAGTTAATCAATTAACTTTATTACCTGTGATGTATCTGGAGAACGGCAGAACGCTATCATTAGCATCTTTAATAACAATAGCATTTTTTCTCCCAATCCAGAAATATCCCCCGGAAGATTGGCTTGTACAGTCATCTATGCCTACTGATTTCAATCCGAGCACAATCCAAATGCATCTTGATCAGCTCTCTCAAGACAACTTCCGGTGAGTTTTCTTTTACCTACTGCAGAATCATGTGGTATTGGATTGAGAATCAGATGTCTGTCTGCTGTGTGATTGGTTATTTATCTTCAGCTAACCATGTATTGAAGACTAGTAACATTCCATAATATGATATAATGAGGAGTTCTTTGAAAACTTGCAGTTGATAATTTTGACTAATATCCCCATCTAGTTAGAAAGCCATATGAACAAAAGACATGGTATATACAGATTATTTCAACATAATTATTCTAGGTTACTTTGAATATACACAAGTGGATTTATCTGATTATGGCACTGAAACGATGAACTTGAAAAGGATTTTTAGCGAAAAAAATCCATTATCTAGTGGTTTCCTTCTCTTTTATTGGTATTTAGGATTTATGAGGTCATGAGCATCAGGGCATATGGATTTTTGACATGAGACTGCAAGTCTTGTACTGCTGGAAGTATAGAACAAGACTCAAAAGTGGAGATGCAAAATTTCCTGCTTGAGCTGCTTTTCTGATCCCTAACTCGTAAAATAATTATAGTCGTCCTTTTTTTCCTGCCATTATGTTGCTGGTTCTATCTCACTAACCAAATAGCAGCATATATATGTTTGGCTGATCTAGCATAGGCAAATGCAATAATTCAAGTTGTACAGGGATTGCTGTTGCCTTCTCTGAGTGATCGGGTCTTGAACATAAATTGAAGGAAGGGTTTCCAACTTTCCATAGTACTTTCTCCCTCTTAGTATCTTCTTTCATTTTACCATAAGGATAAGATTTCGGCCTAGTGGTAGTGGGGTCGAAAAACATCTGACCTATCCTGGGTTCGAACGGAAATTAAAAAGATTTCAGTTACTTAATATTGATGAAACTTGAGACTGACGAAGACTTGTCCATCAATATTTGTTTTTCGATCCAGTATGAGAATGGCAGTTTCCTCATCCGAGTACAAATTAAAATAGATTCAACTGTAATGCATTCTAACGAGAGTTATTTTGTAGTATCTTCTGGATCTCAAAGAAGTTTGAAGCAGAAGCTCAGACTGTGGAGCCGTGGTTTGGAACTAGATATGGTATCGAGAAAATCACTAGCTCCACGATTCAGGTATTTTTCTGATAAAGTTAGTCGTTTACTGGTTATGATGTGATATATACCACCATGGGGATAATTACCTGGCTACTAAGTGGTAATGGTAACGTGTGTCTCCTTGCAGGACTGGATACATTCCGCTCCCGACAAAAATCTGCATCTTCCAGTACCTAATGTGTTTGTTCCTACTGACTTGTCTGTTAAGGACAAACAAGAGAAGGTTTAAGTTGCTAATCCTGTGATTGCTTTTTGGCGGTTGGCCTCTTTGGCAGTCTATATTTTTGACAACATGGTTTTGGAACAGGTCACATGGCCATCTCTTTTGAGAAAGTCATCCTATTTTTCATTGTGGTACAAGCCGGACACATTGTTCTTTATGCCGAAGGCATACATAACAGTTGATTTCAGTTGCCCTCTTGCTAGCGTTTCCCCTGAGGCCTCTGTGCTTACAGATATCTTTACAGAACTGTTAATGGATTACTTGAATGAATATGGTAAGTTGAAATGGCTTGTTCTCTTTGGGGTTCTAGTTTCATAATCTTTATGCAATAAAGTGTACATGCCAATTGATGTTGGCAAGAATTATGAGATGTTGTTATTCTATGATCACTGTCGATATATTTTAGGTTACTTGATTTTAGTATTTTTTTTAGTGTTCTTTTCCAACGTAAATGTTATTTACTCATTTTTCAGCCTATTATGCGCAAGTTGCTGGTTTATACTATTGGATAGGCAGCACAAACAGTGGTTTCCAGGTACTTCGTCACCTGAAAACCATATATTTATAGATGAACAAACACTTAGATTGAGCTACTCTTAATCCTTTCACAAATTGTTCATATATGTAATATATATGATTAGCTTAAGTAAGATGTAAACAGGAAAGTAAGTCCAAAGTTGATTTATTCTATTATATTTACAATATTTAATGATGATGCTACTACTATTCTCGAGATTTTATTCTTCCAGATCTTGGGTTGAGTGGTCTGCATTAAAATTACATAAATCGAGGATCCTGTTTCAGTTTACTGTTAGATTGAACCTCGTCATTTTTCTTTGTATTGTGCTGAGAAGTTCCTCTAATTTGGTATTCCTCAACTTTGCAAAAAAAGGATAATTTCATGGAGGGTAATGGTTACTGGTTACCTTGTTGAGTCTTCTTAATTATGTTGGATGTGCTATATAAATTTATGTAAATGCGTCACCTGTTCCTTCCCTTCAATGTTGTTTTGGATGTCTCTTAACATATGGTTTCCTACTTTTGACCTAGGTGACTATGGTTGGTTATAATCACAAATTGAGGGTTTTGTTAGAAACTGTTGTAAAGAAAGTAGCTACATTTGAAGTTAAGCCTGACAGGTTCGTGGTGATCAAGGTAAGGATCAGCTTGTTTGTAGTTTGTCTTACTATCTAATTTCTTGTGCGATTACTCTGGGCATCCTTATGCGTCATGGTCAGGTCTCATTTTGCTTTTAGTTCAAGTTGCAAAATCATTTTTCAACACGGTCACGTCTCATAGTGCTTGTATCTCAAGCTGTAAATCGGCATGTAAAACGCTGATTGTGCAATATCGAAGGGGGCACTGCTATTCTCACCTTGTTACCATACCTTCAGATTTGCCTTTGTAAGGTGGTAGACATTGGGTTTTAGAAGACACCAGGCTATATCTCAATGCTCGATGCTTGTTATGGTTACGATTGTCATCTTTTGAATTGATTCTTACATGGTCTCTCTGCTTCTTTGTCAGAGTACTTCTTGAATTCTATCTGACGTTATTCATTAAGGGTTAATTAGAGATGGACTTTTACAAGAGTACTTCTTGTCCCTGTACTATGTCATTTTAACACACACATCCTTATACTATAGTCGTTAATAGCCATGCCCCTGTACTAGTTTTTTGTTATGTTTTGAGTCCCTTTGCTACACATTTCGTTCAAATTCATTACAAGTGGGACATACCCATGCTCCCGGTAAGCACGTCCTAAATGACCAATATGTCAGAGTCATGTATGCTGAAAATTCCTGTTTGTTCAGCAACTCGACTCTAACTGCTCGGGGTCTTTACAGGAAAAAATGACGAAAGCATATGAGAATTACAAGTTTCAGCAACCTTATGAGCAGGCTATGTATTATTGCTCTTTAATACTTTATGATCAAGCATGGCCGTGGACGGAAGGACTTGAGGTTCTTTCTCAACTTCAGGCTGATGATCTTTCTAGGTTTGTGCCAATGCTGCTGTCAAGAGCCTTTTTGGAGTGCTACGTTGCAGGTGCTTTTATCTCGTTTGCCTCTATTATATTAAAAAGATGCCTGTCATGGATTTAGATGTCTTCATTTTCATCGAACAATGTTAGCCAATATTTAAACCTTTGAACTGCTCAACCTTGTGAGTCCTGTCCATGGCAGCTGGCAGGGAGAGAAAAATCACTAAAATTTTGAAATTGCCTTCTCCTTCCAATCTCCATTTTGTAAAGCATTCTCAATTAATGTATTTCAATCGATGATTTTGATCTTGATTAGGACTTGGAATGATGGAGATTTTAGCCAGACCACCACACCTATTAATTATACGATCCTTTGTTTCTTTTAAGAATTTGTTTTTGTGGTTTATCCCAGGGAACATTGAACAAGATGAAGCAGAAACGATTAGTAATCAAATTGAAGACACCTTTTTCAAGGGTCTGAACCCCATATGCCAACCATTGTTCTCTTCTCAACATCTAGCTAACAGAGTTGTCAAGCTTGACCGGGGAATGAGTTACATCTATCCGGTTGAAGGCTTAAATATAAAAGATGAGAATTCTGCTTTACTGCATTATATCCAGGTAGCTACATTTATAGTTTTATCTACAATTGCGTTTGCTCCCATTTCGTTCCTTCCCTTACAAAAAATCTTACGGACACGTTTTGAGTGTTGGTGCAGTTGGCCTGACCTTGTAACACTCTCATTTTGAAAAGAATGAACGATCCCTTATTTCTCAAAACTTCATTCCATCTTCTTTTCTCATTTCGAGTACATTAATGGTATTGTGTGTGACGTGATAGGGATTCCTTGTTCGTTCAAATTCTTATATGCATTGTTTATTTATTTTTATTTTTTTAACCTTTGGGAATGTTTCCAGCGACTAAACTATTTCTGGTTTTGGATGTCCATGGCTTTTGAATATTGGAATCGGTTTATTATGGTATTGGGATCAGTTTCAGCGACTTGAATATTCCATGCGTATTCTTATGTAGATTTCTATGCAGCTTGATGGATATTGTGTTTTATGAATCAGGTTCATCGAGATGACATAAAGCTGAACGTTAAGCTGCAGCTTTTTGCTTTACTTGCAAAGCAAGCAGCTTTCCACCAACTTAGAACAGTTGAGCAACTTGGCTACATGACGTTTCTCACGCGGAGGTAGTAGAATTATTATATTCTATAGATTCTGCATAGTATCTGGAATACACTTTCACATCCTTAATGAATATTTGGCTTGTCTTTCTTTTCACAGGAATGATTCTGGCATTCGTGGACTACAGTTTGTGATCCAATCAACAGTTAAAGTGTGTAGAACTCCCTGTCTCAATTTTCTTCCCTTGTTCTGGCTACACATGAGTTTCTTAATTTTGGTCTGTCTACAGGGTCCTGGCCAGATTGATCTCAGAGTCGAGAATTTCCTCAGCATGTATGAAAGTAAACTACGGGAGATGTCCAATGACGAATTCAAGGTGAAATAACTCTTCCATCCCTGATATCATATTACATTATTACTCCTGCATATGGTTGTGTATTGCGAGTTAGCGCTCATGGCAATCATTTGGTAGTGCTTTTTTCCTTTCTATCAGACGCACTTTAGAACCAGATTGTCCAGCAGTACAATCATTCAGGGTCCTGGATTACATCTCTAGATGCTTAGCCATGTTGTGATGAAATGCGTTATGATTCGTTCATCCTGCAGAATAATGTGAATGCGCTGATCAACATGAAACTCGAGAAGGTGAAGAACTTAAGCGAAGAATCGTCCTATTACTGGAACGAGATTTCGGAGGGGACACTCAAGTTTGACAGGAAGGAATGCGAGGTAAGTAAGAAAACTGATGACACAAGTAAACCAAGTACCAAAAAATATGTCTTGAAACTTGAAAGTAGCAAATTACGATATGGATATTCTACTGATTCTCTTGTCAATAAATTTCATCTGAATAAAACAGGTGGCAGCCCTGCGGCAGCTAACTCAAGACGAACTGCTAGATTTCTTCAACGACTACATAAAAATTGGTGCACCTCAGAAGAGGACGCTCAGCATCCGAGTATACGGGAGCCCACATTCGTCGGAGTTGGCAGCAGACAGAAGCCAGGAGCTCCCTCCAAACTGTGCTGAAATCGAGGATATCCTCAGTTTCAGAAGATCGCAACCTCTCTATGCTTCATTCAAGGGAGGTGTCGGCCACATGAAGCTGTAAGTGTCGTCTCGATCCTGCCTGCATTTACCCGTATGCCGAACGAAATCTAGAACTTGTTTCCGGAATTTAGCTGAAAGTGGGGGGCGTTCAGCACGTGCTGACACCAGTGGATTTCTCTCATGTGCGTTTTCAGCCGTTGAATCAGCAAGATGGCGTTCTTATATATGACGTCATTTTGCTTGGTGCAACTACTGGGAACGCACGGGGCAATCTAACAGCGTCAGCAGCGCCGAACCTCTCCCCCTGTCAGCCTAGCAGCAAGATTGAACATTCTGTACCTGTGATTCTATAGAAGATTTGGTGGGTGTGTATCCATGAAAGCTGTAATGATTGGGGGATGATGAGTATGAATCTATGATCGTCAATGATGACCAATATTACACTGATGGCCATAAATAAATAGGATTAGTAGGACTTGAAGGAGAAGGGGTATGGTTTATTATTAAACATGAACCTGTTTGAGGAAAACTTAACAAAATCCAAAGCATGCAACACGCAGGATCTTCTTTTAGGGGTCGTTTAGATGAGGGATTTGGGGTAGGATTTTACCCAAATTCTCCATTCGGTCGGATTTTGACGGAATAACACGTACTACAATATGATGGATTTTGAGATTGGGAATTTAATAAACCTACAAGTATGGGTATTGAAATTCTTGCTCCCTCTCAGCTGTTTCGAAATCCTTCGTTGGCTTTCTTTTTCTAATATGATCTCTTTCAATTTTATAAAATTCCAAATCATACCCTTAGCCACACAACAGTTGTTCCTCGTCCCCTTCCAACGACGGCTTCATCTCCTTCTTTCTCTTCCTTTCCTCCGACGTAAGAATCCAGTCTCCATCTTCCACTCTTTTCTAGGCTTAATCGCCATTTCCCTCACCAACAAGAAACCTCCACCGTCGACATCAATTGAATCGCCATTTCCCTCACAAACACGCTCTTTTAAACATTCCCTCGTCCGAACGACTCCTAGGCTCTTTGGTTTGATGGCTCATTTTGTGAAGTCTGTTTATAGAAACTAATATTGTAGAGAACAACTTGTGCAAACATGAGTGTATGACTTTCTAAAAAAGTTGTAGAGAGAAAGGGATTAGGATGTGGATTAAGTGGGACTTAAGTAGGTATAGTGGGATTTGGTTGTCACGCGGGAATAATACTAGGATTCTAGGAATATGGTTAGTGTTGTGGCAACTTGTGTTATGTATATGTAATTAAACACGTGTTGGTGATTAGCCAATGAAAGTGCCATCATTGTTAGATAATTGGAGGTTTTGGGAACTTGGATTTGTACCTAATCATCCCCATGACGTAATCGTAGTGCCCCTGTTGCTTTTTTATCATGAAAAAGTTCTTAAGGTAGCAAAGTGCCAACGATCCCATTAGATTCTCACCAACCTAGTAAAATTAGGGGGGAGAAAACTTAGGCCTTCTTCCTTTTCCCTTTCTATTGTTGTTCATACATCTTTTGAATCGGAATTTTTTTTCCGTCTTGCCATAAATCCTATACAATTAAATATACACATCATATGTGTATGCGCCGTGAAGAAGTTAGAAATTTGAGAATGCTGAGAAATTCGAACGTAGGATCGGTCGAGCTAACTGCTACGTGTTTGCCGGTCCCGAGTCTCTTCCACATACCACTTAGTGGTGCACCAACCCAAACACCTGCTCTACGTACCCAAAGTTTTCTTGAAACATTTCAAATGAACTCATATGTAAAATTTTGTGTTGAGAACCTTAATTTAATTGAAAGTCCCCCATGGTCACCTTAGTCATCCCCCCACATAAACTAATTGCACGTTGTGTCACGCGCTTTGCTTTTTGGAACATGGAAAACCATAATATATACATATGTCACGTACGGATGTTCTCAATTTTCTAGTCTATATATACATTCGTAGATTCCATCGATAGATATCGTGAATTGATTTGTATGAGATGATGAGGAAAACGAAGAAGGTGACGCTAATAATGGTGCCGTACCCAGCACTCGGCCACTTCACTCCCATGTTCCACCTCGCCTCTTCCTTCCTCCAACTCCCCGTCGACCGTGGCTACAGCTTCAACCCCGTTCTTCTCCTCCCTCACTTCCTCCACCGCCAGATCTCCGCTACAGCCACCAACGACGTCGATCCCCGGATATCCTTGGTTCCCGTCCCGGAGGAGGACGACGGTGAGGACGAGCCGCCGCCGCCTGCTGATTTCTTTGCCATAGACAAGGCGATGGAGCAGAGCAGCTCGCCGGCCGGGCAGATGGAGGCGGTGGTTCGTAACATCGTTGCGTGTAGTGGGGATGGTGGTGGTGGTGACGTTTGCATGGTGGTTGATTTGCTGGTTTCGTCGGCTATTGAAGTGGGCCGGAGATGCGGGCTTCCGGTGGCTGGGTTTTGGGCCGTGGATCTCCTGGCCTACCAGTTGATCGCCGCCATCCCGCAACTCGTCGCCACTGGCCTCGTTCACCCTCATTCAGGTACTCTATACTATTATGCATGGTTCAAATTAAACAGGTTGCGCTTAAATTTACGTTTAGAGATTTTGCGATGAGTTAGGTATCAAGAATACATTGATAGAGCAACAGTGGCGGATCCAGAGCTGCGTCAACCCGGTCCCGGCCCAGCCCTCCTCTGGATTCAAAATTAGTTTAGTGCTTATAAAATTTTTCGATTTAGATATTTGACTCAGTGCTATTTAAAATCCTGTCTAGTTTTATTAGACAGGATTTTGTGTAACTAGGAAAATGGTTCAAATGAACATATCCAAACCATTACTCTAAATTTATACTAAATTTTCTATAGCCCCAATAATTTTATTTGAAAAAAGACATGAAAACCTAAAAGTGTAAAGTTTCATTAAAATAAAATAAAAACTCTAAACTAAAGCACACCCTTCCTTGCAAAATTCAAAAAATTTCCCAATCCCCCCAAAACAAAACAAGAACGAGGAGACGAGCAGATCCAAAATGGATTTCTTCGCCAGCCCGTCGAGCTGATTTTCTTTCCATTCTTTTGATTAAGAAAATATTTACAAACTTGTTGACTTATCATTTAGATCGCCTCAATTGAGTGGGGCACTAGATTCTAACCGTTCTTTCTGGTGTTTCGATGAAGAAAATATTTACAAACTTGCTCAAGAGTTTAGCTTCGAGACTTTGAATGCTATGAGATGCATTCTTTGGAGAATGCACTACTCATGTGAGGAAGATGAAGTTTCTTCTCTTGCAAAATTATTAGAGAAGCTGGAGGAAACAGGGATGGACACACAATACAAATTGATTTGTTGGTTGATTTGTTTAGTGTTGACCTAGCCGTTTCAACAACTACCATGGAGAGAATATATTCAGCAATGGAACATGAACATTGATTTGTGCAACAAAATGAGCGATGAATTTCTCGTTGATTACTTAGCTATTTTCTTTGAAAAAGAGTATATTATCGGTATGGATGGAGATTATATTATTGATGAATTTGCTAAATTAAAAGACCATCTTATATAATTGGCATTGTAATGAAAACTATATTATTATATATTTTTGTTTAAGGTATATCTAATATTCTATTCAAATGCGGCCCAGTGCTCTCTTACGTCCTGGATCCGCCGCTGTAGAGCAATATGGCATCTAGGTGTCACATAGGCGTAAGTCGTAATTAGATGTATCTATAAATTTGTGAGTTTGTTTTTCTTGTTGTTAAATGTAAAGGAAGTTACTAATCAGTCTGAAATGACGTGGAGAAATATTGTAAATTGTTATTTCGGTTAATCATATAATACATATTGCTATTTTTACTTCCAACATTTATCTAAGCATACGATTAGGAGTGGCCTAAAGCGCCAAATAAGGTCCCAAACCAAACGCTCGCCTAACATCTTGTTAAACCTTGATATTTGATTCTTGTCACGTTATTATTAATATTTTTTCACGTGATTTCATCATTTAGGAATCCCTCGACACCAAGGAGTTCCCATCGTCGACGTTCTACCTCATGATCAACCGGCTCTCTCGACGGACGACCTCCCGTGGCTGATCGGAAGCCTACCGGCAAGAAGCGCAAGGTTCAAATTCTGGAACAAGACCTTACAAAGATCCACCACCCTCCAATACCTTCTGGTCAACTCCTTCCCTGACCAAAACCACCACCCCAATGAACTCCACCGCCAACAGAAACAACAGCAACCGAAAATCCTGCAAGTGGGCCCGTTAATGCCCAAACACCAAGCCCACACCAGCAACAACGTAACCTTCTGGGAGCAAGACTCGGCCTGCTTGCACTGGCTGGACGCCCAAAAGCCCAACTCGGTCCTCTACATAGCCTTCGGCAGCTGGGTCAGCCCAATAGGAGAGCCCAAAGTCCGGGCCCTCGCAACCACCCTGGAAGCCCTCCACGTCCCTTTCGTCTGGGTGCTGGGACCCGCATGGAGGCAGGGGCTGCCACGTGGGTACGAGAAGAGGCTGTGGGACAGCCAGCGTGGCAGGGTGGTGTCATGGGCCCCGCAAATGGAGGTGCTGCGACACAGCGCCGTTGGGTGGTTCCTGACGCACTGTGGGTGGAACTCGACGGTGGAGGCTGTCCGGTGCCGGAAGCCGATGTTGTGCTATCCGATCGCCGGCGACCAGTTCGCCAACTGTGCGAGGATCGTGGAGGAGTGGAGGGTTGGGGTGAGGCTGAGCGGGTTCGGGAGAAGGGAATTGGAGGAAGGGATGAAGAGTGTTTTGGGAGATGGGGAGATGAGTGGCAAGTTAGAGTGTTTGTGTGAAGTGAGTTTGGGGGATGAAGCTAGGGTTAGGGCTAGTGATAATCTCAATGCCTTTGTTGATCTTGTCTTTAATTAGGAGGAGCACTCTTCCTTCGCGTTGATCTTATAGAGGATATATGAAGTGTGTATCATCCTAATGTGTGTGGTGTGGTTTGGGTGTGTGTTTGCAAAGGTTTTTGTCTTGGTTTCGTGTACGATGCCTAACAACTTTGAAATACGAATAATGGGTTTGATGAATTGTAGCTGGTTACGTAGTTGACGGGTTGATATAATTGAATGTTTATCCAAATATATGTTATTTACAGTATGTTTAGCTCTGCCAAAGTCTTATAATATACATTTTTGCATATATATATATGCGCGTTTTCATAATTTTTTGTGTTGGTTACGTAAATTTGGTAACACACATAGTAGAACTGACGAATTAGAAATGTTAAACTTGAAGAAAGAGAAGCTTATCCCAATCCACCATTAGGGTGGCGGTTTAGTACGATATAGCCTAACAGTCTCCTGCTAATTAATTAAATCCAACCCTCTTAGCTAGGTAGAAAGTGCTTATTACGAATTAACCACTGTGGATAAGTATCAGTGAAACTAGACCTCCCAACTGAATTGCTCTACAGACTGAAAAAAAGCCAGGCTCCACTGCAACAAGGCAACAACCCCTTTTTGGCGGAATTGATTAGCATGCTAACCATAAATTGTAAATACAATAATAGTAATATTTTTCTAATTTTTTTATATAATTGTAAGACTATGTTTGGAAGTTAGGATTCTCTAAATTGATGTATTTAATCAATGTATGTATTATAATTAGATGTATTGTTTCAATGTATGAATTTGAAAAATACATTGTTTGGAGATTGAATGATTTTGGTGGTCCCTCAAAGATAAGGAACAAAAGTAAGACAACAATCCCTCAAACACAATCTCTACTAAAAGTTGAGATTGACAATCATTCATAATGAATGATTCTGGTGGACCCATCTGCTGTTCAAATACAAGCATTCTCTTTCATTATAAACCAAAAAAAACGATGAATTCTTCTTATTACATGTATTGGCTAAATACATCATCTGAAATCCCAACTTCCAAACGAGCTACACAACTCACACGTAATTGACTAATTGTAGTTATATTCATTTTTTATTTTTTGTAGTTGTGATTGGTTTTTTTTCTTCTTAATTGCAGTACTAAAACACCCATGCGAACTATAATAAAGTATAATATTAACTTTATCAAGTCCCTTTTTGGCACATTTTTCTTGTAACCCAAGATGTACGGGAAAAAAATCCCAAAGTACACACGTTCTTAAAAACAATTCTCAAAATACATGAGTTATAAAAAAAATTCCCAAAGTACACATGTTTGAGCATCACCGCGTTTGACAAACACGGTGAAGATCATCACCGCGTTTGACAAACACGGTGAATACTTCATCGTTTTAAACAAAAACGGTGAAGTATTCACCGTTTCATACCAAAACGGTGAAGCTTTCACCGCGTTAATTAACAACGGTGAAAGCTTCACCGTTTTTGACCAAAACGGTGAAGCCTTCACCGTTGTTAACTAACGCGGTGATCATTTCCCACGTTTCCCACCCCTGGTAGGTCAAAATTAGGTCGCAGCTACCACCTATTCACCGTTTGAGACAAACGCGGTGATAGTGTTCACCGTTTTTGTCAAAAACGGTGAATAGTAGGCAGATTTTCCTATAAATACCACACCACCAGCAGTTGTAAAAACATAACCACTCCCCTTTCTTCAAATTTCAGCAGACAAAATCGAGCATAATACACAGAACAGAAATTTTTCGGTATGTTGAGACTTTTCGTATTATGGTCTAATTATGTTTTTAGTAGTTATAGTATGATTTAATTTTCGTATTATGATTTAATTTTCGTATTATGTTGTTGTTAGTTAGTTGAACTTATATTTGTTAGTTATAGTATGATTTAATTTTCGTATTATGTTGTTGTTTGTTAGTTGAATTTATTTTCGTTAGTTATGGTATGATTTAATTTTCGTATTATGTTGTTGTTAGTTAGTTGAACTTATGTTCGTTAGTTATAGTATGATTTAATTTTCGTATTATGTTGTTGTTAGTTAGTTGAATTTATTTTTGTTACTTATGGTATGATTTAATATTAGTTGTACAATATGATTTTGGTTAATTTTACTGTCTTTAAGCTAATAGATACTTATTGTAAATTGTAGATATGGGTAAATTCAAGAAGTTTCATCTTACTATTCGGTGGAATGGAAGGGTGACAAACTCTGACATAGGCATTGATTATGAGGACGGCGAATCCATTATGCTGAAAATTGAATCCCGATTCAATTTTCAAGAACTCTGTGATCTTTGTGCAGAAAGGGTTTGTACGAGCGGACAGACGAGACTTGGCAAAATTACTTACCGGTATCCAGACATGAGTGCTGGCGGGGTCGTGTTCCAAGAAGTTGTCATAAACGATGATGACGCGGTTATGATGATGTTACAGTTCCTAAGCGATAACCAAGTCCGGCTTGCAGAGGTGTATGTTGAGACCGAGGCGCTCGGTGAATCTCATTCTCACCAGTATTCTTATGATGATGGTTTTGCAGGAGGGTACGAATGGGGTGGTAGTTCGAGCAACTACCAAGGCGGTGGTTATACAGGAGGTTACGGGGAGGGTGGTGGTTCAATCAACTACGGTGGATCGAGTAGTGCAGGATGGGACCAATACTCGCAACCTCCTAAACCAGCCCCATTTGTTGAGGCCGATGGTGTTCAATGGCCTGCTTGGGGGCCAGAGTGGTATGGAATCGAGAATACCATTCGATCAGGGCGTACTTCACATGAGCGAGAGGACGATGTTGGTGATCATGGTCATGTTGATCCTTCTAGCTCGAGCTATCCATTCGAGTCAAGCGACGAGGATACTGAGGAAGATTTGATATCAGTGAGCGAGGAGGAGGAAGATACTGATGATAACGAGGATGAGGCGGCATTTCGTGAGGCACCCACGCCATATTACACACAGGTTCCAACTCAATTTTTACATAGTCAGAATGATCCCCCCGACTTTGTCCCTATGCCAGTGTACAATCCAACGGCCAATCTGGAGGTGGGTATGGCGTTCACATCGAAAGACGCTGTGCAGGATGCATTTACAGAAGAGGCGTTGAGGCGCAATTTCGAGTGGAAGGTAAAATATTCTGACAGTAAACAATTACATGTCATATGCAAGCATGATGCAGAGGGTTGTACGTGGCAACTGCGGGCTGCAAATATGAAGAGAAAGGGTGCTTGGGTGATTCGCAAAGCTGAGACGATCCACACATGCTCCTCTTCTATACTTTCCCAAGATCACAGGCAACTAAAAGCAAAGAAGGTTGGGAGAACTATTAAGCACCTTATAGAAGCACAACCAGATATCAAGGTGAAAGCTATCATGGCAGAGGTGAAGGATCGACATTCTTACACGATAAGGTACAAAAAAGCATGGCATGGTAAGCAGAAAGCCATGGCTGAGGTGTATGGTGATTGGGAGGATTCGTATGCTTTACTCCCTAGACTTATGGGAGCAATGGAGGAGTCCAATCCTGGGACTGTTTTCGTCCCAGTATACAACAATGTATACACTGAGGATCAAGTTCGAGTACAGGATAAGCTGATGTTCCATCGTCTTTTTTGGGCTTTTAAACCATGCATTGACGGTTTTGGGTTCTGCATACCGGTTATTCAGGTATTTTACCAACTAGTTCCGGTTTTAAATGTTGTATTATTTGCTGTTAAGTATATTTCATACTAATTATATCCTAAATTTTTATTCAGGTTGACGGAACTTTCCTTACTGGGAAGTACAGAGGATGTCTTCTAATTGCCACTGGCGTTGATGGAAATAGGTGAATTTTCCCGCTTGCATTTGCATTAGTGGAAGGGGAGAACAGTTTAAGTTGGGCTTGGTTCTTTGACCAACTGCACGAACACGTGACACAGCGGGAAGATATTACGATTATATCCGATCGACATGCGGGGATAAGGAATGCTGTTGGTGGTTTTCCCGACGAGTGGGGGTGGAGATGGAGATGGTGTATTCGGCACTGGCTCGCCAATTTCCAACACAAATTTGGGAAGAAGAAAGACATCAAAAATCTACTTTGGAATGCAGGTACTCATGTTTTTCTTATGCGATTTAAGTTTGTGTTTATTAAGCTGATAAGCTGATGTTATTCATCATGTATTGACCAGTTAGTCTTTTGTTCACATTTTAGCGGTTGCACATCAACCAAAAAAGTACGAGCAGATCATGAAAACGATCCGTCAGACCCACCGAGCTGGAGCAGTATGGGCTGAAGGTCAAGAGTTGCCCATGTGGACGTTCCATATGGACAACGGGGCTAGATGGGGCATTGCAACTACCAACCATGGAGAAAGTATAAATAATGTTTACAAGGGTCTTCGAGCGATGCCTATTTCTGTCATCGTGGAAATGTCTTATTGGAAGGTCAACGAGTGGCGAGTTGCTCGGCTACAGCTAGCTATAGGGAGGGAGTTGCAAGGTCATTCAATAGCACATGACGTATTTGCTCAAATGCAGAAGAACGATGAAAAATCAAGTAAGCATAAGGTTGTTCTTTTTAACCGCAGTGAAGGAATATTCGCTGTCGAAACAGGTATATGGGGTGGAGGGAGACGTGGTCACAATCGTCAAACGGTCAAATTGCACTACGAATTAGGGGAGTGTTCTTGTCAAAAGTATCAGAACGAAAGGATACCCTGTTCACATGCAATGGCGGTTGCTAAGTCAATAACCATGAACAGAAACAGCCTGGTGAGTCCTTACTACACTGAACAAGCGATACGGAACTCATATCATGCAGCTTTGACCCCCATGCCAGATGAAGCGTATTGGCCTATATACGCTGGAAAGTTGATTATCCCACCGTTGCACCTAAAACGCACCAAAGGCCGTCCTAGAGTTGAAAGGATACACAATGAGATGGATCAAGTTGAACGGACGAGAAGGGGACCGAAGCGATGCTCTAAGTGCAGACAACCTGGTCACGACAAGAGGCGTTGCCCAGGACAACCATCAACTTAATTTGCATTTACTTGTATTCTGCTACTAAATTGATCGCTTGTTTAATTTTTAATTAACGTTTGCATTTGAAGTCCAAGTATTTTGTTAAATCAAAAATGTTTTCCTTGTCGATACGATCGCGCGGCCGCAAACGGCTCGTTATTTCGACCTCAAACGAATAAGATACGGGCGTTTTAGTTTATAGTACGCAAAAGTTACTTTAACGATACGATCACGCTTTGACGTCACTTATCTCACTCGTTTGGACTCGGAATTGGGATCTGTAAAATTCTATGCGATCGTGGTTGATTTGCCCAACTTTTTTGTGTTGAGGAAAGATACTGATTCTTGATAAAATGATCCAGAAAATTCATTCGACAACTTAAGTGCGTAGGATAGTTTTTAGACAATGCAAACTCAAATAACAACACCTAAAAATCACAAAAACAACATTGATAGTTCACTACAATGATAAAACGATAAATTCACTAATTTGCTTCGTTTTGGCCCCCATCGCCACCTCTTCCTCCTCGTCCTCCACGACGTCCTCGACCCCTTCTTCCCCCCTCCGCCGCTGCTTCTTGGCGGGCTCGCTCAACGGCTGGTCGCGGATTTCTCTTGACCCGAGCCCCAACTGGGGTTACATATGGTGGTGGTGGTGGCTGAGTTGGAGCGGTAGCTTGACGAATGATCGGAGTTTGTTGTTGCGGGGTCTGAAACATCGAACTTTGTTGCTGATGTTGGAATTGAGAGAACCCATGAGAGAAAGTGTCCCATTCCTGAGATCCCCCACGACTCGATGAGCCTCCACCGGCATCCGCTGTAGGTGCCCACTGGTACTCGAACGGTTCGGGGAGCTCGGTTTCTTGAGTGGTACGCACCTCTTCGAACGTAGGCAAAGGCCTGCGTTTGCTCCTTCGTGGAGGCTCAACCGGGGGCACAATGGGTGCATCATCACGGAATGAGGGTCGTGCCGGGGCAGGAACGGGAGGATAGGCCACGACATCCCTCCTTTGCTCTCTGGTGCAACTCAGGAGGTTATTCATAAGTCGGGTCAACCAAGTAGTCTTCCGCTCATCCATGGTTGGAGCACTTTCGAGAGTGTACTTCGCGTGTTCCAAACCATCAACCTAAGGAAAGCACAAAATATATCAAATTAACTAAACATTAAAATAAATATATTTAAGAATTAGGGAGATTAGGATGACTTACCACCGAACCCATCACAGCACCTTGCTTTGACACCCATCTCAAGGTGAACTTCCGATACCACTGCATGTACCCATCGTGGTAGCCCATCGGTCTCGTCTCCGGCATCCCTTGCACCACCCATTGGGATCGATTCTCCCAGATGTTGATGTAGAATCCATGCTTTAGCGTCCAGTTTGCATTGTTTCGGAGGTCCATAGCATGTAGCTCCTTGAAACCTGCTGGCGGGTCTTGTGGAATTGGTTGCTCCATTCGATACTGCCTCAGGGATCGATCGGGTAGGTGCCATTCCACAATGTGCCAACAGATCAATGGCACCTTGCACAACCACGTCTCGTGATCCAGAGGGTGCCTAAGATGATGCAGCTCAACCACTTCACGTGGATATGGATCCCATATAACCTAAAATCACAAAAATTCGGAATTAACGACCATTTACTTTGATAAAATTGATCTTGTTCAAATATGGACAAAACATGATTACCTGATTCCACCATGGTTTATCTAACTCAGAACGATAAAACAGTAACGAATGCTCAGGCTGATGGTCATTCGTATTTGCTCCTATCCACCTTGTAAGTAAAAGTACGGAATCAATTTAAATTCAATTTAAATCTAGTTAAGCATGTAATAAAAATTAAATTGGGCTAAGTACGGAAGTGCAGACAATTTAAATCTAGTTGAAGCATGTAATCAAAAGTTAAATTGGGCTAAGTACGGAATAAATTCAATTTAAATCTAGCTAAAGCATGTAATAAAAAGTTAAATTGGGCTAAGTACGGAATAAATTCAATTTAAATCTAGCTAAAGCATGTAATAAAAAGTTAAATTGGGCTAAGTACGGAATAAATTCAATTTAAATCTAGCTCAAGCATGTAATAAAAAGTTAAATTGGGCTAAGTACGGAATATTCTCAATTTAAATCTAGCTCAAGCATGTAATAAAATTTAAATTGGGCTAAGTACGGAATAAACTTACTTGACACCGTAGGGGAGATTTTGCAGAAGGTTGAGCTCATCATCGTTTCTCCGGTATGGACGTGGGTCGAGAGGTGCGAACATTGGAAGATGCTCCCATACCCACAGTTGAACGATGAACATCGCAGCACCAGCTTGCTTTGCCCCAACCCTCGAGCAAGTACACAGCTCCCGGTATACGCCCGCTAGCACGGCCGATCCCCAACTCTTCTCTCCAATTGCATCCCAGTCACCGGTGAGCAATGGCAACCATATGCCTTGAATCCACCGGTTGGACTTGTCGGGGAACAAAAATCCACCCACCAAACCGATGAGGTAGATGCGGGCGTAGCGCTCGACTTGTTCTTCCGGTGTCTCGTCATTGATTTCCACCTCTTGCTGGATGTGAGATACCAGCCACGGGACCGACACTTGCCCCGCATTCAACGGTGGATGGCCCCGTCCTTGATTTGGTGTGGTGGTCGGCATGTCGAAGCCCAAACGATCACGGATGAGCGGCCCCCAACCTCCTTCGGGTTTGGTCGTGTTCCCAATGATGGCATCTCCAGATATAGGAAGCCCGGTGAGGATCGCCACGTCTTTGAGGGTGATCGTCATTTCCCCCTCCGCAAGGTGGAATGTATGGGTTTCGGGACGCCATCGTTCCGCCATTGCCGTAAGCAGCTCGTTGTCGATCTCGATCCGCAAGAAATGGCGCAACATTCCCAAACCGGTCCTCGCTATATAGGGCTCCAACCTTGGATGCCAAGCGGGCAAGTTATTGGTCCCTTTATGAACCACGGGAACAAGAGATTCCTAAAAAAAATAGGAAAAACATCAATTAATTAGATTAAATAAAGCAAAATAAAACATTAGAAAATAATAAAATAAAGCAAGTCAGTTCATCAAATTACCGGATTGTTATCCCAAATGGCACGGGAGCGATGCATTTGCTGATCGGTTAATAGACTCGCATCCCTTGGGCCATAATGGATATACAATCGAGGATCGTATATCTCGGCACCCATCTATAAAAAAGTAATATAATCAGAGATTGTTTTGATAAAAAATAAATCAAATTGTTTCGATTAAAAAAAATCACAAACCAAAAACCTACACGAAGAGCCTCTTCGTCCATTATTGGCGGAAGCCGGACAGAGGTTCGACGGGTTTAGCTTTGTAAGGGACGGGAACTTAGCGGGACGGGGGCTTTAGGGTCAAACTCTAGTAATTCTTTCTGATGTGGAAGATCGGACTTAGCCGCAACCACAGAGCATACTTAGAACGAGACTAGAGCGGATAAATTGAGGGAGAAAGAAGGTAAATGTTTGTGGGGTGAGTTGAAAGTGAAAGGGGGAGGGGGTATTTATAGTTTGGGGGAAGGGGGGAGGAGATGCTGCGCAGTTAATTCACCATGCATTCACCGCGTTTGATGAACGCGGTGAACTCACCGTTTTCACCAAACGCGGTGAATGCATGGTGACGTGGCCTGCTGCGAGGCGTCGGATCGTGGGAAGAAAACCACGATCCGCGTCTCACCGCATCCAACGGCCACGGTGAAAGCACAATGGGCGCGGATTGCTGACGCAAACAAACACGGGTTATTCACCGTGTTTGTCTAACGCGGTGAATACCCCGTGCTGTCCACGTCAGCACTTCACCGCGTCCAACAAAAACGGTGAGTGCTTCACCGTTTTAATTTAAAACGGTGAAGGCATCACCGTGTTTAATTAAAACGGTGAGTACTTCACCGTTTTAAACAAAAGCGGTGAACCCTTCACCGTTTTAATTTAAAACGGTGAAGCACTCACCGTGTTTGGCAAACGCGGTGATGACCTTCACCGTTTTAGACAAAAACGGTGATGCTCAAACATGTGTAGTTTTGGAATTTTTTTTATAACTACTGTATTTTGGGAATTTTTTTTAAAAACTAGTGTACTTTGGGATTTTTTCCAGATGTACGGTGGAAAGAAACCCACACTCTAAGGAATTCGTGCCGACCACAATTGCTCCGGCCGGCCGACTAGACAAAGTATTAATGTCCGTCTTGTCACCAGTGAACACATGCATCAAAAGGCCGGAAAGGCAAAAAAAAAAAAACCATACGTGAAAGTGATGAAACACACCTAGAGATTAAATAATTGCACGTTGCACGTTTTTGGTGGAACCCAAATGAAGTAAAGTAGTGTCCATTATCTCCTCTTCTATATCCCAACAAATCCTCGTTAGTTTAGGGCCTGTTTAGTATTGTTGCTTGTTTTTATTTCTTGTTGTGTTTTAAGAAATTTGGAAAACCAAGAAAAAAATCGTGTTTAGTTGGGTTTTTATTTTTTGTTATGAATCAAAGTTGCACAACAAGGCACATGTAACAACCCGATTTTTGGTTCAAGTTCGACCATACTAAATGAACGGTTGGAGTAACGATTTCGTACGAAGAATTACAATCGTACATGAATTAGGAATAACCTTAATGAGTGTTATTATTATAAAAAGAAGTGAGAATCAATTTCACTCTCACTCCCACTCGTTACACCAACTCCAAATCACACTTAATCTAGCTTTTTCTCTAATCACCCTTCCCCATTGATAATTGCACTAAAGTCATTTGTAATTCCATTCACTTGTCCGATGATACCCGTGAGCACTCCATAAATCCATCATGAGTAGCTCCCCTTCCTATCAATTAACTGTGCATGAGCTGGCGTACAACACATCCATGCCCACACTATTTTAGATCGGAAATTAAGTAAGGAATGGAGCAGCTGCAACACGGTCGGTGCCTCTATTATAACTTGAAGTCTCCCTTCCTTTCATGAACGACCCCATTCTCCTCCTCCTCCATATACTATCACAATCTGAGCTTCCATCACTCTCTCATCTCCTTTAATTTGCATCGACTACTCCCTCAGCGCTACCATCTCACCATTTATCATAAGCAACCTCGTTTTATATCCCTTCCCCGCCGACAAACACATCGCCACCACCAGCGGACCTCGCCCTCCCATTCCGATCTTGCCTAGAGACAGCAGCAGCCGAAAGCAAGCATATGCACTATTGCTCTCCGCACGTTCGCCAACTAGTAACCAAGAAACGAGCGCTGTCATTCGCCTGTCGCCCCTACTTCCTCTCGTTTTCAAACAGGCCCCGACACGTCTCGTTGGCCAACTCGTAGCATGACCCTCGGTACAACCTTATCCTGTCAAGCAAATACGACCCAGGCTCGGTAATAATCTCGAACCCAAGTTTCCTTCGAACTCAAGTTATGTTGTAGCTAATCGATCCGCATACGTAATAAACCGTAGCTTTGCCACAAGACTTCGGGGGCTCAAATGGTGATCGACAAGGAGGAACGGCACCCAGAATCATCAAGCTCAGTTTTAAGATCAACCCAAAGGTAACGGATCCGAGTCTATAAGATTAACTCGAGTTAGTAACGTATAAACAAGTTTTTTTGGTTTTAGTGACCAAATTACAGTCTTTTAGTGACGAAATTGACGCTATCGCAAAAGATTGCTGGGCTATTGTCCATATTAGTCCCCCATGAATTCAGTACATACAGCTTAGTCCCTCATAGTTTTAAGTATTGATAATTTGGCCTGAACATCGTATTTTTCATGGTTATGTTTATTTACGACACTTTCCAGCGGGTATTTTCATAATATGATAATTTTATAAATTTGATGAAATTAATAGGATGCTTGTATATAAATTTTAGAATTTTTGGATCTGTATTTGTATTTATAAAAATTGAACGAATGTTGGTTTTAATTAATTAAAATACTGTACGAAGTCGTTTTGGTGATTTGATAATTTTACATGAAACTAGGATTATTTATTGATGTTATAAAATTATGAATCAGAATTATTAGTTTTCGTGACTCGGTTTAAAAATTATATATATGATTAATTTTAATAGGAAAAAGAGGTTATTTAAAAGAGGGGCTTATGTTTATTAATTGGGATTAATGATTTGAGTTAACCAAGGTCAGAATGTGGAGTTTTGAGTGGAAAATATATTTTGAGAAGTTTATGAGAATTGTATGAGAATTATTTTAAGAAATATTGAATTGCTTGAGATGAATTAATTCTTGATTAAAGAGGTTGAAAAGTTTAGTTTTGAAGAAATGATTTAAAAGAGATTGAGGGCCATTTTTAAAGGATTTTGGGACTAAGTAATCAATGAGGGATATTTTCCCCAATACGCCAAAGTGACTAAAATATTATGATTACCGACTAAGGGAAGATAATTTCGGTTTATAGGATTAAGGGAGCAATCAGATTAAAGATTTCACGTCAAGGGAACTAAGAATCGTCATTTGAGAGGTGAGTGGTTTAAGGGGGTAAATTCTACGCCTTACGTATTTTCAAGTATTTGACTTACGAGTTTTAAGTAAGTGTGTTTATGTGAATTGTATATTAGTGATTGATTTATGTCGTGATTGATGAGCATGTTTTATTTGAGATATTATCTGAGATACTCTATTTGAGTTATGATTGTGAAGTATATGATTATTTGAGCTTTCATTATTTACTTGAAGCTTTTATGTTATGTTCATTTAATGAAGGTTGTTTGATCTTTAAGGATCAACATTTAAGAGGTATTTCACTCCTAATTAAATTAGGGTGAAAAGATTTAAAAGTAGTTCACTAACGCCAGTCCCCCGCCCCGGTGAAAGTTTAAAGGAAGAGCGAGTTTGCTCTTAAGGAACATGTGGATGAATCACTTAGACATCACATGAAGTTTAAAGGAAGAGTATGATATACTCTTAAGGTTTATGGGGTTGAATCGATTACTCCCATAAACAGGTTTAAGGAAAGGCCTATGTTGGCCCTCATACGTATGAGCTGGGAGGCTGGACTAGTTAGTGAGGGGATCCCAGTGTCGGTCAAAGGTTTAAGATTTTTTGAGGGTGGCGAGTAACAACAACTCCCATGTTTTTAAGGGTTAAAATTTAAAGGGTGGAAGTATGAACAACTTCCACAAGTTTTGAGGTGAACACTTAAGGGAACACCCGTAAGTGCTTCAAGTTTAAGTAATGGCGTAGACTGACCCCAACCCACTCACCAGGTCGTAGAGGAGGAGCTAGGGAGCATCCAGTCGAGGAGCATCCAGTGAGAGAGCAGGCTACCCGAGGAGGACCACGTGAGCACTTCTGAAGATGTCTGACGGATACTAAACGGGCCCTTAGTTGGCTAAAATGATTGTGAAATTACATGGCTTCGCAATTCACTAAAACATGATGTTTGTTATATATGTGTGAAATGTGACATTATAACCACGTCAAACTTTGACCAAATGCAAATATGATTACGTCAAAAGTTTTTATCTAGACATGACTGTTTTACTAATGGACTTTGTAATCATGTTCTGGTACTGATCCACATCGTACATTTTGTAATGTAAGGTCACGAGGTGAATCATCGACGAAGCCACGTTAATTGGATGGGGCCGGACTATAGTCCCACCTCCTCCTCAACTCTCAAACCCATCACGTACAATTACGTGTAACATCTGTAATAAATTTGGGAAATTTAGTAGCTCGTCAACTGCCGATCTCAAACCCATATACAGTTATGGGCAACATTTGTAATAAATCCGAGAAATTTAGTAGCAGCTCGTCGGATTATTATTTTGTTAATTAATGTAACTATTTTTCGTGCCACACATTAGTGGTTGCCGACTGATTTACAAGTTTGACATCATTGGAATCGATCTATTGGCTCTCTAACTACTTGCTCGATCGGCCTCTCTCTCTCTATATATATATAGAGATAGAGCTCGTGAATATGTGAAATGAGATTAAGGAGAAGATGATGAAAATGAAGAAGAAGGTGATGACAATACTAATGGTGCCATATCCAGCGCAAGGCCATCTCACTCCCATGCTCCACCTCGCCTCTTCCTTCCTTCACCTCCATGATCACAACGATTACTACACCTTCTCCCCAGCTCTTCTCCTCCCTCACTTCCTCCACCGCCAGATCTCCGCCGCCACCACCACCAACGTCGACCCCCGGATTTTCCTCGTCCCCATTCCGCCGCCGGACGAGGAGGAACAATCCGCCGCCGCTCCACCGCCGCCCGGTGATTTCTTCGCCATAGACAAGGCCATTGAGGAGATCACCACCGCGGCGGGGCAGATGGAGGCGGTGGTCCGTCGCTACGTCGTCATTAATGATGAAGATGCAGCTGGAGTTTGTATGGTGGTTGATTTGCTGGTGTCCTCCGCCATCGACGTGGCTCGGAGGTGCGGCGTTCCGGTCGCCGGGTTCTGGCCCGCCGCTCTTCTCACTTACCGGTTGATCGCCGGCATCCCACGTTTGGTCGCCGCCGGCATCATTCATCCCCATTCAGGTACCGTGCTATATATATATATATCCATATATTTATTTCGTTTCTCAAATAATTTTTTCCGGAGCCAATATCCATAACATGCAATCTTCAATTTCTAACGTGATTAATACCCAACCAATTATACATTTACAGCTAACTATTCTTTAAAAATATATAGAATAAAAAAAAATCTGTATATACAGCTGGATTGTATATGTACGCTACGCCATGTATTACAAAATTTCTGAAATAAAAAAATTAGTCGTCTCCATAATTGGGCCCAGGCCTGGAGACGCGCTTGCTGGATCATGGCCCATGTGCTGCTTCCTCAGAGTTCAGACCCACCCGTACGGTCCAATTAGCAACTCTCTTTTGTTTTGTCACAATTATTATTGGTAATAATTCCCGATTTGGTTTTGATACATTCAGCCTAATTACAAGATTATATTATGTTGTTCGTTCCACAGGAATCCCTAAACATCCAGGAGCTCCCATCATCGACCTTCTACCTGACCAGCCACCTCTGTCAACAGACGATCTCCCATGGCTGATCGGAAGCCCAGCTGCAAGAAAAGCCCGGTTCAAATTCTGGACCAAGGCCTTAAACCGCTCCACAACCCTCCAATGCCTGCTAGTCAACTCCTCCCCTGACGAATTCCATCACCACCAGCATCAACAGCCGCAAGTTCTGCAAATCGGACCTCTGACAGCTCAACAAACCCCAATCGCCAGCAGCAGCAGCAGCAGCAATCGCATCACCTTCTGGGACCAAGACTCCTCCTGCCTGCAATGGCTGGACACCCAGAAGCCCAATTCCGTCCTCTACATCTCGTTCGGCAGCTGGGTCGGCCCAATCGGAGAGCCCAAAGTCCGGTCCCTGGCAACCTCGCTAGACGCGATCGGGATCCCGTTCCTCTGGGTGCTGGGTCCGACGTGGAGGCAGGGGCTGCCACGTGGGTTCGAGCACGACCTGTCGGTCAGCCAGCGTGGCAGATTGGTGACGTGGGCGCCGCAGATGGAAGTGTTAAAACACGGTGCGGTTGGGTGCTACCTCACGCACTGCGGGTGGAATTCCACGGTGGAAGCCGTACAGTGCCGGAAAAGGATGCTGTGTTTTCCGGTGGCCGGCGACCAGTTTGTGAACTGTAGGAACATCGTGGAGAAATGGCGGGTTGGGGTGGAGCTGAGTGGGTTTGGGAGGCAGGAATTGGAGGAAGGGTTGGAGAAGGTCATGGGAGATTGTGAGATGAATGGTAAATTGGAGAGTTTGTATGAATTGAGTTTGGGCAAGGAAGCTAAATGTAGGGCTGTAGCAAATCTCATTGCCTTTGTTGATCTCCTCATTTGAAAATTGAAATAACCCTTGATTTATAGTTTAGTAATCGGTTACCAAATCGATTGGTATGGTTATGCTCTGTTTCGTTGCGCGGACAGATCAAAGGACCAATGGTGACTAAAGGAGAATCGTATTATTAGTACACAGTCCCTAGATAATGGCACTCATCAGTCATCCCTCGGGGGAATTTAAGAAAACGCTATAAGATGTATAACCGGGCTTCTTCATATAATAGGACGTGTTAAATGGTACATCAATTTCTGGCATGTCAATAGACATTTTTATAGAGTAAATATTGCGTGTTTGAATTATCATAATCGACATTTATTCGAAAGAACTTTGTGTACCTAATGGTATAAAATCCATACCCAAATCAAACTATTTGAAATGTATACCATTTTTTCCACGGATCGCAAAGATAGTTTGCTCAAATAATTGTTGATTAAACACTTGGTGATCAGCTTCAGAATTGGTGATTAGACGTATAAAATCGTGGTCAACCTTGGAATGAAGCCCCAATTAGCACTTGCTTTATGGCAAGGCTCAAATAGAGCCTTTTCGGCTATGTTTTGCCAGAACAAGAAAGTGGCCGGCTCATCATATGTTCAAGGGAAATCATTACTTTATTAGATCTCGTGGCTATGGCAGATTTTGATTTTTGTTTGTGATGGTTATGATACCACTAAAACATTGTCTCAATGGTTTATTGTTGATTCAAGGTGATCTTGATTCAAGAACATAATAACAATTCAAAGGTTTAAATTTGGCAAACTCTTCTCTTGTGCAAGATTGAAAAATCGTACTATGTTGGTGGTTGGACTCGAAAAAATCTTATTGGAATTTAAATCGATAGACGATATTTAACGATATGAACGGTTAAACAACAGTTTCAACACAAAAAATCACTGCTGACTTTTTTTTTTTTTTTATACAACACGATTTTACAATCCTTACTTTTATATGTGTCAACATCCCAACCTAATTAGAACCAAAATGTAGGGCGCGCAATTAATTGATGAATGAAGTTACCTTATATAAGACAAGTCCACATTTAGAATATAATAATAGCTAGGTTATATAAACGTAGAAAAAAATAATATAGCAAACCCATGCATTGCATGGCATTTATTATTATTATTATTTTCCTTTGAATTTTTGGCAGAATGTGCATGCATGCAATATATTTAATTTTCTCTGCCTAGCTCACGTGAAGACCATAGCCGTTACATTACATTACATATCCCTATCGTGCATTCACGAAAAAGAAAAATAATGCAAGTGGACCAATGTTCTTTCTCCTTTGTTAAATCTTTGTCGAGAAAGAAACCAATTTTACTGATAATTGGTTCAAGTTTTATATAAGCAGCAAACTAGTACAAGAAATCCAACACCCAACTGAACACATCTCCATTGCTTAATCAGACAGAAATCTTGAGATAAACTACTACTACGAAAGATAATGACCACATCAGATGACGCCCTAGAACTCCCCAGCCACTGCACCTGCGGAAAAGAAAAGCATAAAATTAAAAGACAACCAACCATAGGCATGAATATTGGACTGTACATCTTTACTTAGAGATACCAAGTTGACAGAAACAGCAAGTGAAAATTAAGAGAGAAAGCAAAGGTGGTCAGATACTCAGATGACTGACCCTCTCTCTCTCTCTCTCTCTCTCTGTAGTACTCAATTAAGCAGTTCTAACAAAGCTAGAGAAACTCAAAGAGATCGAGCATGCAGCGGGAAAACAAGACACGCCCATAGCGAAATACCATCATGCATCACAATTTAACATACGCATTGCCATCAGTTAAACTAACCCTTGAACTCTCTGAACCTCCCTCCCATTCATCACATGCAGGTGCGTGGGCGGCCGCCTTCCATTTCTAGAATGGTTTCTGTCTGGCCTTTCACACGGAACAGTGTTGTCGATAGTTTCCCACGAATGTTCCGATAAACCTCAGCTTCGTAGGTTTTCGTAGCAGCAGGATCAGAAGACAGCAGGTCAGCAGCCTCTAAGGTGATGTAGTAGTTCTTACCAGAGCACTGACCCCAATTGGCCTTCACGATGTCAACAACTTTCAGCTCGGATTTCTGCATACATACAGACACAGACAGGCACGCTAATCATCATGTCGATTTCCAGCTAGTTAGCCATGATAACACCACCACCACCACAACAACAAACACAGATAGATTCAGAGAGAAACGCAAAGCAAAAGACGATGAGGATCAGGTACAAACCCCCTCGCGCTCTTTATTGTACTGCTCAATCACGAACTCCACACACGCCTTGACATTTTCGCCATGCCACTTAGATTTCAAGTTGACTGGCAGAACGCCGAATTCAATGATGTCCACCGGAGGAAGTTCTTCGCCCACATCAAATCCCTGCTTAGGGGAAGGGCAGAATTTGAATAGTTCATTCAGCACAAGGAACAGACTACGTACTCTTAACACAAAAAAGCCACTGCGTACATACCTCGCTTTTCAGAATAGTATCATAGAAGTTCTGTAACTTCTCCAGTCCGGCCTTGTCTTTGGGATACCAGATTAAGGGCTTCGACGGTGCCTGAACAAACACTTGGCGCTCCGTGCCATCATCCTCCTCTTCCACGATTTCTATCTCGAAATCCTCGTCGTCCTCCCCTTCATCGCCCTCGCCGCTACCATCGGCGACCTTGTCGTCGTTGCTGCCACCGGCTTCCTCGCGCTTTTGCTTCTCTGGCTCCGATTCAAGCCCAGTTTCGGGTCCAGGAGTGGATTCAAGAGGGAGCGGTTGGGTATCCATGGCCGGAAAGGGATTGATTGGGAGAATGCAAGAACCCTAGGGGGAGGGAGGAGCACGAACGAAATTGGGGATCTCGGTTTTGAAATCGGACGGTCTCAGGCCCACGCGTTGGGGAGGAAGCAATTGCTGGTTTCGTCGGCTATTGAAGTGGGCCGGAGATGCAGGCTTCCGGTGACTGGGTTTTGGGCCGTGGATCTCCTGGCCTACCAGTTGATCGCCGCCATCCCGCAACTCGTCGCCACTGGCCTCATTCAGGTAACTAGCTTTTTGGCCGGGGTTAGTGGTTACTATTGTCTGTCTGGGTCGTTTGTGACATTCGTTTACTCCCTTTTTCTTGTCTTTGGGTAGCTTGTGTTTGCAATTATGATATATAGTCAAAAGTTTAAATGCATAACAATGCTTCAGTCATAATATTATTATCCATAATACGGTCATTTGGGACAGCCGTATTCACACACATAAGAGATGAAAAATCTAAAGTTTTGCATCACAGTAGTAGTGTTGTCTGACTACATAGTGTGTAGTGTTGTTGGTTGATTTGGTCATTCGAATTTGGAATAATGTGGTGACCAGTATCTTGACGTTGTTTGGAGTGGACATTGTCAGTATTGGTTCTCTCAGTCTTGACAACCTTGAATGGATGGATGGATGGTGTGCCTTTGACATCGCATCATGACTCTGGTATGGCTGTGAGGGGCTTTAGTGGCTGTTGCCATCTTGTGGGTCGATTTCATTGGCCTGCAAATATATAATCAGTCATTAGTTTATGAAGTTCACGTGTTAACAAAAGATGAAGAAGGATCTCTTGTATTTCTAACAAATTTGTTCAGAGGTGTTTCTTTGTTGTTACACAGGAAAGCTGGATTCCATTGCAACAATTAAAATAAAGGTTGATCTGCCACACAAAACACTCACTCGAAGTAAAAATTAAGTTGTTCATTAGTAGTATCTTGCATTTCTAATGGATATAGAGTTTTTGCAATGTAATCCGAAAAATCATTTTCATGAATCGGCAATGACCCATTTGAACATGAATGATATCATGCATTTTAGTTTACTGTATTATTAAAATTTGTGATACCCAGAGAATGTGATGCATGTCATTCCTCATATGACTTTGTGCGAAGAAGAGGCTTGGAGATGAGTAATAGTTGAGGCTTGAAGAAGACTCAATAAAAACAGTTGGCTTAGTGTGGGAACCAACTATGAGAAACATTTGTAGCAAAATGAGTTTATTCTAATTACTTGAAAATGGAGGTGCTTTCAGTATCATAGCATTTCACAGTATAAAAAAGACAACTTTTATGGCTCAAGAGAGATGACTACGACAGATTTAAACACATGTTGACACTCAATTCAATTATATTAATGAACTTACTATGAGGTCGAGAAATCGCAGCAAACGTTCCGAGTTTTAACTGTGAAGGGTCATCATACACCATCACTCTCTTTCCTTATCTGTCCATTTGAGACTGCAAATGAATATACCTTCAAACCAACAGCCGAACCTGCAAACTAAAGCTGGACACTGGTTCGCTCCTATGCAAGGTAGTTAGATCGCCCATAATCATGCATTACTAAATTATACTGATCGAATCCTCCTTTGACATCACTGCAAAGTCACACAGACAATTGAAAGTCGGCATCTTTAGCAAGTCATATCAACAAACTTGAAAGCTCAAGTGTGAATTAACATACTTACGAAAGGAATGTTTTTTCTCTTCTGCAGATCTCATGTTCCATAATTAGAGTGAGAAAAGCACATCCTTATAAAGAAAAATTCACTTATGTCAGAATGAGATCCATGTTATGGGACCTCACTTTGAGCAACTCCCATGCCAACCGCCAAAATTGTTCAAAAGAAACCAAAAGAAGCTTTCAGCATTAAGAAGTGGATCACAACAAACCAAGTTATGTAATTTGATTGTGATGACCAATTATAGTTTCCGCAATTCAGTGTTTGCTTTAGCTGCTTCACCATAGTTGCAGCTAAGCTGCTAAAATTATAACATGCTCTTAGCCATTAATTCCTCTTAAATGTTGTTCTCCACAAACTAAGATTTACCCCAATCTCCATTGTAATTCTTTCTATATTAGCTGCAGATTATAGAAGCCGGCAATTCAGAACATATTGCTCGAATGGATTTAACTATTTAAGATCCTTTGATCAACATAGCCTACAATAACAGTTATCATCTGATGAGAGAAGTCCTGTAAGATTGCAGTTTTTCAAGAGGGAGAAGTCCTCTGAAGGCGAATAATGCATTGTGGGAAGTAATTATACCCTGGATGTATGAAAGCTAGAAGTGTTTATATCTTGTGTGGGCAATCAATATTAAGAGAAGCATCAAAAAACAAAAAGGAACCCTGAATTTCCATGAGACAAATAACTACAATTCTCAACCCTGGAATTTCCATGAGACAAACAGTAACCGTTTGAAACTATCAAAGCCAGACAGTCCTGAAACGTCCTTCTTCCTCCCTCTAAGCAACACAGAACACTTAATACAAAATCCAAAGCCTAGAAATACTAAGGATAGGGGAAAGAAAATCCCTCGAATTACGCAAATTATCAGTACTGGAATCAAAAGTAGCGATTGTAACTATCAGAAGGCAAATAGAGTGCTCAAACATCAGTCTTTCTCCCTCTCAGCAAATCAGAACCCAAGCCAAAATTCAGGGCCGAAAAAGACTCGCAGGAAAGGGAAATACTAAGGAAAAAGACACCCAAACTATTGAAATTACCTGCGGAAATACAGAGGGGTCGAGAATGGGACGATTGCGACGTTGGTGGTATGCAGAAGACGGCCGGTTGTGGAGGAATATGTGGTCTTCCGATGACAGGCCATCTCCATGGCAGTGGAGGGATTTTGGGTGCATTCACATAAACCAATTGACGAAAGAAAAGGGAAGATCAGAAATGTTCTTCAGACCGAGAAAGGGAAGAAAAATGAAAACCTGTCGTTTGAGGAAGCATAGTGGAAATCTGGGGAGGAACAGGAGGTGGGTAAGAGGCAGAAGGCATACATGGCCAGCGTGGAGACACGAAACGTTGTTGATTTGGAATGAGGGAAACTGCTGGGGTTGGGTCGAGGGGGAAATTGGGGAGGAGGCGAGGAGCCCTGGTTTTTTCGCGTAAGAGAAAACTTCTGAGGAATTGCCGAGACGGGAAGGGAAGTTGCGTTTGGATTGTGTGACCGGCGGGAGGAGTAGACATCGGCTGCAAATTGGGAAAACGGGGACCAAAAATGACTGCGGTGGAACGGGGAAGACGTTTCGTTGGAATTGGAAAGGCCGGACAGAAGAGAGAAGGAATTCTGATGGGTAGGGAGGAGAGATAAGACGATGACGTGGCAGCATGAGTGGCAGTGAAATTTGAATCTCTGAACGACAGTTTGGGAAAACGCTTATATGTATCTTTAGATTGTATTGGTATGATTTAAAAAAAGGCGCGTTTAAATTCATGTAACGTAACGAGTTAAGTATTGAGAACAACTTAAATGCCGCATAGGCATAAATAGATGGAGCTAGACACTATATATCAAAGCGAGAATTAACATCATCTACAAACGCACGATCTTCTGAATCAATCTTCTCGATAGATGAATAACTCTGTGTGCTATTATGAGAACTGATTCTATAAATTTGTGAGCTAATTTTCATGTTGTTAAGTGTTGAGTAAGTTATTAATCGTGCGGAAGTGATATATGTTTTTTTTTTGTTATGTACTATGTAACGAATTTGAAGCTGAGACATCCAGGTTCAAGACTAGTGGTATAACTGGTAGACCAAGTCCTTGTTCACTCAAATTAAAGCGAGAAATTAACACCAGCTACAAACTCAATCTTCAATATCAATCTTCTCTAACTGAAGAACTTTGTGGCTATTGAGCTATGAATCTATAAGTTTGTGAGTTGATTTTCTTGCTGCCAAGTGTTAAGGTAGTTATTATTCATTTGAAATGAAGTGTGGAAGTATTGTGAATGATTATTTCGTTGATCATATAATACAGTACAAATTTTGTTTTTGCTTCTAGTGTTTAGACACACATTTAGGCCACAGCTAAAAAGCAAGACCCCAACGCCCGACTTACATCTAGCGCGCCTTCTTGTATTCTCATGCTATTGTTAATATTTTACACGTTTATTTCATTATTTAGGAATCCCTCAATACCCAGGAGCTCCGATCGCCGACGTTCTACCCCACGATCGACCGGCTCTCTCGACGGACGACCTCCCATGGCTGATCGGAAGCCCATCGGCGAGAAGTGCAAGGTTCAAATTCTGGAACAAGACCTTGCAAATATCAACCACCCAGCTCCAATACCTTCTGGTCAACTCCTTCCCCGACCAAAACCACCACCCCAACGTGCTCCACCGCCAACAAAAGCAGCAGCAACCGAAAATCCTGCAAGTGGGCCCGTTAATGCCCAAACACCAAGCCCACACTAGCAACAACGTAACCTTCTGGGAGCAAGACTCGGCCTGCTTACCCTGGCTGGACACCCAAAAGCCCAACTCGGTCCTCTACATAGCCTTCGGCAGCTGGGTCAGCCCAATAGGAGAGCCCAAAGTCCGGGCCCTGGCCACCACCCTGGAAGCCCTCCACGTCCCTTTCGTCTGGGTGCTGGGACCCGCATGGAGGCAGGACTTGCCACGTGGGTACGAGAAGAGGCTGTGGGACAGCCAGCGTGGCATGGTGGTGTCGTGGGCCCCGCAAATGGAGGTGCTGCGACACGGCGCCGTTGGGTGGTTCCTGACGCACTGTGGGTGGAACTCGACGGTGGAGGCCGTCCGGTGCCGGAAGCCGATGCTGTGCTATCCGATCGCCGGCGACCAGTTCGCCAACTGTGCTCGGATCGTGGAGGAGTGGAATGTTGGGGTGAGGCTGAGAGGGTTCGGGAGAAGGGAATTGGAGGAAGGGATGAAGAGTGTTTTGGGAGATGGGGAGATGAGTGGCAAGCTGGAGAGTTTGTGTGAAGTGAGTTTGGGGGATGAAGCTAGGGTTAGGGCTAGCGGTAACCTCGGTGTCTTTGTTGATCTTGTCCTAAATTAAGTGTGGAGCACTCCTCCTTTCATATTGATCTTTCATTAGGGTAGATGAAGTGTGTGTATCATTCTGCTATGGTTTGGGTGTGTATTTGCACTAGTTTTGTTGGGTTTTCGTGCATTTTGCTGAATAAAATTTGAAACATAGAACGATGAATTTGATGAATTGTAGATGATTATGAAGTTGGTCAGCTCCGGATCGATCTAATTAAACGTACATCTAAATATGTGATTATTTTATTAATTAATTTTGTTAATGCGTTATATTGTGCGTTTTGGTTTAGGTGTGTATCTGCATAAGTTTCGTTTGACAATTTCATGCATTTTGATAGTGGATTTTGTAACACAAATAGCATATTTGATGAATTAAAAAAGGCCAAACTTGAATAAAGAGAAGCTTTATCCCCCATCCACCATAGAGGTGGCGGCCGGTTTGGTTCAGTTAACGGAACCAAAAAGTACTAGAAATCAAGCTTCGGATTAGTCAAATGCTCAAAATTGAAAACAAAAAAAGAGCCTTTAATTGCATTAAGGCTTATCGGTTTTATATTGGTCAATTAACAGTTTTGGGGTTTAACAAAAACAGTTAAAAGTCTATCGATTTTTACCCATTTAATGAAAATTGATAAACTCGTATAAAACCTATTCGATTAAAACCAAAAACCAAAACCAAACTGCCACACCCCATCCAGCACCAAAAGGAAAAGGACAACTCATGACTGAGCCTTCTCCCACAACTAACAAAAAAACTTGCGTGACCACTTATATCACAGTGTGATTGCCTAACAGTCTCCTCCTAATTAATTAAATTAAACCATGTTAGCTAGCCAGAAAGAGCTTATAAAATTAATTAACCACTGTGGGTAAGAATCAGCGAAACTAGACCTCCCAACTGAATTGCTCTACAGATTGGAAAAAAAGATAGGCTGATCAACTCCAACAACCCATTTTTGGCACCTATTTTTCGTGACACCCAATGCACGGCGGAAAACCCACTCTTACAATATTAATTCGTGCCGACCATAATTAGTTAATTACTTTAGTTCCGGCCGGGCGGCCGGCCGACGAGACAAGTGGTGTACGTCTTGTCACAATTGAACATGCATCAAATGGCCGGAAAGGCAAGGCAAGGCAAAACCCCAGACGTGAAAGTGATGAAACACACGAGGAGATTTAATAATTGCACGTTGCCAGCCACCCCAAAGCGCTTCTTACCCGCTAAACATAAATTGCACGTTTTGGCACAGGCTTTTGGTGGAGCCCCATAATAAAGTAAAGTATTCCATCTCTCAATCCGACTATGGTGCTAACATACACAATTTATCAAATGAATTGAAACACGCAAGTTATATATACATGAAACGCGATAACGCTGATTTTGCCTCCCACGAAGAATACCAGACGTGGTAGATGATCGTTTTGATCAAGGACAAAATCTAATTGCATCAAAGTTTTTACTTGGACCGTAGATATATTTTACTGGTTGAGTTTGTAATCGCTTTCTAGTCTATAAATGTCATCAATGTACAATTGACATTTATCACTAGACAAATTTCCTGTTCACTTAACCGTAGTATTAATCAATTCATTAATGTCACTATTTTACGTGCATAGCAATACAGTTGGTTGTCCAAACCAGAAAAAAAAAAAAAAAATACGACAGTAGTGGTTGCCGACTGATATACAACTTGACATAATTGGGATCCATTGGCTCTATATATTGAGAGAGATCATTAATTTGTAAATGAGAATGAAGAGATGACGAAGAAGGTTATCACAATACTAATGGTGCCATACCCGGCACAAGGCCATCTCACTCCATTGCTCCACTTGGCCTCTTCCTTCCTTCGCCTCCATCATGAAGATTACAGCTTCTCCCCTGTTCTTCTCCTCCCTCACTTCCTCCACCGCCAGATCTCCGCTACAGCCACCAACAACAGCAACGTCGATCCCCGGGTATCCCTGGTCCCCATTCCGCCGCCGGACGAGGAGGAAGATTCGGAAGCTCCACCACCCGGTGATTTCTCCTCCATAGACAAAGCCATGGAGCAGAGCAACGCGGCGGCGGGGCAGATGGAGAAGGTGGTCCGTCGTTACATCAGTACTAATGTGGCGCGTAGTAACAATATTAATGGAAATGATGACGCTGCAGGAGTTGTTGTTTGTATGGTGGTTGATTTGCTGGTGTCCTCGGCCATCGGCGTGGCTCGAAGGTGCGACGTTCCGGTCGCCGGGTTCTGGCCGGCCGCTCTTCTCACTTACCGTTTGATCGCCGCCATCCCACGTTTGATCGCCGCCGGCCTCATTCATCCTCATTCAGGTACCATACTATATGGCCATATATCTTTATTTCATTTTTCAAATATTTTGCCAAAGCCATATCCATAACATGCAATCTTCCATTTCGAACGTGATTAATACCTAACTGATTATACTTTACAATTTACAGCTAGCTAGCTAGCTCTTCTTTAAAAATAAATAAAAACTGTTAGTATATATACAGCTGGATTGTATAAGTACGCATAATGTATCACATGTTCGTACGTAGGCAGCTTATAAATATACGCATGGACCAAGAACTCATTTTATTTTAATAACCAGTTTCCCGCCATTAATCCATAATAAATTGGGAAATTACAGCATTTTGAAATAAGATTAGAGGTGTCCCTAATTGGGCTGAGGTCCAGTGCAATTTATGTTGGCACTGACACGGGCCTGGAGGCCTGCTTGCTGAATCCTGGACCATGTGCTGCCCCGCCTGGCCCTCAGTACGGCCCAATAAACAACAATTTTTTTCTTTCGGGATAATAATTAGCAAACTAAACTCCTAATTATTGGTAATAATTTCCATTACCAAAATCATTGGGGTGAATTTCAGGGAAAATAAATTAATTAATTGTACATTCGTCCTAATTAAAATATTATTTTATGCTGTACGTTCCACAGGAATCCCTAAACATCCAGGAGGAGCTCCCATCTTCGACCTTCTACCTCACCAACCTTCTCTGTCAACAGACGACCTCCCATGGCTGATCGGAAGCCCAGCTGCAAGAAAAGCCCGGTTCAAATTCTGGACCAAGACCTTAAACCGCTCCACAACCCTCCAATGCCTGCTAGTCAACTCCTCCCCTGACGAATTCCATCACCACCAGCATCATCAACAGCCGCAAGTCCTGCAAATCGGACCTCTGACAGCTCAACAAACCCCAATCGCCAACAGCAGCAGCAGCAATCGCATCACCTTCTGGGACCAAGACTCGTCCTGCCTGCAATGGCTGGACACCCAGAAGCCCAATTCCGTCCTCTACATCTCCTTCGGCAGCTGGGTCGGCCCAATCGGAGAGCCCAAAGTCCGGTCCCTGGCCACCTCCCTCGACGCGATCGGGATCCCGTTCCTCTGGGTGCTGGGTCCAGCGTGGAGGCAGGGGCTGCCACGTGGGTTCGAGCACGACCTGTCGGTGAGCCAGCGTGGCAGATTGGTGACGTGGGCACCGCAGATGGAAGTGTTAAAACACGGTGCGGTAGGGTGCTATCTTACCCACTGCGGATGGAACTCGACGGTGGAGGCAATACAGTGCCGGAAAAGGATGCTGTGCTATCCGGTCGCCGGCGACCAGTTCGTGAACTGTAGGTATATCGTGGAGAAATGGCGGGTTGGGGTGGAGCTGAGTGGGTTTGGGAGGCAGGAATTGGAGGAAGGGTTGGAGAAGGTCATGGGAGATTGTGAGATGAATGGTAAATTGGAGAGTTTGTATGAATTGAGTTTGGGCAAGGAAGCTAAATGTAGCGCAATTGCTAATCTCAATGCCTTTGTTGATCTTCTGATCGAAAAGACCCAAGATTTATAATTTGGTAATCAGTAATCAAATTCGATTTATGTTGTTGTGTAAATCGAAACTTTTCGTAATAGAAGAACAATCCAGCGATGTAGGCACGGTTGTTTATTAATTTATTAATTGTAACTATATTGGTCGATTTCAACAAGATGCCATTCGATTTATCCTTTTGTTCAAGAACTGAGCTGGAGGAACCTGAGCGCCATGGGATGCTTAGCTTGAGCGAGCTCATCAGGCCGGAGAACCTCAACGATTTCACCATCGACGAGCAAGAAAACCACATCAGCAACCCTCTGAATCTGCTTGATACTGTGGGAAACCATGACGACGGTCATTCCCTGATCGTTTTTCAGCTTAACCAGAACATCTTCAACATTCTGCGTCGAAATCGGATCCAGAGCGCTGGTGGGCTCGTCGAGCAGGAGGACCTCCGGGTCGTTGGCCAGAGTTCTCGCCAGAGCGACCCTCTGCGCCTGGCCGACGGAGAGCTCGCTCCCTTTCTTCCCGAAGAAGGACGGGTCCAGATCCGCCATGGAAAGGAGCTTGTAGACCTGCTTTTCCGACAGCTTTTCGCCTCTCAGCTTGGGGCCGTACCGGACGTTGTCGGCGACCGTGCCCTGGAACAGCGCCGGGAGCTGGAACAGCATCCCGACTTTCCGGCGGAGGGAGACGACGTCGATTCCGGTGATGTCGCGGCCGTCGAGGAACACGGTGCCTCGCGGTGGCTCCCAGAGGCGGTTTAGGGATCTGAGAAGCGTCGATTTCCCGCTGCCGCTGGGGCCGATTATTCCGATGATTTTGGATCTAGGGATTTCCATCTCCACCCCGCGCAAGATCGGGAGGCCGCCGGCGGCGGCGGCGTCGCTCAACTTGGTTAAGTTATTGATGCGGAATTTAGCTCCGGCGGCGGTCGGGGGATCGTGATTGCCGGATTCCACGTCGGCCCGAAGTAATTGCTCGTGAATCCCATCTTCATCTGAAACGAAAGGGGGTAGGGGATGAAAATAGGAGAGAGCAGGAAAATGAATTGCAAATAGAGACGGCGAGGAGCTACCTGCAGAGGCCGCGAGAGTCGGCGGCGCCATTGTTGCTCTGCTGCTGAATGTTGATCGATTAATTGGCGAGTGATTGATGGATGATATATGATCAAGGTGGACTGGAGAAGATGAGGAAGAAGAAGAAGCCTCCCTCGGTAATGGGCATTTTTCGATCTGGATTTTGGGGGGATTTTTGTCCTATGCTCTGTTTCTTTTGCGTGGATAAATCAAAGGAACAAACGGACCAATGGTGGCTAAAGGAGAATCGTATCATTAGTTTATTAATCATCACCACCGTGTACACACATCCCCAGATAAGGACACTCACCGGTACTCTTGTAAGGCTGTTAATGAGTCGAGTTATTTGTTAGCAGTTCGGTATCGAACTTGATAAAAGCTCGTTCGATGAAAAAAAAAAACTCGGCTCGTTTGGGTTGTTAATGAGTCGAGCTATTCGTTAGCGGTTCTGTATCGAACTCAATAAAAGCTCGTTCGGTTAAAAAAAAAGCTCGACTCGTTAATAAACGAGCCGAGCTTGAGCTTTACCTTGTTCGGCTCATGAAGCTCGTGACCTAGCTCGATTAGGTGGCTCGTTTAATACAACTCATGAACTGTCTCGTGTTGAGTTTATGAGATGTCTCAATATAGTGACTAGAGAGCCAACTCTACTACCGATTATGAAAAAATCAATCTATATTTTACAAGTTGGTTTGTTAATGATGCATATAATTATTAAATTGTATATATCATCTCGTATGGTGTTTAATACATTGAGCATATGCAAGCAAATATGTCTCATATATGACATAACATTAGGTAATCACATGTATCACATATGACGTATAAATATTAGGGTATTTATATTATTAATTATCTTAGAGTTGAGCTCGAGCCGAACTTTCGATCTTAATGATGTGTCAAGATTTAATAAATGAGCTGGCTCGTGTTTGACTCGACTCGGCTCGTTTATAAATGAGTTGAGCTCGAGCTCGACTTGTTTATAAACAAGCTAAACATAAACAAGACAAATCTCTGCTCGGCTCGACTCGACTCATTAACAACCCTACTCACAGGATATTATTGGTGCTGTAACGATGACGACGAGTGACGGAGTATTGTGTGGGCTGGATCATGAACCTTCAGGATGGGCGGAAGGTGTTTGTTACCTTGACAATTGGGCCTGAATGTTAATGGGCTTCAGTAAAATTACAAATCAACTCACAAGATTTAAGTTTGATGGGCTGCATTGGGCTGAATGTTTCATCTCCCACCGTGAGATTATAAAATTTGGCTTGATATATTATATCACCCAGTTTATCAATTAATCATGAAATTTTATCACAAAAAGTTTCATAACTGTTGAAATCAAAAGGAATTTCTTAATATTTTAATGGAAATATATAACTGGTGACCTGGTGGGACAAATCGATGAGGCTAATCAGTGATACCTTTTTCCAAAAAAAGAGATAATGAGTGGACAAGAAAGGATAGGCGGCAGTGGGCAATTTACATATTATCGGGTCAATTGCATGATTGGTCACTGAAATTAAAAAAAACGTTAATGTCTGGTCACTGGAAATATTTAAATCCAATCTTGATCACTCAAATTAGTTAGATGGTTCAAGTTTGGTCACTCTTCGTTAACTCTAGCTTACGTGGTAGTCAACTTTCATAGTTGACCGTTAAATATGTGACGTGACAATTAAAAAATTATTAAAAATAAAAAATAAATTTTTTATATTTTCCACCTCATTATTACATTCATTAAAAAATAAATAAAATAAAAAACCTAATTTCTTTTCTACACACCCCAAAACCCTAACCGACCCAACCTCACCATCACCAGATATACGAAACGAAAATCACTCACGATTGTAGGTACCCGAAAACCAGAACCAACAGCGAAACCGAGCAAGTTCAAAAAACTGCAGAGAGTTCATAAAGCAGGTAGCTTTTACACCATAATCATCGTACAGATGTAGATGCATCAGTCTGAAACCTCTCATCAAACAAATCTCAATGCCCATACCCCTTTGAATGCCCGATCAACGACATGCAAATGCAGAATTCGACTTCTCAGCCTGCTCAAAGTCAAGCTCGCAGCGTCCCCCTGACATTAACACACCCTGACAAATCCAGGAACTCCAAATTCGAGCACCCTTCGCTAATCGACTCGATCCCTTTAGCCGTTAACCTCGAGAATCGAAGCTCTAAGTGCTTCAACCCTGTCATGAACTTCCCAATTGTTGCGGTTTCCGAATCTGCTTCAAAAGGGCAAGCCATGTCTGCCATGAGGTACTCGTTTGGCACATTCCCTAGACGTTGGGAAGAAGATTGAAGCTTAGGGAACATGGGGAAAAAATCAATTCAGTCCCAATCGTTTCTCTAAATCATCATCTAAGAAATTCGATTGAAAATTCATTTTTCTACGGTTTAAAGAAACCGTCTTTCGTTACCTCTCGGCGGCGAGATTCGGTCGGAGTAGTGACGGGAACGAAACCCAGAGAGGGTTCCGTCGCTCCAGGCGATGGCAGAGCGGAGCATGGAATCGATCCACCTCTCGAACTTCGGGACCACCAAAGAGGGAACGCCGGCCCGGAATCGAAGTAGGTGTCGAGGTTGATGGCGGAGTGGATCGACGAGTCGGTGAAGACCGCGCGCCAGGGATTGCAGAAATTAGGTTTTGGGTGCGTAGAAAAGAAATTAGGTTTTTATTTTTTTTATTTTTTAATGAATGTAATAATGAGGTGGAAAATATAAAAGTTTTTTTTATTTTTAATAATTTTTTAATTACCACGTCACATATTTAACGGTCAATCATGAAAGTTGACTGCCACGTAAGCTAGAGTTAACGGAGAGTGACCAAACTTGAACCATTTAACTCATTTGAGTGACGAGGATTGGATTTAAATATTTCCAGTAACCAGATATGAACGTTTTTTGTAATTTCAGTGACCATCAATGCAATTAACCCATATATTATCACCTAGTTTATCAATTAATCATGAAATTTTATCACAAAGTTTCATAACTATTGAAATCAAAAGGAACTTCTTAATATTTATTGGAAATATAACTGGTGACGCCTGGTGGGACAAATCAATGAGGCTAATCAGTGATACCTTTTTCCAAAAGAGATGACGAGTGGACAGGAAACGATAGGCTGATGAGTGATGATAAGTTTGGCTAAGAAATGTCGGTCGTATACTTGTATAATTGTATTGTATTCATATGCTGCGTGCTTCCCTGGCCGTCCACTCTCTTCCCGTGCAGACCTGACTTCTTCGCCGGCGGCGGCGCCGGCAGCAATTGGGGGCGACCCGGCGAACATACTCGGTAGGTCTTCTTCTTCTTCTTCTTCTTCTCAGCTGTACACATTATGGCTTCTCTCGAGGTCCATCACAGTGTTCTTGACTTCTTGTTGCCGGCCGGTTTCCTTATTATTGTAACTTGGTCATCAAATTTATATAAATGCGCAGTAACACCCTTTTGTTTTTCTTTTTTGTAAAAAAAATTGCATCTCCTTTCCTCTGCAGTTTCAATATCCCGATCTGGATCTGCAGATGTATCCTTAAATGATGAGTACTTTTTTTTCCTAGCCGCCCTCCTTGATTAACCAGAAAAATAGATAATGTAGAAAGGGGAAAAGAGTTAAAAAATAATAATAATTCCGAGTATGATGTTTTGAACATCATATAAGAAAAAAATTGTTTCATACAAGTCGAATTCGGTTCAGAGAACAACTTATTATAAGATTAGTCACTTAGCAAACGACCTTCGAAGATCTATGATGAATAATATTTCAATTGAAGTAGATGATCAAACGTTTAAATGGACTTATTACCACTAAGAGACGTGAGTTTAAACCTAAATATCCTCATAGGACTAAGAAAATTTTTTCCCCCATTCATATGGATAATTCTTTAAGAGGGTCGTAAGCTCTTTTCTTTTTCTTTTTAATATTGGTTGCAAAAAAAAAATTATCCAAAATTATAGATGAGTGGATTATGATGCTTAGGATAACAGCTACAACTTGCAGGATTACTACAGATCAAACGTATGAATTGTGTTTACCAATAAGTATTATTGGGATTCGAACAAATGACATTTCAATTACGCAAATTTATGATATCACGTTAAAAACCAGTTAATATTAATAAATCAAATTATTATGAGAAATTCAATGGTTGATCATATACCGTATTACTGAATTCATTAATATCCTAATTCAACTCAAATAGCCGCCTCCATCAAGTAGCCTCCTCCATGAATTAATAAACAGGAAAGTGTATGTACTTTTTTTTTACTTATTTATACACTGCGTGATTCCCTAGCCAGTCCACCCTCTTCCCACGGACATCTAGCTTCCTCCCCAGCAAACGGCAGCAGAAGATTTCTACAACTCCCGGCGGCAGCAATATTAGGCAGCGACCTCCCGAACATACTCTGTAAGTATCTTCTTCTTCTTCAACTGTACCCATTTGCTTCTTTCGAGTTCCATCACATTGTTCTTTGACTTGTTGCCCTGTTCCCTCTCTCTCTCGAACTCATCTCGATCTCCTCTCTCTTTCCTGCATTTTCAAAACCCCAACTCTGCATCTCCAGATGCATCTTCCATTTTCCCCTGTTAGAGAGTGGTATAAGATCCGGCATAACCTTCTCCCAACAAGTCGAGTTATTAGGAGCAACTGGTTCTTGACATGGTTCTCTTCGAAGGAACCCATCAAAGATTCAATGCCACTCTGTTCACTGTCCCTGCTGACAAAGGATTTTTCCCTCGACAACCCGAGCTTCACAGATCTCCCCTGTTCAATCCCCTGTTCTTCCTTAAACCAGTACATCTCCCTCACTCTGTTTGTGAGGCTCCACTAATCAACCGTTAATTGTGTTATTAGAATGGGGTTGTAAATTAGAGTGGGACTTGCCGTCAGAAAAAAGATGGGCCCATGGTTAAACTCATTCATCACTTGCCTCCACCTTGGCAGCTACATTTATATGTGTTATAATGTGTGCATTTGGGCATGCTTCGCCTCCATATTTGACGAGGCATTCGATGACTCGTATGTGAAAGCATGAGGTGTAGATTTTTGGGTTCACTTGACATGAATTATCACACCATTTCACGAGTCTATAAATAAGGGGCTGAAATGAGTGACTGAAAAATGAGCACTTCACCTGTCATCTCTAGCTCTTTTAGTAATCTCGAAAAAGTTCTTAAACACTATAGTTCTTCAATCCTTCAAAGTCTGTGGCTAGCACCGTTTTCCAAAGTTCCTGTTGGATACTAATAGTGGAATTGGCTACAACTGTTGTGGACAACTCTTTGATCCTAGAACTCTTACCTTCTATTTTGCATCATTCTAAAAGGTTGGAATTTTAAACTCTGATTCTTAATACCTCACACAGATCATGATGGGTTTTGGTTTGTTTCTAGGGATGACAATGAATCGGGTGCGGATAGTGCATATCCGTCACCCTACCCATAATAGTTCGGGTTTTACCCATACCCATTAGACGGGTAGAAAATCACACTTGTCTCCATCTTGCAGGGCCCATATACACTCGCTAGCTCCAAAAATGGGCCATCAATTCACGCGAGCCCACCTTCTCCTCGTACTGATAATCGCATCCGCGGTTGCCTCACGCGCTCACAAGCTCAAATCCGCCACGTTCCTGTCGCCGGAGCTCGTCCTCGCCCCCGGCTCGGTGACCAACACTTTCCACTACAACGTCGGCTTCCCGACCGGCCACATCGGACTCAAGAGCTTCCACGTCGAGCCCGTCGACTCCGGCCGCCCGATCCCGCTCTACGACACGTATCTCCACCACTGGGCTATCAACCGATACGTAATCCCCAAGGGTGGGAGTAAATCGTCATCCTCCTCCTCCGACGGCGAGTCGGCCAAGTTCGTGCGCAACGACGGGATATGTCAGGGAAACATTCTGGGCCAGCACTACGGCTCCGGATCCGAGACCAGGAGGACGGCGACGTTTCTCCCCGATCCCTACGCGATCGAAATCGGGAATCCGGAGGAGGGTTTCGAGGAGAGGTGGATGCTCGGGATCCACGCGATTGACACGAGAGGGGTTGTGGATGGACAGGGATGCATGGAGTGTTTGTGTGAATTGTACAATGTGACCATCGGCGGTGGGTACCATGGTGGATTGAAGTGCTGTGAGGACGGCGATCAGTGTAGGGTGAAACTAGGGTTTCAGGGTAGGAAAAGGAGCGTGTATTTGAGGTATACCGTGAAATGGGTTGATTGGGTGGATGGTGAGTTTCTCCCTGTCAAGGTGTTCATCGCTGATGTTACTGATACTGGGGAGAGGGATATGACAGAAACTACTGGTTGCCAGGTATGCAGATGAAATTGAACATGTGATTGTGATGAACTGCAATGTTTAAGGTGAAAATTGCTGACTGATTATCGGATTCGTGAATGGTGTTTGATTGGGTGGTTGCAGGTTGAGTATGAGGTTGAGCCGTGCAGCAATGGTGATGATGATTGGTGCGTTGATGTGAAGAGATTAAATTTCACTCTGCCTGCGTCTGGTTATGTCGTCTATGGTGTCGGCCACCAGCATTCTGGAGCATTGGGTCAGGCTGTCTATCGCCAGGTGAATCATAACTTATGGTCAACTATTATAGATAGTGATTGATTGGAATTGGAATTGGAATTGGGGTTGATAACGAATCACTTGCTACACTGTGACTTTTAACCTTCTTGTTATAACAGGTTTTCTGCGCAGATTGTCTTGATTAGCCTATCAACATAGGCAAAACTAAAGAAAGTGGGTGTTGTGTCTTCTTTAACGAGCTTCAACTTATCATATACAGAATGGAGAAGTGATATGCAAGTCAGTCCCGATTTACGGAACAGGACACGAGGCTGGAAACGAGGCCGGCTTCGTGGTAGGGATGAGCACCTGCTACCCTGAACCAGGGTCAGTGAAGGTAACGGCTGGCGAAAAGCTCATTCTGGAAACTAACTATTCAAGTAGTGGGGCAAGGGGCCACTTCGGAGTTATGGGCCTCTTCCACATCTTCATTGCTGACCAACTACCACAACCACCAAAACCAACCATGGCTACTACCTTCTTCCATCGTTCGATTTCTGCAGCTCATGTAAGTATTCTGTTTACCAGCTAATTTTCTATACTTCCTATCTATGTGATTGGAACGTTGGTAATAGAATACACATTTCCCTCCTAATCCATTAAGCTGGCTGGTGGTATTGCAGGTGTTCGGTGGATTTAGTGCAGAGTCCTGGACAATCCTTGCTGTGTCAGGATTAGCGGCGCTTCTTGTTGGTGTCGTTGGCTTCAGCATCTGGTTAAATAAGCAGAGGGGGACGGAAGATGGCTACCAAGTCATAATGGCAATTGGCATGAGCTTAGTATGATAGTCTGTTCCAGTTTTCTGTTGTAGTGTTCCGAATAAAATGAAATTAGACCTAAAAACATGTTTAGTTAAGTTGTAAGTTTACTGTTGTGGATCTTTGTGGCAATAGATTGCTACGACCACAGATCTAAATCAAGAAAAGCCACAATGTTTGGCTTCCATGAAGTTTTGGTGTCTGATTGTGTGTGTGTGCTCTTTAATAATGAAAATTTTCAATCAAATTTGCTGCTTTCCAAGCTTTCGTCGTTGAAACCTCGATATAAAACGATTTGAAAGGACAAAATGTGACCGGAGTAATGAGGCCGGCCGGCTACGTGGTAGGGATGAGCACCATTTACCCTGACCAGGCTCGTTGAAGCTAAAAATAACATCACAATATTGAGCCTGTATCTTCGATAAAGGGGGCTAATAATCTCATTGTAACATTATACGAATACACATTAATTATTTTAATATATAAAATCCTAGATTTGGTGGTACTATTCATTAATGACTCTCACACTCCTCCTTGCAAGTGGGCAAGTTTCAAGTTTCATCGTTTACCCTACTCTCGCATTCTACAACCTTTGTGTTCATTTATTGGCGGGTCGAATCGGTTGTGAATTTGTTACATACTCGGTTTAACTAGATCAAAGAGAGTTGAACATGATGTTGCCGAATTTTTGATCGTGAGCGAGATTTATCCACTTTAGTGTTTGTTAATTTCTCGGGCGGGTGTGAGTTTTATACGCTTTTTAAATTGTCCAGTCGGGTCGGTTGTGAATTTGTTACAAACACGGTTCAACCCGATCAAAGAGACTTGAACATGATGTTGTCGAGTTTTGGATCATGAGCGAGTTTTATCCGATTTAGTGTCTTTTTTTCTTTTTGGTTGAGAATGAAGTTAAAAAAAAACAAACTAATCAATAGTGTTACGAGAGGAGAGTCAGGAGACCTGTTCAAATCCATGTCATCCAAGATTTCGAGTACTAGCTTGTGGGCCACTAGGCCCGTTTGCTCCATGGGCCAGGCCCGCTTCTAAGCTTCCACTAAGCCCCTCATCTCTCAACGTCAAGCGACCTGTTTCCCATCTAAATGAGGAAGTTGTAAGCATGTTCTTCACGCATTTAGCGTCATCTAATCTGCGTTTTATCAACTGAGAACTATTTCTTTTTAGTTTTTAGGCCGGTTTCAGAACATTGAACGGACTAGACGAACCCAAAAATCCAGGTGGCCACTCGCAATCTTTTACTGCGCAACCAAACCACACAAAGGAAAGAGAAGCCAGCCTGTGGCCGAGAAGCCACCGGCCATGGTTGTTCGGAGATTGAACCACGCAGCAGCAAAAAAAAAAAAAAAAAAACATAGGCAAACAAAACAGAGCAAATCGATGCGACGAAAAACAGAATAATAATAATAACAATGAATCAATCGTTAATAATAATGAGAAACTCTTTCATCTGTCCAATTGAAAATTCACAATTGTTTTGTAATATAAGCAACCAATCGATCCTCCCATCTTTCTCCTTTGATTTTCTACTCTAATAATAATCTAGATCTGGCTTCCGCCTCGGCCTGCCGTCGTCAGAAGACGGAATACATAACCAGCTGGTCGGCGGAATCAACTCCCATGGAAGCCTTGAGGCTGAATCCACCAGCAGATTTCACACCGCTACTGCTCTGCGCCGCCGCCGCTGTAACCTGATCGCTCACGCCGGCGTGATCTTGGTGGTACTGGTCGGCGTTGGACGGAGGGTGGTAGTACATCCGAGCAGTCTGCGGGCAGTGGGAGTAGAACCTCCCGACGATTCTGGCGCCGACGTCGAGCAGCTCGATGTACTTCCCCATCGCCGACGATCGATTAAATGCTCCTTGCGACGGATTGTAAAATTGTAACTGCAGAGCAGGTTTTGGGGGAGAGAGTCTCTCGCTGGATTTTCGCTTTGTGGTGGCGTGGAATGTGGGGAGAGGAATTAGGAATTGCGCGGCGTGGAGAATGTATAAAAAAAAAAGGGGTTTTTTTATATGTATCAGGGGGAGGCTTTGTCTGTGCTTTCTTGGGCGGCCCATTTAAATTGATTTTAGTTTTTTCCTTTCAACGATATTGCGGTCGTTTTGAGGCGTATGGACGAACTTTCCTTGCCGTTTCCTTCTGTTTGATTTCTAATTTGCCGTTTCTCTGTTCGCTTTTTTATAACTACTTTCAGGAATTTGCAGTTTGCCCCTCCGACTCTGCTTTTATTCTTTCTTGAGGATGTGGGTCGTGGGCCTGCAGGTCGGGGTGGGTGTAAAACATAATTTATTCAAACTATAGTTGATCTATTATGTTAAACATATCACCCTCCATGTTCTTTACTTCTTTTAGTCTAATTGTCTAAGGACAATGGATGCATATAATTAACAATGTATTTGTTTAAAGTAACATTTAAGTTTCAAGTATACTTTAGAAATAAAATCCATTTCTAGTGTAATTTACAAATGGTTCCTAATATGACAAAGAGCGTTTCCTCAGCATCCTCATGAATCATGATGGAGGTTTTGTGTAGTTTGAAGTACAACATCAGAATTCCAACCTACTATTGATGTACCTAATAATCGGGCATCCTTAATTCGAGTGGTAGAACACTTTTGAAGGCTTTCTTATCATTTCAGTCGTTGAAAGTGGACTTTTAATTATTACTAGACGAGCTTTGCTAAATATTAATGAGTGTGGTTGTGTCAATTCCACCGTCTTTTATCTTGATATTCTTGCTCAAACAAGTATTTGTTTCCAGTAATTATTCGTGGTCACGTCATTTATCTGTCTACCTTATTTTACACCGGGTCCTTCTTCTTCCAGTTGAAAATTACGTAGTTAAAGTTTTCGGTATGAACACGCTGATCAATCACTATCTAAAGTTCGAATATTATTCATAGATTTCACAGTCGGTGACTTTTAGGTTTTACCCGAGGACAAACATAAGGTACTTCTTTGGTAGGGGCTGAAGATAAATATGAGAAACCAGTGGCCTTGAAAGCAAATTCAGTTTAATTGAGGGATACACCACGCATATTCCTAGTCATCATGAGCTTTATTTTATTTTATTCCATTGTGGAAATTGTTCAATGAATGCTTAACTTGCGGTCCATGTGGCGAGAATACGGAGAGGATGGAAGGAACACCGGCAAATTTCCATTACCAACCGACCGACCGCGTCAAGCTTTGGCGTTACGCGTTTGTGATTCCCGGCGTTTCTTTGACGGCGCACTCCATCTCTTTCCCTCAAGCCAACGAATTGGTGCTCTGTTGACTTCATTTTTTGCCTAATCTCCCCACCCATTTTTTTTTCTCTCATCCGTTTACTTGCAGTTATTCTGTCTACTCACGCCGTTCAATATTATACCAAACTAACGGCAAAGCTTGTTGACCAAGGCAGTAAAATCTCTTCCCCCGTTTATGCGGTGAATTATTCCTCAAGCCTTTTTGCTAGCTAGTTGAGATTATCATTTCATCTCTTAAACGGAAAATATTATTTGGGATATTTTTTTTTTAGTTTATGTGATGCGAAAGGAAAATAATGTGGGTAAGTCGAGAACAAAAATTCCAACTTCATCTGATATACAATTCATTATAATTGTGAAGATTAAAGGTAATCAATGGTAGATATGTTTGACTTGTTGTAGACACTGACATGGATGTCTTTATCATCCACAAGTCCCCTTCAAAGTGGTAGAAAATAATGAAAATGTCACTCTTCTAAAACTCGATCGATTGGATGATGACGACAATTTATAAATTTTTAGAGTGATGGTGAGATGGTACGAAATCCATCAACATGACGAAAACGTGATCCTCGGCCAATGCTAGCTCATCCCGATCAGATTCCAAAACTTCCTCTCCATGGCATGGTCCATGAAACCATATCGGAGATCGTACCGGAAAATTCAGTAGTAGGGTATTTTATGGTAAAATCGCGGTTTAACCGTAGTTCAAACGTTGGACCATTAAATACCGCCTACCGATTCAGCCTCCGATACTGATATTTCGTAATTGAACCACCGGTACGGTACGATTTCATAGACCGTTAATCAGAGAGGAATTCAATTGAGTTATTATTCATTTGATGCTTTTCTCCGAATGAAATGAACGGCTAGATGGATTCATTGGATTTGGACTTAGGGTAGGTTAAGTAGCTCCATCTCGAAGATTATTGTTGTACCCTCCAAAATCAACCTCTCCATCACCACCAAGCAATTACCTGGTCAAACCAAAGGGCCGAACATATGCCTTTCGGGATACTCTCCAACCCAACAGTTTTGGTGACTGTCACGTCGCCCGCCGGCCTGGCGCCAGACCATTTTCTAGATTAGAAAATTAAAATACGGGCTTGGGCCCTTAAGCCTGTCTGGTCCATTGACTTAAAGGCCCATTTACTAAGCCCACCATATTTATTGATTTTCTATCTATTTTTACCTGCTCCATAGGGCTCGTTCGTTATCACCCAATCCGCGGCCCCTTCCTCGCCATGCAGAAAAGGATTCACATAGCCATAAGAAAATCACTAGTATTGGGCCCGGCCCGTTGGCCGGGGTCTTGTAAAACTTTGAAGAATGAAGAAAGAATTAAGTACATAATCTGCATCTAATCGTTTAGGTTAACCAAAATTTGAGCTAATGAGATTCTATTCGTAAAAAAAACTCAAATAGCATCACATAAGTGCATTTTCAGAAAAAATCTAGTGTAGTTGTGACTTGTGAATACGATGTAATAGTAAGAGTAATTAAGAAATGCTTGATGAAAATGATTAATTTATAGCACAGCTAATTTGTAATCCATAAGTTCCATTTCCGCTCATCTCTTGGTTGTAGCTACTTCTACAATTTTTCTTTTATCCATTTTGATTTTCTTATACTTGAGTTCAACTCTACCTATTTTAGCAAGGGTGCTGCTAAGAGTACAGTGGTATAGTTTTTGGATGATATAATACAACTAATTATAAAAAAGACAACAGAAACCAATAATCATATTATCTAAAAAAATGCAAGGCAGTAGTTTTTCATCAATAAGGCCAACTATCGAACTATCTAAAAAATGCAGCAAGCCTTGCCAGCACCTACAGTCATAGACTCATAGTGGACTGAAAGTGAAATTGAACCAAACTTGAGAAACAAAAAAGAATCCATAGGGAAAAAGTTATCCAACGGATGAGAAAAGATTGCAGGCAAACAACCTGCATATTGTCCACGATTCAAATTGAACAATAGAGGACAATCCACAAGGTGGACAACCTAGAAATAGACGTTTAATATGGTCGTGAATGAAAAGATAATTCTTAACATCCCATAGACAAAAGCAAACTACTAAACAAAAGCTTCACATTGTGCCCTTAACTACACAAAGTTACCTCTCCTCGTTAGGACATGTTTCCTTTTCAACCCTATTAAAGTAGTCCCTCCAAGATTTACAGGACTTGGAGTCTTTGTCAATTGTTGCAATCAAATTTTAGAAATAAGTTAGTTTTACACTAACATATTAATCTGGTAACTTTAGGCCAACTGAAGTGATGTGCAGCTAAAATGTTCATCACCTATCCGAAGTGAATTCAAGAAATCAAACTGAGGAATAACAAAAATAAAATGAATTGAGGTAGTTTAATATTTAGTTTCAGTGTCATGTTAACGATGTATAAAATCTGAGAAGAAATAGGCTATTTGTTCCTCTGGTTTGATTGGAATAACACATCGGCCATTACTCCAAAAAAATGCATATATATCCTCATGCTCTAAGATGGCAAACCCAGTTTCTCCAGTATCACTTGCAACAAAAATTTGACTCTATATCTACGATGAACATGTAATGGAATTCAACAAAATCACAAATAATATAGATTTAACATAAAATGAAACAACAAAACGTCTAGATTGCCGGATGTACAAAGCAAGAATCAAACACCAAAATACAATATATAATATTTTTGTTCCTTATGCAATAGAATATTAGAATTAGAGGTGGCAATTCTCAATACAATCCACCAATCCAATCCATGAATCCATTAAAAATATCCAACTAATCCAATCCATTTAAATCTAATCTATTTGATTCATGAATCCATATAATTTTTATTTTTTACATTTTGGTACCTAAAATTTAATTTTCTGTACCAAAAATATTATTGGAAAATTACCTTTTGGTGCCCAAAATTTTCATTGTGACATTTTAGTACCTAAAATTTTTATATTTTATATTTTGGTCCAAGGTTAAGGATATCATTTGGATTTATGGATAATTCACCCATCCAATTAATGCAATCTACCAATTCATTTGACCCATGAATCACCAATCCAATCAATTTGTCACCTCTAAATAGAATTATTAAATACTAACTTATAAATAGAGTGATAAAATAATGGAGAAAGTTTTATAGTTCACTTTTATCAATATCACTTCAAAAAGTTAACTTCTCTCAATATTTATTACATTTATCTTTTTATTTTATTTTTTTATCCGTTATTTTTCTATCATCTCTTGTCTTCTCTCTCGTTCACCACCACCATTGACCACTGTCCAACAATCAGTTCCTTCTTCAACGGCAATTTCTCACCCCCTCCCTCTCTTTCTCTCTCTATCTCTTCAACAACGCGGAGGAAGCTAGCTGTATATTTCATTTTCTTCTTTTCTTTTCAAAACTCAGATTTCTCACCTCCATGCAACCGGCGGATGAACCTTTTTCACCCAGATCTCATAATATATCAATTAATCAATATGCCGAGTTTCGACGGTGCGACATTGGAGTAGATTAAAGGTGGGGAGAACGAAGTGGTGGCGGTATTGAAAGAATGGATAAAAAAGGGCGAGGGAAAGGAAAGGGTAAAGGGGAGCGCCGCTGCGCCGGGGATTTCTTCCGGGCGGGTTCAGAAGACAGAGGCGAGACAGGAGGGCCAGGATTTCTTGGACGGTTGAGAGAGGAAGTGAAAAAATGAGAATGACTGAAAAACCCATCCGCAATGTGCGGACTGTGCAGGAGGTGCTGACGTGGCAAAACAGCTTTTTTGACATTGCCTTATAGTATTTTGTAGATGTCCAATGTCTCGTAAAACTAGATTTTTTCCCGTTTTCCAAAAAATTGTCATTGAATTCCACTCGATAATTTCTAGCAATACCGAACCCTGCTTTCGTATAGTTTGATATTGGCTTGTTATACTCTCATCCATGAATAAGGTACGATGAGAAATGTATGCAAAAATTAAATACAAGTATGGAGATAGAGTGATCATAAATGGTCGAACACCCACGTCCATCAGTTTGATTACCATCCCTACTCAAGTGTGATAACAAAGGTAGTGCGATAACTAGTTTTTTCGTTCAGATCCGAGTCAAACAGCACAACGCGTTAACTACAAGTCTAGAGATAGACAAGAGATCATAAATGGTGAGTGAATGGGGATATAGATAGAGACAAACAGACTTCTCCAACGCAACACTAGCTAGCCTAACAGAACCACGGGCTTCAGCTCCCCTCTAAGGGGAACTCCTTTAACTGTCCAACTCCGGCGTCGCCATCGGTGTTCGTGTTACAGGCACCGCTCGTCGAACCCTTGACTGCTCAAAGAATAGAGAACAGAAAGAAATTCAGCTCAAAATTGAAGCCACATGTAAAGAAACTTCACAAGCCGGAGGAAAGAAATTCAGTCATTAAGCAATTGAAACGAAACAAAGGAGAAAGATGTAGCAAATACGAACCCACCACCAGTTGTTACGCTGATTACTTAGTTAACAAAGGCAATAGTGCTAATTTCGATACACATATGTTCGATACGGAGGATCCAAATCTAAATAGATGGATCATGTATGATGTAATGGGCATGGACCAAACCAGTTTCACTTCGTTACAACTCTTGCGTCCGTCTTTCTTTAAAAAAAAAAAAAAATACAGAGATCCCCAATTCCATCGTGCGTTCCTCCCTCCCTCTCTCCCTAGGGTTTCCTCTTCCCAATCCTTTTTTCCGGCGACCATGAATCCCGATCTCCCGATCCCGAGCCTCGGCTACGATCCCCACCCACAAACCCCGCTGCTGCCTACGGATGTATCATCGAGCGTCGTCGTTGAATCGGCTCCCGGATCTGGCTCCTCCTCGAGCGAAACCGAGCTTGAATCGAGTCCGAAGAGGCAGAAGATCGATGAAGATGATGGCGGCGACGTCAAGGGCAGTGGCGGCGAGGAGGAGGAAGAGTGGACTCAGACTATGGGGAAGCCCTTAACCCGGTATCCTAAAACCGAAGAAGACGAGAAGAAGATGTGGCTCTTCTATGACCAGGTTTTGGCTAGCGAGGTACGCACATAGCCGCAATTGTTATTGGCTTCTCCTCCTGATCCAGATATTCTTTCTTTCTGTTAGAGTAGTAGTTTTGTTGGTTGCTGCTGAATCATTCTGAATTACGAACCTTTAGGGATTCGACTATGTCCAGCAGCCCCCGGTGGACGTCGTTGAATACGGGGTTTTGCGGGTCAACATGAAGAATGCTGTGTGGAGCAAGCTTGTCCATGAGTGTCTGGATCACGTTGTCGACCAAATGAACAAATCGCCGGACGGGGTTTGATATGATCCCCTTCTTGCTCCATCCATTTTTATCTGTCTGTGTTTTTTTGTGTTGCTGGTACTTTTCCCAACCAATTGACTTGGCACGACCCTATTGCATCTGTCTTGTCTTCTAGGGGTGGAAGTTGGTCGCTGGTGATATTGTGAAGGCCAATAGGCGAGCTTGCCAGGGTTGTATCTTCTTCATCACATTCAAAGCAACCAACTTTGCTGATCCTAAAGATGCTGCTGAGAAAGAATATGAAGCTCAAGTTTATCGCAACTTTACTGGTGAGTGTAGGACGGACCTGTTCAGTGTGAAAGGCCAGAAGGAAGCGATTCAAGAACGCCCCAACCGGTGGAGGATGAGAATGTGCTATGGTAATATATAATTTTTTCTTCTTCTTAGCTGCATGGTAGTTTTCTTTTTGTGCCTTCGCTAACAACTTGGCTTGCAACTGACGGGTATTTGTAACATGCTCTATTGCTTATTGAATTTCCTCTGGCTTGTGCTCTTGTAATTTCTTTTGGTTAATTTAGATTGAAGTGCTTCTTATGTATATATACCCGTCTGTTGGCAGGTTGTCCCTGTGACGGTCACTGTGGCTGTAAGTGAAGCTGGAGTTGGCAGTTACATTAAGGAGTCCTCTTTTAAGGTGATTGTGAGGCCCTTTGTCCTGCTAGGCTAGCTACTGTTGCATTGGAAAGGTCGTCTAGCTATGTGTTCGTGTCTCCAAACTGCTAGTCAATGTTGTTGTTATGAATTGGATTGAAACGGTGAACTTGTCGTACTGCCCTCCTTTAGTTATCAACTTTAACTATGTGTTTGTGTTTTTTGTTTCGAGACAAGAATGAGAATTCGATGATGACGGGTGACGACCTGTTCGATTTTGGTATGAGGATTCAGTGGATGGATTTTGGCCATTTGGGGAGATTAGGGGTCGAATTTGGGGGGCCCCCGATAAATCTCCTTTAATTATTGTGTACATGTTTCTCGCACATGTAGCTGTTCCATAGTTAATTGAAATGAAACAAGATGAAATATAGACAGCAAAAAGGAATATGACAACACAATAACAGAAGTCAACCGCGTATATCATAACTAACAAAACAGTAATGGACAATACCATCTACTTAGAAACTTTAAGCCGAAATAACTCGATTGACAAAATTGGGGGCCCACGACGATTGAAATGGTGCATGATGAATTAATTAAAATTCTACGTCCCCTAGATATATCAATTAACTCACTCATTCCAATCCAAACAAGACGATTACACTCGATTATCGAAACTAAAATTCCCCGACTCTTAAACATTTATATTACTATAATTAGATCAAGTGAAATAATGCACACTAAAGTCCACTGGAATCCCCATCCCCTGAACATTTCTATTACCATAACTATACAGGCAATTAAACTAAATCCTCTACCAATACTAGTCGACGTAACTAATAATAATAGCTTAATAATATAACAATGAAGACCCAAAATGGCAACAGTACAAACAATGGGAGTTAAAACAGATTCGTTTGGATGTAACATTTAGGTGAATTACGTTATTTCGGTCGTTTGGCTAACAAAAGGTAGAATGTATTATTTCGGGACTCGTGGCAATTGAAATGATGCATAATGAGTTAATTGAAATACCTCCTCTCCACACGACATTTCAATTAACTCACTCTTACTTTCATTAAGTGGTGAAATATCACATGTGAATGTTCTATACAAACAAAACACTTAGAGTCAATTACTATATTCAAAGCGGAAACACCAAATGAAATGTTACTATTAAAATTATACTGCATTTTGATTCAAAATACCATACAACCAAAACAATGCGATCCATTACCTTCATAATCTAGTTCCCGGATGGGACTCACCAAGATCAATTACAATAAGAATTATGAAGTTTATATTCCTAGCTTTTATTAGTTGTTACCAGCTTCATTTTATAGTGACATGAAATTAAATGATGGTGGTATTAATCATGAACTTATGAATAATTTTGATTTTATTTAATCATGAAATTATGATGGTGTTTTTGAGAGAAGTAAGTTGCGCTGAGTATTCAATTGAGCATAGGGCTGTTAATTGGTTGTTAGAGAATTGTAAATCTTCTTTTCACATGCTTCGCTTCAACTTTCGTTTTCATTTTCTCAAATTAAGAAATGAAATTAGTTGTCATTCTCATTTCATATGCTTTCTTTTTCATTATCGCTACAACTCATTAGCTCAGATGTTCAACCTCACGTTTTCACTTTAACTTGCATTTATTCAACTATGTTAGTTTTAGGTTTGAGATTGATGACTGGTTTTCAAGACTATGTCTGTGTCTTATATAGTTGTTATGAGTTCCTCTGAGTCAAATATGGTGTCCTCCAAACCAAAGTTATTATTTGTGATGGTTAACTTTCTATAGTTGCTATGAGTCAAATGTGGTTTCCTCTAAATCAAATGAACCAAATTACATGTCGCTTAACCAAATTCCAGTTGCTGTTCTAGGCAGGCATACCTCGCTGTCGATGACCTCCTTATGGAAACGCCTCAACTTCGCCATGCCTTCTTCGTCTGAAGGGAAAAGGACCAGGGGCTTCGGAGCAACCTTAATCGACGTCGACTCTTCCTCTTCACTATCTTCCATGTCGGTGTCGCCGTCATCTTCTTCTTCTGTGACTTCGACGTCGTCGGCGGCTTCATCCATCGTCTTCTGCTTCTTAGGCTCCGGTCCCGGAGTTGATTCTACGTCGCTCCTTGATGGTTTGGAATCCATATATGGCCGCCGGAAAAGGGATGGAATTGGCAGAAAGTAGCAAGCGGAAACCCTAGGAAGGGACGCAAGAATGAAATTAGAGATCTCTGTATTATTTGTAAATTTCTTTCCCTTTTTTTTTGTTGCTAAATAGGATTGTAATATCTTAATGAAATGTATATCGAAAAAGTAAATGGTATGATATTTTTTGTACACTAAAGTCGTGGTTTAATCATGATTCAATTGTTTCTGTCGCTAAAAGTGCTTACCGATTTGGGTCCGGTATGCCGTATTTCCTGTCCGACCGATCACGATCAGTACGACAGGTCTTCTAAAGCACTATTTTGTAACTGGTTTTTATCATTTTGTTTCATGTTTGTAAGTATAAATTTTTAATTACATCAACGATCGCTAAATTTAAACTCTTAAAATTTCTCCACCGTCGACTTCTTCTACTCCGATTTAAGTTCAATTTCTTTCATTTCACGCCCAAGTACCTCTAAAATCTTTTTGTACACGATGTAAAAGGTCTCTGTATAAAATCCATACCTTCTTTTTTTTCATATTTAAATCTTTAACTACAAATTCTTGTTTTATTCTGGTGATGCCGCTGTTGGTGAGTTGTTACGTGACAGTTTTGGGAGATGCCTTGTTGCTTACGTCTGCAACCTTGGAAGCTGCTTGATCACAACAACTAAACTGAAATGGGCACAAGATCACTTGGGATTTGTGGACACGGGAAAGTCCAATTGAAGCTTGACTCGACGACACTCATCAGTAATACGAAGAACAACAAGGATGATAATCACCGCCATGGCTTGCTTACACATCAAGTTAGACATATTCTTGACAAAGATTGGAGAGTTAGTATCTCCCATGTTCATAGGTAAAGAAATTGAGGATTGTTATTCCTTGCCCTACTTTTTATTAATCGTCGCCCTAAATTGATGTAAAAATTTTTAAATACCCTTAATAAAAATATTATTAACATAACATAACCATCATATTCTCATAACAAGAACATGATATTCTCAACATAGATATCATATTCTCATAACAAGAATATAATATTCATTAAGGACATTGAGGACTTTTTTTTACATCAATTTAGAACGATGATTAGTAAAAAAAAATAGGGTGACCAATAGCAAAACATAAGAAATTTTGCGGCTGATTACTTAGTTAATAAAGGCGATAGTGCTAATTTCGATACACATATGTTCGATACGGAGGATCCAAATCTAAATAGATGGATCATGTATGATGTAATGGGCATGGACCAAACCCGTTTCATTTCGTTACAACTCTTTTGCGTCCGTCTTTCTTAAAAACAAAAAAACAAAAAAAACAAAAATACAGAGATCCCCAATTCCTTCGTGCGTTCCTCCCTCCCTAGGGTTTCCTCTTGCCAATCCTTTTTCCGGCGACCATGAATCCCGACCCACAAACCCCGCTGCTGCCTACGGATGTATCTGGCTCATCCTCGAGCGAAACCGAGCTTGAATCGAGTCCGAAGAGGCAGAAGATCGATGAAGATGATGGCGGCGACGTCAAGGGCAGTGGCGGCGAGGAGGAGGAAGAGTGGACTCAGACTATGGAGAAGCCCTTAACCCGGTATCCTAAAACCGAAGAAGACGAGAAGAAGATGAAGCTCTTCTATGAGCAGGTTTTCGCTAGCGAGGTACGCACATAGAGCCCATATATTCTTTCTTTCTGTTAGAGTAGTAGTTTTGTTGGTTGCTGCTGAATCATTCTGAATTACGAACCTTTAGGGATTCGACTATGTCCAACAGCCCCCGGTGGACGTCGTTGAATACGGGGTTTTGCGGGTCAACATGAAGAATGCTGGGTGGCGCAAACTTGTCCATGAGTGTCTGGATCACGTTGTCGACCAAATGAACAAATTGCCCGATGGGGTTTGATATGATCCCCTTCTTGCTCCATCCATTTTTATCTGTCTGTGTTTTTTTGTGTTGCTGGTACTTTTCCCAACCAATTGACTTGGCACGACCCTATTGCATCTGTCTTGTCTTCTAGGGGTGGAAGTTGGTCGCTGGTGATATTGTGAAGGCCAATAGGCGAGCTGTCCAGGGTTGTATCTTCTTCATCACATTCAAAGCAACCAACTTTGCTGATCCTAAAGATGCTGCTGAGAAAGAATATGAAGCTCAAGTTTATCGCAACTTTACTGGTGAGTGTAGCATAGAACTGTTCCGTGTGAAAGGCCAGAAGGAAGCGATTCTGGAAAGCACCGACCGGTGGAGGATGTTCATGTGTAATGGTAATATAATTTCTTCTTCTTCTTCTAGATGATCACTAGCCATCTATATTATAGCTGCATGGTAGTTTTCTTTTTGTGTTTTCGCTAACAACTTGGCTTGCAACTGGAGGGTATATGGTACATGTTCAATTGCTTGTTGAATTTCCTCTGGCTTGTGCTCTTGTGAATGTCTTTTGCTTTGCTTTTGGTTTCTTTTTGTGCCTTCTTGTTATATATATACCACCCCCTTCTGTTCGCAGGTTGGCCCTGTGACAGTCCCTGTGGCTGCTGTAAGTGAAGCTGGAGTTGGCAGTTAAGTAGTTAAGGAGTCCTCTTTTAAGGCGATTGTGAGTTTGAAGCCTGTGGTCCTGCTAGACTAGCTACTGTTGCATTGGAAAGGTCGTCTAGCTATGAGTTCGTGTGCTCCAAACTGCTAGTCAATGTTGTTATGAATTGGATTAACACCTTCAATGCTAGTATTTCCGCATTGGCTCATGATTCTGAGTTAAGGGTGGGATCACTGTTTATGTCATGCTAGGTCACCATTTTAATCAGGTTAGGGTCACCCATCTGAGTACGCAGTTAAGTTATGATCTTGGTCACATAGATTCTTACCATCAATATGTGACGCCTTTGATCCACGGCACTACTTGTGCATGAAAATGATAAAAAGAAACGAACATTTGTCAAGAAAGGTAGCGAATATTGGACCCACCTAATAATGCAACCTTTTTATATGATTCGAAGAAACCCCTCGGATCGATCATGGTACAAAAGGAGAAGCAACATTGGACCACTTGCATTATCTTTTTATGAATGCATGATAGGGATATCGGTATTGCAACGTATATGGTTGTCACGTGACACATTATTTTCTAATGCATTCATGCACATCCTAGCCCAAATATTTGAGTTTGGTTAGACCCGTGAAAAGGTACGGTCTGATCAAGAATGGATCATTTATACGGTTCATAGTTCATATCGAGAAGTTGGAACATAGAATAGAGACTAAGCTAAATACTGCACGATTCAGACCACGGCGGTCCAAGTAATTAAATAACGAAAACACAACGTCACAACATCCCAACTTTTATCATAATGTCATATATGGAGACACGATTATCTATACTCTGTGACGGTGGCGGAGAGTGATTGATGAATGAAGGAGGACACAAGATCCGCAAAAGTAGGGTTGAGACTTGGATCTCGTTGAGAAGAAAGAGAACACGAGATTCTCCAACCAAACCAAGAAATCAATATATTATATAAATCAGACCATTCTTAACGGTGTACGATCCGATTTGATCCATAATTTTTCAAACGGTTTATTTTCCTAACCGAGTACTGACCATGAAGACCGAAATTAGTGGACAATTGAATGGCAATGGAGATATTGTTGTCTGACCCCACATCATGATCATGTTCATGTGTGAGTGTGACCCTTGGTATGAGTAGGAATGGCAATGCGTAGTTCCGGGAAGGGTACTTTGATACTTATACCTGCTCCGTGGCAGGTTGAGTTCCGGTTAGGTGATTTATCATGCTGAGAACAGAATGTGCATAGCTCTTGAGTCGAGCTGTGAGGAAATCTTCTGATCTTCCTTCCAATCTTCTTCATCTTTCATGGGGACTGGTCCCTTTCTAACGACAACCCATAATTCTCCATCAACCCCACGAAGGTAAATTCGCATCCTCTTCTTCCAGACTGTGTAGTCTGTTCCATCGAACCATGGTGGGTTTGTATTTGTCGAATAGGCTACTGCACTTGAGGATGATCCAGAAATCTTATGATCTTCTCTTTGGCGACGGTTAGTCCTTCAAAGAGCCCGCTCTGATACCAATTGATAAGTCTGAATGAATATGAAAGGAAATAAATTTTATTTAAATTGAAATAGAGTTACAATTGATCTAATCAAACCCTAGCCAAGCCAAGAGACTTGACACTTTTGAATACAAAAGAAAAACACTCAATCCCAACTTCCCAAGACAAGATCACCCAGTTCTCAACTCCTGTGACCTATCTACTGAAGATGGTACCCAAAATAGCCCATGATAGATAAAGATAAGGCAGAATCCCAGTCTCTCTTTACTACCAACCGCTGCATTCAAATGGAGAACTCACTCGTTATTTATAGGAAGAAAAGGAAAGAGTCGTTTCCTAGAAAGCGCTCCAGGTAGCGATTATGATTGCTTGCTAAGTAGAGGCGGTGGAGCTCTTGAAGAGTGGTTCTTCGATCTATTGAGAGAAGAACATAAAGCTACAGATTGACAGACTCGAGATGAAGACGACAACTACGACGAACGAAACACTATCCGAACCTAAAACGCCACCGTTCCTTTGGCATGGTTCTCACTTTTGGGTACCCCCTTCGATACACCAACGACTAAGTTAAAACATCGCTATATATAAATGATTTCTTAAAACCAAAAGATACCCCATTTAGTTTATTACTTACACTTTCCCTTAGTACCCATTACCAAGCTTGTCATTGTTATGTTTTCTATCACATCAACAAAATAATGGATGCATTGTTACAGAAAAAACCAGAAAACGATGCATTGGTGATAATGCATCCACTATAACAATCTCAGTATCTCACCTAAACTATCACCAAAACCAAACGATCGTTATTGTTGTCGAGCTATTGTGCGCAAGTCAAACTTTCTATTATATATGCTTTTTCTAAAGTCTTTCCATGAAATTATTCTCATTCGAACCTAAATTACTATAACAATTAGGGTAGACAAGGGATCTTGTAGGCATTCAAACATCACATTACTTTTGGCGTATGTCTGAAAGTCCTCGAGACCTATATTTTTTCTAACTATTAGGACGACTGTAATCGGTTAGTCAGTTAACCACTTAACCATTAATTACTAATCGCTTAACTATCGATTAGTAATTAGCTAAATTTGACTATCGAAACTGTTTAATCATTTGTCGTTATAATTGTTAGTCTCTAATTTCGATTCGATTATTGGTTACACCTCTAATAAGATACCGATTTACTCCCCTATGGTAGCTAAGAATAATAATCAGACTATCAGATTAATAATAAAGAGGGAAATGGCCCATTAATGAACTGATCAATAATTATCTTCTGTTTGAATTTTGGAAACATGCGTACAGGATTTAAAAAAAAACATAAAGAAAAAAAATAATCCACCCACGTGCCTTGTAACACGTGTGAGTTGTGACACAAAACAAAAGGAAAGGAGGTCGCAGAAAAAATCCCCAAATCCCCAATTTCGTCGTGCGTTCCTCCCCTCCTCCCTAAGCCTAGGGTTTCCTCTTGCCAATCCTTTTTTTCCGGCGACCATGAATCCCAATCTCCCGATCCCGAGCCTCGGCTACGATCCCCACCCACAAACCCCGCTGCTGCCTACGGATGTATCATCGAGCGTCTTGGCTCCCGGATCTGGCTCCTCCTCGAGCGAAACCGAGCTTGAATCGAGTCCGAAGAGGCAGAAGATCGATGAAGATGATGGCGGCGACGTCAAGGGCAGTGGCGGCGAGGAGGAGGAAGAGTGGACTCAGACTATGAAGAAGCCCTTAACCTGGTATCCTAAAACCGAAGAAGACGAGAAGAAGATGTCGCTCTTCTATGACCAGGTTTTGGCTAGCGAGGTACGCACATAGCCGCAACTGTTATTGGCTTCTCCTCCTGATCCAGATATTCTTTCTTTCTGTTAGAGTAGTAGTTTTGTTGGTTGCTGCTGAATCATTCTGAATTACGAACCTTTAGGGATTCGACTATGTCCAACAGCCCCCGGTGGACGTCGTTGAATACGGGGTTTTGCGGGTCAACATGAAGAATGCCGGGTGGCGCAAGCTTGTCCATGAGTGTCTGGATCACGTTGTCGACCAAATGAACAAATCGCCGGACGGGGTTTGATATGATCCCGTTCTTGCTCCATCCATTTTTATCTGTCTGTGTTTTTCTGTTGCTGGTACTTTTCCCAACCAATTGACTTGGCACGACCCTATTGCATCTGTCTTGTCTTCTAGGGGTGGAAGTTGGTCGCTGGTGATATTGTGAAGGCCAATAGGCGAGCTGTCCAGGGTTGTATCTTCTTCATCACATTCAAAGCAACCAACTTTGCTGATCCTAAAGATGCTGCTGAGAAAGAATATGAAGCTCAAGTTTATCGCAACTTTACTGGTGAGTGTAGGACGGACCTGTTCCGTGTGAAAGGCCAAAAGGAAGCGATTCAAGAACGCCCCAACCGGTGGAGGATGAGAATGTGCTATGGTAATATATAATTTTTTTTCTTCTTAGCTGCATGGTAGTTTTCTTTTTGTGCCTTCGCTAACAACTTGCCTTGCAACTGACGGGTATTTGGTACATGCTCTATTGCTTATTGAATTTCCTCTGGCCTGTGCTCTTGTAATTTCTTTTGCTTTGCTTTTGGTTAATTTAGATTGAAGTGCTTCTTATGTATATATACCCGTCTGTTGGCAGGTTGTCCCTGTGACGGTTCCTGTGGCTGTAAGTGAAGTTGGAGTTGGCAGTTACATTAAGGAGTCCTCTTTTAAGGTGATTGTGAGTTTGAAGCCTTTTGTCCTGCTAGGCTAGCTACCTTTGCATTGGAAAGGTCGTCTAGCTATGAGTTCGTGTGCTCCAAACTGCTAGTCAATGTTGTTGTTATGAATTGGATTGAAACGGTGAACTTGTCGTAGTGCCCTCCTTTAGTTATCAACTTTAACTATGTGTTGTTGTGTGCCGGATATTGTTCCATCTCCTATTGGGTAACTCTTGAATTCCTATGCAGTTGGGAAGTTATAAATGGTTTCTCTCTGGATATTTTTGTTTCGAGACAAGAATGAGAATTCGACGATGACGGGTGACGACCTGTTCTATTTTGGTAGGAGGATTCAGTGGGTAGATTTTTGGCCATTTGGGGATTAGGGGTCGAATTTGGGGGGAGGAGCCAGGTGGAGATTGGGGCATGCGAACCATTTACAGATGCTACTTGTCGTTGACTTTTCTCCCGTCTTTAACTTATCATTAACACATCAAGACTAATTTACATAATGTTACCTGGGTAGTCATTCCGTCCAAAATACCGTTCCAGATCGCCACGTCAACATGCCATGTCAGTGTAAATATTAATTAAAAAGTGTCCTACTTAGCCCATTTAACCCGAGACTCCAACCGGTTCAGAACAAACCCTTTACCCACACTCATGGCCTGATACCCCCATATAAGAATAGAAACCTACCTTTTTCATCCATTAATCATCCTCTGTTTCCCCCTTCCCTCTTCCTTTGAACGAAAAAACCCGTAAAATCCCAGATCTGAAATCAGCATGAGGAAAAGAAAACTCCGGTCAATGATTGGTTCCCTGCCTACTTGTAAGTGTCAAGACATAGTTGTTTTGCTAACATCATGGACAGAAGATAATCCGGGTAGAAGGTTCCTCCACTGTAAGAGAAACTATTTGGTAAGGATTTTGATTTTGAATTTGATTTTGATTTTTGTGTTCATCATAAGAAGATTTGGTAACTAATCTCTTCTCTTTCATTTTATGAAGAAATTATCCCACCATTTTGATTTTTTTGAATGGATCGACCCTCTAGTGGAAGATAGGGGCAGAGCTCTCATAAATGGGTTGTTGAAGAAGATTAAGAACATGGAAATAAGATAAAAGGAAGAGAGCATGCTGAATGAGACAAATTCTTTTTCATCGACGACACGCAAAGATGAACAATCTAGAAGGGGAAACCAAAGTGAAGATTTGTATGCACAGACAATTAATCTAGTTTATGTAGTCGTTTGTGTGATTTAGGAATGGCAATGGGGCAGGTTCGGGCCCTACGATTTATGTACTCGCATCCATCTCCAAAGATCCTTGATTCTCGCCCCCTACGAACTGTCGCTCGAAACCTCCATCGCCGCCAATGATTCCAACCACGGCTGCATACTTAGCGTCAAAATCCCCAATTGTGCTTCTTCCCAAATTGAAACCCAGCTCATAAGAAAATTGGGACTCTTCCCAAATCGGAACTCTTACACCTTCGTCATCCACCATCGCCAGCCTTGTCGCCACTGTCCGTCTTACATGCAACCACCATCTACCTCGTCCTCTCTCTCTGTCGTACATACAGTAGTCAACAGTGAGGGTTAATCGACTGCAATATATTGAATAATACAGAAGAGAGGAGAAGAAGAGTGAAGATGGAAGTCATTTGAGAGAGGGGGGAAGAACTGAAAAGGAAGAAAGAGAAAGGGGCAGAGTTGGAAGGGAATTTACGCAGAACGTGTTATTGTCAAATAACTGCTGGATAGGTGTTATTTACAATAATTCGTTTTGAGTTATTCGTAAATAACTCAAGGCCAAATAACCAATTACACTTTTGCATACCCAAACGAGTTATTTTGAATCAAATAACCCAACATGAGTTATTTGGGCCCAAATAACTCACGCAAATAACCTATCCAAACGACCCCTTGATTTATTTTAGTTAGAGGTATAATATCATGGTTCTTTGGGATCAAATGAACTAAAATGAGCTTGGGGGATGGGAATTTTAGCTAAGTGAAGCAGTGGATTATATTTTGATAAACTCAACTTTATGATTAACTGAAAGAATATTTTGTGTTAGACTCAGTGGTATTGAGATGTTCATAAATCGTTTAAAACTGATCCAAGATCATGGATTGATATTGGTTAGTTGATTGTGGTTTTGAGGAAGGTGTATTAAAAATCATGCCAGGAGTTTGCAGCAAGTGAAGGCAGTGAAGAGGGAGTTGGTCAGGTAGTGATCGAACCAATGAGGGTATTGAAAGACACGAAAGCAAAACCAAAGCAGTTGAAGAGAGAGAAGTGGTAGATGATGAGGATATTAATGAAAATGGAGAGGGTATTGAAGGGCGTGGAAGTCAACTGGATCAGGTGAATGCAAAGAAGGATGTGATCAACATATTTGATGGAATTGAAGATGAGTGTTGGTTTTACGAGCTTATTAAAAGTTCCCCCGAGGAAGATGTGTTGGTCAAATACAAGAAAGAGGATTGAGGAGTTGGAGAGCAAGTTGACAAAAGAAGGTTCATCAAAGTAGCATAAAAGGAGTTGCAGAAGTAGGGATGGCAATGGGGCGGGTTTGGGGCGGGTTTGCTTAAACCATCCCCATACCCATCTTCAAATACCCAAACCCATACCCGCCCCATACCCATGCGGGGGAATGTTTTGCAAACCCATCCCCATACCCGTGGGTTTCGGGTACCCATGGGTAATACCCATACTCGTACATCCAACATTATTATACCTAAAACTTACAAGAAAAGTTCTAATTACAATTCTAAACGAACATATTATATCATGAAGTCAATAAAACACGGTCATTTTTTAATATGGTTCAAAGATTATGATCCTAAAGTATCCATTAGTACATAATATAGAGTATAATATTTTTCAAATTATTATGTTCTAACTCTGATACATCTACTAAATAATAATTAACTAACATAATCTTGTTGACAAGGGGAAAGTGAAAGAGTGAAATGAGAATTGAGAGAAATGAATTAGATTTTGATTAAGGTGGTCAATCAATTGCATTTCTACTATTTATTTTTTCAAGTTATCCTCATCGTCATTGATGGATTATAATTTGATGCACATATTTTTTTTATATATGAAGAAATTATCTTGGTGGGGCGGGTATGGGGATGGGTATGGGGCGGGGGAGGCTAAAACCATACCCGCCCCATACCCATCAAACTTTTTGCGGGTTTTACCCATACCCGCCCCATACCCGGTCAAAGCGGGGATTCCCCGCGTTGACTGGGTCGGGGGCGGTCGGATACCCGCGGCCATGGGTTTGATTGCCATCCCTATGCAGAAGGAGGATTAGAAAGTGAATTTTGCTATGAAACATATACGTCTTGGAATTGAAGATGGACGGGATAAAAAGTTGGTTGTACAACGGAGAGCGACGAAAATTGTATCTTTAGGTGTTATGGTTGTTGCAGCTAACACAACCTATGTTTATGTGAAAACGAGGATTCATTGATTAATTTACTAAACTTAAGGTTGATTCTCTATTTAAGCTACTGGAATCTATAGATAAGGAGTGTCTAATTTTGTGGCTCATTACTTTGATTGAGTCTATTAATATATTGGATGTAAACCTAATTTTCTCGTTGCTCTCAAGTTTTGATTGTCTCTTTTTAGCTGAGTTGTTAGCATATGATTTACTTGAATCAACAACTCTTCATTACTGTTTTTTATAAATCCATTTTGTTTTTATTAGTGGCATGTTGTTCCTAGTAGGAAAGACAATGGGGCAGGTCGGGGGGGGGGGGGGGGGGGGGGGGGGGGGGGGTTTCTTGGTACCCGGACCCGCCCCATGGTAGGTCGGGTCCAGGTTGGGTAATTTATCACGGGTCGGGGCAGGTCGACCCATTGGGTATGGAATTTATATGAAAAACATTAGTAATATTCGTTATTTTTATTATAAGATCAAGAAAACAAATAATATTATGATAAATTTAGTTAATTTTTTGGAGAAATTGAGGTTTTCACTAATTTACAACTTCATTATAGTTAAAATATGATGCAATAAAAGGAAAATCCTACGGGTCGTTTGGATGCAATATTTTGATGAGGTATTTCGATCGAAATAACTCATTCTGAGTTATTTCGATCGAAATACCTCGTTTGGCTTCAAAAATAAATTGAGTGGTAATTTAAGATGTGGCATTTGAAATGATGCACAAGTGAGTTAATTCAAATACTTGGGGGAGGAGTAGGCAATTGAAATACCGGATCCAATGACTACTTTTGTGCCTTTTCTGTCCCTGCTTATTTTTGTAAACCCGAAACTGACCCCATCTCTATTTTGTCCTTTTTCGTGCTCTCTTTATATCACCCCATATCTATTCTTTCCTTATTTCTTCTACAGCGACCAAACCAAAAGAGGCGCGAAGGAACAGAAAGGTTTTCGGAGGCCGCGTGGGAATCAGTGGGAAGGTCGTCGGTGATCAGTGGGAGGCTCGACGACGGTCATTGGGTTCTGGGCAGTTGTGTTTGATGTCTTCAGAGATAGACTTCAATCAAAACGTACCATGTTTGTCATCTTTCTCTTTTTAAGGGTTGTTCTAGGTCACACTGTTATGTTTGGCGAAGGGTTTGTCATACCTTTCCTCTTCTTGTTTTACTCTGCATATGCTGTGTGTGCTGGTAATAGATTTAGTTTTAGGATTTATTTATTATGTTGTTCAGATTAGGGTTTGGATTTGGCTAAATTCATTGATGTGTTGGAAGACCTGACTTGTTTGCTAAAGCTAGATGTAAATATTTCTTTCTCAACAAAGGATTCATCAATCGATTTGTGGAATATATGAGTTGTAACTTAAAGGTGAGACAAAATTAATTAGGTAAACAGAAGCTACTAGCTAGGGTGGTTTGGACAGTTCAGACGCTATTCTCCCCCCTGTTTCGCTGAAGGAGCTTCTCACTTAGAGCTCTGCTTTGTAATTTCTTGGCTTTATCCCTCCCTCCAATAAAAAAACTTGAGAATTTTATCCATGATTTCATGAATAGCTTTCCTTTGTCACTGATCTTGTACTATCTCCTGACTTTCACTGATTTTGTGCTTGGATTGATTTTGTTCTTTATCACTGATTTTGTACTATCTCCTGACTTTCAAGAGATGTCGCGATTGTCAATGTTGAATTCAACGCGTAGGCGCCAAGTGATTGCTGCCATTAGCTGCTTTATGAACCTTGTTTCGATTTATGTGATTTTAGGCATGAGACTATCCAAAATTTTAGAAAACCGTTACATGAACCCGAGACTTGGTAGGCAGCGAATGGACACTTACACTGTGAGGCACTATGATAGACAAAGACACTTGAACAACGCAACTAGAATTAGTGATATTTATGCCTTTGACCAAATTAGGATGAACCGTACACTTTTCATAAGGTTGTGTGAGGTTCTTGCTCATGATGGAGGGTTGAAAAAAACTAGGAATGTTGATATTGACGAGATGGTGTATACCTTTCTTCGTACTATTTCACATAACGAGAAAAATAGGACGTTGCAACTTAATTTGCGACGATCCGGTGAAACCATATCTCGGTCATTTCACCGTGTTTTGAAGGCTGTCATAAGATTAAATGATCAGTACATGATGAAGCCTGCTCCTATTCCAGAGGACTGTACCAACAGTAGGTGGAAACATTTTAAGGTCAATCTTTAAACCTTGTTTTCAGTTCTTTCCTCCTTCATTCAATGCATTGTTTTGTTTACCTGAAAGTCTGCTATTTCTTTTTCGTAGAAATGCTTAGGGGCCCTAGATGGAACTCATATTGAGGTTCGACCTTTGAAGGAAGATCAACCTAGATTTCGAGATAGGAAGCATAAGCTGTCCATGAATGTATTGGGGGTTTGCACTCCAAACCTAGAATTTGTCTATGTTCTTGCTGGTTGGGAAGGTAGTGCCCATGATAGCAGAGTGCTCAAAGATGCCCTCACTAGACCAAATGGTCTGACTCTGCCGGAAGGTAACCAGTGCACTAGTTAATAAATAATAATGAAGTAATAGAAATAGACCCTCATTTCAAGAACCTAATAAACCTACTGTTTCAATGAAGGGTGTTTTTATCTTTGTGATGCCGGGTATGCAAATTCTCCTGGTTTTTTAACCCCATATCGCGGTCAAAGATATCATCTCAAAGAGTGGGGTGCAAATCCGCCTCTCACAGCAGAGGAATACTACAACATGAAGCATGCTTCAGCTAGGAATGTAATTGAGCGTATTTTTGGGGTTCTAAAGATGAGATGGTGTATTCTAAGGAACGCAACTTGGTTCACCCCAAAGGAGGTTGCACGAATAGTTGTTGCTTGCTGCATCCTGCACAACTTCATCAAGAAGGAACAAGGAGCTGACTCTTGTGAGCGAACTTACCGGGACCGTGAACATGAGCTTCATGAATCGGATGAGGTGGAAACAATTGTGGGTTCTAGCATGGAACCGTGTGCTGCGTGGACTCAGTTTAGAAATGAATAGGCTGTTGCGATGTGGGAAAATAGGACAAATGTGTAGTTGTGTCCTTAGATGCAAGTATGGAACCTTTCGTAGCTGGTGGTCAGATGTATTAAAAGTTGTGTCTTGTAACTTAAATTATGTGTGGAACCTTTCGAAGCTTTAAATTTTTAGTACTCTGCATTTGTACCATTGGATTGTTGCCATTATTAATGAAGAAAGTTAGTTGTTATGGAATTCATTGTCCACTCATATTTGATGCCCATGTTTGCAGCATGCGAAAGAAGAAAGCAGTTGTTGCCGCTGCAGGTTCCCGATCGTACACTTACTGGGATAATCGACATGATGCTGCATTCCTAGAGTGCCTGTTGGAGTTGACGGAGAAGGGGCAGATTGAAGCTGGAACTTGTAAGAATGGTGTATTCTATGAGCTAGAGCATATGATGGAAATGAAGGTGCCCGGATGTGGTGTGAAGGCGAAGCCTACAATAATGAACAGAATTAAGAGACTGAAGAATTGGTACCATGCAACTGTATTGATGCGCAATCAGAGTGGCTTTGGATGGGATGTGGAGAACTCATGCATAGATGCACACAAAGATGTTTGGGAACCATTTATTCAGGTTAGTAAATGGGATTAGAAATAGTATGATTAATGTGCCTTAGTTGATGGTTGAATTCGATATCGATAAGTTGTTGTCCACAAATTTTTGGTTGCAGAAAAACCCAACCTGCAAGTCATTCAATCGAGTTCCTTTCCCCCAATTCTTTGACCTTGCGCCAATATTTGCAAATGGTCGTGCTACTGGGGATATGGGCTTTTCAGGTAAAGTAACATGGCTGTAATAAGTAACCGTAAGTTGTTATTTTTTCTAGGAAAATATGGTTGTAATAAGTAATACTAAGTTGCTGTTTTTACAGGTAATGATCCTCAAATCCTGTCCGAAAGTGGCTCGGATGATGATGAGGAGACCCCAATCATGTTGGATGAAATGAACAGCCCCGCAACAGATGAAGTAATGGCCAACATCATTAATGATGGGGTGGAAGCCAGAGCAAAAGAGTCTAGAAAGCGACCTGCAGCACCTTCAGCAGTTGGTCCGTCTGATAAAAGGAAGAAAGGCCAATATCAGGTTGATGGAATGGCTACTGGTTCGTCTGATAAGAAGAAGAAAGGACAAGCAGTTCAAGCTGATGATGGACTTGCCGCTGTTACGACTGAGATGAAAGACTTGACGCCATTGATTAAGCAATCAGTAGACACCATAGCTAGTGCCTTGGGGCAGAGTGAGGAGCATCATGTTATGCGGAGGGACTTGATGAAGCATTTGGATGAGTTGGAAGGCCTTAGCACAGTTCAAAAAGTGCTCGTGTTTAGGAGGCTGAACAATAATCCATCTGATTTGAAGAGTTTCTACGACCTAGATAAAGAGAACAAGTTGACTCTAGTGCTCGATATCCTATCACCTTGAATGCGAAGGAGTAGACCAAACTTATAGTATGTGTAGGTACCCGTCTAGTTTGCAAAGGTAGTGTATTTTGTCTGTCATTGGGATGCACTCACAATGACAGCCTTTGCAAACATATGACAGCCTATTAAGGGATTCAGACGCCGATGAATGATATTTATCAGTGTTTGATTTTTGTTGAGCCTGTATATGATGGTTCATAACTAGTTGTAAAGAATGATTATGTTTATGATGAATGTACATGATGTCTCCTGTAAATGATGCTCAATTTAAATGATGAAGTTTAAGGATGTTGAATGTATATTATGAATGTAATGGTTGTTTAATGTAAAGGCTGATGATCGTGATGGAAGTTCATTGAAATATGCAGTTGCTATTTGTTTTGTTTCTAGGTGTGTTGTTTAGTTCATGGCATGTAGTTTTTTTCTGTTGGGTTTTTACCAGGTATGTTGATTGGTCAATGTCAAAACAGAGGAAGAATGTTAGACCTTAATTTGGTGTAGGACACGTCGAGTTTTGAAAGTGGAAGAAGTAGACAACAAACTTTTCTGGAAAAATCATACTGGAGGAAGGAGGGATGGAATCATGGAAGCAATCTTACACAGGCTTGAGAGAGTCGGAAGATGAAAAGAGTAGGTAGGAGAGGGAAATCAATAAAGTAAGGGCAAAATAGAACTTTAACCATTTTAGCTATAAAATACCTCAAGTTGGGCATACTCCATCCAAACATGATAATTAGAGCACAATTACCACATTGAAGCTTCAAATACCACATCAAATGCCACAAACTAAAATAATGTATCATTTTGATTCAAAATACCTCAAACTCAAAATACCTCATCCAAACGACCCGCTAAGTAATTTGACTAAAATTACATGTAATTTAGGAAAGAACGGGTCGAGAATGGGGCGGGTCAAGGCAGGTCGAGTCGATGAGAGTACCCATGCCTACGGGGCGGGTCGGACCCGGCCCAAAACAGGCCAAAAAGATCGGGTAAAACAGGTCAGGTCGAATTTGCCATCCCTAGTTCCTAGAGGAGAGCATTGAACCATTTATGTACGATTGTGAGGTTTCATTTCAGTTTCAAACTATATATGGATCGTGTGGGAATTCCAGTGAGCTTTATACTCTATATTTGTTGACAATCGATTAACCAATATCATTTTAGTGGTGCTTAATTATCATTATGAAATGAGATTAATGATACATTTTTATATTCTTAAGTAAGGATAATACTTCTCTAAATGTTCGATCTATCTATTCATTCTTTATGTGTCATCTCGAGCGAAGGATTTTTTATAAACTTAAACGGGCTAATAGAAACGTAACATAAAAATAAAAATAAAAATATATGAAAGAGGTAAATGGCGCATTAATAATCAATAATTATCTTCTGTTTAGATTTTGGAAACATTGCGTGAAGGATTTAGAAAAGGGGAAGAAAAAAAAAGAGATAAAAGAGATCCATTCACGTGCCTAGTAACACGTGTGAGTTGTGACACAAAAAGAAAGGCTAAATTACACGTTTGGTCACTCGAATTATACAAATCTTTCACGTTTGCCACCCAAATTACTTTTCTTTCTTATTTGCCACTAACTTTACGAATCATTTCACCATTAGTCACCGACCGTTATACTCCGTTAAATTTGTCCTATGTGGCAGTCAACTATAAAGTTTGACCGTTAACTTAATGACGTGGAAATTAGAAATAAAAATATAAAATAAATTAATTTTTCCAAAAAAGAAGGGGATTGCTATTCGTCGCCCTAAAAATCCTTATTCGTCGCCCTAATTAAATTAATTTTACTCTAATGCCCTTAATTCATTTATTTGTAGTTAAGCTCAAAACAAATTTATTACCGGAAATAAATTACCCAAAACATTGTCATTGAGCCTCTTTTGCAACTGACTTTGGCTTTAAAAGCTTCTCTTTGCAACTGACTTTGGCTTTGTACCTTTCCTTTCCCTTGGACATTAAACCACGAGTTGCTCACTCTAATGCGAGACCTTGCTTCTTGGCATAGGCATTGTAGAACTTGTAAGCCGAATAAAAAGAATCAAACTCTAGACAAGAACGAATCAATTGCCTTTCGAAACCCATTTCGTGATTCTATACATAGAACACTGTCACTGGTTGCTGATGCACAGACCGATGTGACATGAAGAATAGGATGAAATGAACTCCGGCAGTAGAAGCAGAGCACCGGAGGAAGTCCGCGGCAGCAGATGCAGTGGCTGCTGCAGCAAAATGAATGGTGCTAGAAGGGTAAAAGTGTCAATTTGATGCATTTTAGGGCGATAAAATTTGAATTTTAGGGCGACGAATAGCAATTCAGAAGAAGAAAGGAGGTCGCTGGAAAAATCCCCAAATCCAACAACGAAGAATAGAATACAGAGATCAGATCCCCAATTTCATCGTGCGTTCCTCCCTCCCTAGGGTTTCCGGCGACCATGAATCCCGATGCCGCGATCCCGAGCCTCCGCTACGATCCCACTCACAAACCCCGCTGCTGCCTACGGATGTATCATCGAGCGTCGTCGTCGAATCGGCTCCCGGATCTGGTTCCTCCTCGAGCGAAACTGAGCTTGACTAGAATCCGAAGAGGCAGAAGATCGATGAAGATGATGGCGGCGACCTCATGGGCATGGGCAGACTTGGATCTCGTTGAGAAGAAAGAGAACACGTGATTCTTCAACCAAACCAAGAAATCAATATATTATATAAATCAGACCATTCTTAACGGTGTACGATCCGATTTGATCCATAATTTTTCAAACGGTTTATTTTCCTAACCGAGTACCGACCATGAAGACCGAAATTAGTGGACAACTGAATGGAAATGGAGAGATTGTTGTCTGACCCCACATTATGATCATGTTCATGTGTGAGTGTGACCCTTGGTATGAGTAGGAATGGCAATGCGTAGTTCCGGGAAGGGTACTTCGATACTTATACCTGCTCTGTGGCAGGTTGGGTTCCGGTTAGGTGATTTATCATGTTGAGAACAGAATGTGCATAGCTCTTGAGTCGAGCTGTGAGGAAATCTTCTGTTCTTCCTTCCAATCTTCTTCATCTTCATCTTTCATGGGGACTGGTCCCTTTCTGACGACAGCCCATAATTCTCCGTCAACCCCACGAAGGTAAATTCGCATCCTCTTCTTCCAGACTGTGTAGTCTGTTCCATCGAACCATGGTGGGTTTGTATTTGTCGAATAGGCTACTGCACTTGAGGATGATCTAGACATCTTATGATCTTCTCTTTGGCGACGGTTAGTCCTTCAAAGAGCCCGCTCTGATACCAATTGATAAGTCTGAATGAATATGAAAGGAAATAAATTTTATTTAAATTGAAACAGAGTTACCCAAGCCAAGAGACTTGACACTTTTGAATACAGAAGAAAAACACTCAATCCCAACTTCCCAAGACAAGATCACCCAGTTCTCAACTCCTGTGACCTATCTACTGAAGATGGTACCCAAAACAGCCCATGATAGATAAGACAGAATCCCAGTCTCTCTTTACTACCAACCGCTGCATTCAAATGGAGAACTCACTCGTTATTTATAGGAAGAAAAGGAAAGAGTCGTTTCCTACAAAGCGCTCTTGGTAGCGATTATGATTGCTTGCTAAGTAGAGGCGGTGGAGCTCTGGAAGAGTGGTTCTTCGATCTATTGAGAGAAGAACAGAAAGCTGCAGATTGACAGACTCGAGATGTAGACGACAACTACGACGGACGAAACACTATCCGAACCCAAAACGCCACCGTTCCTTTGGCATGGTTCTCACTTTTGGGTACCCCCTTCGATACACCAACGAATAAGTTAAAACATCGCTATATATAAATGATTTCTTAAAACCAAAAGATACCCCATTTAGTTTATTACTTACACTTTCCCTCAGTACCCATTACCAAGCTTGTCATTGTTATGCTTTCTATCACATCAACAAAATAATGGATGCATTGTTACCATGGTAAAGAAAACCGTACCGGAAGTCATACCGGCTCCGCTAGTGGTAGGGTATTTTGTGGTACTACCGTGGTTCAATCGTTGTGTACCGGCAAAATACCGTTTTTGTAAATAAATAATATTTTTTTGTGAAAAAACCGTACCGGCAGATTTGTGATACCGTTTCTGAATAAAACCGGAATATACCGGATAACAAACCTGAATAAACTAAATAAGCAAACACAGACAAGGTTGGATTGCACGCAAGCAGGAAATAAGAATCACTAAACTATCTCTTCCTCAATTATGAAGCAGAAGCACCCTTAAAACATGATTCTTTTTTGCCTTCGGCGGTTGCGAGGGATTGAGAGATGGCCTTAGCCTGGATGATGAGGCTTTCTATTCTTCGTCATTGTGTTGGATAAAGAGAAATCGGATGATTTGTTAGGATTAAGGGAAATTTGAGGGTCTGTTCTATGAATGTTTGTCTTTTAAAGGGAAAGCGGAGGCTCTGGTCTAGATGCCGGCACTCTAGGAGTTCGATGTCGTCATTGGGCTAAGCTCGGTACCCAGATTTGTCTACGAAGCCTGCAATCCCTAGTTTTGATTTCCCACAGAAGAAGATATTGATTTGCTGAAGAAGGGAGGAAGTTATTCGGAAAGAAGAAATGAGATCTACTTTGACTCCCTCAAACCCTCTTAATTGATTCGTCTCCTTTGACTCCCTCAACTTGCTCTATCTAGTTAATTCCCTTCAGTCTCCATTGTTCTGCTCCGTCTCCTTCTTTGACCCATATTCATTCCAATTTTGCGATTCATTCAAAGATGGGGGAAGTGTGTTCGCCGTCCAACCATACCTGCTGTCGCTGTGTTCTTCTTGAGCAGGGGAGGAAGACGCGTGCGGCGGAGTAGTGGCGGAATAGAGGCGGAGCAGCCTGGAGCAGAGAAACCGCAGAGCAGGTCGCCGGTCGCCGCCTCGCCGGTCGAGAAGAGGAGGGAGGATCGCCGGGCCCTGGTCCCCGGTCGAGAAGAGGAGGGAGGATCGCCGGGCTGGTCGTCGCTCGAAAAGAAGTGGGAGGTCGCCAGCAGCAGCAAACGAAGGACGAAGCGGCCGATGATTTAGGGTTGTGCTTTTGAGGCTTCGGCCGAATTTTTTTTTTTCCTTCACCGCAAAACGACGTCGTGTCGTTCCCGTTAGCTGACCCCCGGTTAGACCAAAACCGGGTGGCTTTTTGAGTTGAACCGATTTTACCGGGAAAACCGGCCGGGACGACTCCTTCACCACAAACTGCTTGTCGTATCGGCCAGGAGCGAATTTCCGGTTTTACCGGTTCAACCGGCCGGTACGATCCGGTTTTCTTTACCATGATTGTTACAGAAAAAACCAGAAAACGATGCATTGGTGATAATGCATTCACTGTAACAATCTCAGTATCTCACCTAAACTATCACCAAAACCAAACGATCGTTATTGTTGTCGAGCTATTGTGCGCAAGTCAAACTTTCTATTATATATGCTTTTTCTAAAGTCTTTCCATGAAATTATTCTCATTTGAACCTAAATTACCAGTGTTATTAAAGCCGAGCCGCTCGGCCCGCGCGGTAAAATCGCCACCCGGTCACAAAATCGGCTCGGAACAGTCTAAAAGCCGCTCCGGTTTTATGCAGCGGTTGGCGAGCGGCCGAGGCGGTTAGCCGTTCGAGCCAATCGAGCCGCTTGTCCGGTTTTTGCCATTCAACCACTAAATTTAATTAAAAAAATTGTAGAAAATTGAAAATTGAAAACAACCAAAAACGTCGGGCTCTCAAATTGAATCCTTATTTCCATTTCACAATTTCGAAGGAAATAGATGAGCTCTGATTAAGAAATGTCCACTATTTATACTGATAACGTTTATTAGGTACCGGTTCTCTAACGGTTTTAATACTGTCTAATGCCGGTTGGACCACTAAAGTGCGAACCGTTCGCATTACCGGGTCATGCTCCGGTTCGGTTCTGACAACATTGTAAATTACTATAACAATTAGGGTAGACAAGGGATCTTGTAGGCATTCAAACATCCCAATACTTTTGGCGTATGTCTGAAAGTCCTCGAGACCTATATTTTTTCGAACTATTAGGACGACTGTAATCGGTTAGTCAGTTAACCACTTAACCATTCATTACTAATCGCTTAACTATCGATTAGTAATTAGCTAAATTTGACTATCGAAACTGTTTAATCATTTGTCGTTATAATTGTTAGTCTCTAATTTCGATTCGATTATTGGTTACACCTCTAATAAGATACCGATTTACTCCCCTATGGTAGCTAAGAATAATAATCAGACTATCAGATTAATAATAAAGAGGGAAATGGCCCATTAATGAACTGATCAATAATTATCTTCTGTTTGAATTTTGGAAACATGCGTACAGGATTTAAAAAAAAACATAAAGAAAAAAAATAATCCACCCACGTGCCTTGTAACACGTGTGAGTTGTGACACAAAACAAAAGGAAAGGAGGTCGCAGAAAAAATCCCCAAATCCCCAATTTCGTCGTGCGTTCCTCCCCTCCTCCCTAAGCCTAGGGTTTCCTCTTGCCAATCCTTTTTTTCCGGCGACCATGAATCCCAATCTCCCGATCCCGAGCCTCGGCTACGATCCCCACCCACAAACCCCGCTGCTGCCTACGGATGTATCATCGAGCGTCTTGGCTCCCGGATCTGGCTCCTCCTCGAGCGAAACCGAGCTTGAATCGAGTCCGAAGAGGCAGAAGATCGATGAAGATGATGGCGGCGACGTCAAGGGCAGTGGCGGCGAGGAGGAGGAAGAGTGGACTCAGACTATGAAGAAGCCCTTAACCTGGTATCCTAAAACCGAAGAAGACGAGAAGAAGATGTCGCTCTTCTATGACCAGGTTTTGGCTAGCGAGGTACGCACATAGCCGCAACTGTTATTGGCTTCTCCTCCTGATCCAGATATTCTTTCTTTCTGTTAGAGTAGTAGTTTTGTTGGTTGCTGCTGAATCATTCTGAATTACGAACCTTTAGGGATTCGACTATGTCCAACAGCCCCCGGTGGACGTCGTTGAATACGGGGTTTTGCGGGTCAACATGAAGAATGCCGGGTGGCGCAAGCTTGTCCATGAGTGTCTGGATCACGTTGTCGACCAAATGAACAAATCGCCGGACGGGGTTTGATATGATCCCGTTCTTGCTCCATCCATTTTTATCTGTCTGTGTTTTTCTGTTGCTGGTACTTTTCCCAACCAATTGACTTGGCACGACCCTATTGCATCTGTCTTGTCTTCTAGGGGTGGAAGTTGGTCGCTGGTGATATTGTGAAGGCCAATAGGCGAGCTGTCCAGGGTTGTATCTTCTTCATCACATTCAAAGCAACCAACTTTGCTGATCCTAAAGATGCTGCTGAGAAAGAATATGAAGCTCAAGTTTATCGCAACTTTACTGGTGAGTGTAGGACGGACCTGTTCCGTGTGAAAGGCCAGAAGGAAGCGATCCAAGAACGCCCCAACCGGTGGAGGATGAGAATGTGCTATGGTAATATATAATTTTTTTTCTTCTTAGCTGCATGGTAGTTTTCTTTTTGTGCCTTCGCTAACAACTTGCCTTGCAACTGACGGGTATTTGGTACATGCTCTATTGCTTATTGAATTTCCTCTGGCCTGTGCTCTTGTAATTTCTTTTGCTTTGCTTTTGGTTAATTTAGATTGAAGTGCTTCTTATGTATATATACCCGTCTGTTGGCAGGTTGTCCCTGTGACGGTTCCTGTGGCTGTAAGTGAAGCTGGAGTTGGCAGTTACATTAAGGAGTCCTCTTTTAAGGTGATTGTGAGTTTGAAGCCTTTTGTCCTGCTAGGCTAGCTACCTTTGCATTGGAAAGGTCGTCTAGCTATGAGTTCGTGTGCTCCAAACTGCTAGTCAATGTTGTTGTTATGAATTGGATTGAAACGGTGAACTTGTCGTAGTGCCCTCCTTTAGTTATCAACTTTAACTATGTGTTGTTGTGTGCCGGATATTGTTCCATCTCCTATTGGGTAACTCTTGAATTCCTAAGCAGTTGGGAAGTTATAAATGGTTTCTCTCTGGATATTTTTGTTTCGAGACAAGAATGAGAATTCGACGATGACGGGTGACGACCTGTTCTATTTTGGTAGGAGGATTCAGTGGGTAGATTTTTGGCCATTTGGGGATTAGGGGTCGAATTTGGGGGGAGGAGCCAGGTGGAGATTGGGGCATGCGAACCATTTACAGATGCTACTTGTCGTTGACTTTTCTCCCGTCTTTAACTTATCATTACCACATCAAGACTCATTTACATAATGTTACCTGGGTAGTCATTCCGTCCAAAATACCGTTCCAGATCGCCACGTCAGCATGCCATGTCAGTGTAAATATTAATTAAAAAGTGTCCTACTTAGCCCATTTAACCCGAGACTCCAACCGGTTCAGAACAAACCCTTTACCCACACTCATGGCCTGATACCCCCCTATAAGAATAGAAACCTACCTTTTTCATCCATTAATCATCCTCTGTTTCCCCCTTCCCTCTTCCTTTGAACGAAAAAACCCGTAAAATCCCAGATCTGAAATCAGCATGAGGAAAAGAAAACTTCGGTCCATGATGGGTTCCCTGCCTACTTGTAAGTGTCAAGACATAGTTGTTTTGCTAACATCATGAACAGAAGATAATCCGGGTAGAAGGTTCCTCCGCTGTAAGAGAAACTATTTGGTAAGGATTTTGATTTTGATTTTGATTTTGATTTTTGTGTTCACCATAAGAAGATTTGGTAACTAATCTCTTCTCTTTCATTTTATGAAGAAATTATCCCACCACTTTGATTTTTTTGAATGGATCGACCCTCCAGTGGAAGATAGGGGCAGAGCTCTCATAAATGGGTTGTTGAAGAAGATTAAGAACATGGAAATAAGATAAAAGGAAGAGAGCATGCTGAATGAGACAAATTCTTTTTCATCGACGACACGCAAAGATGAACAATCTAGAAGGGGCAACCAAAGTGAAGATTTGTATGCACAGACAATTAATCTAGTTTATGTAGTCGTTTGTGTGATTTAGGAATGGTAATGAGGCAGGTTCGGGCCCCGAGACAGGTAGGGTCCAGGTCGGGTAATTTATTATGGGGCAGGGGTCGGGGCAGGTTGACCCAATGGGTATATAATTTATGTGAAAAACATTAGAAATATTCGTTATTTTCATTAAAAGACTAAGAAAGAAACCATAAAATGATAAAATGTAGTTATATTATTAGAGAAATTGAGGTTTTCACTTATTTACAACTTTAGTATAGCTAAAATTTGGGAAAAAATCCCACTGTACACTAGTTATTAAAAAAAATTCCCAAAATACATAAGTTATAAATTTTTTTCCAAAAGTACACATGTTTGAGCATCACCGTTTTAGACAAAGGCGGTGAAGGTTATCACCGCGTTTAATAAACACGGTGAAAATTTCACCGTTTTAAAGTAAAACGGTGATGCCTTCACCGTCTTAGTCTAAAACGGTGAATGCATCACCGTTTTAAACTGAAACGGTGAAGAAATCACCGTTTTAATAAAAAACGGTGAGGACGGTGAAGTCGCTGACGTGGACAGACACGGGGTATTCACCGCGTTAGACAAACACGGTGAATACCCCGTGTTTGTTTGCGTCAGCGATCCGCGCCAGTGTGCTTTCACCGTGGCCGTTAGATGCGGTGAGGCGCGGATCGTGGTTTTCTTCCCACGATCCGACGCCTCACAGCACGCCACGTCACCTTTGAAGTAACCGTTTTTGGTTAATGCGAGGAGTTCACCGCGTTCCTCAAACGCGGTGAATGCTCCCCTAATAACTGCGCATCAGCTCCTCCCCCCTTCCCCCAACTATAAATACCCCCTTCCCCTTTCACTTTCAACTCACCCCACAAACATTTCACTTCTTTCTCCCTCAATTTAACCGCTCTAGTCTCGTTCTAAGTATGCTCTGTGGTTGCGGCTAAGTCCGATCTTCCACATCAGAAAGAATTACTAGAGTTTGACCCTAAAGCCCCCGTCCCGCTAAGTTCCCGTCCCTTACAAACCTAAAATCGCCGAACCTCTGTCCGGCCTACGCCAAAAAATGGACGAAGAGGCTCTTCGTGTAGGTTTTTGGTTTATGAATTTTTTTTAATCGAAACAATTTGATTTTTTTTTTATCAAAATAATCTCTGATTTCATTACTTTTTTATAGATGGGTGCCGAGATATACGATCCTCGATTGTATATCCATTATGGCCCAAGGGATGCGAGTCTCTTAACCGATCAAGAAGCTCATCGCTCCCATGCTATTTGGGATAACTATCCGGTAATTTTTTGAGTATTCTTGCTTTATTTTATTATTTTCTAAGGTTTTATTTTGCTTTATTTAATCTAATATATTGTTGTTTTCCCTATTTGTTTTAGGAATCGCTTGTTCCCGTGGTTCATAAAGGGACCAATAACTTGCCCGCTTGGCATCCAAGGTTGGAGCCCTACATAGCGAGGACCGGTTTGGGAATGTTTCCATCAACGCAGTGGCAATTAGAAGACATCCTCTGTACTTCCCAGTAAGGAAAGTTCCGTCAACCTGAATAAAAATTTAGGATATAATTAGTATGAAATATACTTAACAGCAAATAATACAACATTTAAAACCGGAACTAGTTGGTAAAATACCTGAATAACCGGTATGCAGAACCCAAAACCGTCAATGCATGGTTTAAAAGCCCAAAAAAGACGATGGAACATCAGCTTATCCTGTACTCGAACTTGATCCTCAGTGTATACATTGTTGTATACTGGGACGAAAACAGTCCCAGGATTGGACTCCTCCATTGCTCCCATAAGTCTAGGGAGTAAAGCATACGAATCCTCCCAATCACCATACACCTCAGCCATGGCTTTCTGCTTACCATGCCATGCTTTTTTGTACCTTATCGTGTAAGAATGTCGATCCTTCACCTCTGCCATGATAGCTTTCACCTTGATATCTGGTTGTGCTTCTATAAGGTGCTTAATAGTTCTCCCAACCTTCTTTGCTTTTAGTTGCCTGTGATCTTGGGAAAGTATAGAAGAGGAGCATGTGTGGATCGTCTCAGCTTTGCGAATCACCCAAGCACCCTTTCTCTTCATATTTGCAGCCCGCAGTTGCCACGTACAACCCTCTGCATCATGCTTGCATATGACATGTAGTTGTTTACTGTCAGAATATTTTACCTTCCACTCGAAATTGCGCCTCAACGCCTCTTCTGTAAAAGCATCCTGCACAGCGTCTTTCGATGTGAACGCCATACCCACCTCCAAATTGGCCGTCGGATTGTACACTGGCATAGGGACAAAGTCGGGGGATCATTCTGACTATGTAAAAATTGAGTTGGAACCTGTGTGTAATATGGAGTGGGTGCCTCATGAAATGCCGCCTCATCCTCGTTATCATCAGTATCTTCCTCCTCCTCGCTCACTGATATCAAATCTTCCTCAGTATCCTCGTCGCTCGACTCGAATGGATAGCTCGGGCTAGAAGGATCAACATGACCACGATCACCAACATCGTCCTCTCGCTCATGTGAAGTACGTCCTGATCGAATGGTATTCTCGATTCCATACCACTCTGGCCCCCAAGCAGGCCATTGAACACCATCGGCCTCAACAAATGGGGCTGGTTTAGGAGGTTGCGAGTATTTGTCCCATCCTGCACTACTCGATCCACCGTAGTTGATTGAACCACCACCCTCCCCGTAACCTCCTGTATAACCACCGCCTTGGTAGTTGCTCGAACTACCACCCCATTCGTACCCTCCTGCAAAACCATCATCATAAGAATACTGGTGAGAATGAGATTCACCGACCGCCTTGGTCTCAACATACACCTCTGCAAGCCGGACTTGGTTATCGCTTAGGAACTGTAACATCATCATAACCGCGTCATCATCGTTTATGACAACTTCTTGGAACACGACCCCGCTAGCACTCATGTCTGGATACCGGTAAGTAATTTTGCCAAGTCTCGTTTGTCCGCTCGTACAAACCCTTTCTGCACAAAGATCACAGAGTTCTTGAAAATTGAATCGGGAATCAATTTTCAGCATAATGGATTCGCCGTCCTCATAATCAATGCCTATGTCAGAGTTTGTCACCCTTCCATTCCACCGAATAGTAAGATGAAACTTCTTGAATTTACCCATATCTACAATTTACAATAAGTATCTATTAGCTTAAAGACAGTAAAATTAACCAAAATCATATTGTACAACTAATATTAAATCATACCATAACTAACGAAAATAAATTCAACTAACTAACAACAACATAATACGAAAATTAAATCATACTATAACTAACGAACATAAGTTCAACTAACTAACAACAACATAATACGAAAATTAAATCATACTATAACTACTAAAAACATAATTAGACTATAATACGAAAAGTCTCAACATACCGAAAAATTTCTGTTCTGTGTATTATGCTCGATTTTGGCTGCTGAAATTTGAAGAAAGGGGAGTGGTTATGTTTTTACAACTGCTGGTGGTGTGCAATTTATAGGAAAATCTGCCTACTATTCACCGTTTTTGTCGAAAACGGTGAACACCATCACCGCGTTTGTCTCAAACGGTGAATAGGTGGTAGCTGCGACCTAATTTTGACCTACCAGGGGTGGGAAACGTGGGAAATGATCACCGCGTTACTTAACAACGATGAATGGGTTCACCGTTTTTGACCAAAACGGTGATGTGTTCACCGTTGTTAATTAACGCGGTGAAAACTTAACCGTTTTAGTTTGAAACGGTGAATACTTCACCGTTTTTGTTTAAAACGATGAAGTATTCACCGTGTTCGTCAAACGCGGTGATGACCTTCACCTCTTTTGTCTAAAACGGTGATGCTCAAACATGTGTACTTTAGGAAATTTTTTTATAACTCATGTATTTTGGGAATTTTTTTTAAGAACGTGTGTACAGTGGGATTTTTTCCTAAAATTTGAGGTAATAAGAGGAAAGTTTTAAGTAATTTGACTAAGATTACGTGTAATTTAGGGGAGAACGGGTCGCGAATGGAGCGGGTCAGGGCAGGTCGGGTCGATGAGAGGTACCCATGCCCGCCCCGCCCCGCTTACAGGGCGGGTCGGACCCGCCCCAAAACAGGTCAAACAGGTCGGGTAAAACAGGTCAGGTCGAAATTGACATCCCTAGTGTGATTGTAGGAATCGTTATTGGTAGATATGTGAATGTTCTATACAAACAAAACACTTAGAGTCAATTCCTATATTCGAAGCGGAAACACCAAATGAAATGTTACTATTAAAATTATACTACATTTTGATTCAAAATACCATACAACCAAAACAATGCCATCCATTACCTTCATAATCTAGTTCCCGGATGGGACTCACCAAGATCAATTGCAATAAGAATTATGAAGTTTATATTCCTAGCTTTTATTAGTTGTTACCAGCTTCATTTTATAGTGACATGAAATTAAATGATGGTGGTATTAATCATGAACTTATGAATAATTTTGATTTTATTTAATAATGAAATTATGATAGTGTTTTTGAGAGAAGTAAGTTGCGCTGAGTATTCAGTTGAGCATAGGGTTGTTAATTGGTTGTTAGAGAATTGTAAATCTTCTTTTCACATGCTTCGCTTCAACTTTCGTTTTCATTTTCTCAAATTAAGAAATGAAATTAGTAGTCATTCTCATTTCATATGCTTTCTTTTTCATTATCGCTACAACTCATTAGCTCAGATGTTCAACCTCACGTTTTCATTTAACTTGCATTTATTCAACTATGTTAGTTTTAGGTTTGAGATTGATGATTGGTTTTCAATACTATGTATGTGTCTTATATAGTTGTTATGTCCTCTAAGTCAAATATGGTGTCCTCCAAACCAAAGTTATTATTTGTGATGGTTATTATGAGTCAAATGTGGTGTCCTCCAGATCAAATGAACCAAATTACATGTCGGTTAACTAAGGACGATCCCATTGTTCAATTCCATCGTTATAATGTCAATCCATAAAAGTAGCCCATATTCGCGTTTGTTAACACATGTTTCACATTGTCATAGTTGTGACCGATAACTTCGCTGCAACAGATTTAATATTGCTCATTGTATGGCCTCCAAACTATTAAACATATTGGGCCAGCAGTTTTATGACAAAACTCAAAGTGAAGACAACTCATCGTCTGGTGGCATTCAGGCACTTATTGGTGTCCATTAATCTAATTGCAAGCATAATGATTGCTAAAATTAAGCTTCCATGCAACACTCTGAGAGTTGGAGTGTTGAACTTGGAGTAGAAGTTGATATTGAGTTTGGGAAGGGAAATGGCGGGAGGAAGAAATTGTGTTTGGATTTGGTAGCAGGTAAAGTTCATGGTTCGATTTCTTCTCGTAAAATGCTTTGGGGGTCGTTTGGATGAATTGTTTGATTTTGTGGTATTTGTAAGGTGAAATAACTCATTTGTTGTTGATGTGGTATTAGAATGAAAGTTGGGATAAATAATCTTGTTTGGCTAAACCAATATTTCCATGTGGTATTTGATGATAAAAGATACTAAATAACAATATTGCCCTCAATTGAGGGCACCATCTACTCTCTCATAGCTTTCATTCATTCACAGAAATGTACCCTGCCCCCATTTATTCGTTCATTCATAACAAACCCCCAGAACAACGAAACCACAAGAAACCACTTCCCATCCTGCCTTGCATCGAATTCTTCTCATTCTCCACTTCTCTGTTCTTGTTCAACTGAGCCTAGAACAAGGAAAATAAGAACCCACGAATGCAAAGCTTCCCACCATTCCACCAGCGAGAATTTAGCCTATCTGTTCTTGTTAACGACGTGTCCAAAGCCACTTAATTGACAAATAAATACAGGAAAAATCAATTAAGGAAGCTTACTATGGACGGAGGCCAAATCCAAATTCGTCAATCTGCCCCTGCCGCCAAACAAAAAGGGTGCCTTCGCTTCTCTTCTCTTCTCAATTCGTCAATATGCCCCAAGCTCTGAATGCAGTCCTAAAATCAAAATCCAGCTTGGACAATAGTACTCGCATCCATCTCCAAAGATCCTTGATTCTCGCCCCCTACGAACTGTCGCTCGAAACCTCCATCGCCGCCAATGATTCCAACCACGGCTGCGTACTTAGCGTCAAAATCCCCAATTGTGCTTCTTCCCAAATTGAAACCCAGCTCATAAGAAAATTGGGACTCTTCCCAAATCAGAACTCTTACACCTTCGTCATCCACCATCGCCAGCCTTGTCGCCACTGTCCGTCTTACATGCAACCACCATCTACCTCGTCCTCGCTCTCTGTCGTACATACAGTAGTCAACAGTGAGGGTTAATCGACTGCGATATATTGAATAATACAGAAGAGAGGAGAAGAAGAGTGAAGATGGAAGTCATTTGAGAGAGGGGGGAAGAACTGAAAAGGAAGAAAGAGAAAGGGGCAGAGTTGGAAGGGAATTTACGCAGAACGTGTTATTGTCAAATAACTGCTGGATAGGTGTTATTTACAATAATTCGTTTTGAGTTATTCGTAAATAACTCAAGGCCAAATAACCAATTACACTTTTGCATACCCAAACGAGTTATTTTGAATCAAATAACCCAACATGAGTTATTTGGGCCCAAATAACTCACGCAAATAACCTATCCAAACGACCCCTTGATTTATTTTAGTTAGAGGTATAATATCATGGTTCTTTGGGACCAAATGAACTAAAATGAGCTTAGGGGATGGGAATTTTAGCTAAGTGAAGCAGTGGATTATATTTTGATAAACTCAACTTTATGATTAACTGAAAGAATATTTTGTGTTAGACTTAGTGGTATTGAGATGTTCATAAATAGTTTAAAACTGATCCAAGATCATGGATTGATATTGGTTAGTTGATTGTGGTTTTGAGGAAGGTGTATTAAAAATCATGCCAGGAGTTTGCAGCAAGTGAAGGCAGTGAAGAGGGAGTTGGTCAGGTAGTGATCGAACCAATGAGGGTATTGAAAGACACGAAAGCAAAACCAAAGCAGTTGAAGAGAGAGAAGTGGTAGATGATGAGGATATTAATGAAAATGGAGAGGGTATTGAAGGGCGTGGAAGTCAACTGGATCAGGTGAATGCAAAGAAGGATGCGATCAACATATTTGATGGAATTGAAGATGAGTGTTGGTTTTACGAGCTTATTAAAACTTCCCCTGAGGAAGATGTGTTGGTCAAATACAAGAAAGAGGATTGAGGAGTTGGAGAGCAAGTTGACAAAAGAAGGTTCATCAAAGTAGCATAAAAGGAGTTGCAGAAGGAGGATTAGAAAGTGAATTTTGCTATGAAACATATACGTCTTGGAATTGAAGATGGACGGGATAAAAAGTTGGTTGTACAACGGAGAGCGACGAAAATTGTATCTTTAGGTGTTATGGTTGTTGCAGCTACCACAACCTATGTTTATGTGAAAACGAGGATTCATTGATTAATTTACTAAACTTAAGGTTGATTCTCTATTTAAGCTACTGGAATCTATAGATAAGGAGTGTCTAATTTTGTGGCTCATTACTTTGATTGAGTCTATTAATATATTGGATGTAAACCTAATTTTCTCGTTTGCTCTCAAGTTTTGATTTTCTCTTTTTAGCTGAGTTGTTAGCATATGATTTACTTGAATCAACAACTCTTCATTACTGTTTTTTATAAATCCATTTTGTTTTTATTAGTGGCATGTTGTTCCTAGTAGGAATGGCATGGGGCAGGTCCCGGGGGGGGGGGGGGGGGGGGGTTCTTGGTACCCGGACCCGCCCCATGGCAGGTCGGGTCCGGGTTGGGTAATTTATCACGAGTCGCGGGTCGGGGCAGGTCGACCCATTGGGTATGGAATTTATATGAAAAACATTAGTAATATTCGTTATTTTTATTATAAGGTCAAGAAAACAAATAATATTATGATAAATGTAGTTAATTTTTTGGAGAAATTGAGGTTTTCACTAATTTACAACTTTATTATAGTTAAAATATGATGCAAGAAAAGGAAAATCCTAAGTAATTTGACTAAAATTACATGTAATTTAGGAAAGAACGGGTCGATAATGGGGCGGGTCAAGGCAGGTCGAGTCGATGAGAGTACCCATGCCTACGGGGCGGGTCGGACCCGGCCCAAAACAGGCCAAAAAGATTGGGTAAAACAGGTCAGGTCGAATTTGCCATCCCTAGTTCCTAGAGGAGAGCATTGAACCATTTATGTACGATTGTGAGGTTTCATTTCAGTTTCAAACTATATATGGATCGTGTGGGAATTCCAGTGAGCTTTATACTCTATATTTGTTGACAATCGATTAACCAATATCATTTTAGTGGTGCTTAATTATCATTATGAAATGAGATTAATGATACATTTTTATATTCTTAAGTAAGGATAATACTTCTCTAAATGTTCGATCTATCTATTCATTCTTTATGTGTCATCTCGAGCGAAGAATTTTTTATAAACTTAAACGGGTTAATAGAAACGTAACATAAAAATAAAAATAAAAATATATGAAAGAGGTAAATGGCGCATTAATAATCAATAATTATCTTCTGTTTAGATTTTGGAAACATTGCGTGAAGGATTTAGAAAAGGGGAAGAAAAAAGAAAAAAAAAAGAGATAAAAGAGATCCATTCACGTGCCTAGTAACACGTGTGAGTTGTGACACAAAAAGAAAGGAGGTCGCTGGAAAAATCCCCAAATCCAACAACGAAGAATAGAATACAGAGATCAGATCCCCAATTTCATCGTGCGTTCCTCCCTCCCTAGGGTTTCCTCCTGCAAATTCTTTTTTCCGGCGACCATGAATCCCGATGCCGCGATCCCGAGCCTCCGCTACGATCCCCACTCACAAACCCCGCTGCTGCCTACGGACGTATCATCGAGCGTCGTCGTCGAATCGGCTCCCGGATCTGGTTCCTCCTCGAGCGAAACTGAGCTTGACTCGAATCCGAAGAGGCAGAAGATCGATGAAGATGATGGCGGCGACCTCATGGGCAGTGGCGGCGAGGAGGATGAAGAGGAAGAGTGGAGTCAGACTATGGGGGAGCCCTTAACCTGGTATCCTAAAAGCGAAGAAGACAGGAAGAAGATGGCGCTCTACTATGAGCAGGTTTTTGCTAGCGAGGTATGCATGTAAGCCTCAACTTTTGGCTTCTCCTCCTTCTCCCCCTCGTCCAGATTGTTGTTCCTTCCGTTAGCGTAGTAGCTTTGATTGGTTGCTGCTGAATCATTCTGAATTACGAACCTTTAGGGATTCGACTATGTCCAACAGCCCCCGGTGGACGTCCTTGAATATGGGGTTTTGCATGTCGACATGGAGAAAGCTCTGTGCCGCAAGATTCTCCGTGAGTGTGTGGATCACGTTGTCAAAGAAACGAACAAATCACCCGACAGGGTTCGAATCGAATCTCTTTTGTGTTGCTCTGCTTTTCCCAACCAATTGACTTGGTGGGCGACCCTATGCATCTGTGTTTGTCTTGTCTAGGGGTGGAAGCTGGTCGCTGGTGATATTGTGAAGGCCAATTGGCGACCTGTCCAGGGTGGTATTTACTTTATCACATTCATGGCCAAGAACAGTGCTGATCCTAAAGATGCTGCTGAGAAAGAATATGAAGCTCAAGTTTATCGGAACTTTACTGGTGTGTGTGAGATGGAGCTGTTTCGTGTGAAGGGCCAGAAGGAAGCGATTCAAGAAAGTCCAGACCGGTGGAGGATGATCATGTGTAATGGTAAATATAATTTCTTATTCTTCTTCTTCTTCTTCTAGATCACTAGCTAGCCATCTATATTGTAGCTGCATGGTAGTTTTCTTTTGGTACATGTTCAATTGCTTGTTGAATTTCCTCTGGTTTGTGCTCTTGTGAAGGTTTCTTTTGCTTTGCTTTTGGTTTCTTTTTGTGCCTTCTTGTTATATATATACCACTTCCTTCTGTTCGCAGGTTGGCCCTGTGACAGTCCCTGTGGCTGCTGTAAGTGAAGCTGGAGTTGGCAGTTAAGTAGTTAAGGAGTCCTCTTTTAAGGCGATTGTGAGTTTGAAGCCTGTGGTCCTGCTAGGCTAGCTACTAAATTCTTTCCAAATTCATCTCCAGACACGTCACTTTCGAATATCCACAGTCTGTAGATTATACCCGTCCAGTTTATCGAATGATTTTTTGTTCCTGTAATTAAACATGTATATTTGACATCAAATAGAGAGCTACTAAATCATAAATTCAACAAAGATTTATCGAATGATTTTTTGTTCCTATAATTAAACATGTATATTTGACATCAAATAGAGAGCTACTAAATCATAAATTCAACAAAGATATACTCGTTAATTCAAATTCAAAGCATCCAGTTCACAGGACAATCACTATTTTAGCATCCAACCCGACCCAAATCGTAACTCAAAAAACTTTGAAAATTTTGAAATTGACGGATGAGTTTGGATTTACCACCATAAACTGTTTGGTTGGGCCACATACACCGCTAGTCACGAATCAAGTAAGCTAGGCCACTTCCATATTTGGATTTCGGGCTTAATTGGAAATCAATCAGTTTGCGACGACCCCCCAAAAATCAACTAAACATCTTGACTAGTGTCCGAATTTATATATTTTTCCAGTTCGGGATCCGAAATAAATATTTTGGTGAGTTTGATTTAAGATCGCAAATGGGTAGATTCATTGGATAATTGGATCCAATTATTATGGCACATGTGTATTAGGTTGGACTCAAATTGGTTTGGGTATAGTCCAATTTGGGTCGACCCATTTGGGTGTATATAATTATACGTATAAAATAGCAATATCTGACACCTTCCAGTGGCGGATCTAGGGCTGGGCCACCCCGGGCCCCGGCCCAGCCCTCTTGCGGTTCCGAATTGGTATAGTACGTATGAATTTTTCGATATTAGGTGTTCGGTCTAGTGTTATTTAAATTCGGTCCAAATTATTTGATAATAGGATTTTGTGTAACTTGAAAAATAGTATAGATGAACATATCCAAACCACTACTCTCAATTTAGACTAAAAATTCTAGCCCAAATAATTTTCATTTGAAAAGAATAAAATGAACAATGAAACTTAAAAGTCTTACTCGTAAAAGACTAAAAGTAAAAAATTTTTTATTGAAATAAAAACCTCTAAACTAAACCTCAAACTTCTCTATCAAAACTCAAAAAATTCCTCCAATCCAAAAAAAAAAAAATAGAACGATGAGACGAACGAACCCGAAACGGATTCCTTCGCTAGTTCGTCAGGAGCTAATTTTCTTTCGAGTTTTTTGATGAAGAAAATATTAACAAACTTGTTGAGTCATCATTTAAATTGCTTCAGTTGAGGGGTTCACTAGATCCTAAAATTTATTTATGTTTTTTTATGAAGAAAATATTAACAAACTAGCTCAAGAGTTTATCCTCGAGACTTTGAAGGCTATTAGATGCATTCTTTGAAGAATGATCTACGATATTATACCGCTCATGTGGTTCATAGCCAGGAATATGAAGTTTCTTCTCTTGCAAAATTACTAGAGAAGCTGGTGGAAACAAGAATGGATACACACTACACATTGATTTGTCAGTTGATTCGTCTAGTGTTAACCTAGCTTGTTTCAACGGCTACTACGGAGATAATATTTTCATCAATGAAACATGTGAAACTTATTTAAGCAACAAAATAAGCGATGAATTTCCCGCGGATTGCATAACTTTTTGCTTTGAGAAAGAGTATGTTATTGTTATGGATGAAGATTCAATTATTTTATGAATTCGCTAAATTAAAAGATCGTCATGTACAATTGACATTGTAATGAAAATTATAGCTATCATTTTTTTAACGGTTTCTAATTTTCTATTCAAATGCGGCCCAGTGCTCTACTATGTCCTGGATCCGCCGCTGACACCTTCAATGCTAGTATTTCCACATTGGCTCATGATTCGAGTTAAGAGTGGGATCACTGTTTATGTCATGCTAGGTCACCATTTTAATCAGGTTAGGGTCACCATTTGAGTACGCAGTTAAGTTATGATCTTGGTCAGATAGATTCTTACCATCAATATGTGACGCCTTTGATCCACGGCACTACTTGTGCATGAAAATGATAAAGAAACGAACATTTGTCAAGAAAGGTAGTGAATATTGGACCCACCTAATAATGCAACCTTTTTATATGATTCGAAGAAACCCCTCGGATCGATCATGGTACAAAAGGAGAAGCAACATTGGACCACTTGCATTATCTTTTTATGAATGCATGATAGGGATATCGGTATTGCAACGTATATGGTTGTCACGTGACACATTATTTTCTAATGCATTCATGCACATCCTGGCCCAAATATTTGAGTTTGGTTAGACCTGTGAAAAGCTACGGTATAATCAAGAATGGATCATTTATACGGTTCATAGTTCATATCGAGAAGTTGGAACATAGAATAGAGACCAAACCAAATACTCCACGATTCAGACCAGACCACGCCGGTGGTGGAGAGTGATTGATGAATGAAGGAGGACACAAGATCCGCAAAAGTAGGGTTGAGACTTGGATCTCGTTGAGAAGAAAGAGAACACGGGATTCTTCAACCAAACCAAGAAATCAATATATTATATAAATCAGACCATTCTTAATGGTGTACGATCCGATTTTATCCATAATTTTTCAAACGGTTTATTTTCCTAACCGAGTACCGACCATGAAGACCGAAATTAGTGGACAACTGAATGGCAATGGAGAGATTGTTGTCTGACCCCACATTATGATCATGTTCATGTGTGAGTGTGACCCTTGGTATGAGTAGGAATGGCAATGCGTAGTTCCGGGAAGGGTACTTCGATACTTATACCTGCTCCGTGGCAGGTTGGGTTTCGGTTAGGTGATTTATCATGCTGAGAACAGAATGTGCATAGCTCTTGAGTCGAGCTGTGAGGAAATCTTCTGTTCTTCCTTCCAATCTTCTTCATCTTCATCTTTCATGGGGACTGGTCCCTTTCTGACGACAGCCCATAATTCTCCGTCAACCCCACGAAGGTAAATTCGCATCCTCTTCTTCCAGACTGTGTAGTCTGTTCCATCGAACCATGGTGGGTTTGTATTTGTCGAATAGGCTACTGCACTTGAGGATGATCTAGACATCTTATGATCTTCTCTTTGGCGACGGTTAGTCCTTCAAAGAGCCCGCTCTGATACCAATTGATAAGTCTGAATGAATATGAAAGGAAATAAATTTTATTTAAATTGAAACAGAGTTACAATTGATCTAATCAAACCCTACCCAAGCCAAGAGACTTGACACTTTTGAATACAGAAGAAAAACACTCAATCCCAACTTCCCAAGACAAGATCACCCAGTTCTCAACTCCTGTGACCTATCTACTGAAGATGGTACCCAAAACAGCCCATGATAGATAAGACAGAATCCCAGTCTCTCTTTACTACCAACCGTTGCATTCAAATGGAGAACTCACTCGTTATTTATAGGAAGAAAAGGAAAGAGTCGTTTCCTACAAAGCGCTCTTGGTAGCGATTATGATTGCTTGCTAAGTAGAGGCGGTGGAGCTCTGGAAGAGTGGTTCTTCGATCTATTGAGAGAAGAACAGAAAGCTGCAGATTGATAGACTCGAGATGAAGACGACAACTACGACGGACGAAACACTATCCGAACCCAAAACGCCACCGTTCCTTTGGCATGGTTCTCACTTTTGGGTACCCCCTTCGATACACCAACGAATAAGTTAAAACATCGCTATATATAAATGATTTCTTAAAACCAAAAGATACCCCATTTAGTTTATTACTTACACTTTCCCTCAGTACCCATTACCAAGCTTGTCATTGTTCTGCTCCGTCTCCTTCTTTGACCCATATTCATTCCAATTTTGCGATTCATTCAAAGATGGGGGAAGTGTGTTCGCCGTCCAACCATACCTGCTGTCGCTGTGTTCTTCTTGAGCAGGGGAGGAAGACGCGTGCGGCGGAGTAGTGGCGGAATAGAGGCGGAGCAGCCTGGAGCAGAGAAACCGCAGAGCAGGTCGCCGGTCGCCGCCTCGCCGGTCGAGAAGAGGAGGGAGGATCGCCGGGCCCTGGTCCCCGGTCGAGAAGAGGAGGGAGGATCGCCGGGCTGGTCGTCGCTCGAAAAGAAGTGGGAGGTCGCCAGCAGCAGCAAACGAAGGACGAAGCGGCCGATGATTTAGGGTTGTGCTTTTGAGGCTTCGGCCGAATTTTTTTTTTCCTTCACCGCAAAACGACGTCGTGTCGTTCCCGTTAGCTGACCCCCGGTTAGACCAAAACCGGGTGGCTTTTTGAGTTGAACCGATTTTACCGGGAAAACCGGCCGGGACGACTCCTTCACCACAAACTGCTTGTCGTATCGGCCAGGAGCGAATTTCCGGTTTTACCGGTTCAACCGGCCGGTACGATCCGGTTTTTTTTACCATGATTGTTACAGAAAAAACCAGAAAACGATGCATTGGTGATAATGCATTCACTGTAACAATCTCAGTATCTCACCTAAACTATCACCAAAACCAAACGATCGTTATTGTTGTCGAGCTATTGTGCGCAAGTCAAACTTTCTATTATATATGCTATTTCTAAAGTCTTTCCATGAAATTATTCTCATTTGAACCTAAATTACCAGTGTTATTAAAGCCGAGCCGCTCGGCCCGCGCGGTAAAATCGCCACCCGGTCACAAAATCGGCTCGGAACAGTCTAAAAGCCGCTCCGGTTTTATGCAGCGGTTGGCGAGCGGCCGAGGCGGTTAGCCGTTCGAGCCAATCGAGCCGCTTGTCCGGTTTTTGCCATTCAACCACTAAATTTAATTAAAAAAATTGTAGAAAATTGAAAATTGAAAACAACCAAAAACGTCGGGCTCTCAAATTGAATCCTTATTTCCATTTCACAATTTCGAAGGAAATAGATGAGCTCTGATTAAGAAATGTTCACTATTTATACTGATAACGTTTATTAGGTACCGGTTCTCTAACGGTTTTAATACTGTCTAATGCCGGTTGGACCACTAAAGTGCGAACCGTTCGCATTACCGGGTCATGCTCCGGTTCGGTTCTGACAACATTGTAAATTACTATAACAATTAGGGTAGACAAGGGATCTTGTAGGCATTCAAACATCCCAATACTTTTGGCGTATGTCTGAAAGTCCTCGAGACCTATATTTTTTCGAACTATTAGGACGACTGTAATCGGTTAGTCAGTTAACCACTTAACCATTCATTACTAATCGCTTAACTATCGATTAGTAATTAGCTAAATTTGACTATCGAAACTGTTTAATCATTTGTCGTTATAACTGTTAGTCTCTAATTTCGATTCGATTATTGGTTACACCTCTAATAAGATACCGATTTACTCCCCTATGGTAGCTAAGAATAATAATCAGACTATCAGATTAATAATAAAGAGGGAAATGGTCCATTAATGAACTGATCAATAATTATCTTCTGTTTGAATTTTGGAAACATGCGTACAGGATTTAAAAAAAAACATAAAGAAAAAAAATAATCCACCCACGTGCCTTGTAACACGTGTGAGTTGTGACACAAAACAAAAGGAAAGGAGGTCGCAGAAAAAATCCCCAAATCCCCAATTTCGTCGTGCGTTCCTCCCCTCCTCCCTAAGCCTAGGGTTTCCTCTTGCCAATCCTTTTTTTCCGGCGACCATGAATCCCGATCTCCCGATCCCGAGCCTCGGCTACGATCCCCACCCACAAACCCCGCTGCTGCCTACGGATGTATCATCGAGCGTCTTGGCTCCCGGATCTGGCTCCTCCTCGAGCGAAACCGAGCTTGAATCGAGTCCGAAGAGGCAGAAGATCGATGAAGATGATGGCGGCGACGTCAAGGGCAGTGGCGGCGAGGAGGAGGAAGAGTGGACTCAGACTATGAAGAAGCCCTTAACCTGGTATCCTAAAACCGAAGAAGACGAGAAGAAGATGTCGCTCTTCTATGACCAGGTTTTGGCTAGCGAGGTACGCACATAGCCGCAACTGTTATTGGCTTCTCCTCCTGATCCAGATATTCTTTCTTTCTGTTAGAGTAGTAGTTTTGTTGGTTGCTGCTGAATCATTCTGAATTACGAACCTTTAGGGATTCGACTATGTCCAGCAGCCCCCGGTGGACGTCGTTGAATACGGGGTTTTGCGGGTCAACATGAAGAATGCTGTGTGGAGCAAGCTTGTCCATGAGTGTCTGGATCACGTTGTCGACCAAATGAACAAATCGCCGGACGGGGTTTGATATGATCCCCTTCTTGCTCCATCCATTTTTATCTGTCTGTGTTTTTTTGTGTTGCTGGTACTTTTCCCAACCAATTGACTTGGCACGACCCTATTGCATCTGTCTTGTCTTCTAGGGGTGGAAGTTGGTCGCTGGTGATATTGTGAAGGCCAATAGGCGAGCTTGCCAGGGTTGTATCTTCTTCATCACATTCAAAGCAACCAACTTTGCTGATCCTAAAGATGCTGCTGAGAAAGAATATGAAGCTCAAGTTTATCGCAACTTTACTGGTGAGTGTAGGACGGACCTGTTCCGTGTGAAAGGCCAGAAGGAAGCGATTCAAGAACGCCCCAACCGGTGGAGGATGAGAATGTGCTATGGTAATATATAATTTTTTTTCTTCTTAGCTGCATGGTAGTTTTCTTTTTGTGCCTTCGCTAACAACTTGCCTTGCAACTGACGGGTATTTGGTACATGCTCTATATCTTATTGAATTTCCTCTGGCCTGTGCTCTTGTAATTTCTTTTGCTTTGCTTTTGGTTAATTTAGATTGAAGTGCTTCTTATGTATATATACCCGTCTGTTGGCAGGTTGTCCCTGTGACGGTTCCTGTGGCTGTAAGTGAAGCTGGAGTTGGCAGTTACATTAAGGAGTCCTCTTTTAAGGTGATTGTGAGTTTGAAGCCCTTTGTCCTGCTAGGCTAGCTACTGTTGCATTGGAAAGGTCGTCTAGCTATGAGTTCGTGTGCTCCAAACTGCTAGTCAATGTTGTTGTTATGAATTGGATTGAAACGGTGAACTTGTCATAGTGCCCTCCTTTAGTTATCAACTTTAACTATGTGTTGTTGTGTGCCGGATATTGTTCCATCTCCTATTGGGTAACTCTTGAATTCCTAAGCAGTTGGGAAGTTATAAATGGTTTCTCTCTGGATATTTTTGTTTCGAGACAAGAATGAGAATTCGACGATGACGGGTGACGACCTGTTCTATTTTGGTAGGAGGATTCAGTGGGTAGATTTTTGGCCATTTGGGGATTAGGGGTCGAATTTGGGGGGAGGAGCCAGGTGGAGATTGGGGCATGCGAACCATTTACAGATGCTACTTGTCGTTGACTTTTCTCCCGTCTTTAACTTATCATTACCACATCAAGACTCATTTACATAATGTTACCTGGGTAGTCATTCCGTCCAAAATACCGTTCCAGATTGCCACGTCAGCATGCCATGTCATTGTAAATATTAATTAAAAAGTGTCCTACTTAGCCCATTTAACCCGAGACTCCAACTGGTTCAGAACAAACCCTTTACCCACACTCATGGCCTGATACCCCCCTATAAGAATAGAAACCTACCTTTTTCATCCATTAATCTTCCTCTGTTTCCCCCTTCCCTCTTCCTTTGAACGAAAAAACCCGTAAAATCCCAGATCTGAAATCAGCATGAGGAAAAGAAAACTCCGGTCCATGATGGGTTCCCTGCCTACTTGTAAGTGTCAAGACATAGTTGTTTTGCTAACATCATGGACAGAAGATAATCCGGGTAGAAGGTTCCTCCGCTGTAAGAGAAACTATTTGGTAAGGATTTTGATTTTGAATTTGATTTTGATTTTTGTGTTCACCATAAGAAGATTTGGTAACTAATCTCTTCTCTTTCATTTTATGAAGAAATTATCCCACCACTTTGATTTTTTTGAATGGATCGACCCTCCAGTGGAAGATAGGGCCAGAGCTCTCATAAATGGGTTGTTGAAGAAGATTAAGAACATGGAAATAAGATAAAAGGAAGAGAGCATGCTGAATGAGACAAATTCTTTTTCATCGACGACACGCAAAGATGAACAATCTAGAAGGGGCAACCAAAGTGAAGATTTGTATGCACAGACAATTAATCTAGTTTATGTAGTCGTTTGTGTGATTTAGGAATGGCAATGGGGCAGGTTCGGGCCGGGTATCTCGATACCCATACCCGCCCCGAGACAGGTAGGGTCCAGGTCGGGTAATTTATTATGGGGCAGGGGTCGGGGCAGGTCGACCCAATGGGTATATAATTTATGTGAAAAACATTAGAAATATTCGTTATTTTCATTAAAAGACTAAGAAAGAAACCATAAAATGATAAAATGTAGTTATATTATTAGAGAAATTGAGGTTTTCACTTATTTACAACTTTAGTATAGCTAAAATTTAAGGTAATAAGAGGAAAGTTTTAAGTAATTTGACTAAGATTACGTGTAATTTAGGGGAGAACGGGTCGCGAATGGAGCGGGTCAGGGCAGGTCGGGTCGATGAGAGGTACCCATGCCCGCCCCGCCCCGCTTACAGGGCGGGTCGGACCCGCCCCAAAACAGGTCAAACAGGTCGGGTAAAACAGGTCAGGTCGACATTGACATCCCTAGTGTGATTGTAGGAATCGTTATTGGTAGATATGTGAATGTTCTATACAAACAAAACAAGAGTCAATTACTATATTCGAAGCGGAAACACCAAATGAAATGTTACTATTAAAATTATACTACATTTTGATTCAAAATACCATACAACCAAAACAATGCGATCCATTACCTTCATAATCTAGTTCCCGGATGGGACTCACCAAGATCAATTGCAATAAGAATTATGAAGTTTATATTCCTAGCTTTTATTAGTTGTTACCAGCTTCATTTTATAGTGACAAGTCAGTACTCTTACCATAATCGGGCTTCAGATGGCGACTCTGGGCTGAACGCAGCTTCCACTCATCCATTATTAGTCAGCCGGCGTAACAAAGAAAGTTCCAGCTACCGCACGCGCATGCACAATATCTCCTTTCTGGGATTTTCGTCGGAGATGATATGAGAAGAGGTCGATTGGATGAGAAGAGGACTGGTTGTCGGGATTTTTGTCGAGATTTTGGTCGGCCGATTTGGTGGGACTGGTTGTAGGCGAAGAGGAGGATGCTAGCTTTGAGTGTTCGACAGCGACAGTGGAAGAATCTCCCCCACCTCCCCTCCCGCACTTCAGCCGGCGAACGAATCGGTTGGAGGAGTAGCGCTGGCAAGGGGGAGGATGGCTGGCGAATCGGTTGGAGTAGCGTCGGCGAGGAGGAGGACGACGGACGAATCGTTTGGAGGAGGTCTGCTCACCGACGAATCGCAATCTCCCCCTCTCCTCGTGACTTCTGGTCTGGTTTTGGGGGTAAAACGATTTGGGGGTAAAAAAATGGTTAAAGAGTTTGTTCGGAACCGGTTGGAGTCTCGGGTTAAGTGAGCTAAGTAGGACATTTTTTAATTAATATACATTGACGTGGCATGCTGACATGGTGATCTGGGACGGAGTTTTGGACGGAATTGGACGGATTGACCATTTTGCTCAAACTTTTTTTACCGAAACGTGCAAAATTAAAGGAATTTGACCATTTTGTATAAAGTGAAAGGTTTGTGACCATTTATGATAACTAGCCAATGTTACTCGGAAGATGATGCCCGTCTCGATCACGGAACCTAGCTACTTGGGGCCGGAGAGGACTGGGACTATGCAGAAAGATAGGAAGAGAGGGTGAATCGTATGGAGATGACACTGAAGGAGGAGATGGTGCAGCAGGAGAGGTCATTTTCAAGAACATCAGGAGAGCTAGGTCAAGGTGACTCTCGAGTGGAGGGCTTGATGAAGGAATAGAAGGACACTATAGAGGGTGTGATGGAAAGGCGTTAGGACGAGTCAAACAGAAGTAGCCAGGTTCCCAAGAGCTGAGGGAGAAAGTGATTACTAAACTTGACGTTCACGACAGACGAAAACCTCATGATATTCTAGATCATACATGTCAAACCTCTAAGTACGCGGAACATATTCACCACCAACTCTGTTGACACGTATCCGCTACAAAAGCCCACATCGATCATTCACAGAAAGAACCACAACTAATCATTAGCTTAGTAATCCGCTGCAAAATCCCACATAGTCAAAGAACAATAGTAGAAAGACATTGTCAAAGAGCATCAGTAGAAAGATATGACGACGTATCCTCTCCTCTCAAAAGGAATTCTCTTAGTAGTTGATTGTGATCGATATCATAAAAGTAGACCAACCGAAGTAACCCACAGTTGAAGCAAAAGTAGTGTTGGAGGAAACGTGAATCCATTCCCCACAGCTAGCTATACCACCATTCTTTACGTACGACAAAATAAACCCAAGACAGTCTTCTTCCTGGAAAGAAATATTGATGAATCACCCGGCCGGTCAATCGTCTTCCTGTTCCTGTGCCATGGATGGAACTTTCTCCTTCACTTTAGCAGCCTGTAGAGTAGTCATATTGAATATGAACATCACAACCATCAGGGATCGCAATTGCTGACTCCATATATAACTGCATCGTAGTGATCGAGAAAACTATTACCTCGACTGTGAAAATTTTCGTAATCAAAGTTTCACCGCCCGGCAGACTCGAGGCTCGTGCGACCTTGCCGTAGCCACCTTCACCAAATGAAAGACCCCATGAGTTGCGAACGATCCAGTAGTTCGTCTTCCCGTCTTCGGTGGTGCCGTACCCTACCAGCAACATTGCATGTTTCTGCAAGTCCTCATGATCTTCTTTCGGTGTAATGGCGCTCGCGCCCTCCTCGTCGTCAATAGTGACCCCCCGATAAATCTCCTTTAAATAAATAGTACGTGTTGTTAGAACAATATGAGCGTATCATACCATGATCAAGTAATATATAATTATTGTGTACATGTTTCTGGACTTACCTTGCCTGACCACTCAACAAAAGTATTGGTTGCGTCAAAAACAACGATGATGGGTTGTTCGTGTACCAGCCTCAGAACTTCCTTCTCCCTCACCTCCTCCTTCTCCTCGTCAGTGAAATCTTTCTTCATGATAGTTACAGCCTTCCAATCAGCTCCCTTACAAACACCAACCAATGTGTCAAATGCATACCGAAAAGAAAGGAAACCCAAAGCTAGAACCCATAATTCAGTTTCTTACCTTCCCTTTCCCTAGGCAGTCACTACCAAGATTGCCGGTGGTATGCTTATAGTCACTCTCCAGCGAAAGATAGTTATCAACCACCCAATCCAATATCACTTTCAGTCTTGTCGAACTCTTGTAGTTTTCGACCTTGAACTTCACACAATCCAGCAACTCCTGCACCGACAGCTGGATCGGCAAGTCGGAATTGTACTTGATATTGTACGCCGCCTCAATACACACAGAAGTGGCGTGGTAAGCACATGTACCTGATTCATAGTTAAGTGAAATGAAACAAGATGAAATATAGACAGCAAAAAGGAATATGACAACACAATAACAGAAGTCAACCGCGTATATCATAACTAACAAAACAGTAATAGACAATACCATCTACTTAGAACCACTTAAAAATGCCACATATGTATTCACAAACCTGAGGAAACACGATAACTATCACTAAGATGAGATGCATCATCAACAATACTACATTATTAATACTCCAGGCATTAATCAAGTCATGAGTAATAAGATGAAATTGGATAATAACTATTCAATCTTCAAGTCACCACATAGCATACAGATAACCAGGTTTCTCCCAAGTAAAGCTGTGAAACATTTGGAGAAAATATTTAATGATAAAGTCATGAATTAATTAATAGGTAGCAGTAGCAGCTCTCTGTGTATGTCTTTTCTTATGTTCCAAAATCATCTGAACAAATAATTAGAAGCAGAACTGGAACTTCAAGGAAAAGGGACTCTCAATTGAAATCCCATCATTGAACTCTCAACATCTGATATTTTCCAAAAACGGTTTACTAACTTGTTTCAAGCCAAAATAGATAGCAAATGCTGAAAATGGAATTCCCTCCGGATGAGATTGCATACTCTTCTCAGCATTGCTCCATATAAATGGTTGGATTTAGCATCTCACCAAGCAGTAAAACAAACGTTTTTTTGTTTTAACAAAAGAACACAGTCAATAGAAAAGCATGGAGTATGAGCATTCTAGATTCTAGAACCTTATTCTTTAAGGTTTTCTGGATTTGAACTTACTACATTCGCAAATAGCTACATGTAATTAGGATCAACAACAACTACTCGTCAGCAACCTTAGCTCACAATTCAGAGTTTCAATGAAGAGATTACTAAACAGAGCATACTGCACATCTTTGAAGACCAAGACAAAGCCAAGAAAGAGAGACAATTAAACAAAGTGTATTCTGTAACCCATTACCTAACAAAAGCATAAGGAAGGAACGGTGATCATCTTTGGAACTAGCCTTAGCGATTTCACTCTGTAAAGCTCCTTTGTGATCTATTCACTCTGCTTTGGGGCTCTTCCATTTTCTTATGTTCCCATTCGATCTTCTATAGATAGTCAGAGGAATTTTCGATGCAGAGAAGATACGCCTAAAGGGATTAGGAATAGGGTTTTGAACCATCTATGGTGCGGACGGTGGTGAAAAAGGACAAGAGGAGAACAACGATTCAAGACCTAATGGGGAGGTTGAGAGGAATTTCGTGGAAGGGGATTGACCGAAGGAGAATCGACGATAGGGGAAGAGGAATAGGTGTTGCCGGAGTGGCAAACCACTGATGAATGGAAGGTCAAGATCGCTGGTCCATAGTTTACTAAACCTCTAATATATACCTACTTGCGCTATTTATTGTTAACCCTAAGTCCCTAACTAATGACCTCTTACTGTAACTAACCGATCAATAAAATCAAACCCCCCCTACTAATACTTCCTAATCAAATCCCAATAATAATCAATAATAGCTTAATAAGATAGCAATATAATCCCAAAATGGCAACAGTACAAACATTGTACACATAATTATTGTGTCATTTGAATGAGTTATTCGACCAACAGAAACAACTCATTCAAAGTTATTTAAGCCGAAATAACTCATTTGACGACCCACGACGATTGAAATGGTGCATGATGAATTAATTAAAATTCCCCGTCCCCTAGACATATCAATTAACTCACTCCTTCCTATCCAAACAAGACGATTACACTCGATTACCGAAACTAAAACGTCACGTACCAAAATGATACAAACAAGACAATCAAACTAAATAACTACCACATTCAAAGCTAAAACGCCACATGTGAAAATAACACAGCATTTTAATTTAGAATACAACAAAACCAAAACAATGCGATCCATTACCTTCACCATCCTTTTGCTCCCGGATGGGACTCATTATGATCTGTTTGCCGTTGGGATCCGGCTTCCACTGGTCCCCGTCTTTCGTCCACTTCCCGTGGCTCCAATCGTGATTCACAGGAAGATCTTCATTTTCTCCGTAGAGGTCCTAAAATCCACAACCAAAGTAGTTAGCCACTAAATCGAAGGATGTAAGAAAAGAACAACTTCAAACGAATTGAATGCTAGAATCATTACCTTGGGGCGTGGTCTGGGTTTGACCTTGAAGCCAGCCGTCGTCCCCTTTGGATGGCGAGGCATGTTCGATCGCTAGTTAGCTGGTGGGGGAAAAGAAAATCGGTAGGTGAGGTGAGGAGAATCTGATCGAGACCAAGAGAAGAAACCACAACCGACCAGACCAAGAGACCTTACCCGTACAAAAGAAGAGGGTCAGCTGCAGGAAGAAAAGGAAATCGGCGGGTGAGAAAACCAGATCGACACCAAGAGAGGAATCCGCCGCAGACGAGACAAACAGGCGTTACCGGAACAAGAGAAGAGAGTCAGCTGGAGGAAGGAAAAAAAAAAAAAAGAAGGAAATCGGCGGGTGAGGAGAACTAGATCTAGACCCCAAGACAAGAATCCGCCACAGACGAGACCAAGAGACCTTACCGGAACAAGAAAAGAAGGTGAGCAATCGGGAGACCAAGAACGCGGCCTTCCTTTTCCGGACGGCGGACCTCTTTTTCCTTTTCCAGAATCGGCAACACAAAGAACGCGGCCTTTCTTTTCCAGAATCGGCAACACAAAGAACGCGGCCTTTCTTTTCCGGACGGCGGACTTCCTTTACCTCTTCGGGAGACGATAATGGTGGTTGGAGATTGGACAGCGGCGGGGTTTAGAGTTTGGCGAAGGCGAGGCGGAGGGGGGGAGTGACTGGGTAATGGGATGTACGGTACGGGGGAGACTGTCCGAATCCGTCAAACTAAATTCCAATTGTCACCTTTTATCTTATTCTTTTTGTTTTATCTTTTCCCTCTCTACTTTTCATGTGTTGTCCGAAATGACGGCCTCAGCCTCTACAATTATACAACCGGTTTGTTTGTCTATGTAACCATTTTAGGGTGAGTTTGGGGTTTTATCCAACCGGATTCGAATTGTGAGTAAAAAAATTGTTAATCCGATATATATATATAGTCGGTTGGCTTGGTCGAGTAAGCTGGTTGAGTATTAATGGTCTTATCGCTTTATCTCGGTTTGGCTTGGATATTGTTCATAGATCGATTTATAAATTACATCAAATCTCATATACAACGTATAACATTATACCAAAATTACTTGTCGTACTTGGATCTTACATATAGTGAAAACTCACACGCACACTTAGATAAAAATCAATATTCAAATGTTCAGCTTAGAATTTCAAAGATGGGACTAGCGAAGAGCAAAACCGAAAAATGAGGCGCATTTCGCAAACCAAAAGGAAAACGACGTTGTGTGATCTACAACCCAGTAACCTTGCAGAGGTTCGACCGCAGGTGTATCTTGCCCTGTTTTTGCTCACCAAGCCAGGGTGGTCAGAAAAGGTCAACCGGTGGCTCAATCCGCAGGTTGACAACCTTCGAAAAAAACTTTGCAGGTTTTGAAATTAATGGATGCGTTTCAGTTTGCCATACGAAATTGATTGGTTGGTTGACTAAAAAACGGTCAAGATCAATCCAACTATGGTTGACAATGAGGTGAGTCTCACTAAATTCTTTCCAAATTCATCTCCAGACCCGTGACTTTCGAATATCCACAGTCTGTAGATTATACCCGTCCAGTTTATCGAATAATTTTTTGTCCCTAGAATTAAACATGTATATTTGACATCAAATAGAGAGCTACTAAATCATAAATTCAACAAAGATATACTCATTTTTAATTCAAATTCAAAGCATCCAGTTCACAGGACAATAACTATTTTAGCATCCAACCCGACCCAAATCGTAACTAAAAAAACTTTGAAAATTTTGAAATTGACCGATGAGTTTGGATTTACCACCATAAATTGTTTGGTTGGGCCACATACACCGCTAGTCATGAATCAAGTAAGCTAGGCCACTTCCATATTTGGATTTCGGGCTTAACTGGAAATCAATCAGTTTGCGACGACCCCCCCAAAAAACAACTAAACATCTTGACTAGTGTCCGAATTTATATATTTTTTCAGTTCGGGATCCGAAATAAATATTCTGGTGAGTTTGATTTAAGATCGCAAATGGTTAGATTCATTGGATAATTGGATCCAATTATTATGGCACAAATGTGTATTAGGTTGGACTCAAATTGGTTTGGGTATAGTCCAATTTGGGTCGACCCATTTGGGTGTATATAATCATACGTATAAAATAGCAATATCTGACACCTTCAATGCTAGTATTTCCACATTGGCTCATGATTCGAGTTAAGGGTCGGATCACTGTTTATGTCATGCTAGGTCGCCATTTTAATCAGGTTAGGGTCACCATTTGAGTACGCAGTTAAGTTATGATCTTGGTCAGATAGATTCTTACCATCAATATGTGACGCCTTTGATCCACGGCACTACTTGTGCATGAAAATGATAAAGAAACGAACATTTGTCAAGAAAGGTAGTGAATATTGGACCCACCTAATAATGCAACCTTTTTATATGATTCGAAGAAACCCCTCGGATCGATCATGGTACAAAAGGAGAAGCAACATTGGACCACTATCTTTTTATGAATGCATGATAGGGATTGAATGTACTGCAACGTATATGGTTGACACATGATTTTCTAATGCATTCATGCACATCCTGGCCCAAATATTTGAGTTTGGTTAGACCCGTGAAACGGTACGGTCCGATCAAGAATGGATCATTTATACGGTTCATAGTTCATATCGAGAAGTTGGAACATAGAATAGAGACCAAACCAAATACCGCACGATTCAGACCAGACCATGCCAGTGGTGGAGAGTGATTGATGAATGAAGGAGGACACAAGATCCGCAAAAGTAGGGTTGAGACTTGGATCTCGTTGAGAAGAAAGAGAACACGGGATTCTCCAACCAAACCAAGAAATCAACATATTATATATCAGGCAATTCTTAACAGTCTACGATCCGATTTGATCCATAATTTTTCAAACGGTTTATTTTCCTAACCGAGTACCGACCATGAAGACCGAAATTAGTGGACAATTGAATGGCAATGGAGAGATTGTTGTCTGACCCCACATCATGATCATGTTCATGTGTGAGTGTGACCCTTGGTATGAGTAGGAATGGCAATGCGTAGTTCCGGGAGGGGTACTTCAATACTTATACCTCCTCCGTGACAGGTCAGGTTCCGGTTAGGTGATTTATCATGGGGCGCAATAATTCATTATTTTCATTATAAGACCAAGAAACAAATCATAATATGATGAATGTAGTTATATTATGGGAGAAATTGAAGTTTTCACTAATTTACAATTTTATTATAGCTAAAATATGATGTAAAAAAAGAAGAAAAAATCCTTAGTAATTGGACTAAGATTACGTGTAATTTAGGAAAGATTGGATTGAGATTGGGGCGGGTCAGGTCGGGTCGATTAGAGTACCCCTGCCCGCCCCACCCCACCTATAGACTCATCCCAAAATAGGCCGAACAGGCGGGTAAAACGAGTCAGGTCAAAATTGTCATCCCTAGGTACATACGACAATCTGATTCGTTCAACGAGACATCGGACCATGATGATGCAAAAATTATAAATAAATAAATAAATAAAAGGAAAAGAACCTTGGTCCACATGTAGTGTTGCTCATAAATAGGAGACATAAATGTAACATAATATGGTTGGCATGCGAGGCATAAGCAAGCCATGCAATGTACATTTCCCAAACAAATGGAAACACAATTAATAATGCATTCAATGCAAATGCATGGCTCCCTATATCTGCGTACGTAAGTTTCTACAACACTCGTTGAATAAGAAATTCTATGACAAAATTATATTCTTGTTATTCAGGAGAGGCTAAGGTCCACAATTTTTTTTTTATCTAAGATTATTATAACATGTGCATTGATATCTCGACAAATCATTAGAAAGTGATAAAATGGAGACTATTAGTCCCCCTCCTCCTAAATTTTGGTTCTATTTGTAAAAAATATATTGTTAGTTTTACCTCCTCCTCACTCTCAATGATGACTTTGCTTGTAACTAATATATTTATTTTATGTAATGGCGAGATAATTTTATTAATTAATAATGATAAAAACATTATAAGGAAAAATTGATCTTTCAAAATGTATCTCCAAATCGATTTCACAACACACACATATACTTGCGAACACCACTCTCTCGTTTCATATGAGCTCCTCTCTTGAATCCTTATTCCTTACCGTAAACTAAAAGCAAAAATTTTACTAAAATATGAAAACTAGATGATTATATGCGATTTCATGCCAAGTACAACTAAAACCAAAAAAGGAACAAAAATTGCTTTATGAAGTATCGAACCAAAACCAACCTAATCACATTCTAATGCCGCTCTGTTAGACTACATCACCAATCATGATATAAATTGCAACCTTGGCTATATACCTTTACTTACTTTAAAGGTAATTTTCCAAAATCGTGAACAATTTATACGTCACTTCCAAAATTTGGTTGAAGAGAGAAAGGTGAAGGTGGACGAAAGCACTAAGCATCACCATGACAAAGTTCAAATCCATATTGCAGAAGGATTAGAGAAGTAGAAGCACGAAGAGGAAGAAACAGGACAGAAACGTATGAAGTGCTGAAACATTTACTTTGTTGCTAGAACTATTTTATATATACCGTGTTGCCTTATTACTTGTTGTTAATAGAGTGGTTAGCCGTTATAAACCCTGTTTAAACTTAAATAGGCGAATGGAAAGCAGCCAAGTGGCATTGCTTTGTATACAGAGGGATGATCTCAGAATCAGCTGAGGATCAATCCTACCACAAACCCTTGCAACTTTTCTCATACACCAAGTTAGGCAGGAAGATAGGAATGCTTTCTCTTCTGAACATTCTGCATTTGTTTCGGCAGACGGCAGGTGCATGGTCTATTGGAGAAGAGTCGTCGTCCACAGAAGGAGTCGTTTTAAATTCATTGTACGAATATCAATCAGTTTTAAGCTCATTATATATATAATAACTAGGTAGCGATGCCGCGCCTTGTCGCGGACGGAGATGGCCTGAGCATGTATTATGCGTCCCGTTATGATGTTTTGTTAGTATTATTAGCGTAAAAATAATTTTTTGTTAGCAGTTTTATTAGTAATATTGGCTTGACCATATGATATTGACTGAGAAGAGAAATATGACGGTCAACATCCAATTTAAAATTTTTTGGCTTGTAAATGATATTTACCTAAACCCAAGTAGACCCATTGATTATATGTAGGTAATGGGTGACGTATATATGGGTTTGGAAGTTTGTAGATGGGTTTGGATATTTACTTTGATAATCTAAATGTGTATGAATTGGGTATGGATACCCATTTGTTCAAGAGCGTTTAATTACACATACAAAATTTAAACCTATTTGTAGAACTTTAAAAGTTTAGGTACCAAAATGTAACACAAAAAATTAGGTACTAAAATGATGTTTCATCAACATTTTGAGGACTTATATGCAAAAAATTAAATTTACGTTATAAATATAAAGATTTATGAAGTTTAGTTACATAACTGTGATTTGCATAGTTGAGGTTTAATTCCTTTTATGGTGATGTATTTAAGATGATAGTCATTTACTTTTTTTATAGAAAAATAAAACTATTTATTTGATATGTGTAGATACCTAGACACATTACATGTATAATTGTTGAAAATTCTAGCCCGGGTGGAAAAGAAAAACTATATAGAGAAGCAAAACGAATACAAACCGGAACTCGCTCAAAATTTCACGCCCTCAAATCTCATAGTAAAAAATGACGACTTTCTAATAAGTAATAACCATATTTATTTATTTATTTATTTATTCTCTAGTGGTTCATGGTTCAATTATTAGTTCTCTAGACTGTTGGTGAGTCGTGTATGGACCCGTTTATACTTGTGATTAGAATACATAAAAATAGTATACTAATTAGGGTTAGACGAAGAAGGCAAAAAAAGAAATAAAGAAAGGGTTATGGAGGGCGAGTGAAAAATGAAACGAAGAAAAAGTAGATGATAGAAAGGTTTTGACAATTTCATTTAGTTGAACGTCAATATATACAACAATCAACCCTTTTCACCGTAGCAATTTATTGACACTTGCTTATGTAGATGTGACATATTTTGTTACATGTAGTTAATAGAAGTTTGTTTAGTACCCCGTAAATGTACTAAATTATTTTATAAATTCGCTCTTTTAATGTTTTAGAGTCGTCTCTCTTTAATCATTTATTTAATGATTCACGTAATTAGCAAATATAAAATGGTCGAATCTTCTCCTACGGTTGAGTGATACAACATCTTGTATTATGCAAACTAAATTTATACTTTTATGTTATGGTGGATTGGATTTAATTGGTTCAAAAGGACTGGTGGATTGGATTCATGGATTCAAGTGAAATATAAACATTGGACCAATATGTAAATCTAAAATAAATTGTAGGTATGAAAATCTCATAAAATTTAGATAACAAAACATAATTGTTCAATAATTTTACATTAAAATTAAATTTGGGTATCAAAATGTAAAATGTACATTATAATGACTAAACTGTGATTTAGTTAAATTTGGGATATCAAAATGTAAATAATTAGGCAACAGTAACTTTGCTTCTTCTTTATATATATTAAATATAAATACATACTAATATCTA